GATTGTCTGATAGCGTTCGGGTGGTGGTGCTACTACTAAAAAATTGAGCTAAAATTCTCTATTCTTCAGGATTGAGTAGGGCTCTGTCCTTACTAGAACTCAGGTAATTTTCAGATGATTAGAATCATTAAATTTGGAAGAATTAATTTTTTAAAATTTTTTTTACTAAATTTTGATTGTCTGATAGCGTTCGGGTGGTGGTGCTACTACTAAAAAATTGAGCTAAAATTCTCTATTCTTCAGGATTGAGTAGGGCTCTGTCCCTACTAGAACTCAGGTAATTTTCAGATGATTAGAATCATTAAATTTGGAAGAATTAATTTTTTAAAATTTTTTTTACTAAATTTTGATTGTCTGATAGCGTTCGGGTGGTGGTGCTACTACTAAAAAATTGAGCTAAAATTCTCTATTCTTTAGGATTGAGTAGGGCTCTAACCCTACTAGAACTCAGGTAATTTTCAGATGATTAGAATCATTAAATTATAATGAATTAATTTTTTAAAATTTTTTTTACTAAATTTTGATTGTCTGATAGCGTTCGGGTGGTGGTGCTACTACTAAAAAATTGAGCTAAAATTCTCTATTCTTTAGGATTGAGTAGGGCTCTGTCCCTACTAGAACTCAGGTAATTTTCAGATGATTAGAATCATTAAATTATAATGAATTAATTTTTTAAAATTTTTTTTACTAAATTTTGATTGTCTGATAGCGTTCGGGTGGTGGTGCTACTACTAAAAAATTGAGCTAAAATTCTCTATTCTTCAGGATTGAGTAGGGCTCTAACCCTACTAGAACTCAGGTAATTTTCAGATGATTAGAATCATTAAATTTGGAAGAATTAATTTTTTAAAATTTTTTTTACTAAATTTTGATTGTCTGATAGCGTTCGGGTGGTGGTGCTACTACTAAAAAATTGAGCTAAAATTCTCTATTCTTTAGGATTGAGTAGGGCTCTGTCCCTACTAGAACTCAGGTAATTTTCAGATGATTAGAATCATTAAATTATAATGAATTAATTTTTTAAAATTTTTTTTACTAAATTTTGATTGTCTGATAGCGTTCGGGTGGTGGTGCTACTACTAAAAAATTGAGCTAAAATTCTCTATTCTTCAGGATTGAGTAGGGCTCTAACCCTACTAGAACTCAGGTAATTTTCAGATGATTAGAATCATGAAATTTGGAAGAATTAATTTTTTAAAATTTTTTTTACCAAATTTTGATTGTCTGATAGCATTCAGGTGGTGGTGCTACTACTAAAAAATTGAGCTAAAATTCTCTATTCTTCAGGATTGAGTAGGGCTCTAACCCTACTAGAACTCAGGTAATTTTCAGATGATTAGAATCATGAAATTTGGTTAATTAATTTTTAAAAATTTTTTTTACTAAATTTTGATTGTCTGATAGCGTTCGGGTGGTGGTGCTACTACTAAAAAATTGAGCTAAAATTCTCTATTCTTCAGGATTGAGTAGGGCTCTGTCCCTACTAGAACTCAGGTAATTTTCAGATGATTAGAATCATTAAATTATAATGAATTAATTTTTTAAAATTTTTTTTACTAAATTTTGATTGTCTGATAGCGTTCGGGTGGTGGTGCTACTACTAAAAAATTGAGCTAAAATTCTCTATTCTTTAGGATTGAGTAGGGCTCTGTCCCTACTAGAACTCAGGTAATTTTCAGATGATTAGAATCAATAAATTTGGAAGAATTAATTTTTTAAAATTTTTTTTACTAAGTTTTGATTGTCTGATAGCGTTCGGGTGGTGGTGCTACTACTAAAAAATTGAACTAAAATTCTCAATTCTTCAGGATTGAGTAGGGCTCTGTCCCTACTAGAACTCAGGTAATTTTCAGAAGATTAGAATCATAAAATTCAGAAGAATTAATTTTTTAAAATTTTTCTTACTATATTTTGATTGTCTGATAGCGTACGGGTGGACCTGCTACTACTTAAAAATTGAGCTAAAATTCTCTATTCTTCAGGATTGAGTAGGGCTCTGTCCCTACTAGAACTCAGGTAATTTTCAGATGATTAGAATCATTAAATTTGGAAGAATTAATTTTTTAAAATTTTTTTTACTAAATTTTGATTGTCTGATAGCGTTCGGGTGGTGGTGCTACTACTTAAAAATTGAGCTAAAATTTTCTATTCTTCAGGATTGAGTAGGGCTCTGTCCCTACTAGAACTCAGGTAATTTTCAGATGATTAGAATCATTAAATTTGGAAGAATTAAATTTTTAAAATTTTTTTTACTAAATTTTGATTGTCTGATAGCGTTCGGGTGGTGGTGCTACTACTAAAAAATTGAGCTAAAATTCTCTATTCTTCAGTATTGAGTAGGGCTCTGTCCATACTAGAACTCAGGTAATTTTCAGATGATTAGAATCATTATATTATAATGAATTAATTTTTTAAAATTTTTTTTAATAAATTTTGATTGTCTGATAGCGTTCGGGTGGTGGTGCTACTACTAAAAAATTGAGCTAAAATTCTCTATTCTTCAGTATTGAGTAGGGCTCTGTCCATACTAGAACTCAGGTAATTTTCAGATGATTAGAATCATTATATTATAATGAATTAATTTTTTAAAATTTTTTTTACTAAATTTTGATTGTCTGATAGCGTTCGGGTGGTGGTGCTACTACTAAAAAATTGAGCTAAAATTCTCTATTCTTCAGGATTGAGTAGGGCTTTGTCCCTACTAGAACTCAGGTAATTTTCAGATGATTAGAATCATTAAATTTAGAAAAATTAAATTTTTAATTTATTTTTTACTAAATTTTGATTGTCTGATAGCGTTCGGGTGGTGGTGCTACTACTTAAAAATTGAGCTAAAATTCTCTATTCTTCAGGATTGAGTAGGGCTCTGTCCCTACTAGAACTCAGGTAATTTTCAGAAGATTAGAATCATAAAATTTGGAAGAATTAATTTTTTAAAATTTTTCTTACTAAATTTTGATTGTCTGATAGCGTTCGGGTGGTGGTGCTACTACTAAAAAATTGAGCTAAAATTCTCTATTCTTCAGGATTGAGTAGGGCTCTGTCCCTACTAGAACTCAGGTAATTTTCAGAAGATTAGAATCATAAAATTTGGAAGAATTAATTTTTTAAAATTTTTCTTACTAAATTTTGATTGTCTGATAGCGTACGGGTGGACCTGCTACTACTTAAAAATTGAGCTAAAATTCTCTATTCTTCAGGATTGAGTAGGGCTCTGTCCCTACTAGAACTCAGGTAATTTTCAGATGATTAGAATTATTAAATTTGGAAGAATTAAATTTTTAATTTATTTTTTACTAAATTTTGATTGTCTGATAGCGTTCGGGTGGTGGTGCTACTACTAAAAAATTGAGCTAAAATTCTCTATTCTTCAGGATTGAGTAGGGCTCTGTCCCTACTAGAACTCAGGTAATTTTCAGATGATTAGAATCATTAAATTTGGAAGAATTAATTTTTTAAAATTTTTTTTACTAAATTTTGATTGTCTGATAGCGTTCGGGTGGTGGTTCTACTACTAAAAAATTGAGCTAAAATTCTCTATTCTTCAGGATTGAGTAGGGCTCTGTCCCTACTAGAACTCAGGTAATTTTCAGATGATTAGAATCATTAAATTATAATGAATTAAATTTTTAATTTATTTTTTACTAAATTTTGATTGTCTGATAGCGTTCGGGTGGTGGTGCTACTACTAAAAAATTGAGCTAAAATTCTCTATTCTTCAGGATTGAGTAGGGCTCTGTCCCTACTAGAACTCAGGTAATTTTCAGATGATTAGAATCATTATATTATAATGAATTAATTTTTTAAAATTTTTTTTACTAAATTTTGATTGTCTGATAGCGTTCGGGTGGTGGTGCTACTACTAAAAAATTGAGCTAAAATTCTCCATTCTTTAGGATTAAGTAAAGCTCTGTCCCTACTAGAACTCAGGTAATTTTCAGATGATTAGAATCATTAAATTATAATGAATTAAATTTTTAAAATTTTTTTTACTAAATTTTGATTGTCTGATAGCGTTCGGGTGGTGGTGCTACTACTAAAAAATTGAGCTAAAATTCTCTATTCTTTAGGATTGAACATGGCTCAGTCCCTACTAGAACTCAGGAAATTTTTTTTTGGAAAATAATTGAATTTTTGAAAAGATTTTATAAAAAATTGAATACTCTCGTGAAATTTTCTTGAAAATAATTGAATTTTTGCAAAGATTTTACCATTTAAAAAAATAAATTAAATTGTTTCGAAGGATTTATTAAAATTTTAGAAAACAATTGTATTGATGAAATTTTCTTTAAAAATAATTGAATTCTTGCAAAAAATTTTACTAATTTATAAAAAGAATTTAATTTTTACGAAAATTGTTATTTAAATTTTAGAGAATAATTGAATTTTTTCGAAAAATATTTATAAATTTTTTTTTTTTAAATTGAATTTTTTCTTGAAATTGTTTTGAATATAATTGAATTTTTGATAAGAATTTTACTATTTATAAATATAATTGAATTATTCGAAGGATTTATTAAAATTGTAGAAAATAATTGAATTTTTTCGAAAAATATTTTTAAAATTTGAATTAATTCTTTTGAAATATTTTATAACGAATTAAAAAAAACTCGATTCTTTCGTTAAATTTTTTGAAAATAATTGAATATTTGCAAATATTTTACTAGGATTTAAAAAATAATTGAATCGTTTCGAAGGATTTATTAAAATTTTAGAAAAACAATTGTATTCGTTCGTGAAATTTTGTTTAAAAATAATTGAATTTTTGCAAAAATTGTTTGCTATATTTTCAAAAAATAATTGAATTCTTCAGAAGAATATTATTATTCTATGAAAATAATTGAATTCTTGTGAAGAATGTTATTAAAAATTTTTGAAATTAATAAACAAGTATAATTAATTAGTAAATTAGTTAATAATCGAATTTTTTTTAATTTTGAATCTGAATTTGCATAATAATAATAATAATAATAAATTGAATAGCACGTTCCGCGCCTAACATTTGCTAATTAAATAAATAAAGTGATTAATTTTTGATAAATAAGCGAAATATTCTTTACCAATTGTGAGTATTTCTAAATCCGTATTTGCAATAACATCTTCTGCTGTTTTCTGAGATCGCTTGAGATTTTCATTATAGACTTGGACATCTTTTTCTAAAATTATAAACAAATATTCATTTAACGTTAAAAATTAATAATTATTTCCTTTCTTTTTTTAATTTTTTTTAATGTTAATCTTTGTTATTTTGTTACCAAAGAGAATTTCTGTATCGTCAAACACGTCCCATCTTTCGATTGCCTCGAAAGCATCTTGCAGAGCCTTTAGAGATGTTTTATTGTCAATTGCTTCTAAAATATATTTGGACGGATTCAAATGGGTATAAAGTAGAGGCATCGTCTCGCCTGGTAATTCAAAAATTTGTGCCAATCCTCTCCAATCTCTATGAAAAAAAAAATAGTAAATAAATAAATAAAGTTTTCGTTAAAAATTTGAAAATATAGCTTTAGTTTAAAAATTTGAAATATATTTTTAATTTAATAAATTTTAAATATATTTTTAATTTAAAAATTTTTAAATATATTTTTAATTTAAAAATTTTAAAATATTATTTAAATTTAAAAAATTCAAAAATAGGAATAAAAAAAATACCTTGGTAATCCATTATCCCCAGGCAGTACTCTTATAGGATTTAATAGCGTGGAAATTAGCGTGATTGAATTGTTTGACAATGCCAATAGAGGTACCGCTGACAAATCCATTTCATTTATTCAGTATCTCTAGAATTAAAAAAAACCTTTTTGAAAAAGTCAATTTTTGAATTTTTCAAAATAAGTCAAAAATAGTCTCAATTTTCTTAATTTCCATCAAAGAAAAAAAATTTTTTTTCTCTGACCTTACTGACAAAATTTTTCTTTTTCTGATTCTATGTCCCTATATAAGTAAAAATTGTGATCATTGAGAAATAAATGACGAAAATTTTTATTATTTTCATTTGAAACTTTGCATGAGTCTAGGTACTTGAAAAATATATAAAATAATATTTAATTGAATATAAAAATTTCAAATTTTTTATAAAAAAATGACTTACAACTAATTTTTATTTTATCCTTTTAAAATTTTCAAGCAGGAAACTTCACTTATCCCAACACAGATGGATGCACTTTCTCACTGGAAAACACTCGTTCAAAACTCCAACACCAAAGAATTATGAAAAATCATACTTTCTTCACTATACAAAAAAGTTTTGAAATTTATATTTAAATTTATAATTTCCACATTTTTACTCACAATACAATGTTTTAAAATCAAGTTTTTATTTTTAGAGAAAATTTTATATTCAACCGTAAGGTCTACGTCGAGAGGTAAAAGTGAAGAGTCTTTTGCTTGACGCTTAGGACGCAACCTTGGGCCTCATTAGTGCCTTACCCCTTCCCTTGCCTAGAAAAAGGTCCCATTCGGGGACAAGGTAATATTATTATTTTTTGTATTATTTTTATTTTTTTTCATATTATTTTTTCTTCTTAAAACTAATTTCTGTTAGTTAGACTCAAAATTCGCTTTTTTGGGACGAAAAATCAAAAAAACTTATTTTTCTCGAAAACTACTGAAACGATTTTAATGAAATTTGGATATGTTTCAAATGTAGACAAAACAATTCTAGAAAGAAAAAATCAGAATTTAAAAAAAAAAAAAAATTTTGAAATTAAAAAAATTTTTTTTGGGGATTAGTTTTAAAGTTACCAATGTGATTTTTATAGAAAATAGTACCGTATAATATCCCCTTTAACATATATTTTTTCCAAATTTTTAAAAATATAGTTTTTGAGTAAAATGTCAAAAACCATGGTCATGCTATTTGTCACGTACGCAGTAATGCACGTATACAATTTCATGTGATATATCCCTTTGCTTTTAAATTTTAATATTTTTTATATCATAAAATTTCGCTTTGTCGCATTTTTTCTCCAATTTGTAAAATAACTTTTACAAAATTTAATATTTATATATATCCCTCCGTGTATGAAAACAATTTAAAAAGTTATAATATTACATATATAAATAATAATTTTGTAATTTTAAGAAAAGTAAAATATCGTTTTTTGTTATAAAAAAAGTAAAAGATTTTAATATACATTTTGTGTAAAATTGAGAAAATTTATTTCACAAGAAAATTGAATAAATTTATAAATTTTCGACATTTTTTAGGTAAAGGAAGTACAAAGTAATTAGTACTAATGACATTGGCGCACCAGAGCAACAAAGGAAAGTAATTCATCTCGATATAGAGAAAAGTGATGATCACCGAAAAATTTCTGGGCGTTGATCGTTAAAATATATTTAAAATACCATTTTAATACTTTCCTTGTCTGGAAGAATATTGAAAAGGGACTTTTTCATCTAAAAGCAAACGAATTTATTTGTTTTCTAAGTAAATCTTTCACAAAATATTGAGTTCTATTTCGTTAATTCATTTCACGCGGTTTTCGAAAAAAAATTTTGAAATAAAATACAGTCAAGAAAATAAGAATATAAAATTAAAAAAATAATAGAAATGAAAAATAGTATAATTTTTGAAATTATTTAAATGTTAATTAATTATTTTTCTCGTTGAATTTTTAAAAACAATTTTTTGCTAATTTTAATTCTGTAGTTTTATTTCCTGTTGCAATTTTTATCTCTTCCTACTATTTTTTTTAAAGAAAATTTTATGAAAAAGTTTCAAAAATTAAAAACAAAATTTTACTTCGCCTAATGCATTTTTTTTTATAAAAAATTTCAATACTTTGGAAAAATATTCTTACATGTTTTAAATATTTTATAAATAAGAGAAAATTGTTTAAAAAAATATAAAAAAAACCGATTGATATTTATTTTTAAAGACTAAATTTATGATTTGTACGTAATAAAAGAATTAAATAATTTAAATAATATATAATTAAACTTTAAAATGGAATTTAAGTTTCTGTACGAAATTTCAAAACTCGATCATATTTAACAATTTTTTTTAGCAAAGTAATTTAATTTTAGTAAATCGGAATTATTGAATTAATAACTATTTTAAATACACTTTAATATTATTCAACTACTTTTTTGATTATCTGAGAAATATAAAAAAAATTCACTTTAAAAATTAACCATTCTTCATTTCATCGCGATTTTGAATGTTTGTAACGTCGTTAGAGAAAAACCGATTTATACCAAATTTTTGGAGAATGTAGATTGAAGCAATATCTTCTTGCTGCTAAAATTTCGCTTTGGGTTTTGCAGTAGTCTTCGAAAGAAATTGATTCAAAATAAGTGTTTATTTTCGAGGTTACCAACAAGTGTTTTAACTTGAAGTTGATATTTGCAAAGTTTAGTGACAATTATGTAAAGATTTTTGCCTCTGCTTTTAATTGTAAGTTGATTTTTAATTTACACCTGAATTCCGAATCCTTAATTTCCATTTATTGTAAATGTTTATACAGTGAAAATATTTACTTGCACTTACTGTATAATTATAAATATGGACAAAAATAAATACGTCAGTGTTGAGTGTTCGATCACACGTCACACGCTGTATATGACAAATATTAACCTAGAAAACTTAACCTCAAAAATAACCAGTTTTGCTACTATAGTCAAAGTCAAATGCTGTTTTTTCTTTAAATAATACAAATAGTGCACAATATTTATTAGGAATGAATTTGCGGTTAGTGGAAAATTGAAAATTTAAACTTTCGAAATATTATTCTACATTTTACTGACATTGCGTTTATTATTTAGAAAATTTGATCCTAAAAATTGTTGTACTTTGTTCAATGTATTTTATGTGTTTTATGTCAAGAAAATTATAATCATAATATTATAATTTTCAGGGCTACTGAAGGCGGTGGAAAAACATTAGTTTCGAGATTTCAAAAACTGTAGAGCTATTTTTAAGGTATGTCAAAGCAATTTTTGTATAAAAGAACTATTTTGTTTAAAAATATTTATATTTACATTATTTTTACATTCTCATGATAAAAAATGAGCTGTTGGATTTTTGCGTTTTTTTCCTCATCATTACATTTTTTATGTTAAAAGTATTAAATTTATGAAAATTTTACTAAAATTTAACAAATTGTAAAATAAAATCAATTTGTTTACTTTTGTTCATAAATTTTCGTCATTAATAAAAAAATTTAAATTTTTTAAAATTCTGGGTTATTACATTATTGCAATAAACGAAAAAAGTTTATTAAAAAATTATATTATTCTTATAAATTGGTAAAAAAATCAGGAAAATGTTTTATTACAATTTTATCAAAATTTTTGGAAAAATATCAAATTTCTAAAATTCCTATGAAAGTTCTGCGCAATTTTCGGTGTTCAAAAATATTTTAGACGCTTTAACTTTTATATTATGGTTCGAAAAATTAAAAAAAATTTAATTAGTTAAAAATTTTTTTAAATAAATATCAAAATTTAAAAAAAATAAAAATATGAACTACTCTTGTAATTTTTATTAATTTTCATTGTCGATTTTTTAAATATACTTTTTTCATAATTCTAAACAATCAATAATCGTATAGATTTTCAAAAATTTTGATTTTTTCAAAAAATTTTAATTATTTTAAAAAATCAAGTTTTTTTTGAAAAATAACAAAAAATTGTAAATCAGTTAAAAATTACTTTTATTAATTTTCTATATGGTGTAATATGATTTCAGTTACTGAAAAAGTGTATAAATAAAAATTTTTGATACCCCCAAAAATGATCATTTTTGATTGGCTCAAATTTTACTAGTAGTTTTTAAAAAATTCAACTACTACCACATTTTTTATTATTTTTCGTTGCCAAAATTTTTATAAGGCTTTTCTTACGATTCTAAATAATCAATCGTATCGATTTTGAAAAATTTTAATAAAAAAAAAAATTTTTTCAAATTGGCCGAAAATTTTTTTTTTTAATTTTAACTGTATAGAATATAAATTTAGATCCTAAATAATGTCAGAAAAAAAATTTCTTCTTTTAAAAACGGTAATTATCGATGGGTTGAAATTTCACCGATCCCTTAAAAAATATAATTGAATTTTTTTATAAAGAATTTTATCCGAATTTTTTTTAGAAAATAATCTAGGAAAGTTTATTTTATTTTTAAAAATATGTAGATACTCCTTCAAACCCTTGTAGATTTAAATTAAATTTTTTTTTTTTTTGAAAAAGGTTAAATTTATATTTTAATATAGTTGAAAATCGGCTTATTTTTCTACTTTTAAATATACCTAAACAGGAAAGTTTGAATTTTTTTTTCTAGGCATATGGAATATGCAAAAATCAAAGTGGGATGTTTCATAATTATAGATTTTCGCAGATATTAATTTTTTAAAACACATGCGTTATAATTGCGCGTGAAATGTAAACTTTGTTGGTGGGGCGCATTGTGACTTGAGTGAAGTACTACTTTAGAAAAAATCCACTGTAAGCGCAACGATCGAAAGTTGATTTGCTTTTTGATATATACTATATACTTTTAAAAAATTACCATACCGTTACTTAAAAATGACATAATTTTCAAAAACTTTAATAAAATTGTTATTTTAAAAATTCCATTATTTTCAATACAATTTTAGGAAAATTAAATTATTTAACTTGATATTGATAATTTTGATTTTACAATAGTTTTGGATTTCAGTCGATTTTTCGATAACTTTTTGAATTTAAGTTTTCTTCGGGCTCTATAAACAAACTTAAAAATAAAATTCGAAATTTATATGAAAATCGACTGGGACCCAAAACTAATTTATTTCCTGTGGGGTCCTTTTAATAAATCTTAACATTTTACACTTGTTTTTTCGTTTTTTTGTTTTTTAAAGAATTAAAACAGTTAGGATTTTATAAAAAAAATTCTTAAAATTTTATACTTGTTTTTTCCTTTTTATTTTAAATTAAAACAGTTAGGATTTTATAAAAAAAACCTTTTAAAAAATCTTAAAATTTGATACTTGTTTTTTGTTTTTGTTAGAATTAAAACAGTTAGGATTTTAGAAATAAAAACTTTTAAAATTTTATATTTGTTTTTTTGTTTTTCTCTAAATTAAAACAATTAGGATTTTACAAAAAAGACCTTTTAAAAAATCTTAAAATTTGATACTTGTTTTTTGTTTTTGTTAGAATTAAAACAGTTAGGATTTTAGAAATAAAAACTTTTAAAACATCTTAAAATTTTATATTTGTTTTTCTCTAAATTAAAACAGTTAGGATTTTACAAAAAAAATCTTAAAATTTTATACTTGTTTTTTCGTTTTTTTAAAATTAAAACAGTTAGGATTTTACAAAAAACGTTTTAAAAAATCTTAAAATTTTATTCTTGTATTTTCGTTTTTTTTGTTTTTTTTTAAATAAAAACGGTTAGGATTTTACAAAAAAAACCGTCTTAAAAAATCTTAAAATTTTATACTTGTTTTTTTAAAATTAAAACAGTTAGGATTTTATAAAAAAAACCCTTTTAAAAAATCTCAAAATTTAATACTTGTATTTTTCGTCATTTTTCTGTTTTTTTTAAATTAAAACAGTTAAGATTTTACAAAAAAACCGTTTTAAAAAATCTTGAAATTTTATACTTGTAGTTTTTAAATTAAAACAGTTAGGATTTTACAAAAAAGCGTTTTAAAAAATTTTTTAAATTTTATTCTTGTTTTTTCGTGTTTTTTGTTTTTGTTAAAATTAAAACAGTGAGGATTTTAAAAATAAAAACTTTTAAAAAATCTTAAAATTTTATATTTGTTTTTTTGTTTTTCTCTAAATTAAAACAATTAGGATTTTACAAAAAAAAACCTTTAAAAAAATCTTAAAATTTAATACTTGTTTTTTCGTTTTTTTCGGTTTTCTCTAAATTAAAACAGTTAGAATTTTAGAAAAAAACTTTTAAAAAATCTTAAAATTTTATTCTTGTATTTTCGTTTTTTTTTTAAATAAAAACGGTTAGGATTTTACAAAAAAAAGACCTTTTAAAAAATCTTAAAATTTGATACTTGTTTTTTTTTACAATTAAAACAGTTAGGATTTTATAAAAAAAAATCTTTTAAAAAATCTTAAAATTTAATACTTGTTTTTTCGTTTTTTTCGGTTTTCTCTAAATTAAAACAGTTAGAATTTTAGAAAAAATCTTTTAAAAAATCTTAAAATTTTATTCTTGTATTTTCGTTTTTTTTTTAAATAAAAACGGTTAGGATTTTACAAAAAAAACCGTCTTAAAAAATCTTAAAATTTTATACTTGTTTTTTTACAATTAAAACAGTTAGGATTTTATAAAAAAAAACCTTTTAAAAAATCTTAAAATTTAATACTTGTATTTTTCGTCATTTTTCTGTTTTTTTTTTAAATTAAAACAGTTAAGATTTTACAAAAACAACCGTTTTAAAAAATCTTGAAATTTTATACTTGTAGTTTTTAAATTAAAACAGTTAGGATTTTACAAAAAAACGTTTTAAAAAATTTAAAAATTTTATACTTGCTTTTTCGTGTTTTTTGTTTTTGTTAAAATTAAAACAGTTAGGATTTTACAAAAAAACGTTTTAAAAAATCTTAAAATTTTATTCTTGTATTTTCGTTTTTTTTTGTTTTTTTTAAAATAAAAACGGTTAGGATTTTACAAAAAAAAACCGTCTTAAAAAATCTTAAAATTTAATACTTGTATTTCTCGTCATTTTTCTGTTTTTTTAAAATTAAAGCAGTTAAGATTTTACAAAAAAAACCGTTTTAAAAAATCTTGAAATTTTATACTTGTATTTTTTAAATTAAAACAGTTAGGATTTTACAAAAAAGCGTTTTAAAAAATTTTTAAATTTTATTCTTGTTTTTTCGTGTTTTTTGTTTTTGTTAAAATTAAAACAGTTAGCATTTTACAAAAAAGCGTTTTAAAAAATTTTTAAATTTTATACTTGTTTTTTCGTGTTTTTTGTTTTTGTTAAAATTAAAACAGTTAGGATTTTAGAAATAAAAACTTTTAAAATTTTATATTTGTTTTTTTGTTTTTCTCTAAATTAAAACAATTAGGATTTTACAAAAAAAAACCGTCTTAAAAAATCTTAAAATTTAATACTTGTATTTCTCGTCATTTTTCTGTTTTTTTAAAATTAAAGCAGTTAAGATTTTACAAAAAAAACCGTTTTAAAAAATCTTGTAATTTTATACTTGTTTTTTTAAATTAAAACAGTTACGATTTTACAAAAAAAAAACCATTTAAAAAATCTTTATATTTTATACTTGTTTTTTCGTTATTTTTCTGTTTGTTTAAATAAAAACAGTTAGAATTTTTCAAAAAAAAACCCTTTTGAAAAATCTTAAAATTCTAAACTTGTATTTTCGTTTTTTTAAATTTTTTTAAAAATTAAAACAGTTAGGATTTTACAAAAAATATACTTTTAGGTTGAGTGTAAAAAGTACGACTAGTTTCTGTAGAGAGAATAATTTAATATTTAAACGAAGGTATAATAATACAAAATTTTAGGACTAAAAACACATTTTCTAAATTATTAAAATTTTAAATTAAAATTCCTACCCTATGGGGATACTCTAGTATTCTTTGATCTAAACCTTTATCTAATGCTTCAATTAATAAAAAAAACTTCTAAATAATGAATTCAAGAAAAAGAAGTGTTTCCTAATTATTTTAATTCATAAGAAGAATATTTAGAACATTTACCCCCTCCTGACTCTTTAAGATTTATAACCTCTGTCCATAAACTTGGACGGTTTAATATTAATTTCTGAAAGTCGTCTGTCTCAACAATCTCATATTTATTCTCGATTATAAATTTTAAACATTCATATCTTAATTGTTCAATCGAGTACAATTCGGCAATCTCCAAAGTCTTAAGAACTGTGGTCAAAGATATTTTATAGTTTAAACTGTTGATGCACATAATCCTAAGATTCTCCAATTGATACTTCTCCGCAACGTAAAGAAATTCAAATGCTGCGTCATCTAAATTCTCCACTTTGTCCGTATAAATATAATTCAGCATTTGTTGAAAAATCACTGGTTTTATGTCATCAATTTCAACAACCGATGTTTGTTTCTCACTCATTTTATTCATAAACATTGCAGCGAAGACACTACTGCGAATTGCGAGAATATTCTTATGAGCCGTGAATTTTTCATCTTCAACATTAAAAGTCACATCTTTAAAGTCTTCATTGTCGAGGAGGTTTTCAATTTTTTTCACTATTCCATTGCAGCATTGAATGTCGATAAGCGGTGTTTTGAGTAAAATTGCACCGGGGTAAATTATACTGACCTCGCATTTAACTGTGATATCGGTTGGAATTACTTTGGGTGTTGTGTAATTTCCCGAAGTGTTTTTTGGTCTTTTTTCGACAAACGATCGGTAAACGTTTGATCCATTTGTCTTCCATGAAATTCTTTTCTCGCAACGATATAAATTATCGGTGCTAAATGATTTGACGCAGAGTGCATATGAGGGGTAAGTGTCGAATCTTTCAAATGATATTTTAACGTTTAGTAATTTTTTGTCCTTGACGAGTTTTGTATCGTAATATAAATGAATGTGAAAGGGGTCCTTGTTGTTTTCTACTAATTCCGCAGGTTCTAATACAATTATAAAATTTCCATCTCTAAAATTTTTTGTTGTGAATTTTTGTGATCTAATTACTTTTACCTTTCGACAAACAAATTCGAAATCGGTAATTGTCCATTTATATTCGTATTTATGAACATCTAGTGAGGTACAATAAGACTCTGTGTGGGTGATTTCACCGGACAGTGAAATGAATCCTTGAGACGTTGCCATAATTGTCTGAAAATTTAGATAAACATGAATATGATTCTTCGCAGAAATTCAATTATGTTCACAAATTTTAATAAAATTCTTGTCAAAATTTCAATTATATCTTTAAAAATAATAAAATTCTTCTTCAAAATTCAATTATTTAAAAAAATTTTAATGATATTCTCGGCAAAATTTCAATTATCTTTATAAATAATAAAATTTTTCTTCGAAATTCAATTATTTTCAAAAATTTTAATAAAATTCTTGTCAAAATTTCAATTATTTTAAAAAACTTTCCTTCAATTCAATGATTTTTAACTTTAATAAAATTTTCCATAAGAATTCAATTATTTAAAAAACATTTTGATAAAATTCTTCTCCGAAATTCAATTATTTATAAAAATTTTAATAAAATTCACTTCAAAATTTCAATTATCTTTATAAATAATAAAATTCTTCTTCTAAATTCAATGATTTTCAAATTAAAAATATTTCAAAAAAAAAAATTATTAAAAAAAAGTTAGGAAACAAAAAAGCAAATAACAACTAACTTAAAACTGTATTCATTTACCTGAATACAACGATTATTAATATAGATTTTTTTATATTTTATTTAAATTGTTAATTAAAATGTTAATTTCTTAAATTTTTATTATTATTTTTGTTTTTATTAAAAATTTAAATAAAATAGACAAAATAAATAATTTAAAAAAATTATACGGCTGTGTATGTAAACATTATCGGAAAGATCGTGAATCATACTTTTGTTTATATTCTCATACGATATTAATAATAGTTTTCTGTAGTATTCACCAATTTTATATTTTTATTTATTTAATACAATACAATATTATTATAAATAATATTAATAAATTAAAATAAATATTTTTTAAAATAATCCATAAAATTCTTACCTTGTGAAGTATGTTGACTTTAAAAGAAAATTATCAAATATCCTAATTTTTCACTGTGCAGAGTTGGAATATATAATTTTTCCACAACTTTGTATGATATAACAAAATTGTTATGTCAATTATTTTTTAAAATATTTTTACAATGTTTGGTCACTATTCATAAAATTATACCTAATTTTTATTATTAAAAATTTATATTTATAAGTGAAAAAGTTTTACGAGTATTATACAGTAACTTATCAGCACGGATTAAGCTAGAAAATGCGGTATATTTAAGAACAATAACATTGAAGCGTGAATTTGAAATTTGAATCAGAGACGTGACTAATTCATTAAGTTCCATGTGCTTAAAATTAATCATAATTTCGCTTAAAAATATAAAAATAAATAAAGAAAACAAACAAAACTAATGTAAAATACAAAATGAATTAAAATTTAACATTTTTTTAAATATTAACATATCTTAACATTTATTAAATTAAATTTCTTTTAAAGAAATATTTTCATCAAACACAAAATAAATTTAAATTTAACAAATGTTTTAATATTTATTAAATTAAATTACTTTAAATGAAATATTTTTATACAAAAACAAAATAAATTTAAATTTAACAAATGTTTTAATATTTTTGTTAAATTTAAATTTATTTTACCTTTTAACCCTTTTAAATTGTCAGGAATTATTTTCATGATAAACAAATAAATAAATTATAAGATTTATTAGTGTGAAAAATTTGTATTAAATTATATTTAAATTAGCACTATAAAAAAATTAGTTTAATTTTTTATTTCTATTAAAAAATATACTGCATAATATTTTGCATCTATGAATATTTTTATTTATTTTAAGCGGAATTTTGTTGAAAATAATTGACTTTGTATTTTTCTGTACAAAATATAGATTTTTGTAGAAAAGAAATGATATAATTCCTAAGAATTAAAATTTTCAATTTCTTCTAATTCCGCTCGTATCATATATATTGGAAAACATTTTAAAGTAATTAAGAAAAAATGTTTCTTAATATTATAGATTTATCTCAATTCGTAACTTTTATATCTAAAACTTTGACTTTTTTCTGTTTCTTTTACATTTAAAATTTCTACCCATAAATTTGGATGAGTTAACATTAATTCCTGAAACTCCTTTGTCTCAATAATGTCATACTTTCTTTCTGATATAAAAGAAAGACATTCATTTTTTAGCAGATCAATTGAATACAATTCGGCAACCTCCAGAGTCTTAATAACTGTGTTAATAGATAGTTTGTCATTAAGACTGTTGATGCATAAATTTTTAAGTTTCTCCAGTTGATATTTTTCCGCTACGTATATTAATTCAACTGCTGATTCTTCCAGATTCTCCACTCGATCTGTGTAGATGAAATTCATCATTTTTTGAAAAATTGCTGGTTTTATGTCATCAATTTCGACAATGGATGTTAGTCCCTCAGTCATTTTGTTCTTGAACATTGCAGCAAACACAGGACTTCGACTTGCGAGGATAATTTTGTGAGCTGTAAATTTTTGATCCTCAACATTAAATGTAACATCTTTGAATTCTTCATTGTCTTGCAAACTTTTCATATTTTGTATTAGTCCATTACATTTTTCAATATCAATAAGCGATCCGTGTCTTATTGTCGTACCAGGAGCAATGACATTAATCCTGCATTTAATTAGGACCTTACTTAGAATAGTTTCTAAAGAATATGAAGGAGTTTGAGAATTCTTTGGTGTCCTATCGATAAAGGTTTGAAGCATTTCTGATCCACTTATGTGCCAAGAAATTTTTCGTCCACCTTCTTCTGAATTTTTAGTGTCAAATGATCCATCATAAATCAATGTTATATATTCACAACTATCTTCTTTAAATGTTAATCGAACATTTAATAATGTTTTGTCTCTTTTGAATTTCGTATCGTAAAACATTAAATGAATTTTAAAAAAATCCTTGTTGTTTTCTATTAATTCTGTTGGTTCCAGTATAATTATCCATTTGCCATCTTTAAAATCCTTTGTTGAAAAGACATCAGATTTAATTACTTTTACATTGTTACAAACAAACTCAAATTCAGAAATTCTCCATTCAAATTCATAATTATGAATATTTAAAATAGTTTCATGAGTTTCTTTAATATCGTTTCCAACATTCAATGGAATTAATTTCTTTGATGTAGCCATATTTGTCTGAAAAAGATAAAAAGAAATTGAAAAGAATTTGGAAATTATATGTGACACGGACAGTTAAAAGGGACCTACGATCCGAAAAAATCGATTTTCACTTTTTTATTTGTTCTTATAGTAAATAAACCGCTCTTTCCAACGCAATAAGCCGCAGCTTTCTAGCTGCATTAGTTTTCTCACAATTTCACTTCAAAGTTAGGTACTTTGACAAAAAACAGTGCAAAAAAACTAACTTGGTAAACTTCAAAGTCGTTTTTCTCGAAATCTTTTTTTCGGACCGTAGGTCCCTTTTAAGTGTCCGTGTCACATATTTTCATGGTTATGAATACTGATAAAGAAAAGCTATTCTGATGCACCAAATTAAATGTTTTTTAATTAAATGAATATAATTAATGATTAATAGTTAATTACTTACATTAATTAATAAATTAATTTATTTCACTTTAATTTAATGTTCTTGATTCATCAGAATCGAAATTTTTTTTTTGAATTAGCGTTATTTTTTATTATTTGCAGTAATCGAATCAGAATTATTTTAATTAATAGAAAAATACTTTTTATTAAGTTCTTTTAGTTTTATACATTAACTTAAGATTTTTTACTATTTTAGATATTTAGAAAGTATATAAAAATAACAAAATATTTAATAAAATCATTACCTGCTGTAGTAAAATGTATTTTTCACAAATTTCAAAATTTCAAATTATTTTCATTATTTTCACCGTGTTTTCTAACAATATCACAATTTATCGCAATTTTTCAAATACTTTTTTTTAAATTGTTTTTTACTCTCATTTAAATATTTGCAATAGTAGCATACATGTCACGTTAGAAAGCAAGAAAAAAGTCTTTAACAATGCTCTTTGAGAACTAAACTCAGAAGTATTCGCGCGGTAATAAGCGAAATGCTTTCAGAATGACTCAACTTCATATGAATTTTATCAACTTCTGTATAGGCATATCATATAACCAACCCTCTATACTCGAATAATAACTACTGGACTTAAGGAAATAATTTTTAAAAAATTAAAATTTTCTTTTTTATATTTTTTATATATATAAAATTAAAAATTTCATACTATTTTATTAATGTATTTCATTATTATTTTATGAAAATATAATGTAAATGTGAACAAATTTTATATTTATAATATTAGAAATTACCTAAGTTCTTTTTAAAAAAATTATTTAAGTATTCAAATTTCAGTCACTTTAACGCAGAATAGTTAAATTTTCTATTTTTGTTAAAAGAAGAAAGAACAAAATAATTCAACACTTTTTATTTTAAATTATTTTTCAAAATTTAACTTAAAAATTTAAATAAAATTAAAACAATAATATTGAAAAAATATAAATAATCATAACTTTCATTAATGTTTTATGGAAAAATTGATTTCAATTACGTTTTTAGCAAATTTTATACCTCCAAAAATTGAATTTTATGTATATATTTACTAACATTGTACATTGAATGAAAAAACACAAAATAAATTATCAGGAATTATTTTCATGATAAACAAATAAATAAATTATAAGATTTATTAGTGTGAAAAATTTGTATTATTATTTAAATTAGCACTAAAACAATAAATTGGAAAGGTTGTGATATGAAATTTCTCATCCTTTTTTCTTTTATTTATTTTTATATTTGCATTAACAAGCAGTAAAAAATAATAATTTTTATTACATTTATAATTATACGAAGACTTTTATTGTATAAAAGACAAATGTCGATCACACTATTATTATTTTAACATAAAGTAATTTGAGAAAAGTGTTTCATAATATTCACTGTAAAAAGAAGGTATCTTATTTTAAAATATTTTGGTAGTCACTTTCAAGTTGTTTCCAAAAAGTTATCAAAAGCATCTTAAAATGCATTAATTTCTAATAGATGGAAGTTGGAAAAATAAAATGTTTTAAAAGTGACTAAAATGTATTTTAAGATGCTTCTTTTTGCAGTGTTATAGGTTTATCTTAAGGGGGTTCCCTCATGAGATATGTGCAAAATATGTCAAAATTCAAAATTTTTTTTTCTCACTTATTTTATTATAAAAGTTAAAAAGCCTTTTTGCATAAAAAAAGGATAATTTAAAGTATTAAAAACAATAAAAAAATTTATATTTTTTATATTATGTTAGGCTGTAGAGGGCGTCAAAATCGATACTTTTATTTTGAGGCGTTTACTCAGAATCCCTGCAACCGATTTAAAAAACACTCTGACGACGGTACTGTGATGTACTATAACTTTTGATAGGAGCTAAATTTCGTTATAAAATTTTAAAACCTTTATTCTATAGAGATATTAAAGATTTTCAAAAAGCAAGAAAAAAGAATTTGAAGAAAAATGTTTTTCTTATGAGTAATCCCCCTTAATTCGTAACTTTTATATCTAAAACTTGAGCTTTTTTCTGTTTCTTTTGTATTTAAAATTTCTACCCATAAATTTGGACGAGTTAACATTAATTCCTGAAACTCCTTTGTCTCAATAATGTCATACTTTCTCTCAGATATAAAATAAAAGCATTCATTCTTTAGGTTTTCAATTGAATACAAATCGGCAACCTCCAAAGTCTTACTAACTGTGGTTAAAGACAGATTGTCATGTAGACTGTTGATGCACATAGACTTAAGTTTCTCCAGTTGATATTTTTCCGCTACGTATAGGAATTCAACTGCTGATTCTTCTAGATTCTCCACTCGATCTGTGTAGATGAAATTCATCATTTTTTGAAAAATTGCTGGTTTTATGTCATCAATTTCGACAATGGATGTTAGTCCCTCAGACATTTTGTTCTTGAACATTGCAGCAAACACAGGACTTCGACTGGCGAGAAAGATTTTATGAGCTGTAAATTTTTGATTCTCAACATTAAAAGTAACATCTTTGAATTCGTCATTGTCGAGAAAATTTTTATTACTTTCCACGAGTCCATTACATTTTTCAATATCAATAAGCGATAGTTGTCTTATTGTCGTACCAGAAGCAACGATATTAATCTTGCATTTAATTATAACATTATGTGGAATAGCATCTGCATAAGAAACACTGTAGATAAAGGCCTTAAGCAAGTCTGATCCACTTGTTGTCCAAGAAATTTTATTTTCACCTCGGTATGCATTTTCAGTGTCAAATAGTTTCACATTCTGGAATGTTTTTGAATCAACTTTTCTTTGAAATGAGATTTGAGCATTTAATAATTTTTTGTCTATTTTGAATTTAGCATCGTAAAACAACAAATGAATTTTAAAGCAATCGTTGTTGTCTTCTATTAATTCTGTAGGTTCTAGCACAATTATCCACTTGCCATCTTTAAAATTCTTTGTTGAAAATACCTCAGATCTAATTACTCTTATATTTCTACAAACAAACTCGAAATTATTAATTGTCCATTCAAATTCATAATTATGAATATTTAAAAAAGTATCATGAGACTCTTTGTAATTGTCTTCACTGTACAATGAAATGAATTTCCTCGACGTAGCCATGTTTGTCTGAAAATTAAGATAACAACGATTTTTTTAAATTTAGAAGTGACCTTTTTTTAAATACGTTTAGATCTTTAAAAAAGTAATTTGGATTTGATGTAAATTCCTCTGAATTAAATGCATATTTCTTTTAATTGTATACAATGCACTAAATTCAATATTTTTAATCAAATAAATATAATTAATGATTAATAGTTTAATTACTTAATAAATAATTAATTAAAATTAAAAATAATTAATTAAAATAATTAATTACTTATATTAATCAATAAATTTATTTATTTACTTATTTCACTATTCTATGTTTTTGACATCAGAACTTCAAAAAAATTGTTTTGTTTCCCCCACAGCACACCGAAACTTTCCTAAAAATTTATTAAATATTTACTTGCAATATTCGGAATATTTAATTGCAATGTTTATTGAAAGTTGTGTACAGATTAAATAAATGTTTAGCGCGAAGCTTTCCTGAACATTTCAATAAAATCTTCGTATAATTATAATTTAGAGTTTTTTCGATGATAAAATTCTTTCGTCTTACTATCAATTTCACTAGTGTCACTTCTTAAAGTTGCAACATCTTGCAACACTCTTTCACACAGTGAAAGAGTTGTCGAATGCAAAATCCTGAAAAAAATAATAAAAATTACCTTCGTTTTTTCAATTATTTTCTACTTTTAACTAATTAAATTAAAATCAAATAGATACATAGATACCTTTTCTTGCTGACTGAAATCAGTCAAATCAAATAAATTATTATTCTCATCAGGAATGTCAACTTTGTTTATTTTGATTTGGAAAATTCTGTAAAAAAATAATTTTTTTAATTATTAAAAAAATTATTGTTACTCAAAAAAAAAAAAATTTGTTACCTCCAAAACACCATTTTCACCGGAACTTAAAATATCACAACTTGATCGAAGCATAAGTGAATCACAGTAGGGGATAAAGCCATTTTTTATAAAAGGCCACACTGTAAAAAAATTTATCATAAAGCTTTCCACATTACATTATAATTGTATGCAGAAAATCTACAATAAATTTGTATTCAGTGCACAAAAATATAATTATAATATTATTGCAATATTTTAGGTTAGGTTAGGTCTAAATTTCGACTAATATTTACTTTCATGCTAAATTACTTAATTATCTACATAATTTAATTATTTATTAACAATATTTATTGTGAGATGTACTTACATTTTTATTCTTTACAATAAATTCTTGGAGATAAATGTATTTACAGGACCACGAGGGCCAGAGACCCAGAGACACTTACTATATGATTTACTACAGTATTTACATAATTACTATACACCCTATACACTTTGACATTAGGCGCACACGTAAACACCTCTATGTAAACACAGACACGTAATGTAAATTTAATTTACACATAAACAATTTTATATTTATAATATTAGAAACTAAATGTTTGTATTATGAAAAAATTTTATAATTAGAAAAATTTATGTAAATTATGATTTAAAAAACAAAAATTTTTTTTAAATAATAAGATTTTTATCTTTTATATTTTGTATATATCCTAATTTCAAATTTTGCAAAAATGTTCTATTTAATTTTAAAAAGATTTGTTATAAAAAAAAATTATTTTTAACAGTATAAAACTTTTAGGTATTTTTTGATATCGTAAATACTTTTTTTATAAAAATATAAGTTTATTTAGCATCATAAAACAGAAAAAAACCTTCCTTATATTTTATATTCTAGCAAAAATATTAATTTCTCAACAAAAAATGTCCAGGTGGACAGAAATTTTATCACATTATGCATTTGTGTACTTCCTAGAAGTACTATCTATATATTGTTATCTGATGGGATATGTACTTCAAGAAATCGAAATGTCTATAATTTTTATTTTTTTAAATCTAATTCTGGTATTATACACTGAAAAACTGTTGGTAGAGCAGTTCCGCTATTGACTGTTGTGCAGCGCTACTTAACTTTAAACTCACAGCTCTATCAAAATTAGGCGAGTTGCTCTCCTAAACTTGACTACCAATGGCGTTGGCGAGCGGCTGCTTGACAAAAAGGTCAGCAGCTCTATCAAAAAGGAGAGTTGCTCGCCCAAAAAGGAGAGTAACTCGCCCAAAAATAAAGTGAGCTGTGCGTTTCTTTTTAACGCAGCAGTTCACCGCATTGGGCGAACAGCTCTACCAACAGTTTTTCAGTGTATTATTTCTTATCCTTCTCTTATCGAATACGACACAAAATCGTCTCTCTAAATTCGTAAATTAATTAAGTAAATTATTAAATTCTTTAATGTAATGCAAAATTAGTTTCATTAAACTTATCGACAAAAATTAAAACTCTCATTAATTAAATTATTTCAAATCTTTTTATTTTTAACTTAAAAATATATCATTTTTCAACAATTGACAACATTAGACTAATCCAATAAGTTCCATGTGCTTAAAAATTACAATTTCGTTTAAAAATATAAAAATAAAATAAATATGTAATTAAATAAAAATGTTTTAATATTTGTTAAATTTTAATTTATTTTTTGTTTTAAATCGTCAGGATTTACTTTCATGATAAACAAATAAATAAATTATAACTTTAATACTGAAAAATTTGTATTATTATTTAAATTAGCAGTGAAACAATTAGTTTAATTTTTCATTTCTATTTTTTAAAAATATACTGCAAATATTCTATACTTGGAAAAGGTTGTGATATAAAATTTCTCATTCATTTTATAATTATTATGCGAAGACTTTTATTGTATAAAAGGCAAATATCGATCACACAATTATTGTTTTAACAATTTTTTCTACATAATTAAAAAAAACGTCTTTAAAAAATGCTCTTAGAATTAAGAAAATTGTAATTTTTTATATTTTATAACCTTTATAGGCAAGAAGACAAAAAGTTTCTGTAAAGAAAAATTAATATTTTATACTTATAAATTAGTATAGAAGAAGCGAAGATTATAAGCTTAATCCAGAATTACAAATATTTGTAATGTAACCCATAGTGAGAAGCAAGAAATTAAAAAGAACTCATTAAGGGTTAATTCCGCCAACCTTAATTAAAAATTAATCAATGATTAAAGCCAGTTTAACGGCTTATGATTGGTTGATGAATTATTTATAAACTTTTGATCGTTATTGGTGAAACTGTCCCTTAATATTCTAAGCAATAAAGGATAATTTTCATTCGTACTTTTTAATTCTAATATTATGAATCAGGTTAATGCTGAAAAATTATTTGAAGTACTTAAAAAATAATACAAATGATTTGTTATAAGATACACCTCCAAATGTACACTCAGAAAAAAATTTGTTCGAAAGAACCAAATTTTGGTTGAAGCAACCTATATAACTAAAAAATTTGTTTATTTTAAGAGAAAAGATTTGTTTGATTCAAATAAATAGTTTTAGTAAACGTATTTGGTTCATTTCAATAAATATTTTTGATTACTTAATTTTGTTACTTATATTTTCCTCTAATAATATTTGAATTTCCTAATTTAATATTTCTAGTACATATTATTGGTTAATTTATAATTTATTATATAATTATTGATATTTTTAAATTATACATATAATAAATTATAAATTAACCAATAATATGTATACTAGAAAATATTAAATTAGGAAACTCAAACATTATTAGAGGAAAATGAATAACAATTAAGTAAAATATTATATATTTCTTCATATAAACAAAATTACTTAATTATAAAAAAACATTTAAAATATTACATTAAACATATTATATGATTTTTATACGTGCACTCAGAAAAAAGTTTATTCGAAACAACCAACTGAAAACTTTACAAAACCTTGTTGTAAATATTCTTCTCATTGGTACAAAATGAAATATGCAGTAAGTCTAAAATGAACACAATGTATTTAATATTTATTTAATCGACACTTATAATTTTGTTTCTTTGATTTACCGATTTAACCAATAAATTTGACGCGAACGCGGACTGTAGACAAGTAAGATCGCCATTTTTAAATTCACACATGTAATTTTTGAGACAAGCAAATATTTTTGTTTGACTCAAATAAAACGATTTGGTTGAATCAAACAAATTTGTGTGTTGCGTCGAACAAATTGTATTTAACTAAACAATATTCTCTATTCAAAACACAAATTTGGTTAAATGAAACAAACAACATCAAATAAAAAATTTCTTTCCAATAACCAAACAAATTTTACATATTTATTAAAATGAACCAAATTTTTATTTAAATCAACAAAATTGTTTTATCGTGACAAATAAAATAGGTTAATTAAACAGTTTGGTTAAGTGAAATAAACATTTTCTCTGAGTGTACCTGTTTTTTTATATTTAAAATTTCTGTCCATAAACCTGGACGACCTAATATGAATTCCTGAAACTCTTTTGTCTCAATAATATCATACTTTCTCTCAGACATAAAATAAAGACATTCATGCTTTAGCAGTTCAATTGAATACAATTCGGCAACCTCCAAAGTTTTAATAACTGTCTTTAAAGATAGTTTGTCATTAAGACTGTTGATGGATAAATTTTTAAGTTTCTCCAATTGATATTTTTCCGCAACGTACAATAATTCAACTGCTGATTCTTCTAAATTCTCCACTTGATCCGTATAAATAAAATTCAACATTTGTTGGAAGATTGCTGATTTTGTGTCATCAATTTCAACAACGGATGTTAGTTCCTCAGTCATTTTGTTCTTGAACATTGCAGCAAACACAGTACTCCGATTGGCTAGAATAATTTTGTGAGCGGTGAATTTTTTATCTTCAACATTAAACGTAACATCTTTGAATTCTTCATTGTCTTGCAAACTTTTCATACTTTCCATTAGTCCATTACATTTTTCAATATCAATAAGCGGTTTTTGTATTAAAGTCTTATCAGGAGTAACGACATTAATGTAGCATTTAATTAGAACTTTACTCAAACTTTATATCAAATGAATTATAAAGAAATCCTCGTTTTTTTCTGTTAATTCTGTTGGTTGCATCACAATTAACCACTTGCCATCTTTAAATTTTCTTGTTGAAAATATGTCAGATTTAACTACTTTTTCATGTTTACAAATAAACTCGAAATGCCAGATTGTCCATTCAAATACATAATTACGAATCTTGAAAGCAGTTCTGTTAGTCTCTTTAAATTTTTGTTCTGTATTCAATGACGTAGCCATATTTGTCTGAAAATTGAAATAAAAATAAATTGAATGCATATTTTCCTTTTACATATTGTATAATAAGTAATATAGTCTTCACTTGAGATGATTTTTAAATAAATAATTGTTTATTATTTTTAAGTAATATAACAATTTAAAAGATTTTGATGGACATTTTGGGGCACTAAAATTAATATTTTTCCAAACAGCGAAGGGGTTAATGAACTCAGGAAGTCTTCTAGTTCCCCGACGAATTTCCTAATCTTAGATTCCTAAACGTATTTTCCTAACAACTACTTTTCCTAATAGTTAATTTTTCCTAAAACTATTTTCCTAAATCATTTTTCCGAACTCAATTTTCCTAAAGTCTTTTTTTCCGAAACAATATAATTTTTCCTAATATATATTTTTCATAACGATGCGATATGCGATCTGCAATTGTTTTTTTATTGTTTTTTCAATAGCATCAAATACAAATGTCAAAAGTTCCAAAATTTTGATTGTAAATTAATATTTCGAGTCTAAATTAAAAGTGTAATTTATAAATAAAATAAAAAAATTTATATTTTAAATAAAAACAATGGAGATTGGTCCTTGAATTGTGGACAAACAATTGTTTGTGGATGGTTTTATATATTGCAAAATCTAAAAAAATCTGTAAGGTTGCAAATGTTGTTGACCTTCTCGTCGAAGAAATGGAAGAAGAATTGCTTCCTATCGCGGATTACTTCGAGGAAAATTATGTCTCTAAATTTTAATAATTAATTTTTAATTATTTCCACATACAATTGTTCTCTAAATTTTAGTAATTAATTTTAAATTATTTCAACTTCATTTTTAAAATAAAATTTTTAGGAAATTAGGAAAATTTAATAACTTTAGGAATTTTCGCTTAGGAAAATTGATTTAGGAATTTCAAATTTAGGAAATTCGTTTTTAGGAAACGTTGAAATTAGGAATCTAGGATTAGGAAAATCGGTAGGGAATCTTCGAAACCAAATTTGTTTTATAACATATATCCGCAACAGCTCCCAGACGAAAGTCAGTGAACTGACCCATTTATAAATTTCATCAAAAAACTTCATCAGCGTGCGATTTTATATATCCGGGTGCTCAATTTTTATTTATACATTGAAAAATGATTCTAACGGTTTTTTTTTAAAATAATTTAATTCACAATTGGTATAATTATTGCTAAATTTAACACTTTATGATTTTAAAAGTAAAAAATAATTCACGCAACATTACATAAAAGAATGTATTTGAAAATATTATAATTAAATTAATATAATTATTACCTGTTGAACTATGAGAGTTGATTTTAACGAAGCGAAGTTTCAAAAATTCAAATTATTTTCACCAAGTTTCTCAAAAGTATCAAGTCCTTTTCTTGAGTGGCACATACAACACATCACGTAGCGAGTGCACAAGTTGAAATGTGAAAAAATATGAATATACGTGACCACTTCTAATGCGGTTGTAAGAAAAAAAAATCGTGAGCGATAAAAAAGCAAACTGTCCATTGTGAACTGAAGTTAGAGAAAATATTCGCACGTTTGAGCGGCAAGTATTTATGGTGTGTTTTAACAACACTAAAATCTTTACTACCTTCCCGCATAAGATAAACAATAGATTGCGTCCACGTTCACATTTCATGAACTGGAAGTCTGGAGATAATTTAAAAAAAATATTAATTTTTTTTGTTCAGGGAAGAGGGGGGCAAACTGGCCAGGTGTCAATGTACTAAATTTACAAAATCTTTCATAAAGTAATAAAAATAATAACAATTTCAATTCTGTTAAAATTAGTTGAATTTTTAATTATCTTGATAAATTTCAAAATTCTTCCCCAAAAATTCAATTATTTTTGGGAATTTAAATAAAATTCTTTGCAAAATTCAATTATTTTCATCGACAACAATATTTTTTTACAGGAATTCAATTATTTTCAAATATTTTAATAAAATTGTTAGAAAGAAATCAATTATTTTAAATACAATTTTAATTACATTTTTTAAAAATAATTCAATTATTCTTTTAGATTTTAATAAAATACTTTATAAAAGAATTCAATTATTAAAGATAAATAACAGAATTATTTCCGAAAATTCAATTGTTTTGAGGCATTTTAATAAAATTCTTTGCAGAATTCAATTATTGTCATAAAAAAAATTATTTTTAAAAGTATAAAACTTTTAGGTATTTTTCGTAATATGTATTGTAAATCTTTTTTTTATTAAATATAAATTTAGTTACCATCATGAAACAAAAAAAAACGTTCTTTAGAGTTATAAGTTTTCATATTCAACCAAAAAATGTCCACGTGGACATATTGACAGAGAATTATACTACATAATATACATTATAATGAATTTAAAGAGGATTTTAGAATGTACTGTTTAAAAAATAAATAAATTTATTCGTAGAAATAAATTTTATTAATTCTTACATATAACAAATAGTAATACTCTGTATATTTATAATTTATAAAAATATAAAGAAATTTTTTTTATCATAAACTATAATTATTTTTTAGACATTCCTAGAATTTAATTTATTGACAAGAAGAAGACCTAAGTCGAAAATTTTAGATTTGCAATTTTTAGGATACAATTATTTTTTGTAGAAAATAAAGATTTTGGGGGTAAAATTAAAAAGAAACAGAGGTAAATTTATCAAAAACATAAACCTATGTTTCGTTTGCTTCTTAGGTCCTTTTTTCAAATGTCTCGCTTATTTTATCTTTTTATTCTGTTTCAATAAACAGGATGCATAATTAAGAAAGTATTCCAAAATAGATTTATTTAAATCTGTAACCCCAATTATTAAAAGAATCTTCTTCTTTTTCTACTTCTTCTTCTTCTTCTTTTGAATCTTCTGCTGGTATTTCATCTTCTTCTACAGGATGTACCTTTTTCTCCATTTTTAAAATATCTATACATAAATTTGGACGCAGTTTTATTAATTCTCGAAAATCGTTTGTCTCGCAGATATCAAACTTTCTCTCGTACATAAATTTGAGGCATTCATTTCTTAACAGTTCAACTGAATACAATTCGGCAATCTCCAGAGTCTTAATAACTGAGTTTACAGACAGATTGTCATGTAGACTGTTGATGCACATAGACTTAAGATTTTCTAGTTGATATTTCTCCGCAACGTCTATTAATTCGAATGCTGATTCTTCTAAATCTTCCACTTGATCCGTATAAATAAAATTTAGCATTTGCTGAAAGATTGATGATCTTATGTCATCTATTTCGACAATAGATGTTAGTTCCTCATTCATTTTGTTCTTGAACATTGCAGCAAACACAGGACTTCGACTGGCGAGAATAATTTTGTGAGCTGTGAATTCTTCATCCTCTATTTTGAAGACAACATCTTTAAGATCTTCATCATGAAGCAAACTTTTAATATTTGCTATTAGTTCATTACATTTTTGAAAATCAGTTAGTGGCTTTTTTATTGTATTTATATCACCAACAATGACACTAAACTCACATGTGATTATAACACTCGCCGGTAAAACTTGCTCGAAAGCCTTATATAAAGCTGATCCACTTATTTCCCAAAAATTTTGTTCTTTTTGTAATTTTTTAAATGTGCGAAGATATCTATACTCCTCAAAAATTATTCTTCCTATTGCTATTCTGAAATTTATAAATTTTGTAATGTCTGCACAAATGAAATGAATATTTAATAGATCTTCGTTGTCTTCTTTTAATTCTGTTGGTTGAATTTCAATAAAATATTCATCTTTTGAATGCTGCGACACAAAAGTCGGAGATCTAATTACCTTCATATTTTGACAGATAAACTTGAAATTTTCAATTTTCCAGTTAAATGTATTTTTAACAAGCTTTAATTTTGAGGAATAAGTTTGAATATTTTCGATTCCGCCAAATAATGGAGAGCAATTCATAGCCATTGTTACCTGGATCACCTGAAAGATTGTGATGATTCAGTAATGTCACAGTAATGTTACAAAGAAAGTTTATAAACTATAAAAATGTAAAACAATCGTATTAATTCAAAAAACAATTTTATATCTTTGCTGAAACGAAAAAATGTTACTTTCCTAATTCCTTTATAAAAAAAAGGAACAATTATGTTTAAAAAAAAATGTATTTTTGGAAAAAAACGTGACATCGTACTGTATGTCTTTGAGGTCGCTTAATCCGAATTTTTGGTCGACAATAAATTTCAAAATGGTGGCTTCAAAGTGTGGATTAAAAAAAATTTTAAAGTTAACGAATCTCTGGCTGAACAATTATAAAATAGGGTTAATATTATAAATAAATAACCATTTTTAAAAATTATAATCGTCCAAAAATTTTTAAAAATTACGTCTTATAAATGATGAAATTAGCTTTCAAATGGCATGATTTTCTAAAAAAAACAAATTTTAAAAAAGACCAAAAAATTGTATAATTTTATCTGCCTTTACTTAACATTAATTAAACATTACCAAAATTAATTTCGAAAATTATTGTTTTTTTTAAAGTTCTGGAAATGAGCCTTGAAAAAAGACCTTACCTAGTTTTAGTAACTTTAACATAATAAATAAAATACAAAAATTGGTATAACTCGCGGTATAATGCCTTTAATTGCTGTAAGGTGGGCAAAATATAATTAACGGGCACTGTATATAAACATTATCAGAAAAGTCGAGGAATAAACTCATGTTTACATTCTTATATCATATCATTAATACAATAGTTTTTCATTGTATTTATAATATATTGCTTCATTTAATTTAAATTTTAATAGTTTTATTAGTTTAATACTTTTATTTATTCAATAAAATATTCAATTAGTATTTTAATATTTCTTATACTTCAATATTGTACTTTTACTAAATCTTTTATAAAGTAATAAAAACATATAAATTAACAATTTGATCAACCACTTTAAATAAAAATATAACTTTAAAAGAAATAATTATTTTAAAAAATTATAAGAACACAAGTTTGACACGGAAAGAAAAGATTTACTTGAAAAAGCGGAAAGTTTATCTAAAATAGCGAAACTAAAATTATTTTTTAAAAATTATTAGTTAAAACTGTTTTTGTATCATAATTAGTAGAACTTAGGTTAAAAAACAATTATTTTTAAAGAAGTAGTTGTTTTTCATATTTTCATTGATAGAAATATTCAAAAAATATATTTTTAATCTTGATTACGTTTTGAAAAGTAATCATATTAAATATTAATATTACCTGCTGAAGTATGCTGATTTTAAGAGAAAATTTTCCAAAATCCTAATTTTCACTGCGTTGAGTGTGAGTATATATAATCTTTCCACAATTTGTTTGCATGATAGCAGAATTGTCGTATGTATCAATTATTTTTTTAAAACATTTTTATAGTTTTCGCCACTATTCATAGAAATATAATTTTATTTTTAAAAAATTGCAATTTATAACTGAAAAAATTTTACGAGCATTATGTACAGTAATTTGTATAAGTTTTCGCATCAAGCTCGAAATAAATGGTATTGAGAACAATATTGTTTTCAAACGTGAATTTGAATCTCGAATCAGAGACGTAACTAATCCATTAAGTTCCATGTGCTTAAAATTAATCATAATTTCTCTTAAAAATATAAAAATAAATAAAGTAAACAAACAAAGACGATGTAAAATATAAAATTGATTAAAATTTAACATTTGTTTAATAAATTGTTGACATATTTTAACATTTAATAAATTAAATTTTAAAAAAATATTTTTATTAACACAGAATAAATTGTCAGGAATTATTTTCATGATAAGCAAATAAATAAATAAATTATAGGTTTATTAGTGTGAAAAATTTGTATTATTATTTAAATTAGCACTGAAACAATTAGTTTAATTTTTCATTTTTATTCAAAAATATACTGCATAATATTTTGTACTTGGAAAGGTTGAGATATGAAATTTCTCACTATTTTTCTTTTTCTATTTTTATATTTGCATTAACAAGCAGTAAAAAATAATAATTTTTATTACATTTATAATTATACGAAGACTTTTATTGTATAAAAGACAAATGTCGATCACACTATTATTATTTTAACATAAAGTTATTTAAGAAAAGTGTTTCGTAATATTATATAGATTTATCTTAATTCGTAACTTTTATATCTAAAACTATGGCTATTTTCTGTTTCTTTCATGTTTAAAATTTCTATCCATAAACTTGGACGACTTAACATTAATTCCTGAAACTCCTTTGTCTCAATAATGTCATACTTTCTCTCAGATATCAAATAAAAGCATTCATTCTTTAGGTTTTCAATTGAATACAAATCGGCAACCTCCAAAGTCTTACTAACTGTGGTTAAAGACAGATTGTCATGTAGACTGTTGATGCACATAGACTTAAGATTTTCTAGTTGATATTTTTCTGCAACGTCTATTAATTCTAATGCTGATTCTTCTAGATTCTCCACTTGATCCGTATAAATAAAATTCAGCATTTGTTGAAAGATTGATGATCTTATGTCATCTATTTCAACAATGGATGTTAGTTCCTCAGTCATTTTGTTCTTGAACATTGCAGCGAATACAGAACTTCGACTTGCGAGAATAATTTTGTGAGCTGTGAATTCTTCATCCTCTATTTTGAAGACAACATCTTTAAGATCTTCATCATGAAGCAAACTTTTAATATTTGCTATTAGTTCATTACATTTTTCAATGTCAATAAGCGATCTGTATCTTATTGTCGTACCAGGAGCAACGACAATAATCTTGCATTTAATTAGAACATTCTCTGGAATAGTTTCCAAATAATGTAAAGAAGTTTTATAATTCATTGGCACACTGTTGATAAAGGCCTGATGCAAATCTGATCCACTTGTTTTCCATGAAATTGTATTTCCACCTCGGTCTGCATTTTCAGTGTCAAATGATTTAACAGACACGAAAGTGTTGTGATCAACTTTTCTTTGAAATGAGATTTGAACATTTAATAATTTGTTGTCTATTTTGAAATTAGCATCGTAAAAGAACAAATGAATTTTAAAGAAATTCTTGTTGTTTGGTTTTAATTCTGTAGGTTCCAGACTAATTATCCACTTGCCATCTTTAAAATTCTTTGTTGAAAATACCTCAGATCTAATTACTTTTACATTTCTACAAACAAATTCAAATTCAGAGATTGTCCATTCAAATTCATAATTATGAATATTTAAAGAAGTATCATAAGATTCTTTAAGATCGTTTCTCACATTCAATGAATTAAATTTCTTTGGTGTAGCCATATTTGTCTGAAAATTAAGAATTCCTTTGAATTGAATGCATATTTCTTTTTATTATATATGCACTAAATTAAATATTTTTAATCAAATAAATATAATTAATGATTAATCAGCCGCGTAGGAACGAATTATTTTCCGGGGGGGGGGCAAACTACGTATATTGATATATTTCACAATGTAATATGTATATAACTGGGGGGCAACTGCCCCCCTTGCCCCCACCGGTTCCTACGCCACTGTGATTAATAGTTAATTACTTACATTAATTAATAAATTTATTTATTTACTTATTTCACTATTCTATGTTTTTAACATCAGAACTTCAAAAAAATTGTTTTGTTTAGTATTATTAACTACCAAAAAATAAAAATATTTTACATTCAAATAATGGAATATTCTAAAATAAAAGTGTAATACAATAAAAATATTTATATATTTTTCATAAAAATAAACAATAATAATTCTAAATTAAAAACAATTATTATCTAAAAAATTAAAGTTAAAGAATATTTAATAAAATCATTACCTGCTGTAGTAAAATGAATTATTCAGAAATTTCGAAATTTCAAATTGTTTTCACCGCTTTTTTTTAAATATCGTTTAATTTTTCAAATAGTTTCTTAAATTTTTTTTGCTATTTATTTACATATTCGCATTAATAGATAGTATACACTTTAGAAAGCCAAAAAACGTCTTGAACAGTTATAAAAACAATTGTTCACTGAGGACTAAGCTTAAGACAAAATATCCGCACCTCTATAAGCGATAAGTTTTAAGAATGATTCAACTTCACTTAAAATTTATCAACTTCTACAGGCATATAAGATAATCGACCCAGTGGTTATACATCACGTATATCAATAAATGGACCTAAGGAAAAAATTTAAAATTAAAAAATTAGTTTTCTTTTTAAAATTTTATATTGTTATATTTCTTTATTTTCTTATTATTTATTAATGTAAATTTAATTTATACGTAAACAATTTTATATTTATAATATTAGAAACTAAGTTTTTGTATTATGAAAAAATTTTATAATTAGAAAAATTTATGTAAATTACGTTTTAAAAAAAAAATTTTTTTTTTTTATATAAAAGATTTTTATATTTTGTATATATCCTATTTTCAAATTTTGCAAAAATGTTTTATTTAATTTTCAAACGATTTGTTATAAAAAAAAATCATTTTTAACAGTATAAAACTTTTAGGTATTTTTTGATATCGTAAATATTTCTTTTAATAAAAATACAAATCATAAAACAGAAAAAAAACCTTCCTTATATTTTATATTCCACCAAAAATATTAATTTCTCACCAAAAAATGTCCACGTGGACAGAAATTTTGTCACATTATGAATTTGTGTACTTCCTAGAAGTACTATCTTTATTGTTATCTGATGGGATATGTACTTCAAGAAATCGAAATGTCTAATTTTTATTATTTTAAATCTAATTCTGTAATATATTGTTTCTTATCCTTCTCTTATCGAATTCGACGCAAAATCGTCTCTTTAAATTCGTAAATTAATTAAGTAAATTATTAAATTCTTTAATGTAATGCAAAATTAGTTTCATTATAAACTTATCGACAAAAATTAAAACTCTCATTAATTAAATTATTTCAAATTTTTTTATATTTAACTTAAAAATATATCATTTTTCAACAATAGACAACATTAGACTAATCCAATAAGTTCCATGTGCTTAAAAATTATAATTTCGTTTAAAAATATAAAAATAAAATAAATATGTAATTAAATAAAAATGTTTTAATATTTGTTAAATTTTAATTTATTTTTTGTTTTAAATCGTCAGGATTTACTTTCATGATAAATAAATAAATTATAACTTTATTAGTGAAAAATTTGTATTATTATTTAAATTGGCACTAGAAAATTAGTTTAATTTTTCTTTTCTATATTTAAAAATATAATACTGGAAATATACTGTTCATGGAAAGGTTATGATATAAAATTTCTCATTCGTTTTATAATTATAAGAAAGACTTTTATTGTATAAAAGACAAATATCGATCACACTATTATTTTAAAAATATTTTCAAAACATAACAAAAATAAACACCTTTCAAAAAATGTCACAAAGCTGGAAAGGAAAAATTAAGTTCTGATTTTCTAAACAAAACTATGATTTTCATAATTTTTTTTTAATTCTATCGTCGTGAATATAAATGTTTGTACTGCGAAACGGAATTCTATTCAATTCTCGAATACATAAATTTTACAGCAAATACTTTTTATAACAAATATTTAATAAGGTAACATTTTTATCAGAAGGAGTTTAAAGAAAGGGTTTTATAATATATTTATTTTAATTCATAAGATCCATAATATGAGCTACTTCTTGTTTCTTTTATTTTAAAAATATCTATCGATAAATTTGGACGACTTAATAATAATTCCTGAAACTCTTTTGTTTCGATAATTTCATACCTTTTATCGTTGATAAATTTTAGACATTCATTCTTTAGCAATTCAACTGAATACAATTCGGCAACCTCCAGAGTCTTAATAACTGACTTTAAAGATAGTTTGTTATTAAGACTATTGATGCATAAATTTTTAAGTTTCTCCAGTTGATATTTCTCCGCCACATATAGGAATTCAATTGCTGATTCTTCTAGATTCTCCAAACGATCTGTGTAGATGAAATTCAGCATTTGTTGAAAGATTGCTGGTTTTATGTCATCAATTTCAACAACGGATGTTAGTCCCTCAGTCATTTTGTTCTTGAACATTGCAGCAAACACAGGACTTTGACTGGCGAGTATGTTTTTGTGAGCGGTGAATTCTTCATCCTCTATTTTAAACGCAACATCTTTGAATTCTTCATTTTCTTGCAAACTTATCATATTTTCCATTAGTCCATTACATTTTTCAATGTCAATAAGCGGTTTTTGTATTAAATTCATTTTAGGTAAAACCACATCAATCTCGAAGATTACGCAAATACGGTTTGGGACTAAAGAAATAGAGTCCTTTGGTGCACTGTTAGAAAAAATCTCAAATAATTCTGATCCATTTATTTTCCAAGATAAGTTATAATCACCTTGTTCTGCATTATCAGTGTTAAGTAATATAATTTTTCTACCATTATCACACCTTAGTAATGAAATTTGAACATTTAATAATTTTTTGTCCTTTATTATGATGTCTGTATCGTAATGCAAATGAATTTTAAAGACATCCTTGCTGTTATGTACTAACTCTGTAGGTTCCATCGTAATTATCCACTTGCCATTTTCTAAATTTTTTGTTGAAAATTCTGGAGATCTAATTACTTTTACGTTTCCACAAACAAACTCGAAATTAGGTATTATCCATTTAAAACAATATTTAAAAGCATTTAATTTAGTCGCAAAATATGTTTGTTCTGATTCACCACATATTGATATTTTCTCGGACGTAGCCATATTTATCTGAAAATTTAGATAAGTAGAAATTTAAAGAAAAATTTATTTTTCACTTGCTTACAGACATATAAACAATATATGTGACAGGGACAGTTAAAAGGGACCTACGATCTGAAAAAATCGATTTTTACTTTTTTATCGATTCTTATAGTAGGGGAGAGTGGGGCAAAATGGGGTACCTTTTTGAAATAAATATTTTTATTTCTATTTTTTCATAAAATATTATTACCTGTTCCTGTTGTAGTAAAGTGGATTTTTCAGAAACAAATTATCTCAGGCCAAATTATCTCTATGGTATTCGCCACGTTTAAGCGATAAGTTTTTAGAATGATTCCTTCACTTGAGTTTTATCAACTTCACAGTAGCTATACCAATAACTGGACCTATGGAAATAATATTTAAAAAAATTAGTTTTTTTTATATTTTTTAATCCATACTTTTGTAGGTACATTATAATTATTATTATTATTATTTTAGTGTAAATTTAATGTAAATGCAAATAAATATAAAATATCAGATATTAATATTTTTTAAATTTATTATCCAAATTTCAGTCACTCAACCGAAAAGTTAAATTTACTCTTTTTGATAAAAAAGAAAAGAACAAAATTCGATAAAATAAATAAAAATTATAAAATACTTTGTATCTCTTTTTCAAATTTAACTTCTAAATAAAATTGTAATAAAATGAAAACTAATATTGAATAAATTTAAATAAATAGAAACAAATTCAACAATTTTTTTTGTATGATAGCAGAATTGTCGTATCAATTATTATTTTTTAAAATCATTTTTATCGTTTTTGATACATAATGAGAATGCAGTCACTAATTTAAATAGTAATATTTTACTAAAGAAATACTTAATATACTAACTAATTATTAGATAAAATTTACTTTCAGGTCATATCAAAATAACTAAAATTTTTCGTCATCCTACATATTTAAAAAATAATGTCTATATAATTCTAGAATAAAGTACTCAATTAAGTAATTAATTAAAATTGTTTCTTTTCCTTGAAAATTTTTTAAAGACTGATTTATGAAAATTATTCCTATATAAAAATTATATTTTCAATGAAATTTTAATGTTCAAACACTTTGAAAGTAATTTTTAAAACACTCAATAAGGTTAATTTTCGAAGAATTGGTGATGATTAAAAATGAAAAATTGAAATTAAATAACTTAAAAACTGGTTGAAATTCATATACAATATTATAATAAAACTTATTCAAAATTGTATTAACTAAAATATAAATCTATTGACATTTTAGAAATAATTTATTTGATTAAATATTATATATAAATTAGAAAAATTGAAAATTCAGATCGTATAATTTAAAATAATAATGTTTAAATGAAAATTGGAAACAATTATAAATAGTAAAGTTTAGATTAACATTTTTACCCAAAAAAGAGATAAATTATAAGCAAACATCGATTTTAATTAAAAAAATATACATTGAATGAAAATTCGAAATGTTTTCTTATATTTATAATTATATTTATCTTTAAATTTAACAATTATATAACTAAAATTTCACTCACAAAGATTAAAAATAAAAATATGTAAGCAACATTAAAATAAAAATTTTCTGAAAAAATAACAAAATATTTAATAAAATTATTACCTGCTGTGTTAATGTGGATTTTTCAGAAATTTCAAATTATTTTCACTGCGTTTTTTGAAAATTTCAATTTTTTAGATACTTTTTTTTAATAGTTTTACTATTATATTTATATATTCGTATTTGAAGCATACACGACACGTTAAAAATCAAGAAAATATTTTTTATCCATGAAGAAAAAGTCTTGATTAATTAAGAGAACAATTGTTCCTTGAGGACTAAGCTCATGCCAAGCATTCGAACGTCTATAAGCGATAGGCTTTCAGAATGTTTTAACTTCACTTGAATGTTATCAACTGCTGTAGGCATAACATAAACAACCCATACACGTATACCAATAACTATGGACCTAAGGAAAGAATTTGAAAAAAAAAATTAGTTTTTCTTCTTGATATTTTTTAATCCATACTTTCATAGGTACATTTTATTATTTTTATTTTATTGTAAATGTAAACAACAATTTTATATTTAAAATAATATCAGAATTTTAATTTTTTGAAAAATTATTTATTATCTAAATTTTAGTCACTTATTAGCCGAAAAGTTAAATTTACTCTTTTTGGTAAAAAATAAAAGAACAAAATTCAATAAATAAATGGAAATTATAAAACACTTTGTATTTTAATTACTTTTTTAAAGTTAACTTATAAATTGCAATAAAATGAAAACTAATATTGGAAAAATATAAATAAATAATAATCATTAATGTTTTATGAAAAAATTGTACAAATAAAAAAATTGATTTAAACTTTATGTCAATTGAATTTTATGTAAAGTACTTCCTAGATATAGTACTTCCCCCCCCCTCTCTCTCTCTCTCTCTCTCTCTCTCTCTCTCTGTCTCTTCATACATATGAATTTAAAGAAGATTTTGGACTGCAGTTTTTAAAAATTAAATATATCCTTGGAAATAAATTTTATTACTTTTTATCAATGTTCTGGATACATTCATAAATTATAAAAATAAAAATAAATTTTTTATCATAAACTATAATTATTATTTGTTAAACATTCCTATCATTTCATTTTGTTACAAGAAAAGTGACCCAAAAGCCAAACATTTTAGGTTTTTCATTTTTAGGATAGAAAATTATTTTTTGTAAAAAATAAAGATTTCGTGTAAAATTAAAAAGAAACGGATAAGTTTATTACAAATGTATAACATATATAGATTTTATGCTACTTAGGTTCTTTTTTCGAATGTCTTATTTTATCTCTTTATACTGTATCAATAAACAAGATGCATAATTGAGAAAGTGTACCAAAATATATTTACTTAAAACTATAACCCCAATTATTAAAAAAAATTTTTTCTTCTTCTTCTTCTTCCACAGGGTTTACCTTTTTCTCAATTTTTAAAATATCGATTGATAATTTTGGATGTTCTTTTATTAATTCTTGAAACTCCTTTGTCTCAAGAATGTCATACTTTCTCTCAGATATAAAATAAAAGCATTTATTTTTTAGCAGTTCAATTGAATACAATTGGGCAGCCCCCAAAGTCTTACTAACTGTGGTTAAAGACAGATTGTCATTTAGACTATTGATGCACATAGACTTAAGATTTTCTAGTTGATATTTTTCTGCAACGTCTATTAATTCAACTGCTGATTCTTCTAGATTCTCCACTCGATCAGTGTAGATGAAATTCAACATTTGTTGAAAAATTTCTGGTTTTATGTCATTAATTTCAGCAACGGATGTTAGTTCCTCCTTCATTTTGTTCTTGAACATTGCAGCAAACACAGGACTCCGACTGGCGAGAATGATTTTGTGAGCGGTGAATTTTTTATCTTCAACATTAAATGTAACATCTTTGAATTCTTCATTGTCGAGAAATTTTTTATTACTTTCCATTAATCCATTACATTTTTCAATAGCAATAAGCGGTGTTTGCATTGCATTTGTATTAGGAACAAAAACTGTAAACTCGCATTTCAATAAAATAGTGTTTAGTTCTTTATTTTCTGAAGCACTTAGCAATTCTGATACTTTTATAGACAATTGTTCTGGTCTTATTGTTTTATTAAAAGTATGGAGAGATTTTAATTTACTCTTTTCCAAACAATTAGATATTTCTATTTTGAAATTTATAAACTGTCTAATGTCGTCTGCACAAATGAAGCGAATAACAAATGGATCTTTATCACCTTCTGTTAATTCTGTAAGATCAAATTCAATAAAATAATAACCTTCTGAGTGATTTGATTTAAATTTTTTAGAAGTAATTTTTTTCATAGTTTTACAAAGAAACGCGAAATTTTCAATTCTCCACTGAAATTCATAGTTATAAAACTTTAATTTTGAAGTAAAAGAATCCTTGTGATCGTCTCCGGCAAAAGTCATTTTTACCTGAAAAATTGCACATGTATTTTCAGAAGCATTCTATTATTTATAATTTACTTTTGTATTTAAATAATGGAATTCTCTTAGAGTTTATATTCTATAATAAAAATTTATTTAAAAATAAATTTTAGTTGATATTCTAAATAATAATCGAATATTAAAAGCATTATAGCATTTTTAGAATAATAATATTGAATTTTTTTAATAATTGAATAAATATAAATAAATTAATATAATTCTTACCTGTTGAACTAGTTGATTTTAACGAAGCGAAGTTTCAAAAATTCAAATTATATTCACAAAATTTCCCAAAAGTGTCAAAAGTTCTTTTCTTTTTGAGTTGCACTTATATACACATCACGTAGCGAGTGCATAAGTTGAAATGTGCAAAAAATATGAATACATGACCACTTCGACTGCGATAGTATGGAAAAAAAATCGTGAGCAATACAAAAGCAAACTGTCCATTGTGAACCAGAAGTTAGAGAAAATATTCGCACGTTCGAGCGATAAGTATTTACAATGTTTTAACATCATTAAAATATTTATTTCCTTCCCGCATGAGATAGATAAGATTGTCCACGTCCCCGTAACTGGAAAATAGGAGATAATTTTTAAAAAATAATAATTTTGTTTTGTATCTAAGGGAAGAAAGGAGCAAACAGGCCAGGTGTCAATGTACAAATTTACGAAATCTTTCATAAAAAAAATAACAATTTACATGAATTATAATTTTTAAAAGAAATAATTATTCAGCTCCTCAATTATAAGAATACAAGTGTGCCACGTTAAAAAAAAAATTACCCTGAACAACGAAACGTTTATCTAGAATAACTTATGCGAGTCTTAACAGAATCAACAACAAAATTTCGCTAATATAGTGAAATTTTTAGCTGTTCCAGTTAAATATTTATTCCTTTCGTTTAGTATATCTTATATGTTAATTAATTTTATGAAATTAAAAAAATTAACTTGTACTAAAGGAAAAAAATTATATGTTTAAATTGTTTTTCAATTATTTACATTTATGGTAACATTTTTTTTTTAATTATTTAGTATTCAAATTTCAGTGATTTTGTCATATGAATATTTATGTAGGTGCTTCCTCGAAGTATTATCTGTATGTAATTCGAGAAATCGAAATATCTAATTTGTATTTGTCTTTTATCTAATTCTGTATTGTTTTTTGTCCTTCTCTTATCTATAACACAGAATTTATCTAAATTTTAAATTAAATTTTTTTTAAAATTAAAGATTAATTAAATTAAAACTCTTTTTTTACATACAAATATACAATTTTTTAATGTAATTCAAAATTAGCTTCAGTTTATTGATTGACAAAAATTATAAGTCTTCTTAATTAACTTATTTAAAATTTTATTATTTAACTTAATAATATTATATGAATTTTGAAGTCTGAAAGTTATTCTGTTGATTTAAAAAATAAATATATATATATCCGTAGAAATAGATTTTATTAATTATTATTATATATAAGAAATAATAATACTCTATGTAAATTCATAATTTATAAAAATTAAAAGAAATTTTTTATCATAAACTATGATCGCGACCGGATCCTGTACAGGAAAAGTCAAGGATTCCTGCAGATTCCTAGCAGATCCTGTACAGGAACTACACAGGATCCGTTAGGGATCCATTGAGGATCCTGTACGGAAATTTTAAGCTGTGAATTATTTGGAGTAATTAAAGGAAATAAATGAAAATGATTTATTACATTTCTATATTATATTTATTATTGTGGATATTTAAGCATAATTTAAATCCAATTTCGTAATGTATAACATAAGAATGATAATGAATCAGTTAATTTAAATTATTTGTGATGTGGGTTCCGAAGACAGGGAACTTAAGAAGCAAGACATTTTACCGCATTTTACACATAGAAAAAAGATATGTAAATAAGTTAATATGCATTTATGAAGATTTAGAGATTCATGAGAATTAAAAATTTTCAATTTCTTTCAATTCTTTGCTTTTTACAGTAAACATTTTTGTAAGGAATTTAAGGAAAGTTATTTTACAATAGATTTATCTTAATTCATAAGATTTACAACATTCGCTCCCTCTTGTTTCATTTATTTTTAAAATGTCAATCGATAAATTTGGACGATCTAATAATAATTTCTGAAACTCCTTTGTCTCGATAATTTCATACCTATTATCGTTGATAAATTTCAGACATTCATTTTTTAGGTTCTCAATTGAATACAATTCGGCAACCTCCAGAGTCTTAATAACTGTGTTAATAGATAGTTTATCATTAAGACTGTTGATGCTTAAAATTTTAAGTTTCTCCAGTTGATATTTTTCCGCAACGTATAATAATTCGAATGCTGATTCTTCTAGATTCTCCACTCGATCAGTGTAGATGAAATTTAACATTTGTTGAAAGATTGCTGGTTTTGTGTCATCAATTTCAACAACGGATGTTAGTCCCTCAGTCATTTTGTTCTTGAACATTGCAGCAAACACAGGACTTCGACTTGCGAGAATAATTTTGTGAGCAGTAAATTTTTGATCCTCAACATTAAACGTAACATCTTTGAATTCTTCATTGTCGAGAAAATTTTTATTACTTTCTATTAGTCCAATACAATTTCCAATATCAATAAGCGGTTTTTGAAATATAGTCTCATCAGGAAAAACCACATCAATGTTGCATATAACGTTAATACAATATGGAACTGTAGGTTCAAGACGGTCAAGTAATATAGAAAGTTCATCTTCTTCTGGTGTACTGTAGACACAGTCCTCATACAAATCTGATCCACTTATTTTCCAAGAAATTATATTTTCACCTCGTTCTCCATTTTCATTTTCAAATGTTTTAAAAATCTCGAATGAGTGCAAATCAACTTGCCTTTTAAATGAAATTTGAACATTTAATAATTTTTCGTCCATTAAGTCTGCATGGTAATGAAAATTAATTTTAAAGACATCCTTGTTGTCCCTTATTAACTCTGTAGGTTCCATCGTAATTAACCACTTGCAATCTGAGAAATTGTTTGTTGAAAATTCTTTAGATCTAATTACTTTTACGTTTTTACATACAAACTCGAAGTCATTGATTGTCCAGGTAAAATTATATTTAAAGGCATTTAATGTAGAAGAATAATTTTCTTCTTTACTGTATCTCTCTGACGTAGCCATATTTGTCTGAAAATTTAGAAAAGTAGAAATTTAAAGAAAAATTTATTTTTTACTTGCTTACAGACATATAAACAATATATACACATAAATAAATATTTATTATATTAATTATTTTAGTTTGCAAACAAATTATAAGTAAACAACTATAACTTAAATTTAAGAATGAAAATATATACGCAACATTAAAAAACATTTTGAAAAAATAAAATATTTCATACAATATTATTACCTGTTGTAGTAGAGTGGATTTTTCAGAAACAAATTACTTTTTCACTTCATACACGACACGTTAAAAAGCAAGAAATGATTTCTTCTAAATGAAGAAAAAGTCTTGACTAATTAAGAGAACAATTGTTCATTGAAGACTGACTGAACTCAGGCCAAATTATCTCTATGGTATTCGCACGTTTAAGCGATAAGTTTTTAGAATGATTCAACTTCACTTCAGTTTTATCAACTTCACAGGTATAAGATAAATGATCCAGCCGTTTTACACGCGTATATAATAATTTGGAAAAAAATTACATTTTTTTCTTTGTATTTTCACTGAAATAAATTATAACTTTATTAGTGAAAAAGTTGTAATATTGCAGCACTATAAAATAAGTTTAATTTTTCTTTTCTTTTCAAAAATATGCTGCAAATAAACATGTACTTGGAAAGGTCGTGATATGAATTTTCTCATTCATTTTATATAATTATGCGAAGACTTTTATTTTATAAAAGACAAATTCAATTACACAATTATTATTTTAACAATATTTTCTCAATAATTCTTTTAAATTTCATTTTTTTTTTACTTTTGTTATATTTTTTATACCGATTAATGTTCGCATGAAAATGAATTTCATTTTCAAACAAGACACATCATTTTCGTAAATTATTTTCAATTTCAATCAAAACAATAAAGCTGGAAAAGGAAAATTTAGTTCTGATTTTCTAAGCGAAAGTAGGTATAATTTTCATAATTTTTTTTTAATTCTATCGTAGTGAATATTAATGTTTGTACTGCGAAACATAATTTCATACAATTCTCAAAATACATAATGACAGCAAATACTTTTCATAAGAAATATGTAATTGGGTAACATTTTCATTACAAGGAGTTTAAAGCAAGGGTTTCATAATATATTTATCTTAACTCATAATATTCATAACATTCGTTCCTTCTTGTTTCTTTTATTTTTAAAATGTCAATCGATAAATTTGGACGATCTAATAATAATTTCTGAAACTCCTTTGTCTCGATAATTTCATATCTTTTATCGTTTACAAATTTTAGACATTCATTCTTTAGGTTCTCAATTGAATAAAAATCGGCAACCTCCAAAGTTTTAGAAACTGTGTTTATAGATAATTTTTCATTCAAACTGTTGATGCATAAATTTTTAAGTTTCTCCAGTTGATATTTTTCCGCTACGTATATTAATTCGAATGCTGATTCTTCTAGATTCTTGACTCGATCCGTATAAATAAAATTCAGCAATTGTTGAAAGATTGCTGGTTTTATGTCATTAATTTCAACAACTGATGTTAGTCCCTCAGTCATTTTGTTCTTGAACATTGCAGCGAATACAGGACTTCGAATGGCGAGTATATTTTTATGAGCGGTGAATTTTTTATCCTCAACATTAAACGTAACATCTTTGAATTCTTCATTGTGGAGCAAACTTTTAATATTATCTATTATTTCATTATTACAGTTTTCAATATCAATAAGCGATTTTTTTATTATAGACGGAATATTGTCAAGAATATTAATCTCGCATGTAACATCAATAGATATTGGGATTACACGACACTTTCGTCCATATTGGTCCCTTGGTGCACTGTCGATAAAGGCGTAAAGTAAATCCTTTGCATTTATTTCCCACAATATGTTATTCTCACCTCGATTATCATATGCAGTGCAAGGGAAAAATGATTTAACTATTTCTAAATTATCCCTCCTTTTAAATGATATTTCAAGATTTAGTAATTTTTTGCTCTTTAAAAATTTTTGATCGTCAAAAATCAAATGAATTTTAAAGACATCGTTGTTGCTTCCTATTAATTCTGTAGGTTCCAACATAATTATCCATTTGCCATCATTAAAATTCTTTGTTGAAAATTGTCGAGATTTAATTACTTTTACGTTTTTGCAAACAAACTCGAAATTATTAATTGTCCACTTAAAATTATATGTAATGGTAGAAGAATAATCTTCATCTGTAACGTATCCACCAGGTTTATCAGACGTGGCCATATTTGTCTGAAAATTGAGGTAAATAAAAAATTTTTAATTATAGGATAACTATAGGAAAATTAAAGAAAATTGAAAATTATTTTTATTAAATTAGTAGTTTTTTTTAATTTGCAATAATCGAATCGGCACTATTTTAATTAGAAGAAAAATACTACTTATTACGTTTATTTACTATTAACTTAATTTTTTTTACTATTTATCAGCTTTAGAGAGTATTAATAATTTCTCAAATTTTCAAAAATTTGTACACTTAAGTAGATATTCATTACCTATTATAAAAATTATTCTAGTTTATAAACATATTATAGAACACCGATTATAATTAAAAATGTTACATTCAATGAAAATTCAAATTGTTTTTTATAATTTAATTTATAATTATTTATTAAATTTAACAATTATATAACTAAATTTAATTCACAAAGTTTAAATATCAAAATATCTCAACATTAAAAAAACACTTTCTGGAAAAATAACAAAATATTTATTAAAATCATTACCTGCGCTGTAGTAAAGTGGATTTTTCAGAAATTCCAAATTATTTTCACTGCTGTTTTCTAACAATATCGCAATTTTTCAAATACTTTTAAAAATTATTTTTACTACTATTTAAATATTTGCAATAATATCATACATGACACGTTAGAAAGCAAGAAAAACTCGTGAACAATTTTTCATTGAGGACTAAACGCAGGCAAAGTATTCGCACGTCTAATAAGCAATAGGCTTTTAGATTGATTCAAGTTCACTTGAATTTGTCAATTTCTGTAGGCATAACAAAAACAATACATCCGTTATAGACATATACCAATAACTGGCCTAGAAATGATTTGAAAAAAAATTAGTTTTTTTTTCTTTATATTTTTTTATCCATACTTTTGTAGGTACATTTTATTATTTTTACTTTAGTGTAAAAATGCAAATAACAATTGTATATTTTAATTAATATTAATTTTTTCTAATCTATCATTCAAATTTCAGTCACTCAACCGAAAAGTTAAATTTACTCTTTTTGATAAAAAAAGAACAAAATACAATAAATAAATACAAATTTAAAAACTTCAAATGGTTATTTACCAACAAAAAAACCAACAAAAACGATTTATTTTGTGTCTTAAATCATTAGGATTTATTTTCATGATAAACAAATAAATAAATTATAACATTATTTATGAAAAATTTGTATTATTAGATATTTAAATTAGCACTTTAAAAATTTCATTTTTCGAAAATACAACATTTTTTATGAATTCTCTCATCAATTTGAATTAAGTTCACAAAAAAGGTGAAATTTAGTTTCAAGTAAATATAAAATATTAATGTTTGGTTGCGAAACGTAATTTATTACATTCAATTCCTGAATACATAAAGACAACAAATACTTTTTATAATAAATATGCAATAAAGTATCATTTTCATCACAAATGAAATTTTTCTGACGTGTAATAAAGACTTTTGAACATAAAAATTATTTTGAATTAGAAAAAATGAATGAAAATGATTTATTATTATTATTATTTGTTTTATATATATTTATAAATATTACTGGAAACAATTTAAAGGAGTTTGAAGAAAAGGTTTTGTAATCGATTTATCTTAATTCATAAGATTCACAACATTCGCTTCGTCTTGCTCTGTCTACTTTTAAAATATCTATCGATAAACTTGGACGGTTTAATAATAATTGCTGAAACTCCTTTGTTTCAATAATGTCACACCTTCTGTCGTTGATAAATTTTAGACATTCATTTTTTAGCAGATCAATTGAATACAATTCGGCGACCTCCAGAGTCTTAATAACTGACTTTGAAGATAGTTTGTCATTAAGACTGTTGATGCTTAAAATTTTAAGTTTTCCCAGTTGATATTTCTCCGCAACGTACAATAATTCGAATGCTGATTCTTCTAGATTCTCCACTCGATCTGTGTAGATGAAATTCAGCATTTGTTGAAAGATTGCTGGTTTTATGTCATCAATTTCAACAACGGATGTTAGTCCCTCAGTCATTTTGTTCTTGAACATTGCAGCAAACACAGGACTTCGACTTGCGAGAATAATTTTGTGAGCAGTAAATTTTTGATCCTCAACATTAAACGTAACATCTTTGAATTCTTCATTGTCGAGAAAATTTTTATTACTTTCTATTAGTCCAATACAATTTTCAATATCAATAAGCGGTTTTTGAAATATAGTCTTATCAGGAAAAACCACATTAATCTCGCAGATTACGTCAATTGAATTTGGGACTATAGTATCTCTCATTCCATGCCTGTTTATTGGTGCACTTTCTCTAATGTTACGAAAAAAATCTACTCCTCCTATTTTCCAAGATAAGCAATTTTCACTTTGAACTGCAATATTAGTGTCAAATGATTTAACAATCCTAGAATTATCTATCCTTTGAAATGAAATTCGAACATTTAATAATTTATCATTCATTTTGATTTTTGTATCGTCAAAGATCAAATGAATTTTAAAAAAATCTTCATTGTGTAAACTTAACACTGTAGGTTCCAAAGTAATTGTCCACTTGTCATCTTTAAAATTCTTTGTTGAAAATTCTGGAGATCTAATTACTTTATAGTTTTTACAAGCAAACTCGAAGTCATTGATTGTCCAGTTAAAAATATATTTCAAAGAAAAAGAATAATTTTCTTCTTTACTTGCTCTACCAGATTCCTCAGAAGTAGCCATTTTTGTCTGAAAATTTAGATACGTAGAAATTATTGACACTTTACTTCTTATGAAATGTCACAATAAATGTCACTGGGATTAAATATCAAAATGTGTATAATACCGCATTAGTATTATAATACTGAATATGAAACGGAAAAAAATGAATAATTTAAGTTTAAACTTGTGCTAAAATATTTCAAAATGAACAAAAGGTTGTACAATAATGCATAAAGAATAATAATTACTTGATACAAATAATATACTTACTGAATTTAATGTAATATAATTAGTTTAAAGGACAAATGCCTGCAATCGCGTATTGTATATTTGCAAAACGAGAGATATTTTTAGAACTTTTTTCGGTTTGGTTATAACGGTGTAAAGGCTAATTCACAATAGCTGCACGAAAGTCGCTCGAGAACGAGATGCATGAAAGAGACAAACAATATTTCTATCCTTTTCTTTCTCATGTAAAAATTACGACACACGACGTAAGGCCAAAGAACAATTACCAATAGAAAATTAGGATTCAATGGAAATCATTCTAATAAAGAATTTTTATTGGTTTTTTATGTATATAAACACAACCTAAGCCTATGAGATAGAAAAGGACATAAGTATATATCTCTATTTTCTATTTCAAGCTATCTGTTTAAAATTTTAAATATAAAAAATATTTTAAAACAGTAATATAATATAAATATACATTATTTTGCGAATATATCAATATCAATTATTTTTCATTTTAGAAAATTAAAAACAATTTTAAATTCTTAATATCTTATCAATAATGACGTAAAATATTTCTACAATAAAATTTATCTGTATAGTTTGAATTGAACTATTTTTTAATTTAGTTAAAAATTTGGTCAAGTTTTTATACTTATTGGCAAAAATTATAATTCTCAGTACAACTAAATTCTTTCAAGTATTTTTTTTTTAATTTAATATGTATAAGAATCTGCAATTTTAACTTACCGTTGCAACGCCGTTGACACACTGGGTCAATTGGACCCATAAAATTATTTTTATAGTAATTTTTTGAGAGGAAATCAATGGTCATAAAATAAAGTCGATCAAAAAATATTCTGACCATTTTTGGATTTTTACTTTTCTTAAAAATTGATAAAAATTTGAAAATCCAACCGTAGTTTCTGTAGAAAATATGTTTTTGTATCTACAAATAATTAACGAATGAAAAAATTGATTTTTACAATTTTTGAAGCATTTTTTGGAAAAAAAATATTGTTTTTCGGTTCACAATGCTGAAAAGTACCTACCATTGTTAATCAATTTTTTTATGTGGAGATTCACTTGTTTATTTTTCTAACTAATTTCAAATCATATTTTTTATAAATAATAAAAAATATTAATTATACTTTGAAAAAACATAAAATATAAAAAAAATTATGATTCGAAATTAATTAGAAAAATAAACAAGTGAATTTCCATGGTATTTCCATATAAATGAATTGTGTAACAATGATATTTTTTAGCATTTTCAACCTAAAAACAATTTTTTTTAAATGCTTCAAAAATTGTAAAAATTAATTTTTTCATTCGGTAATTTTTTTTTTTTTTGTTGATACAAAAACATATTTTTTACAAAAATTACGAATCTTGGGATGGATTTTAAAATTTTTCAATTTTAGAAAAAAATAAATATTTTAATTTTTAATAGAATTAAAGGAAAAATTAGTTTCATTTGTAAAATACTTTTTTAATTCAATAATACAAGTTACAAAAATTATTTATCAATTAAATTTGAAATAATAGAATTAATTATAAATTTATGATTTTATTTATTTTTGATAGGCTATACTTTTTGAAAATTAAGTAAATGTTTTAGAAATAAATTTTATTAAGTAAATAAGAAATAACAATGTATTGTTACATTGATAATTTATAAAAATAAAATATTTTTTTTATAATAAACTATTATTATTGATTGTTTAACATTCATATCATTTCACTTTTGTTAGAAGAAAGAGAACCAGAAGTAAAAAAATTTAGATTTGTAATTTTTAGAGTACAATTTTTTTTTAAAAAGATAAGAGTAATTATAAAGAAAGTTTATTAGAAAATAAATTTAACAAAAAAAAAAAAAAAAATAGGTTATGTTTGTGATAAAAATATTCTTTACTTTTTATGTCCCTTTTTCGAATGTAACGCTTATTTTTTCATTTATTATACTGTTTCAATAAAAAAAATGCATAATTAAGAAAGTGTTCCAAAATAGATTCATTTTAATGTGTAACCCCAATTATTAAACGAATCTATTATCCCTTCTATAGCATGTTCCTGTTTCTCCATTTTTAAAATATCTATCCATAAATTTGGGCGCAGTTTTATCAATTCTTGAAAATCGTTTGTCTCACAGATATCAAACTTTCTCTCGTACATAAATTTGAGGCATTCATTTCTTAACAGTTCAACTGAATACAATTCGGCAATCTCCAGAGTCTTAATAACTGAGTCTACAGACAGATTGTCATTTAGACTGTTGATGCACATAGACTTAAGATTCTCTAGTTGATATTTCTCCGCAACGTCTATTAATTCGAATGCTGATTCTTCTAAATCTTCCACTTGATCCGTATAAATAAAATTTAGCATTTGCTGAAAGATTGATGATCTTATGTCATCTATTTCGACAATAGATGTTAGTTCCTCATTCATTTTGTTCTTGAACATTGCAGCAAACACAGGACTTCGACTGGCGAGAATAATTTTGTGAGCCGTGAATTCTTCATCCTCTATTTTGAAGACAACATCTTTAAGATCTTCATCATGAAGCAAACTTTTAATATTTGCTATTAGTTCATTACATTTCAGAAAGTCAGTTAGTGGCTTCTTTATTGTATTTGTATCACCAACAATGACACTAAACTCACATGTGATTACAACCCTTGACGGTAAATTTTGCTTGAATGCTTTGTATAAAGCTGATCCACTTACTATCCAAAAATTTTGATCTTTTTGTACTTTTTTAAAGGTGTAAAAATATTTATAGGAATTAATCTCGTCAGCTCCTATACTTATGTTGAAATTTATAAATTTTGTAATGTCAGCTGCACAAATGAAACGAATACTTAATAGATCTTCGTTGTCTTCTTTTAATTCTGTTGGTTGAATTTCAATAGAATATTCATCTTTTGAATGCTGCGATACAAAAGTCGGAGATCTAATTACCTTCATATATTTACAGATAAACTTGAAATTTTCTATTTTCCAGTAAAATGAATTATTAACAAGCTTTAATTTTGAGGAATAAGTTTGATTATTTCGAATTTCGTAAGATAATTGAGTACATTCCATAGGTGGATCCATTGTTAGCTGGGTCACCTGAAAGATTATGTGATGATTCAGTAATGTTACAAAGAAAGTTTATAAACTATAAAAATGTAAAAAAAATATTATTTTCCTAATTCGACATAAAAAACAGGAACAATTTATCTTCTTATGCACTTTTTCAAAAAGTAACCGCTACCCGAATCAAAATTTTGGACCTATCCTGTAAACCTTGTTGGTTCAAGAAGTTATTTTTAGCAAAATATTTATTTTTATAGTTATTTTTAGCGAAATATTATCTTATAGCTACATTTATTAAACTAAATTCAAATTTAACAAAAATGTCAATGTTTATTTTCAGTTTATACGAAAATGGATTTTTATGGTGCACAATTACTTTTTACTACAATTTGTACTTCACTTAATTTTTAGTTCTAAATATTTCTTCGCCTCTCTAAATTTAAATGAGTATAAAATTTGATAGTGAAAATACAGTCACTGATTTAAATAGAACATAATATTTTACTAAAGAAATACTTAATATACTAACTAATTATTAGTTAAAATTTACTTTCGCAGGTTATATCAAAATAACTAAAAACTTTTGTCATCCTATTTAAAAAATAATTTATATATAATTCTAGATTAAAGTACTCAATTAAATAATTAATTAAAATTGTTTCTTTTTCTTAAAAATTTTTTAAAGACTGATTTATAAAAATTATTCCTAAAAATTATATTTTTAATGAAATTTTAATGTTCAAACACTTAGAAAGTAGGTTAATTTTTGAAAAATTGGTGATGATTAAAAATGAAAAATTGAAATTAAATAACTTGAACACTGGTTGAAATTTATATACAATTATAATAAAATTTATTCAAAATTGGATTAACTAAAATATAAATCTATTGACATTTTAGAAATAATTTATTTGATTAAATATTATATATAAATTAGAAGAATTGAAAATTCAGATCGTATAATTAAAAATAATAAGGTTTAAATGAAAATTGGAAAAAATTATAAATAGTAAAGTTTAGATTAACATTTTTACCCAAAAAAAAGAGATAAATATTATAAGCAAACATCGATTTTAATTTAAAAAAATATACATTGAATGAAAATTCGAAATGTTTTCTTATATTTATAATCATTTATCTTTAAATTTAACAATTATATAACTAAAATTTTACTCACGAAGATTACAAATAAAAAAATGCAAAATTGAAAAAAAAATTTTCTTAAAAAATAACAAAATATTTAATAAAATTATTACCTGCTGTGTTGATGTGGATTTTTCAGAAATTTCAAATTATTTTCACTGCGTTTTTAAAAATTTCAATTTTTTAGATACTTTTTTTAACAGTTTTACTATTATATTTATATATTAGTATTTGAAGCATACACGACTCGTTAAAAATCAAGAAAATATTTTTTATCCATGAAGAAAAAGTCTTGATCAATTAAGAGAATAATTGTTCCTTGAGGACTAAGCTCAGGCTGCTCAGGCCAAGCATTCGAACGTCTATAAGCGATAGGCTTTCAGAATGTTTTCACTTCACTTGAATTTTATCAACTGCTGTAGGCATAACATATAAACAACTCATACACGTATACACTGTAAGAAATCGATATTGAATATTCCATGAAATGTGTAAAACTTTAATAGGAACGTCGTATGAATATAACAGAATTAATGAAATTTAAATGGTCAGTCCATGTAACTTTCAAGAATTTATTGAAATTTCAGTCGTACTACGATTGACATAAAATTACAACGGACCGTCGTATGAAATTTCAACAAAAGTGTAATATAGTAATATGTGTAAATTTATCGAGGTTGTTGAAAATTCAACAAGTTTGTAAAAAATTTTACACGAAATGTGTAAAAGTCAGATAAAATATGAAAATTTAGAAACTTCTTCGAATGTTCTCGAATTTTGCTAATTCTCGTTCTTTTTCCGGTGGACTTCAACGCGTGAGGACCAAAAGTTAAATTTTTTCCGTTCAGTGAAAAGCCCTGATGTAAAGGTAAGTCTTAATTTAAATCATATTTTATTATGGATTCCATATAATTATTAAGAATACTTTTTTTACGCTTAAAAAGAATTTGTTTTCCAATAAACCTGAAAATTTGTACAACGCGTTCAACTCGAGTTTAAGAAATTTTAAGGTTATGTATTAAATATTCGAAAATTGTGAAATATAATTAATTTAAAATCAAGAAATTTTATAATACAATTAACATTCTACACAAAATTTATCTGTTTTTCTAATTGTACGAAAATTATTTTTGAGAAATTACATTACAATATTTAATAAAAGAAAACAAATTTTTGATCCATTTTCAATCCACTTTTTTAGACTTTCCATTGAAATAATTGGAAGAGTTATAGCGGTTGAGTTATAGAAATAGTAATAATAATATATAATAGTAATAGTTTTTAGAATTAATAAAATTGAAAAAGAATAAATTGAAATTAAAAAATTTTTAATTCCTGGAGGAAAATAAATTTTAGATATTTTAGTATTTATTTAACAAAATTGATAAAATTTCAAATAATGTTATTTAGAAATTAGTAAAAGGCCAGGGAAATATAAAATGAAATTTTTTACATTTTTATACTAAAATAAACGACTTTTATCTTTAATTAATCGACTAAAGCTATATTTGCTTCTGAAAGTAAATACGCAGCCTGTACTTAATTTCTATGGAAAGTGTAATTCTCAAATTTTTTGTGTTATTTTTGCAAATGTCTTGTATAGTTTGATAATTTCCTGAAAACTTAAAATTCTTTCACATGTTTATTTTTTTTTAGTATACAATTTGATAATTATTTTAGTTTCTATACCAACCAGTGTTTTAATTTTTTGAAAATTATTTTTTGAAAAAGTTAATTAGTTATAAAACTATGAATGGTTCATTTTACAGTGAAGTAAAAAAATTAGTAAAATCTATTTTTCATGTAAATAAAATATTTAAATTCAAAATTTTGTTAATAGTTTCATTAAGTGATATTAATTTTTCCCCGGAGTGAGTGTATGTTGAATAAAATTAAATAAACTTATTCTTATACCTATTGTCATACAACAAATTTTTTAAATTTTTCAGATCGTGTCGCAATACAGTATGCTAATTATGTATTGTACATAAATGACAGAGAACAAATTCCATTCCTGCCTTTATTAGAATTCTTTATATTTTTTATAACAAACACGTACGTTTAATAACTTGGACTGATATAGTATTGGCTTCGTCAACTAAAATTTTTTACGATGTTTTCATGTCATTCTTGTGATTTAAGTTTTAAATATATAAGAGAATATAATAAACACCAAAGAAAACATGCCTTCGATGCTAATTTGGAAATTTTGTGTGCTTATTCGGGATGTACAAAAAAGTTCAATACCTATGGTTCTTTTAATGTACACATTTTTAGAAATCATAGGTATATAAGTCAAAATGTTCAGTATTCTTGCAAACAAAGAATGTGTAATTTTCAATGCAATGATTTGAAAATACTAAAAAATCATTTGTATGCACATTTTAAAAAATCCAATACAGGTGTATTCTGCTCAATTCCAAATTGTCCTATTGCAAACAAAAAATTTTTGTCCTCTAACTCTTTACGCATTCACATTAGCAGAATTCATCGTAATTGTGATGATTTAATTGTGACAAATTTAAATAGCAATCTTTGTAACACAGAAAGTAATATTGCATTAGAAAATTCAATTTTACAATCACCGAATGAAAATGACAGTAATATTGTACTAAATAATCCACCTCAGCTTAAAAATGATAACTACCCTACGTATTCACAAAATAATATTGACTTTGATTCTAATAATTCTGCTAGTGTAAATAGGTTTGCTCAGCTTTATTTAGATTTGTCTGTAAATCATAATGCAACAGAAGCTGTATTACAACCACTCATTGAAGGCATATTTTCTGAAATTGAAAGATCTTCAAACAATTTTTTGAATTCTAATTTTAATAGTGACTTATCTGATAATGACAAAGAAAAAGTTGCAAACATTTTCAACAATAGTTTTTCGCCTATTTTCGAAGCCCACAGTACTACAACTGGCTTATTAAGAACAACTTTTTGTAGAAATAAATATTATGACAAAAATTTTAAATACGTTGAACCCGTGCAGTTGTCTTTTCCAGTTTCCGAAAACGAAAAAGAATGTTATTATCAATACGTCCCAATTTTGTCAACAATAAAATTGTTATTGGAAAATAAGGATGTTCTCAATCATGTTTTACACCCTCAGTTAAATGAACAAGAAGGCTTTTTTGATTTTACTGACGGCAATGCTACGAAGAATAATGATTTTTTCATGCATAATGTAAACAATTTGAAAATTTTATTATATCAGGATGCTTTCGAAATTTGTAACCCGATAGGGTCTTCAAGAGGTAAAAATAAAGTAGTAGGAGTTTATATGATACTAGGCAATTTACCACCTTATTTGAGATCTAAAACAAATAATGTCCGTCTCGTATTATTGTGTCTTGAAAAAGATCTCAAACGATTTGGTTGGGATATATTTTTTAAACAGCTAATAGAGGATTTAAAAATGTTAGAAACTGTTGGGGTTAAAATGTTAGTAGGGGACCAGGAAATGTTATTTAAGGGAACCATTGCTTTTGTCTACGGTGACAACTTGGGTAGTAATGGCCTTGGAGAATTTACTGAAAATTTCAGTAAATCCAATTATTTTTGCCGTTTTTGCGAAATAGATAGAAGTCAATTTTCAAAGAACCAATGGTCCAATATTCCGTTTAGAACTCCTGATAATTATGACAAATGTGCTAGTGAAGCCATTAAAACAAATTCTATGGTTAAAGGAATAAAAAAAAATTCTTGTTTAAATAAACTAAATAACTTTCATGTTTGTCGCCCTGGCTTGCCACCATGCCTTGCACATGACCTTTTTGAAGGCATTATACCGCGAGATTTAATGTATATCATTAAATATTTTTTAAAGAAGAAATGGTTTCGAATTCATTTTTTAAATTGCAGGCTTCGAAATATTAGGTTGTCAACTGACAATAGTTCGACAAAGTCCGTTCTTCCTGTTATTAAAAAAAATTACCCAAAGTTATGTGGCACAGCTAGCGAGATAAAACGACTAATATTAATACTTCCTTTAGCAATTTTTGACAAAATAAAAAATGAAGCAGATCAAGTGTGGCAAATGGTTTTAAGTTTAAGAGAGGTATGCACTTTAATTTGCGCGCCTGCTTTGTCTTCCGGGCAAATCACTTTAATTAATTCCAAAATTGAAGACTATTTAAGCCTCAGATTAGCTTGTTTCCCAAGAATAAAATTACAACCGAAACATCATATTGTTTCACATTATCCGGATTTAACTTTAGAATTTGGACCACTTAAACATGTACAAACACTAAGATTAGAGAGTGTGCACCAAGTTTTTAAAAATTCTGCTAGACATTGTCGCAATTTTCGCAATGTTACTAAAACTTTGGCTACTAAACGTCAAAAAATGCAAGGTTTAAACAACGATTTCTCTAATGCAGTCATCTCTTATAATTGTTCACCTTATGTAGCAGAAAATCATTATGTAAATATTAATGTTTTAATTCAAAACACTTTTTCTAAAGATTCGATTGAAGGACTAAAATTCTCTTCTGAAGTGGATTATCGTGGTATTAAGTATTTGCGAAATATGTCAGTCTGTGTAGGGAAAAGTACTTTTGGAAACTTCGTTATATGCAGAATTGAAATTATTGTAATCAACAGTGATAATTCAAATATTTATTTCATTGGACGTATAAAAGAAATTATTCCAAACACTAAATTAGGTGTTTATGAGACACTTTCTTATAACGAGACACTTTCCTGCGACGAAACATCACAAGACCCGTTAAAAATTTTTCCATTCTCCTCATTATTATCCCCTGATCCAATCGGAGAAATTGTTCTCTCCTCGTCATTGTATTATTTACCGAAATATTCACCTTTCGATCCCGACTTATGAAGGACAATAATATGTAAGTATAATTCTTTTCAAATTTAATTACCAATTTCCTTTATTCCTATCTACATTTGTCTTTGCCTTACAAAACTGCAATTTATCAACATAAATATTAATTTAGGTTTCATTAGGTTCATTTAAAAAAAAATTATTTTTCACAGAGTTAAAAAGAGATAACAAAAATTATACATAATAATTGAAATACAAAGAAAATAATTTTAAGCTTAAAATATAATTTTTTTCAACTAATTAAAAAAATGCCAGTTACTTGACAATTGTTTCACATACACTGAAACCTCCATCGAGGGAAATTCGATCGAGTGCCGTCTCTATTTTTTTTCGGTGACGCGGCAGGGAAGCGATGTAAGAGGGAAGCCGATGAGTGGCGCTTCTTTTTCTAATTTATTTATTTCTTCTTTGTAAAAAATTTCCGTACGGAGTTCCGTAAAGAATTTCTATACTTAATGTCTACAAATATTCCATATTGTATATTTTTTAGTAAAGTTTTCGATAACTTTAAAAAGAATATTACCAACTACAAATAATGTTGGTAACAGTTTAGCAGTTTTTTAAAAATTATCGAAAAGTCTACAAAAATATACAATGTTAACTAATTAAATGTTTGATTTACATTTTGTTCATTTAAACGTTTAAAACTTTAGTGACATTAAATGGTAAATTTCATTTTTATTGTAAGTTAATGTTTAATGATTACTAACTACTCTTTTCTTTACAGATGCCAGTCTTCAAAGTGTGGTCGGCCGATCGAAAAAAACGGGTTTGCGTAATTTGCCAACCAACATTGGAGAACTTTATTGCATGCGCAAATTTGAAATTGGGCTTTGATGGAGAAAGTCTTTGTCTTGAAACGGATGGAACACTGATTGACAGCGATGAAATTTTAGAACATTTTCAAAAAGAAGTTTTTATCTTATTAAAAGAGAATGAAAATTGGACAGAAGTTAATTCAGCAAGTGCTTCTTCTTCTATGAATGAAAATGGAATACCAGGACCAGTTCAGGAAACAGAAAGGTTGCCAGGCAATGATGAACCAAATCAGCAGTTTCTTCCACATGATCATGTACCAAGGGTTGATCCGAATCCACTATTACTCAGAAACATAAATATTTGGCATAATTACCAATATGATTGGACAAATTTAGATCGAAATTACATAGAAAAATTGGAACAAGGACAATCACAAAATGAAATTAAGAAAGAAGTTATACATAAAGTCATTCTTCAAATGCATAATATTAATAAATTTATTCCATGTGCAGTATTTCGTACTGTTGCAAAAGAAATTGTTGCAAAATATCCTGAGAGTTTCGAAGACAGAAAAAATAATATAAAATTTGGAAATGGTTTTACTAGTGTCTACAGCAGCCTTCTAAATCATCATAACTACTTAATAAGTATTTCAAAGAGAAGCAACACCACAAGACCGAGGAGAAATTCAAAAGCCTTAAAATTTCTTAGTCAAGCCAAATTAGGAGCCACTAATTGGGAGTTGAATGAGCACCCTGAAGGAGAAACTGAGGGAACGATTTCCGAAAGAAAAACAATGTTACATGAATCATATTCTACATTCAATAGGACAGAAATTTCTCCTGATGAACACGCAGAAAATTTAGAGAATATTACCAAAACATTTAAAGCTCAACGTGACTTTTTTAATGATTTTGAAAAATTGCCAGATATAGAATCATTAGCAAACAATTGGCCAATTTTGTCTATACACGAGTATCTTTTCCATCATTACGCGCTTCAAATGGGTCATTCAATTGAACAGCTTAAAAATGGATTTATTAATGACAAAGCTACAATTTTCGCATATGGAAAAGCTTTCAATTTAACGCAAGCAGAAACAGCAGATGATAGTTTTGAAATTATTAAAATAATTTTTTACTATTTCAAAGAAAGTGTACAAACTTTGATTTCAGTTTGTCCTGTAAGTATCAAATTTTTCTGTACATATTACTGATATATTTCAAATTAAATTCTAATTGTTTGACTTTTACTTATTTAGCCCGGAGAAGACTGGAAAAATGTTGCAACCGCATCGAGTGGACCCTTTATAGTCATTGTAGGTTAGTAAAAGTATCAAATATTCGACCTATATTCAATTTTATTCAGTTTAAACTAAAGATTGCTTTTATTTTCAATAGTAATACACCAATAATCAAATATTAATATTTTTTATTTCGTTCCCTTCGTATAAATTTTTTTTTTCGAAATATGGAAATTGTAAGATACTTGTCTACTATCAAATAAATATTTACTTGACTAATATGATTTTAAAGTAAATGAAATAAACTATATTTGAATAAAAAATTTCACTATTCGAAGCGAAAACTTGTTATCTATCTAGAAATCAAGGAAAAACGTTAATTTCGTTACGTAAACCCGATTCTAAGTTTTTCTTTTTTGAGCAGCGTATTAAAAAATTTTTTGTCCTGAATATTTAAAAAATATTTCTATTCTAAATTTTTTTACAGAAAATGACAATATTCTTATCTATCAATTGATGTACGATAATCTACATGTAGATTTTACTCTCGATTTTGAAGAAGCTGTAATGTGGCTCTATGCCACTTTCTTCGTTTGGAACAGAACGTACCCTTCCGGCGCCGCTTGCACTCTAGAATTTCTTCAACGGTATTGCTTGAACTTAAATCCGGAATCTGGAAGCAAATCTACGAATAGAGTTGCTGTCCTTTCAAAAGTCAACACTTTTTACAATAAGTTAAAAAATTCTGCATCGACCCTGAAGAATAAAGTATACATTTTCCAATAATTCTACTATGATATAAGTGTTGTCTACAATCATTCTACTGTGATAAAAGTGTTGTATGTTTATAAAAGTTTATAATTTTCATTGCATAATTTACTTTTTAAAAAAAAGATTGAATATTGTTTTAAAAAAATTTGTTAATCTAAATTTTAAATGATTGATGTATCATACTTCTCTTCTCTGCATGAAACTGTTCATTTACATTTTCAGAAAAAGTATTTACAAACAATATGTTCAACTACGTTTACTAATAAGTACTGTTAAATTATAATTTCCAGATAGTCTCAAATGAAATTATAAAAAATTATCTACTGATTGAAATTTAATTTCTAAAGCTGTTAAATTGTAAAAAGTCAGTAAATAATTAATTTAAAATTTAAGCTAATAACTATCTTTAAAATCTAAAAATATAATTTATTCGAAAAGCATTATATCCAAAAGAAATTGTCAACAGACGTTTAAATTGCTTTATTGTAGCGTTTTATTGTAGAGTCTGCGTTTTGAAAAAAGTCTGATATTTGTTTAAAAAAATTAAGGAATCTAAATTTTAAATGTCTGATGTATCATACTTCTCGTTTCTACATAAGTCTCTACATTACGAAGTTAAAGTTCACAACGTTGATTAACGAACAAAATTTATTTAATACATTGAAATATTATTTTTAATTGAAATTTAATTGTAAAATTATAATTATTATTGTAAATATTTTTGTGCAATTTACTTAGTGAACAATTTTTTTCGTTCATCAACGTTGTGGACTTTAACTTGATGATCATTAACATTTTCAGAAAAAGTGATACAATATGTTCAACTACGTTTATTAATAAGTACTGTTAAATTATAATTTACAGATAGTCTCAAATGAAATTTAAAAAAGTTATCTACTGATTGAAATTTAATTTCTAAAGCTGTTGAATTGTAAAAAGTAGGTAAATAATTAATTTAAATTTTAAGCAAATAACTATCTTTAAAATCTAAAAATAAAATTTATTCGAAAAGCATTATATCCAAAAGAAATTGTCAACAGACGTTTAAATTGCTTTATTGTAGCGTTTTATTGTAGAGTCTGCGTTTTGAAAAAAGTCTGATATTTGTTTAAAAAAATTAAGGAATCTAAATTTTAAATGTCTGATGTATCATACTTCTCGTTTCTACATAAGTCTCTACATTACGAAGTTAAAGTTCACAACGTTGATTAACGAACAAAATTTATTTAATACATTGAAATATTATTTTTAATTGAAATTTAATTGTAAAATTATAATTATTATTGTAAATATTTTTGTGCAATTTACTTAGTGAACAATTTTTTTCGTTCATCAACGTTGTGGACTTTAACTTGATGATCATTAACATTTTCAGAAAAAGTGATACAATATGTTCAACTACGTTTATTAATAAGTACTGTTAAATTATAATTTACAGATAGTCTCAAATGAAATTTAAAAAAGTTATCTACTGATTGAAATTTAATTTCTAAAGCTGTTGAATTGTAAAAAGTAGGTAAATAATTAATTTAAATTTTAAGCAAATAACTATCTTTAAAATCTAAAAATAAAATTTATTCGAAAAGCATTATTTCCAAAAGAAATTGTCAACAGACGTTTAAATTGCTTTATTGTAGCGTTTTATTGTAGAGTCTGCGTTTTGAAAAAAGTCTGATATTTGTTTAAAAAAATTAAGGAATCTAAATTTTAAATGTCTGATGTATCATACTTCTCGTTTCTACATAAGTCTCTACATTACGAAGTTAAAGTTCACAACGTTGATTAACGAACAAAATTTATTTAATACATTGAAATATTATTTTTAATTGAAATTTAATTGTAAAATTATAATTATTATTGTAAATATTTTTGTGCAATTTACTTAGTGAACAATTTTTTTCGTTCATCAACGTTGTGGACTTCAACTTGATGATCATTAACATTTTCAGAAAAAGTGATACAATATGTTCAACTACGTTTATTAATAAGTACTGTTAAATTATAATTTCCAGATTACGTTCATGTAAATTTTCAATTAATTAATTAATTAATAAAATAGAAAATAAAAGAAAACCTTGTTTATTGAATATTTAAAAAAATTATTTTTTTGAAACTTTAAATTTCCCGCTTGATATATGCCAAAAATGCTTAGCATTATGCGCATGCGCTATTATTCAATACATTTTTTACACACTTTCAGTAAATTTCAATGAATTTTTGACAATTACAGTTGCAAATTAATTTTCAACAACTCTGTGTGGAGAATTCATAAAGAATTGGAATTTTACATATTTGAAGCAAATTTCATACGACGGTCCGTTGTAATTTTATGTCAATCGTGGTACGATTGAAATTTCAATAAGGATTTCTTACAGTGTACCAATAACTATGGACCTAAGGAAAGAATTTGAAAAAAAATTAGTTTTTTTTCTTGATATTTTTTAATCCACACTTTTATAGGTACATTTTATTATTTTTATTTTATTGTAAATGTAAACAACAATTTTATATTAAAAATAATATCAGAATTTAAATTTTTTGAAAAAATATTTATTATCTAAATTTTAGTCACTTAGCCGAAAAGTTAAATTTACTCTTTTTGGTAAAAAATAAACGAACAAAATTCAATAAATAAATGAAAATTGTAAAACATTTTGTATCTTTTTTCAAATTCTAAATTTTAATAAAATTGAAAAATTTTTATTTTTTTTTAAATTTTTTATTGAAAAAATTTAAATAAATAATAAAAAATTTCATTAACGTTTTGTGCAAAAGTTTTACAAATAAAAAAATTAATTTAAATTACTTTTTTTTAGAAAATTTTACCTTCATCGTAAAATTGGTTTTTCTGTAAATATTACTTGCAGTGTGCCTGAAATAAAATTTATATTCTAGGGAGAGAAGCAAATTTTAATACATTTTATAGAAACAAATTCTTCAAATGATTATTTACGAAACATATTTTTTTTCTTATTTCATAAAAAAGTCACTGTTATATTGCCTCGATTTTAAGAGAAAATTTTCCATCTGATTCAAAATCATAATTTTGCTTAAAAATATTAAAATAAGAAAAACCAACAAAAATGATTTATTTTGTGTTTTAAAGCATCAGAATTTATTTTCATGATAAAAAAAATAAATAGGGAATTTGCATCACATAAAAAAACTTTTTATTTGAATAGTTTAGCTTAAATTGTAATGTAATTTTTTTTTGCACAATTTTTAAAAGTCATTTTTATCGTTAAAATAAATAAAAAGTAATTAAAATTTCAAACAATATCAAAGACGCTCCGGAAAGAGCCGAGTCTGTCCGAACTACATGTGACGTCACGGGCATAAACCGATTGTACATTTATCAAGGGTTTTCTTGAAAATTTATATTGTTTTTAAAAATGAGCGAAAGTAAAACATTTAAATCGTGTTTTATACCATTGTGTGGAAGCAGCAGTGTCAAAACACCGAATAAATTATTTTTCTGTGCTCCCAAAGATGAGAAAATGAGATTAAAGTGGTTTCAAATTGCTCGTCGAAATGATTCTCCGAAGGCTAAATACACTTATTATTGTTGCGAGGATCACTTTAGTGTAAGTATAGTGTCACTACGCATTTTTTTATTTTATATTTACCGTATTATTAATATAAAAATTTCATTATTATATTATTATAGTAATAACAAACAATATGAACAACTTAACCTAAAATTTGACTTTGTTTTTAATGTAGATAAAGGATGATATGGATAATTATATTAGATATTGTCTTATGGGAGCACCAAAAAAATTGAAAAAAGATGCGATTCCTCACAAATTTTCTTGTCAGCCTAATCGAATAAAAGTAAACGAAGAAGCACGACCAGCGTTCATAAAATTAAATAGAAAGAGGCAAATTCACGACATTTTAGCAGAAACTGAAAATGAAGAAAATATTCCAGAAAAACAGCACGATCAACCAGCAGCAAAAATAAGAAAAAACTATGATACTCCTGTTGAATTATTAACCGATTTAACAAATCAAGAACAGTTACATGAAATGTCTTCTCACGAACCTTTGACGAGTGAAATTGAAAAGAACCCTGACGTCCCACTGTCAATTAAACTATCCTCTACACAGATTGACTTAAATTTTTCAACAGAAAATGAATCATTGAATTCCGAAAAATTATCACCTGCTAAAATAAACTGCGAACAGAAGAATCAAAAAAGTGTTGGTGTACAAGTAAGGAAAAGTTTCATGACACCTAATGTTCGAAGTAAGCATACCATGTGCAAGCCTAATACTCGTGAAGTAAGTTGTGAAGTTAAAGTAGAAATGGTTAACAAAATGTGTTCACCGATCAAGTTCCATAAAACAGAATCTACAGTATCTACTTTAATTAATTCCGATTCAAGTACGCCCGTTTCTTCGTCAAACACTACTGGCGAATACAAATATTCGTCAATTTCCAGCGAGTATAAAAAATCTTCAACTTGCAGTGAGGAAAAAAATGAAAAACAAAAAGAAATGAAAAAATCAGTCCTTGATATTACCCTATATTTAATCAGTTTAGATCCAAAAAAATATATTGGTGTTGAAAATGATTGGTTATGGATTTTACCTATGTTGAGTTCTTCTACTAATTGCAGTATCAATAATATCAAACTGACTAATGACACTTATAGTCGATTGGCTGATCAGTTTGGTATCTCAACTTCGCAGGCAAGCAGAATTTTCAACAAAACTGTTGATAAATTAGCTCACTATTTAAAGACACTAGTATTTTTTCCTGATCAAAATAGTATAAGAAAAAACTTGCCTATTGCATTTCGAGCTAATTATAATAGTGTGTGTGCTATTATTGATGCTTTTGAAACCGAAATTGAAAAGCCTTCAAATCCAGTCCATCAGGCTTTAACGTGGTCAGATTACAAGAAATGCAATACAATTAAGTATTTGATTGTATGTTCTCCCGATGGATTTGTCACCTTCATATCTCGCGGGTACGGAGGAAGAATAAGTGACACTTTGTTAACTGAGGAGAGCAATTTAATAAATATGTTACCAGCTGGATGTGGAGTCTTAGCTGATCGAGGCTTTAAGCACATTCAATCGATTTTAAACAAAAAAAAATGTAAATTGCTTCGTCCGCCATCTGTAACAACAACTTCAAAATCCACAAAAGCAGAAGTTCTTAAAACCAAAAGCATAGCAAGCTTAAGAATCCACATCGAAAGAGTAATTCGAAGAGTTCGAGAATTCCGAATATTAGTACCTCATTCTTGCCTTGATCTGAATACAGTGGTCAAATTGGACAGTATTGTAACCGTTGTTGGAGGTTTAATTAATTTACAAAAGCCAATAATTAGAAAATAAATTTTTCGGCGAGTTAAGTACCTGTAAAAATAGTAAAATAATTTTAATAATTATTTTTTCATGTATAATTCTTTTTTTAATAAAATATATTTATAATGATATTAATTGTAGGAAACAATAAAACAATATATCTATAGTAAAATATTTATTTATTAATGATCTCAAAAATCAGTTGCCAAAAGAGTTCAATAAAGCAGGAAAAATATTTTGCTTCCAGAAGTCCACAGAATTTTTTATTATTTTATTTGTGAAATTTTCATCATATTTAACCCATACGAATTGGAAATTTTTATTATTCTCAAACTTCGGATCTGCGACACAGAAAAGTCCTTTTTTCTTCTCAGCAGCCAACATTTGTAAATTAATTTGAGCTTTACATTTTTGACTAAGCTGACCATTTTTTAAATAATTCTCTATTGTCTTCTCGGAGCTTGGACACTTAACCTCTACGACAAATTCTGAATTTATGCCGTCTGGTGAAGCTGCTACCATAGGTAAAGATGGAACTAAAAACATACCACATTTATTTATTGAAAGTTTTAATTGTTTTTCAACCTCAGTTATAACTTTTTCTTCCAATTTTTTCCCTCGTTCCATTTCAACACTGTTATAAACTTTCGCTGCTCCTATAATTCGATTGACTAAACTACCTTCTGGTGTTTTACATCTACTAGCCTCAAAAATATTAGACGCAGTTACCCTTCCAAATCTGAGTTCATGCCACAAAATATCATTTGCTTGATTTCTAGTCTGTTGTTCAGCTTGAGAACATAAATCTTGAGAAAAATATTGTTTGGAATGCTTCAGAAAATTATCTATTGAAGTTTCTTCCTCGGATTGAATGAAATTAAATATAAGTTGATGTATTGACAATATATGAACTTTTCTCTCTTCTAAATCAAATGAATGTCTTGACAGCTGGCTATCTAATTGTTTGGCAGCAGCTTGTTGAAGTACTTGGTTTAAGAACGTTGAATTATCACCGAAATCTTCAACTGAATCATTAGACTTTTTTTTTAATTCACTAGCCAAAATAAATTTTTGTGAATCTCCGACTTTCGATAAGGCTGATTTTCTCCAGTAGCATTCCACATCAGTTGGAGATGGCGATTCGTATTTTCTGTTTGCCCACATTAAAAAAGCAATCCCATGTTTACATCCACCCAATGATGCAGCACAATCAAGACATTCCACTTTATCTACTATTTCTTTCTCTTCATCTATTTTTAACGTTACAGTGTAATTTTTATTTCTTACTCTGTGTTCAGGACAAATTCTGCCTTTCAATGTACATATTTTCCCTTGACGTTTTACACAAACATAACCTATTGCCGAGTCGCCGTAATTTTCTCTTGAAGATCTACAATAATAAGGAAATAATAAAAAATATAAAATTGTGTAAATTTAGACAGTATTTAATTAATAAATTAATTGATTTTAATAATACAAACATTAAAATTTACTTACAATGTTGCTTTGACTCCACGAACCTCGGGAGCATTATACCGCTCATTATTTGTAATATACTCATAAACCATAAATACACTTAATTTCGGTAAATTCGTAGTATCGGCTTTCTCAAATCCGGGATCTAATTTATTTACCATTTTAACTTGAAATCGACGGATTTTTTAAACAATTATTGCATAATATAAAATGATCACATGTGTAAATACACAGCAGACAATATTTCATTTATGCCCGTGACGTCATCAGCCTGAGAGCCAATCAAAATCGTTTGCTCTCAGCTGAGAAAAATTTAAATAATGTTAAAGTTTAAATTCATTTTTTAATGTTATTTGTGCATGAAATTAAAAAAAAAAATTCTATCACAATTTTCTTATTCATTTTATAATTATACGAAGACTTTTATTGTATAAAAGACAAATAATTATTATTTATAATAATTATTTCACATAATTTTTTATTTTAACAATACTTTTGAAACAATTTAAAAAACGTGTGTCAAAAGTATATTCTTAAAATCAAGAAAATGTTATATTAATTTTGTATATTTAAACATTATACATCAAGAAGATAAAAAGTTTCTGTAAAATATGAAAAACGATTATTCTATTAAAATAACGTTTTTTAAAAACGTCTAAATTTATGTAGAAAGCAATGTTTACAAGCTTAATCTAGAATTACAAAATTTTTTATAGTAACCCATAAGCAAGAAGCAAGAAAATTCAAATGAACTGAAATTTTCGGAGAAAATTGACTTTTCTCAATTCTTTTCAATTTTGTTATATTTTTTATAGCGATAAATTTTCGCCATTACCATTTGAAAAAAAACATCATTTTTATAAATTCTTTTTAATTTAATTACAAAAATTTACCCTTCTTGCACCCAAAGGTTCAATCACGTAATTTATAACTCCAATTTTTGAAACATTCATCGTCCTCAGTTTCATTGAGATCTAACATTTTATTTATTTTCAAAATTTGTAACCATAAACACGGACGACTTTTTATAAGTTCCTGAAATTCTTTTGTCTCGTTAATCTCATCAATTTCCTGGTTTATAAATTTTAGACATTTATCCTTAAGCTTTTCAATTGAATACAAATCGGCAATTTCAAAACTCTTAATAACCGTTTCTAAAGATAGATTCACGTTTAAACTCCGAATGCACAAATTTTTAAGTTTCTCCAATTGATATTTTTCCGCAACGTATAATAATTCAAATGCTGATTCATCTAAATTTTCCACTCGATCCGTATAAATGAAAATCATCATTTTTTGAAAAATTGCTGGTTTTATGTCATCAATTTCGACAACGGATGTTAGTCCCTCAGACATTTTATTCATAAACATTGCAGCAAAGACAGAACTTCGAATTGCGAGAATATTTTTATGAGCTGTGAATTTTTCATCTTCAACATTAAAAGTAACATCTTTAAAGTCTTCATTGTCGAGTAGGTTTTCAATATTTTCCACTAGATCATTAGGTTTTTGTTCATAATCGTGAATTTCCTGTTTTTTTGTATTAAAATCAAGAACAGTGAGTTTACATGTAATTTCAATCATTTTTGCTATTGTTGATCTTTGAAATGCTGAATATAATTCTGAACCTGTTAATACCCATTTGCATTGTAAACTATATTTTACGTCAGTAGTGATACATGTTTGGACAATTGAAAAATTATTCTGTATTGAAATACTGACATTAATATGTTTTGCAATTGAATCTGTTGAAATTAATTTAATTTTAAAAGGAGTTTTATTGTTTTCTCTTAATTCCGTGGGTTGCAATTCAATGAACCATTGGCCTTGTTTTGATTTTTTTGATGGAAAGAGAGGCGATTTTATTTCTTTCATATTTTTACAGAGAAACTCGAAATTCTCAATTTTCCAATTAAGCTCGTAGTTGCGATATTTTAATTTTGATGTGTATGCATCTTTATGATGAACTTCATCGAAAAGTGAAATAAATGACATGTTTGCCTGAAAATAAGAAGAGAAATATTAAAGAGATTCTATTTGTGTGGTAAAAAAATAAAATAAATAAAGCAAAATAATAATTAACTTTATATATATATATATACTATAATTTTGTGGTAAAAATAAAATTTTTACAGATTTTGCCCATTTTCTGCAACAGTTTTTACTGTCTTTTAAGAATCGTTTGTGAGTTTTTACTATTTTGTAAAGTAAAAAAATCTGACGCGTCTCGAAAATGCAAAATTTTATACCTGGATTGAAATTGAAATTAAAAATAATATTTATGTTTAAGCCTTTATTACATTAAAAATATTAAACAAAAATTATTTTTCAGTTTAAAAAATTAAAAAAGAACCATTTATTGTTTATTAAACGTGAGAAGATAACAAACATAACCTATGAGATTTTGCTTCTCATAAGTCCCTTTCTTCGCGACGCGTCATAATTTTTACCAATTATATAATATAAATAAAAAAAAATCTTTATCTGGAACTGCTAAAACTTTCGCATTTTAGTTAAAACTTTCACTATTTAAGAAAAATTTATTGCTGTTCTAGATGGAGAATTTTTTTCGTGAATAAAATAAATATGAAGAAAAATAAATTGATTATAATGAAAAATTGAATAAATATAAAAAAGTAAATGTAAATAAAATAAATTAAAATAAAAACAATAAAAGTAATAAACTAAATCAAAAATTAATAAATAACAAATAAACAACAATAAGATGAATAGGTAGGTATAAAGATGTTAAATAAAATAAATAAGGAAATTAAACATAAATAAATGAAAATAAGCGATTATTAATTTTCTTTAAAAATAGTAAATCATTTCATCAGCGTAAAAAATTTATTAAATCCAAAACCTTTAGGTTATTTAAATGTAAATTCATTTCAATCTTTCGCACTTTAATTTTAACTGTAAAAAAATTTTCACTCTCACTTTGAATTTGACATTTGTTTCAAAGTTAAAATGAAAATGAAAGTGAAAGTAGAAAACAAATTACGGAATTAACAAAAAATTAAAAAAAAATTAAGTCGTTAAGTATAAAAGATAGAAAAATTTTTATATTTTGTTTAAACAATTTTTATTAATATATCTTCAATTTGTAATTATAATAATTAGTTTACGTGAAAGAATTCTTATTCACATTTTGAGGGTAAAGTATATTAGATAATTTAATCGCGATTTTAAGTTTATATTTTTTTTTTATTTATTTATTTTTTTTTTTATTTTCATACTTGCCATTAAGTTTTTTCAGTTTTATACAATTAACTTAAGTTTTTTTTACTATTTTAGATGCAGAAATTATAAAAATAACAAAACATTTAATGTAATCATTACCTGATGTAGGAAACTGGATTTTTCAAAAATTCCAAATTATTTTCACTGGTGTTTTCTAACAATATAGCAATTTTTCAAATACTTATTTTTAAACTGTTTTTACTTTACATGACACGTTAGAAAGCAAGGAAAAGTCTTTAAAAATTTTTCATTGAGGACTAAACTCAGGCAAAGTATTCGCACGTCTGTAAGCTATAGGCTTTCAGAATGATTCAACTTCACTTGAGTTTTATCAACTTCTACAGATATTAAGATAAACAACCCAGCTGTTATACACGTACCTATACCAATAACTGGACCTAAGGAAATAATTTGAAAAAAAATTACTTTTTTTTCATTGTATTTTTAATCATAATTATACTTTTGTAGGTACATTTTATTATTTTTATTTTAGTGTAAATGTAAACAACAATTTTATATTTTAAATAATATCAGAGTTAAAATTTTTTGAAAAATTATTTATTGTTATTATTTATTAAGAACAAAATACAATAAAATAAATAAAAATTATAAATTAACTTCTAAATTTTGCAATAAAATTTAGATTTAAATTTATGAAAATTATTGAATTTAATAAAAAATTTTAAGAATTTTATTAAAATTTGGATAAATAATTTATGAAAATAATTGAATTCTTGTGATGAAATATTGTTATTTAAGAAAATAATTGAATTCTTGCATAGAATTTTATAAAAATGCCTCAGAATAATTGAATTTTCGGGAATAATTTTGTTATTTATCTTTAATAATTGAATTTATTCGAACAATTATTGATGTAAATAATTGAATTCTCGGAAAGAATTTTATTAAAATCTAAAAGAATAATTGAATTATTTCAACAAAAATGTAATTAAAATTGTACTTAAAATAATTGATTTCTTTCGAACAATTTTATTAAAATATTTGAAAATAATTTAATTCCTGTGAAAAATTCCAATATTTTTGTAAATAATTGAATTTTTACAAAGAATTTAAAAAAAACATTTTTTTAATTAATATTAATTAATTAATTCTTCGAGGAATTGAAATTAAATTTTTAAGAATCATTACATTTTTTGAGCAATTCCTGTAAAATTGCATTAAAAATAATTGAAATCCTGCGATGATTTTTATTATTTTTGAAAGTAATTGAATTATTGTCAAAAAATTTTATTAAAATTTTTAAAAAGAATTGAATTTCTATGATAAATGTTGTTATTTTTGAAAATAATTGAATTTTTCAATTAATTAATTTAAAATAGTATTAAAAATAATTGAAATTCTTTGATGAGTTTTATTATTTATAAAAATAATTGAATTCTTAGAATTTTATCAAAATTTATTTAAAAAATTGAAATTCAATGAGAAATGTTATTATTTAGTGAAAGTAATTGAATTATTGTAAAGAATTGTGTAAAAATTTTGTTAAACAAATGATTTTTTCGAACTTTTTTCAAAGTTTTATTAATTAAACTTATCGTATTGACATAACTTTAAGAAACTATAATAAATAATAAATATAAACTATAATAAAGTATTTAACAAAAATAAACAATACAAAATCCAAGTTCAGGGACTTTTTTTTCACGCTAATGACGTAATTTATAACTCCAATTTTTGAAACATTCATCGTCCTCAGTTTCATTGAGATCTAACATTTTATCTATTTTCAAAATTTGTAACCAAATAAACGGACGACTTTGTATGAGTTCCTGAAATTCTTTTCTCTCGATAATCTCATCAATTTCCTGGCTTATAAATTTTAGACATTTATCCTTAAGCTTTTCAATTGAATACAAATCGGCAATTTCAAAACTCTTAATAACCGTTTCTAAAGATAGATTCACGTTTAAACTCCGAATGCACAAATTTTTAAGTTTCTCCAGTTGATATTTTTCCGCAACGTATAATAATTCAAATGCTGATTCATCTAAATTTTCCACTCGATCCGTATAAATGAAAATCATCATTTTTTGAAAAATTGCTGGTTTTATGTCATCAATTTCGACAACGGATGTTAGTCCCTCAGACATTTTATTCATAAACATTGCAGCAAAGACAGAACTTCGAATTGCGAGAATATTTTTATGAGCTGTGAATTTTTCATCTTCAACATTAAAAGTAACATCTTTAAAGTCTTCATTGTCGAGTAGGTTTTCAATATTTTCCACTAGATCATTAGGTTTTTGTTCATAATCGTGAATTTCCTGTTTTTTTGTATTAAAATCAAGAACAGTGAGTTGACATTTAATTTGAATAACTTTTGCTATTGCTGATCTTCCAAATGCTGAATATAATTCTGAACCTGTTAATATCCATTCGTGTCGTAAATCACAATTTAATTTACCAGCGATTAATTCTTGGACAATTGAAAAATTATTCTGTATTGAAATACTGACATTAATATGTTTTGCAATTGAATCTGTTGAAATTAATTTAATTTTAAAAGGAGTTTTATTGTTTTCTCTTAATTCCGTGGGTTGCAATTCAATGAACCATTGGCCTTGTTTTGATTTTTTTGATGGAAAGAGAGGCGATTTTATTTCTTTCATATTTTTACAGAGAAACTCGAAATTCTCAATTTTCCAATTAAGCTCGTAGTTGCGATATTTTAATTTTGATGTGTATGCATCTTTATGATGAACTTCATCGGCTTCATCGAATAGTGAAATAAATGACATGTTTGCCTCTGGAAATAAGAAGAAAAATATAAAACAAATACTATTTGTGGTGAAAAAATAATAAAAAAAAAATCCTATTGGATTGGAAACAATTTTTAATAATCAATTTTGATAGAATTTGATAGAATTTTCATTAAAATATTGTATAAAGAACTTTTGGTCATTTTTCGATATAGGAATATAGGATTTGAATCAAAAAATCTTATTGGATTTGGATAGGACTTTTGTTACTAAAGTCTCTATAGTGCAAAAATAATAAAAATTGACACCGAAATATATTAAAAATTAACATAAAGGAAATTAACATTAAAAATTATAGGTTATGTTAAAAAACGTTTTTTATTTGATTTAAGATTCGTTTTTAATTACTTAAAGTCAAAAATAATTTTTATTAATTACTTGGTATGTAAAATAGTTAATAAACATTGTTTCTGTCTTCAGATAATTGAAAATTAATCAGAAAACAAGAAAACATTTTTTTAAACATAACCTATAATTTTTTGTCTCATAATGTCCTTTTTTAGAAAGCGTCACAAATTAATAAATATGTAATGAAATAATTGATTAAAATAAGTAAAATAAAGTAAATAAATATTTATGATAATAAATAATAAAATAAATGTTAAATAAATAAAATAAATTAATAAAAAATAAATTAAAATAAAAACAGTAAAACTAAATAAATAAATAAAAATTAGATAATTGAATATAAAAATTATAAAATACATAAAGAAATATTAAATATAAATATAAATGATAATAAAATTAAATAAATAAAGAAATTAAGTATAAATAAATAAAAATAAAACGGATGAAATAAAATTAACAAAACTATCAAAATAGAAAGAAAGTAAAATAGTGTTTTTTATTTTGAAAATTATAAATTATCTTTCTGCCCCTGTACATTGATTTTTGCCTATGCGCTAATGTCAGTAGGTACACTATCATAAAGGAAGTGATGATGAATTTTTTTTTAAAATAGTAAATCATTTCAGCATAAAAAAGATTTTTTAAAAATAAAAAAATTTATTGAATCCAAAACCTTTATGGCATTAAAATGTAAATTCACTTCAAACTTTTATTATTATTATTATTATTATTATTTATTATTATTTTTTTTTTTTATTCAAACTTTTACGGTAAGAAATTTTCACTCTCACTTTGAATTTGACATTTGTTTCAAAATGAAAATGAAAATGAAAATGAAAATGAAAATGAAAATGAAAATGAAAATGAAAATGAAAATGAAAATGAAAATGAAAATGAAAATGAAATGAAAATGAAAATGAACAAATGAAAATGAAAATGAAAATGAAATGACAATGAAAATGAAAATGAAATGAAAATGGAAAATGAAAATGAAAATGAAAATGGAAAATGAAAATGAAAGTGAAAATGAAAATGAAAATGAAAATGAAAATGAAAATGACAATGAAAATGAAAATGAAAATGAAAATGAAAATGAAAATGGAAAATGACACTGAAAATGAAAATGAAAATGAAAATGAAAATGAAAATGAAAATGAAAATGAAAATGAAAATGAAAATGAAGAAATGAAAATGAAACTGAAATGAACAATGAAAATGAAAATGAAAATGAAAAATGAAAATGAAAATGAAAATGAAATGAACTGAAAATGAAAATGAAAATTGAATGAAAACTGAAAATGAAAATGAAAATGAAAATGAAAATGAAAATGAAAATGAAAATGAAAATGAAATGAAATGAAAATGAAAATGAAAATGAAAATGAAAATGAAAATGAAATGAAAATGAAAGTCGACAACTGAAATTACGAAAATTACGGAATGTGGGAATTGACAAAGGAGATTAAAAAGACTAGAAAAATTTTTAATATTTTTTAATAATTAAAAAAAATTTTTTTTTATACATTAAATTTGTAATTAAAATAATTAGTTTACGTGAAAGAATTTTAATTTGTATTTGAAGGGTAAAATAAATTTTATTTCATTTTTATACAGTTTTTGCTTTTTAATCATCGAGTATTTAAATTTAATAAAGATCGATGTTATTATAATATATGAGCCTTGCAATCAAAGTAAATAAGTTCGTGTTTATATTCGAAATGCCAAATTTCAATATATTTTTCTACAAGTGACCGTCAAAAAATTTACCATTACCATTTAATTATTATTATTATATTATAATATTAATTATTCTATTATTTGTATTTTCCCAGAATTTTTCATAGTTTTAAATTTATTTTTCAATTATTTTATTATTTTTTAACTAATATTTAGTTTATTGTTATTTTTTTTCGTTTTTATATTTTAATTTCAATTTTACTGCAAATGTTTCATTCATACTATTTTTAATCTTTTTAAATTAATTTAATTAATTTAAAAAAATTTTTTTTTTAAATTTTTACTATTTTACTATGTAATTTTAATTTTTTATTACTATTTTTAATTATTTCATAAAAAAACAATATTGTTTAAATTGAATTAATTAACGATATTTTACACCTTACGTACATTTTCTATCTTTTTTATTTAAGTTTGGAAGGATAAAAATGTCCTTAAACAAAAGAAAAATATTTTCTATTCATTATTTTTCTGATTTTATTTTTAAAAAGTTTCTGAAAATTTATAATTTATATTCAAAAGTGGAAGTCGTTTTAAAATTTTGAAGAAAACAAACTTTCGTTGTTTCGTATATTATATCATAAACTAAAGAAGAATAAATACTAGAAGTAAGTAAAATAAAAATAAAAATGTTATAGGCCTTGGTATAATTTATTTATATATAGATAATAATTACTATAAAACCAATAATACTAATAATACATAAAACATAAAATTATTACCTGCTGTTATTGTATACGATGATTTCTCTTTGAAATTTCAAATCTCATTCGCATATTCACTCTGTTTTTAGAAAAGTTAAATAATTTTGCAAAAATAATACAAATTCCAGAATATTATTAATTTTTAACACTCTAGAATTTAAAAAAATTATTTTTTTATCCTTCTCTTAATTTAATTTTCATTTGTGAAAATTTCTATTTCTAATGTAATAATTTTTCACTTGAATGATCCAAATTTGTATAGTTAGAATTTTTTGATTTTTGATTCTCATATACAGACAAAACTTTATAATAATCATGAAAATTCCATTTCAGAAGCGAAATGCTTCAATTGAAAACCGAAAATATCCGAAATAATTCGAATCCTATCGCAGCTCTCGTGCAGACAATTATAATAATTTTTTTTAGTTAATTAATTTTTAACGTACGAAATTTAAAAAAAAATTTAAATATAAATATTTGTAATTCAAATTGTTTTAAATTTTCATGAAAAAATTTAATTTTTTTCATTAAAAAAATGTTTTAAACCTTCTGTTGATTTAAAATTACATTTCAAAAAATTTTGATAAAAAAAAAAAAAAATTAAAAAAGAAAAATTTATTTCTAACTACAGAATTTAGTATAATTTTTGTATAATAAAAATATAAATAAATAATAATAATTGTATTTTATTTTTTTATATGAAAAATAATCTTTTGAAATTATTTTTTTAATTTTTATATAAAAAAATTTTTTAAAAATTAAAAAAAAAATTTTTTTTTTTTAAAAAATGAGAAGATCTTGGATTTGTGCAAGTTTTTAAAATTGTTTTATAGAAACTATAATTATAATTAAAAAATGCATTTTGTTTTAAATTTAAATTGAAAAAGGAATTATGAGAAAATATTTTTTTTTAGTTTTCAAATCAGTAACTTAGCTGTGTGCCATACGCTTCCGATTCGCACACACAGGATCAAGGGTTCGGTTCCCAACGTATACGAAAATTTTTTAAAACTCTATTTTTAAGTTTTTCTCACATATTTTATTTTATTTGTTTACTATAAAAGTTTTTATTTACTATAAATTCTTATTTACTATAAATAATTTATAAATACCTATTAATTATAATTATAATTTATAAATAGTTTTTATTTTCTATAAAATAATTTCAATAAATATTTAAAAAAATTCAGTTTTGTTATAAAAACCAAATGTAAATTTTCTCTAAAGTTAGAATTTTAAAATACAATATTATCAAATTATTAAAAGTATACCTGACTTATGTAACTTCTTTTTCCAATTGATTTTTAATAATCACCTATTAACTATGATAAAATTATCAGTTTGTTTTTTTCCAAATTTTTTTTTCACCTTTAAATTATTACCCGAGGAAAATTAATTTAATGATTCAGTAAATTAAAAATATGTGAAAATATTATTTATATATTAGTGTTAAGTGCTATTTTACAATATTCATACTTTTATTGTCTAAAACAGTTATTTTTTTATTTCTTCCTTTTCTTCAAAGTTATAAACATAATTGACTTGCTTTATGTATTTTTTAACCTTTATAAAGCATTTGAAAATGAATTATTGTGAAGAATAACTGAACTATAATTGCAAGGTTTGTTGATATGTATTAATGTATATTTACATGTTGGAAATCTACATTTATGCTTTATGAATTTAGTGCGCATGCGCCAAATATATAATGTAAAAATTTTTAACATTTATTTTTTACTTGTACATAAAGTATGTACAAATGTAAATAAAGTAGTATATTAAAAAATTATTATTTCGAGTAGAAAAAAAGTTAATGTGGGAAATTTTTAACAAAAATTGTTTTAAGTTCTTTCAGTATGAATGAAAAAAAAAACTTAAGCTTTTTTCGTGTACTTCACTGGCATTCGTTGATTGTTAGAAGCACGTGTTTCGTAGTTCTTGTAATACTCGTTATTATACCGACGACTTTACTTTAGTATTAGTGCAAATGTACTGGAGGAAGGTACTACACAGGCGACTATATTATTTTAAAAACAATTTTTTAATTCTAGGTAAACTTTTCATTTTTTATTCATTTTTGTATAAAAATATAAATTTTTTATATTTTTAATGATAATTATTCATTCTTTATAATAGTTATTAATTATTAATTATTTTTCGACTAAAATTATTCATTTTTTTCGTTTATATGCATTATTTTCAAAAAAATTTTCTGTCACTATAAATTATATTTATTACATTTATTTAATTATAAAATTATTTATAACATTTATTTTTTTATAAAATTATTTATAACATTTATTTGTTTATAAAATTATTTATAACATTATTTATAACATATAATTCTTAAACAAAATTACATTTCTGATTTTTTTTTTATTTTGCTAATTTAAAGTTCAATTTTATTTAACATTTTAATTTTACACTCTTTCTTTTTTTCTAAAACGAATTTTACAAAAATAATTCTTTAAATTTATTAATTTAAACTTTATAGTCTCGAAGGAAAAATAAATGTCAACATAATTTTTAAATACTTCTTATTAATTGTATTTTTTATAAATATTAATTATTTTTTATTATGGTTATAAATATATAATTATTTTATTACTATTATTTTTTTTTATAAATAAAGTTTATATTTAGTTAAAAAAGAAAGAAAAAATAGAGTAAATTTACTATCTGATGAGTGTATATTTAGTTACAAAGTGTCAAAAATCTTTAGTCACTGTTTATACTTGTTTAATTGCTTTATTTTGTATGGTTAAGAAAGAAATTATTAAATTCTGTGATCGTAATCTGATTTTTATCATTCTGGGGATTATTTTGCAGTATTCATGCTAATATAAAATTTAATTACAACATGATAAGACGCAAGTGTTGGAGAAATAGTTTTTTTTTAATTTTATTGTTATTTATATTTTTTAAAATTGTATTTTTTTTCTAAATTCGACGTTTTATTACAAAAATTATATAGTTATAATTAAAATTGAAGTTTTTAAAAAAATTGTAATTCTTATTAAAATTAGAATTTTTTTATAAAATATGTACTCTTTTTAAAAATTGCAATTCTTATTAAAATTAAAAGTTTTATAAAAATTTGTACGTTTTATTAAAATTATTGAATTTTTATAAAAAAAACTGTAATTAATATTAAAATTATATATTTTATAAAAATTATACTTTTCATGAAAAATTGTAATTCATATTTTAAAATTATAAATATTTTATAAAAATTTTGCTCTTTATAAAAATTGTAATTCTTATTAAAATGAGAATTTTTTTTAAAAAATTGTACTTTATCTTAAGACTGTAACTCATTTTAAAAATATATTTTTTATGAAAATTGTACTACTTTTCATTAAAATTATAGAATTTTCATAAAAAATTGTAATTTTTATTAAAATTATAAGTTTTATAAAAATTGTAGTTTTTATAAAAAATTTTAATTCATATTAAAATTATAAATTTTATAAAAATTGTAGGTAGGTACTTTTTATAATAAATTGTAATTTATATTAAAATTATAAAATTTATAAAAATTTTACTTTTCATAAAAATTGTAATTTTAATATGAATTACAATTAAAAAAAAATTACACTTTTTATAAAAAAATTATAATTCATTTTTAAAATTATAAATTTTATAAAAATTTCACATTTTATAAAAATTTATTCTTTTTATTAATATTGCATAATTTTTTTATTAAGATTTTTATTTTTAATATTTATTGATAAATTATTTATTTATTTAATACAGACGGAAAAGACAACCTATGCCCTTTCATATAAAGTACTATTGAACAATATAGTTTACATATAAATTAGTCGACCGCATTGTTGTTAGCATCAAAAATCAGATTGCGCAACCCTATTATAAACGAATTAACCGAAACACCAAAAAAGTTACAAATTTCTATATATGAAACCGGTCACAGCCTTACAACTAAGATGGATAATTTTTTTCATAAAATTTTTTTTTACTTCCTATTATTAATAAAAAAATATACAAATAAATACTTTAATTAATAATCGATTTTATTAGTTTTTATTCATTTTAATTTCCCCTTTAATCAATTGTTTTATTTTTAAATAAATGGAAATAAATTTTTATAATAAATTTTCGAATAGTAGAAATACGTTTTTTTTAATATAAATTATAAGCTATTATGAATAATTTTAATAAATAATTAAAATTTTTTGAATTTTCTCAGAATTTTTTAACGAAACAATTGTCAATTCATTAGTTTCATTTATTTATAATAATGAATAATAATTTATAAATTATTAATTTCATTCATTCAAATCATCAACCGGTGATTAATAGGTCCTGGGTTTCGATCCCCAGCAGAGTTAGTCCTTCATTTTTTCATAGTTTTAAATTTACTTTTCAATTAAAATTTTATTTTTTTATTAATTTAATAATTTTTAAATGTTCTGTTTTCTTTTTGTAGAATTAAGTTATGGCTCAGACTGCAACATTAGGATGGATCGACTTCTTCGTTATTTTTCTAATGCTCGGAGTGAGTTCATCAATCGGCATTTACTACAGACTCACTGGTGGACGACAAAAGACTACACAGGTGAGGGAAAATAAATTTTTAATATAAGACAAATTATAATAATTAATTAATTTATTATAATTATTATTATTATAATTTTTTTTATATTTTTAGTCAAAATCCTTAGCAGACGATATTTAATATTATTATTATAATTATTAATTATCAAATTATTATTATAATTTTTCACGTCGCAAGAATTTTAACACTAGACTCAAAATTAGGAATTTTATTTTACATTTTTACTTTCTCTTTTTTTCGTTACGCTTTTGTGTTCACAATAGACTTTTTTTTACGTTGAACTTAACATAAAAATACAAAGAAATCTATTAAATCTGTTGTATTTTTAGGTTATGTTCAACGTAAGAATATAAAGGGAGCCTATTGTGGACGCAGCCTTAAGTCAGCTTAAATGAGAGAGAAAAGGATAACGATACCTTTTTTCCTCATCATTAAAGGAAAATAAAAAGTGCCTATTGTGGACACAGCCTTAGGTCAGCTTAAATGAGAGAGAAAAGGAGAAAAGGATAGTAATATCTTTCTTCATCATAACAAAATGGAAATAAAAAGAGTCTATTGTGGACACAGCCTTAGGTCAGTTTAAATGAGAGAAAAAAAGATAACGATACCTTTTTTCATCAAAAGAGAGTCTATTGTCGACGCAGCCTTAAGTCAGTTTAAATGAGAGAGAAAAGGATAACGATACCTTTTTTCATCATAAAAAGATTCTATTGTGGACACAGCCTTAAGTCAGTTTAAATGAGAGAGAAAAGGATAACGATACCTTTTTTTAGAGATCCTCAAGGGAGAGTTGTGTTAATATGCCTTAAACGGTGATTGGTCAAGGGTTTCCGGAACCCGGATGTTTGAAAATTGGCGCGAATTGTCTTCGAATTTGAATTAAGTAACACATTACGAACATTACTAACATTAAATTTTTTTAGATAAAAAAATAAAAGAAAGCATATTACTATTTTGTAATGAAAAAATAAGTATAATTTAAAAAATATTTAGTGAATTAGGTTAAGGGCATCCGTCTCACTCCTAAATAATTTGAGATATTTATAGTTGCGATTTATCATGATGATAAAGAATATTGTCGAAATAAATTGCAATTTATTTTTGAAAGAATTATTGAAAAACGAAATTAGAAAAGTTGGCTTTTTGTCATTTTTGGCCTTTTTGGCGAAAGTGAGAGACAATATAGCGACGAGCACACAGACAAATGGATCTATGTGTCAGTGGTCAAGGAGGTGGCGCCAATTCTCGGAAGTGGTCGCGACTTGAACTAAGGAAATGTTTTAATCTCAAATTACTCCACTTTCAATCGCAAAATTATTGCAAAAACGGAGAGGGACGCTCCTAGGAGAGTTAAATTCCTCTATTACCCTTCCAAATATGAATCTGAAAAATTTTATCCTCTCAAAATAAGACGTCTATACCAAACCGATTATAACCCCTTTTTTTCCGTATATTTAAACAATTTTTTTCAATAATTATTTACTTATTAAAACTTTTCTAAATTCCGAAAGCACCGCGGGTCCCAGAGCATTTCTCTATATTTACCAAAAAATCCCGACTCAAAATATTCTTTTCTTTTTAAATGAGACGTCTATCACGAAACCATTATTTTTTCCCGGAAGACAGAAAGAAGAACAAAGATTCATTAGAAAATTGTTTATTATATAAATAAATGTAATAGATAGTACAAAAAATAATTTATGCAATATAAACATGATATTGATTTTTATTGCAACATTACATACATTATCGGAATGCTGCATGCATGGCCATGCTTTTGCTGTCATATTTCATTTCATTTTTTTCTTTTTTTTTCGCTTGATTGCAAATTCGAAGGCAAAATACAACAAATCTACGTAAGATTTTGTCACGCAAACTGTGACATGGCAAAATGTGTCCACTGTCAACTGCTTCATAACGACATGAAAAAAATTCTAAAACGTTTATATTTCTCATGTCTTTTAGAATTGGATCCCAATTGCGATAAATTAGATCGATTTCTAAAAAGAAATTAAATGTTCTTTCGTTCACGTAGAACAGGAGATTTTCTTTATATTCTTTGAACGCAACAAATTTAGCGAATTCTAGTTCTGCAAATTCTGCAGATTTTCTTGACCCTACAGATGCAATACATGAATCGCAAGTTTTTGAATTTTTTTGGATGCTATTTATTAAGTACCCTGCAACTCGATATAAAGCATTTTTTTCTATATTGTTTAACTGACGAGCTGGAGTTGATGGAGAAATCTGATTTAAATTAATACTGCGCGAAGCATTTGACTCCACATTTGGAAATAAATTCTCCGAATTTGTTGAGTTAACCTGTTGCAAAGATGTAGTGTTTGTTTTTACTTTTAATGATGTATTGTTCTTATTTTCTTCAAGAAAATCGCTTAAGAAATATGAATCATCGTAATCGTAGTTGCTCGACTTAATTGATTTGGTGTACTGAGCAATGGAAATTAATCTTAAATCATATTTTAATTGCAAAACATTTGGTGTAACATGTTTTGATCTGACAACACTGAATAAATTTTCAACAGCATCTTGAGTGAATCTTCCGGTTAAAACGAATTTAAAACCTACAATGTCAATTAGGTACTGGCTTAATTCGATAGCAGATTTCGTTGACAACATAAACCCTTTTTGAATTGGTTTGAATATTCCCCGATCGCCAATGCAGATTCTATTCATGAGAGTAATCATTTCATTCAGAAAAGAAATTGTTTCATTGTAGGTGGTAATATTAAATTTGCTGATCGCACTTTGTAAATTTCGCGAAGTCATGATTCGAAACCATTTGGCAATGAGACCGACAAACCAAGCCGTAGTTTGATATTCTTCCTTTTTGTTTTCATCTGACAAATAATAGAGAGCTGCACTAACTTCACTACTTAAAATGTGTTGGGCCCTTTTCACCTTCATCTTTTGGAAAGAATTGTTACTTGAAAGAAAGATGTCTTCTTTTTTTAAATTTGGTGTTAAAGTAAAAATGAGGTCTTCTTGGGCTTCCAGCAATTCAAGTAAGTGGTCTGCGACTATAACATTTGTCGGTAGATTGTACATTGTTTGTATATCCTCCGGTATATAGATTACACCGTTGTTTATTATACTTTGCACAATATTCTTCACTAAATGCGGTACATCCGCAAAGAAGAACAACTTTCTATTATTGTCATCATGAGGATGAGGATGCGGAATAGAATTTTTTATTTCAGTTTTCCTACCGGCTGTAATGCCAAATGAATTTAAACAGGCAACATTCACAGGGCCCATGTCACACGTCACACTATTTACTCTTAAACCGATATTTTCAGCTTTAGAGATTATCTGCAAAATGATAGGTTTCATTAATTTACCGTCGAATCCGCCACCGGTATATTCATAACCAATTATTTGCTTCCATCGTGCTTTGGAACCAATTAAAACAAATACTAATGCGTGTTTGACAATACCTTGTGAAGAAGGCGGAAGAGTTATATCTCCAATAAATTTTTTTGTTTGGGGATCAAACATTCTTCCTCCCATTATGCTGACTTCATCGAGGGCAAGTGAACATTGTCTATCACTGTCATTTGTAAAATTCGTCACTTTATATTCCAAATACTTGAACATTTCTTCGGAGATGCCAGGTTCAAATTTTATATGTTCAACTCTTTTGCTCAAAGTCCTACGTGATGGTAAAGGTAATCCTTGCTTTAAGAGTTCGTCATACCCAGTGTTGCCACAAGTAAACCTTAAACGTAGTGCTTTCTTAATTGTTGAGTTAGACCAATGTTGTCGCTTCATCTTCCCGTCTTCATTTTTGTATTTGAGCAGATAATTTATTTGATCTTCGGTAAATAATTCCATTAATATATTTTTATATGCAGTATGTCCATTTCTTTCCATTTCTTGTTTTTCATTAATTACATTTTGCAATCGCTCTTTTAAATCTTTGATTTTCTTCTCTTGTTTGAGAAATAATTGTTCTATCTCTTCTTTAGTTTTTTCTCTGAAAACTGTATTTTCCTTTTCTGTCAATGAGAAAAATGAATTTGCGGTTACATCATTTTCACTAGTCTGATTTTTGCAATTATCATTTACACTTTCCTCCTGTAATATAAAAAATTTGTATTTAGTAAATTCTAAGGAAACTTATTTTATTTAATAATGATCATGTACTGTAATTAGTAATTACTATAATATTCTGAATATTTAAATTAATATTTCGATTAAAAATTTTTCTTCCGTAAAAATAATGTTTTACAACATTTATTGATTATAATTTATCCATCAATATTTTTATTTATATATTATTTCAATTTGTTTACCTGACTAGATTCATTCATCAATTTAGTTGAACTTGCAGAGAAAGCAGAACCATTGTGATTTTCAATTTCTAATTCAGTTTCTCTTTCAGTGTTATCTAAGGTTACATTTTGCTCTTGTGACAACTTCGAAGCTGTCTGTTTAGCAACAAGCTCATTAACGTTGTTTACTACTACATCTATTTTTTGCTGAAAAGAATAATAAAAGATTAATTGAAAACTTTTATGTTTTATTTTTCGAAAACAAAAACAAAACTCAGTCGTCAAATTATTTCATTGGTTTATTATTGAATCTTTAGAAATCTATTAATTACCATGAATTTTAATTAGTTTTATTTCTTGTTTAAAACAATTCTTTATAGTTTAAGGTTATGTCAATGAGTTTTATATCATTCTTATTATTATTTTAGCCTGCGAAAAAAATTTTTGTAGATTATTATTTAATAAATTTAATACCTTTTTTAGTGGTTTGACAAACGTACGTCCAGCTAACCTCTTTCTTATTGTTGGAAGAGGAAATATTGTTGGTATTGCCTGTGCCTTTAATCTTTTTTTGCCATCAATAGTCTCGAACATGTCATGTAAAAAATGTAACTAGAAAAAAAATTTAATTTAAAAGTAACTAAAAATTAGAATGTCTCAGGATCATTCATAAATTTCTGTAAAACTGTAATGTAATGTGATTAACTGTGATTAATAATGCAATTTTAATCCTTGTTAGTTTCTGTATATTTACACGTAAAGCATAAAAAAATAAATCATGACATTTACAATGTCACAATAAATATATTGAATTACCATTACATTACATTTTTTAAAGTTAATTGTTAAATTACCTGGCAAATAACTGATGTTGGTGACGGTTCCCAATCTTTTCTATTTATACTTTTTATCCATTTCTCTCTCAGATTTTGATTTTTTGGAAATAATTTTAGGGTGTTGCCATTTCCTGACTTCGTATGACAATACAAAATGCAGCAAGAATTTACCATTTCGCAATTTATTTATTGAAATATTCAACGTATACACAGGACTTTAACAACCACATATACCAAAACATAACCTAATTCATGTCACTGTCCAAACAGACCATATTTACACTTTTGAATTCACCGCACTTACTATGTCACTTCCGGGTTCCGGAAACCCTCGAAGTTGTGGAAGGGGAATATTGACACAACTCTCCCTTGAGGATCTCTACCTTTTTTCATCGTAAAAAGAGCCTATTGTGGACACAGCCTTAATGACGTGAATCGTAACGCTTACGTGAGAGAGAAAATGATAATGACACCTTTTTTCCTTTTCTATCTCACGCTTGCTGCTTGCCTATTAGGAATAATAATAATAAATAATAATAATAATAATAATAATAATAATAATAATAATAATAATAATAATAATAATAATAATAATAATAATAAATAATAATAATAAATAATAACTAATAATACTTGACTACTAATTAATATTTTTACAGGAATACTACACAGCAAATAGATCAATGGGTGTATTCCCCATCGGAATGGCACTCATGGTCTCTTTCATGTCAGCCATAACACTTTTAGGCGTATCCTCGGAAAATTACATCTTTGGAACACAATTCGTGGTTATCAACATTTCATACATTATTGGAACTCCAATTGTATGTTATTTTTACATGCCAGTGTTTTTCAAGCTCCAAGCAACTAGTGCCTATGAGGTAATTTTATTTCACTTATTTAACCATCGTACAGTCGTGTGCAACGATGTCTTCTTTATTCGTAAGGCCAGTGCACAATAAAGTCCTTCGTAGACAATTTAAACAATTGGGATCAATTTTTTTTGTTACAGTACTTGGAGAAGAGATTTGGAATGAGCGCAAGATTGACGGCGAGTTTTATTTATTGGATTCAATTGCTTTTATATTCGGGCGTTGTCTTGTATGCACCGGCTTTGGCTCTAGAGGCCACAACAGGATTGTCGAAAAATTTGAGTATCGTTCTCATTGGCGTGGTGTGTACATTCTATTCGACTGTTGGTGGCATTAAGGCTGTGTTAATTACTGACCTTTTTCAAGGGTTCCTCATGTTTTTTGCCGTTCTTGTTGTCATTGGTACGGCCGCATATTCGGTTGGGGGAATTTCGGAAATTTGGAACATTGCACAAGAAGGAGGACGCATTCAGTTCGACAGGTAATTTCTTTACTTTGCATTTTTATTAAATTATTACAGTGTAAAAAAGACCAGTGAGTTTAACAAAAAAAAGGATTCTCGTGATTGTAAAGCTGATGTTTGAAACGATTTTAATTGAATTAGATAGATTTTCCGAAATTCGTTAGTAGTAAGGGGCGCGAATATCGTAGTTACGCTCCTGGCGAGTGCGCGCGTCGCCCCTCCAACGGGCCACAGACAGGCCCCCCACTCCTGTGTGGTATATAAGCCGGCGCGCGGCACGGAGACCCTCAGTCGACGCGGTATCACCGTGAGAGTAACTTCTCCTAGCTGAAGGAGGTTTATCCAAAAATCGATTTTCTACAGATTCTTATAAAATTTTAAAGACATTAATTTTATTTTACATTTGTGGTCCAAATTTTATTGTTATATGGAATTATTAATTAATTATATGAAACTAATTAATGTTAAATTTTAGCATTTCCTTGGATCCGACTGTTCGACACACATATTGGTCACTAATTATCGGAGGTCTCTTCACCTTCCTATCACTTTACGGAGTTAATCAAGTCCAAGTGCAGAGATTAATGACAGTTCGGTTTGTTACTAAATTGCTATCTAAACCCCCATTTTTGATTCATTAAGACCATTTCCCTAATTGCTGAAAATTTAATTTGCAGAAAAATAAAATCGGCACGATTGGCACTGTGGTTGAGTTTGCCGATTCTTATGTGTCTTTCGGTGTTGACATGTTTCTCTGGACTGGCAATGTACACAAAATATCGAAGGTGCGATCCTGTGAAGGAGGGCAGAATTAATCTTCCTGACATGCTGCTGCCACTTTATGTCATGGACACTCTGTCACATTTACCCGGAGTTCCAGGATTCTTCATAGCTGGTATTTTAATTTACTAGAAAACTTAGCAATTGATGATGTTTGCTGGTATTGACCGGCAAACATCATCAATTGCTAAGTTTTTCTTTGAATTTCAGGAATTTTCAGCGCCGGATTAAGTACAATTTCCGCGGCGCTTAATTCATTGTCGGCGGTTAGTTTGGAGGATTATATCAAACCGCTTTATAGAAAATTCACGAAGAATGAGCTTCCAGATTCGAGGTCTTTGGTGATTGGGAAATTACTAGCTGTCATCTTTGGTATTTTGAGTATTGCCCTAGCGTTTTTGGCACAATATTTAGGAGGCGTTCTACAAGTAAGAGACTTGCCTTTTTTATCCACTTTCTGCTCTAGTATTTTTACTCTTCTTCTTCTTCTGTAATTTTACTCTAGTAATTTTAACTTTGTTTGTTTGCCATTCGAAAATTAAATTTCAGGCTAGTTTGACAATTTTTGGTGTCGTTGGAGGTCCGTTGTTGGCAATTTTCACCTTGGGAATGATTTCCCAAATGGCAACGCAACGAGGCGCTGTTATTGGTACCCTAATTAGTTTAATATTTTCCTTTTGGATGGCGTTCGGTCAACCGAGACCGAGAGCACTGACTTTGCCGGTTTATACTGATGGCTGTGATGCGCAGAATCTACTTACTCCTACTAACACTACTTTATTAAATAGGTAACAATTTTTGTTAAATTCTGGATGAAGTGGTAAATAATCTTTCCGGACGGTAGCCTAGTGGGAAAAGAATTACAATTCTTTCCTTATTGGGGTACCGCCTGGAAAGATTATTAGGGCCAGCATACATGCAATTGAGTGTATTAAGGTACCGTCCCATGACGGCGTAAAAGCGTCGGCGTAAAGCAGAAATCGTGCGATAGAAAGAGATGAACAGATATCACGTTCTCACTCACTCACATGGTTTACGCTTTACGCCGACGCTTTCACGCCATCATGGGACGGTACCTTTAATCTACAATCAATTGCATGTATGCTGGCCCTTTTGACGTCGTCTTTTGAAGATGACTGGACGACGTCAAAAGGGACAGCATACATGCAATTGATTGTAAATTTATCTATTTATCCCTTTTTCAGAGCGGACAATTCTTCCTTCTTCTATTTGTACCGAATTTCGTACATGTGGTACTGTCCAATTGGATTTGTTATTGCTATTGTGATAGGATTTTTTATTAGTTTTGTAGAAAATATGGTGAGTGGAAGAAAGGAGGAATACAAGGATCCGAATCTATTTTTCCCTATGGTAGCTAAACGTCTGCGACGAAAACAAAGAAAACTTTATCCAAATATAATGACGCAGAAGGATAATATACAAATTGATAGCTCTAGCCACTCTGACAGATCTAGTACGATACTTTAATTCCTTTCGGTCACAAAATAAATATTTGTACCCAGAGTCCTTACTAGGGTGTGGGGCGTGATTTTTGTTAATAAAATTTTTAATTCTTTTTTATAAGCGGCGCAAATAATTTACTTGGCCCGGGACGCTCAATGAGCTGGATTAATTGAAACAAAGTGAAATTTTAATAGTTTTTAAAGTTAAGGTCATGTTATTCAGTGTGATGTTCTTCCATAGTAAAGTATATAGGGCACGTGACCACTAAATAACATAGCCTTAAATTAAATTTTTAATGTTTTTTATCAGAGTTAAGAGGTATTTCACTGGGTGTTCGAGAAGAAAGTTCATTGGAGGGCGGAACGACTTTAGTTCGGCATCTGCGCAGTTTTCTAATTTGAACACTCTGCGCATTTAGATTATGCGCACTCGTTACTTTTCCATCACTGTCTCAATTTTCTTTTCTCTTTTTTAATAATAAGAACAATAATAACAAGTCTTACTGTGAAATTCTGTGATGTTACGAAGAACGTAGTGAAAATGTAATTATTAAGTAGAATGATAATTCGGTTCCCAGCTGGGTACTAGAGACAATATTGGAATCTGATATACTACGATACGCTATCTAGTGAGAGCCTTGTTGTGGTAGCCATCTTTCGTTTCGTTTCTTTCTAATATACGTTCAAGAAAAAGATAAAATCCAAGATGGTTGCCACAAAAAGGCTAAGGGGTGTGTCAGTTTCACGTGATTTCAGATCCCAATAAATTCCAGAGCGCAGGAGTGGGGTTAGAAGGGTAGGTAGAGGGGTAAAGTATTTTTTCAGAATAGTAATCTTTATAAATGTTAACATAATATTTTATATAAAATTTAGAATAAGAATAACAATTTAAAGAGAACAGAAAAATTTTTCTAAAGGAAAAGTATTTATATTATTAAAAATGCTATTTTTTACTAAATTTTCTGATTCATGTCTTCCAATTTTGTCCTTCACTGCCAATTGGTCAAATGGAGATTAGATTCCGAATTGGGTTACAACCAAAGGGACGCCATACATGCATTTGAGTGTATGATTTATTTCTCCGCTCACATGTGGATGCACCTTAAGAATCCCATTCATTTTTTGTCTAATTTTTTTATCTTTACATATTCTTCTTTTTTTGCACAAATATATTGTATTTTCTGAACAATTTATTATATAGTCAAATGCATGTATGCTGTCCTTTCGGTTTGACGGTAAGACAACTGCGCATCTATCAAGATGTTGTTAGTTCGTGACATAAAGGTTCATTCATACGTCACGAACTTACATTTTGATAGATGTGTCATTTGAAAGAGCCGTCAAAACCGGAAGGACCGCATGTGTGCATTTGATTGTACATGCACATATATTTTTTATCAAAATGGCATTTATATAGAAATAATTAAATAAAACAAGGAAAAAATGGTTAAATATCAAAAAATGCATTTTTTTTACCAAAGTGTATTTATATTTGGATAAGAAATAAAATATAAAACTTAAAAAAAATAACTATATGGAGAAAATTATATCTTTAGTGTGAATACAAAGGTCACTAAGTATACTGCTCTGGAAGCAAAGAAAAAAATGTGTTAAATTTTAAATATTATAGGATGTGGACAAGAATATATAAATAGTAAATAATTGCATGTGGACTTAACTAATAAAAAAGTGGAACATTAAGACCTAAGCACAACTGTTTCGCGAACGCAAAAAATGAGTTTGAAAAGGACAGAGATATACACGGAAAAACCTTTAAGCAGTCTGCTCACCCGAAACTTATGCGTCAGCGCCACCACTAAACTTGTTCATCTGCACTCCCAAACTGGGTGACCAACGTAACCAGTTGTAATTTTCTAAACTTTTTGGGAAGTTTGTCTATCGAAAACGGTAATGCTACGCACCCAGTGGCGGGCGATCAGACTTTCCATGCAGTGAGAAGCGAAATTTTGGGACAGTGGGAAGACAGACTTCTCAAAGGTTTTTCCGTGTATCTGTGTCCTTTTTTATCTCATGCGTCTCGTTCGCGAACGACTTTCGCGAATCTATTGTGCATTGGCCTTTAGTGTCAGAGAGTTGTGACAATGAGAGTGAGAGAGAAGAATTGCAACTTCTCTCTCACTCTCATTGTCCTGCGCCTGCGCTCCATTTCTCCTTGAGATATGACGTATCTTGTAAATATATAGTTCGTGACTCTAGTAGTGTCTAGTAGCGCCAAAGATTATTATCTTTCTTACCGTTCAAATTGTGAAATGTTTGTGAGTGTTTAACTGTTTACATATCAATATTATCGCAAAGAAAAACTATTTTCAATCCAAATAATGTGTGTGTAAAAAATAAACAATGTTTTCTATAATTTAGTGTAAGGAATGTACAAAATATGCAATAGTGATGCCCGGTTCCACTAACTCGTAGTTAAAGGTTCGATTAACTGCCGGTCCGCTAAAGTTAAAGGCCCTGTTAAGTTGGCTTTAACCGCCTGTGCGTTCCACCAACATGTTATAAGCCATGGTTAACTAAACGTATACTATGTTCGTAATAACATTACTTTCTCTATTATGATTGGTCAATTCTAACGAAAAGTGTGCGTTTTCTAGATAGAATTTTGACTGTTTCCCTTATCCCTTTTTAAAAAATTGAAACAGTTCAAAATAAAATTTGTTACTGGACCAAACTTCTGCGTCTATTATTTTTAAAAATTACTATAAAATTCTTTATAAATTCTATAAATTTTAATAGAATTTATAAAATTATTTTACAAACTTTCAATTACTTCTTTATCAAATTTCAATCATCTTCAATTCAATTAATAATAACAAAATTGAAATATTTTAAAAACTTAAATTTTTAGAATTTTAAGTAAAATTTTCCTAGACTTTTATTAAATAAATTACTAAATTTAAATTATTTTAAAATTTACTAATTAATAAAAATTGTAATTGTAACTCTTTGTACAAGTCAATTCAATTATTTATAAATTATTAAATGAAAATTCTTTGAAACTTTGGTTTTTTTTTAAATTTTTAATGAAGTTTTTTAACAAATTGTAATATTTTCAAGACAGTTTCACAAAATTTCAATTAATTAAATAATTTTTTAATAAAATTGTTTTAAAAATTCAATTATCTTTAAACAATTTAATTAAAATTTACAATTTTTTCAGAATTTTGTATAAAATTATTTAATACTTGAATAAGTTTTAAAATAAGTATTGAATCATCAAATTGGGGAACTATCAATTTTGCTGTATACAGAAAAAGTGCACATGAAAAAACTGCACACATGAAAATTAAAAAAATAAAATCATTAAATTAAATAACTGACAAATTTAAACTGACCACGAGAAAACTGCACACTATTAGAAATTACAAATTTTAATGAAGAATTAAAATTATTTTCAACTGTATACATGGGTATTCGGACAAGAAGTCCAAAACAAAAAGTCCAAGCTAAAAAATCCAAAAAAATAAAAAAGTTTCACTTTGAACTTATTTTTTGGTTTTCTGTCCTGATCAAAAAGTCCAAAGAAATCAAAAATCCAATAAAAAATTTGAGATATAAAAATTTAAATGGTTGTCTTGAATGAAATTGTCCTTTTTTGAGTTGCGCATTTTGATGACTGTGAACCGAAAGTAGATAATTTAATGATTTTATTTTTTAAATGCAGTTTACTCGTATGCATTTTAACTTATGCAGTTTTCCTATATACATTTGAATTGTGGGAATGTAATACTGCCTCAACAAATTGTACTATTTTTATGAAAATTTCATAAAATCTCAATTCATTTCTTATTATTTTTTAATAAAATTATTTTAAAAATTCAAATCTTTTAACAATTGAATTAAAATTTACAATTTAATCAGAATTTTAAATAATTATAATAATAATTATTTCTTTGAAATAAAATTTATTTGACTTTTCCCTTAATTTCTCTGACTTATGGTTCATAAAATTTATTTTTCTGGCAACAAGAATTACACTATCTGTCACTTTTCAAAACACTTTTTAGGTTAGAGTACGTTAACCGACTGTTAACACACGTTAACCGACCTCTTGTGGCTGGTTAGAGTTAACATCGGTTAAATCGAGATAACGTTCTGTTAAAAGTTGGTGAAACGCAAGTAGAAATTTGACGGTCCGTTAATGTTTTAATCGAGGTTGGTGGAACCGGGCATGAGTATGACAATATTTAGATCCGGCAATTTTAACTGTTATATGTATCAGGTACTTAATTGTTCTGACAGTTAAGATATTTAAGAACGTTAAGCATGTGATAGAAAAGGACAAAATAACTTTTGTCTTTTTTTTTATTTCACACACTTGTGTTCTGTTTTATTCTGCTCGGGGGTTATCCATAAACTACGTAAAGACCTAGTAGGCACAACTCCTTCGTGAACAAGAAACATAAGTTAGAAAAGGACAGATGTATATTTTCGTCCTTTTCCATCTCTTGCATCTCGTTCCCGAACCTATATTGTGCATCATTGGCCTTATCTCGATTTTTTTGCGAATTTTTGTTGTTAAATATGAATTTCAATTAAAATTTTAGATAATTGAATTTTGAAAAGATTTCAAATTATAATTTTTTAATGTTTGAATTTTTTATACATTCAACTAAAAATTGCGTAGATTTAATTTTTTTTAAAAGTTTAATTTAATTTTTTTCTAAAATTATTTAAATTGAATTTTTTGCAAACGTGGATTGTGAGATAGAAGAGAATAGAGATATATTTGGATTCTTTTCTATCTAATGCAGTTGTGTTTTGACTTTTATTAAATAAAGTTTGATTGCATATAAATAGGATTTTATTTATACTTTGTTAAAATATATATCTAGTTGTTGAAAAAATGACTTTAATTCACTCTTTACCCTTTAATTATTAAAATAAAACCTTAGATAAATATACTAGATGCGGCGAGGCGTTAGTTTAGGCACATGAATCCAGGGTGGCGTTAGTGTAGATTATGTGCCCGCACATGTGCCCTTCGTGTGCCTCTTATAATCGGACCAATCGGACTATTTCGTCAATCTTCGGTTGCTTCCAGTGCTCGCCGCCGTATTCTCTCTCACTTTCGCCAAAAATGTCGAAAATCCAACTTTTGTAATTTCGTTTTTCAATATTTATTTCAAAAATTACTTGCAAGTTTTGAAAATATTCTTTATCAGAAAAGATTATATTATTAATTTTATTTTTTATTATTAATAATATTATTATTACATATAATAATTATTATTATTATTATTATTTATAATTAAAAAATTTCAGATAATTAATTTAATTATTACACTGAAAAAATTTTATTTGATTCAAATAACCAATTAATTGGCTGTTATCAATTAAATATTTAATTGAACCAAATAAATAATTTATGAGAGTCAATTAAATGGTATTTGCTTCAAATACTGAAGTTATTGATTAAAATATACAATTTAATTGATTCCAATAAATATTATTTGATCCAAGTAAATATTTAATTGATAATAATAGTCAATTAATTGGTTATTTGAATCAAATAAATTTTTTTTTGCAGTGTAAATTAAATAGCCTCTGGTCCAAGGTAATGAATAATTTTTATGAAGTGACAATGGACAGTTATTATTGAATAAAATCAACATTTTTTATAATAGTGACTGCCGAAGAAAATTCAATTCCTTTGACTTACGATATACGACTTTTTTCAAAAAATTGAATTTTTCCACTACGATCTTATTTAAAAAATTTAATTTTTAACTTTTTATTCTAAAATAAAATTTTCACTTATTGTAATAAAACATTTCAATTTTCAATTGACTGAAGATATCTATAATTAAGACACATTCTATTAAACAATTTTTCAATTAAAATTCATAATTAAACAAATTTTATAATAAAAATATTTTATTATTTTGATTTAAAAAAAATTTTTAAATTAATAATTAAAAAATTTTGTTTTTATTGAAAAGAAATAATTAATAAATTTTTTTTATAAAATGACTCAAAAAATGCGATTTCCAAGCGGTAACCTTGGAAACGGCGAAAAGATGCCGCATCTAGCCGCATCTAGTATATTTATCTAAGATAAAACGATTTTTTTAGGGGTCATTCATAAGCTACGTGATACATAACTTCCTTATTAATGTTGCTTCATAAAGGTATTTATTCAATTCATTTTATTATTTGCCCTATAATTCCATGTCATTAATTTTTAACTTCAAATTTACTTCTTTATTTTGCAATTTTTAGTGCTAAGAATTCATATAAACTGAAAATTGATAATTATTTAATTTAAAAGAAAAATTTTTGTCGTGTCGCTCTCACGAAGAAAGAGACCTAAGAAGTAAAATTTTATAGGTTATGTTTGTTATGATTTGAGTGAAAATACATAAAGTAGGTTAACTCTCAATTCATTCTAAATATCCTCAAGTCTATTACATTTAAAAGAAAAATTATTTTTATTTTATACTAAATTTAAAAAAAATACTTTAGAAATTTAATAAACATAACCTATAAAATTTTGCTTCTCAGGTTCCTTTCTTCGCGACGGCGTCAAAAAATTTTTGTTTCTTAAATTTATATAATATTAAATATCAATTTTCAGATTATTACAAATTCTTAGCACTAGAAATTGCAAAATATATGAACTAGATTTGAAGTTAATTTTTTCTACTTTCTTCATCAACGAACAAGTATAAAATTAAAGGTAAAATGTAACAATAGGAAAAAGGAATAAACTTTCGAAATACACAAATAGATCAACTGAAATAATTTCCTTTATTTTTTTTTCAACATTTACATAAATTTTTTTTGCAAATAAAAATGAATTATTTCGATTCTATGATAACAGAGATTTTTCGCATGCAAAGAAAAGGAAAATTATTTTTTCAATTAAAGAATGGAGAAAGTTTTTGTTTGCATGTAGCACTTCATTACTTTATATCCAGTTTCGCATTCGTCTGCTCCTTCTGAAATTAAACACAAATAGAAATATTTTAGTTTTAGTTCCTTCTTTTCTGGAAATTTTATTACTTCGTTAAGAGAAAAATTTTATTTTATTTTATTTTATTTTATTTTTTTTTTTATTTTTATTTTATTTTATTTTTTTTATTTGTTTTAACAAAATAAAATTTTCTTATAACAAAATAAAAAAATATTAAAAAAAAAAAATAAAAATTTTATTATTTTTCTATTTTATTTTTATGAGAATAATTTATTAATCATATAAATTTTACTTACTCAATACTTTGCATTTGTTAATGACTTCATTGGCTTTGTCCTTTGGAATTGAATCTGGGATTTTAGCACGAGCAACTTCCTCATTAATTGTACCATCGGGATTCATCTAATTCAACGTCATTATATTATTAATTTAAACACTTTTACTAGTTTGTATTAATAGAAAGTAACACGCGATTCCGCATGTCAGTCATTTCAGTTTAATTAAGAAAAAAATTACGTCAAAATATTTGAGATTAAAATAAATTATTTAACAACATCCAATAAAATTCTCTCTCTATGTTATATTATTATGGAGGAAGTTAAAAATTTTAAGAAAACTAAATTTTCTTAAATTTATAATTTGAAAGAGTCTGATAAAAATTAAAATAAACGAACAATATTTTTGAAATAAAAAAAATGGTAATTTCTATAATTTCTGAAAAAAAAATTGAAATAAGTGAATTATATTTGAAATGAAAAAAAAATTACCTACATAATTTATATAAATTTTATAAACTTTATTAATTTTATTAATTTTATAAATTTTATGAATTTTATACATATTCTATAAATTTTATATAAATTCTATAAATTCTATAAATTCCATAAATTATATAAATTTTATAAAGTTTACAAAGTTTATAAATTTTATAAAGTTTACAAAGTTTATAAATTATATAAATTTTATAAAGTTTATAAATTTTATATAAATTATATAAATTTTATAAAGTTTATAAATTTTATATAAATTATATAAATTTTATAAAGTTTATAAATTTTATAATTTGTATAAGCTATATAAATTTTATAAAGTTTATAAATTTTACATAAATTATATAAAGTTAATAATAAAGTTATCGAAATTATCGATCGCCTATTTTATATAAATAATAAGATGTTGACTAAAACTATTAGGTTTTTAAATAATAAAAATTATATATATATATATTTTTTTTTTGACAAAAAATTGTTAAGAAAATTTTGAAGTAAAATAAAATAATTCTTACGATTCCAATTTTCTTCAACAAACAAGCTGAGAAGCAGGCCAATTTTTTATCATTGTCGTCAATTTTTCCATCTCTGGCATTTTGCACCACGGCTATACAACAGATAATAAAAAACTTGCTGAGGTCATAAAAATTAGTGTGTCATGTTTTTTCAATCACTTTACATCTATAAATGTAAGTTATTCAAAAATATAACCAAGAAAGTCGTTAAATTTTAAATCAAACTATTTTTTTTTATTTTAATAATAATGGAAAATATTAAAAAAAAGATAAATAATCACGGAAATTTATTATCATTATTTATCGAACAATTTATATGGGCTTAAAAAATTATGTCTTAAAAATAAATATATTATTTTTAAAAAAAAATTTTTTTTAATTATAAATTTTTGAATTTTTTTTCTTTTTTAAAATGTTAATTAAAAATTTGTTTTAATTTAATGAATTTAAAATAATATTTATTTTGATTAAAAGTTTATTTTTAACTATATAAATTTAAAAACAATTTTTATTAGAATATTTCGAATGCGACAAAGACTTGAACATAAAAAATTTGATAATAAAAAATTTTTTAAAAATTTAAAAAAAATAAAAAATTTGATAATAGTAATTTTTTCTCTTTTTGTATTTTTACTCAAAAATAATAAACATAACCTACAATTTTTTGTTATTTCAAAGAGCGCAAATTTAATTTCTTGGAAGTGCATAAAATTTATATATTTTTTTTTATTTTTATTTATATTTATAAAATTATATTTCAATTTCTTACCAGCATCAACTCCAGATTCTTTAATACATTCTGTTTTGTAGGCAGCGAGCTTCGTCTTTTGTTCTTCGGTGATGCCGGCCTGAAGAAAGGAAGATTTTTTTTATTATTTCAAATTTAAGAGAATTATTTATTATTAATATAAGAATTATTTATTTATAATTTTTTTATTCGATAAATTTAATCTGACTTTAGGTAAAAAAAAAAATAAATAATTATATATTTTAAATAAAACATTTCATATAATTAAAAAGTTTTACGACTTTGATAATAATTTTCTTTACTATATTCTTTTTAGAAACTATAACATTTTACGAGAAACTTTTTTTTTCATTTATTTACTAAAATGCTTTCAAGAAAATAAGAAAAAAGAAATTTATTATTTAAAATTTTTTATCAAAATGTTTAAAAAGAACAATAAAAAAATATAACTACAGAGAATGCAAAACAAAAATTATTTCTTTGAAAAATAAGAAACGAGTTGAAAAAAATTATTTTAAAATTATTTTATTTAATTTAATATTTAATTTTAATATTTTATGAAATGAAACATTTTAATTTTGAATTTAAAATCTAAAAAAATTTTGTTGGTAATTTAAAAAATTTTTTAAATGTTTAGAAAATAAAAATTAAATTTTTAATATAAATTTACCCCCGGGGAAATAAAATTAAAAAAAATTATTTTTACAAAATAGTTAAAAGTAGATTCATACCAAAGCACCGACGATGCAAAGAGTAAGAATTGCAAAAGTTGCCTTCATCTTAATAAAGTTTTTTTTTTTTTTTTTTTTTTTTTGTAGAAGAAGAGGAGGAAGTCTGCGAATTAAGAGCTGAAAGAATACTGGACGTTGAACGTTTGTTACGGTCACGTTTATATACCTACGATTCGCGATAATAGTTTTATTGCATAGACTTATGGTCAAATCAGCTCTTTAATATTTTTCTGGTCGTTGACCATGAACAGTTGCTCAAGAAAATACAGGATAATAAATATATTTCTTATCGACTTTGAGACAAGGATTATTACAAAGATACATTATATGAAAATTAAATTTTAATGTGTATTATATTTAAATATCCACATTATGTATGTATATAATATAATTTGTCACAAAGAGCGAATCAATTTTTGCTATTAAATTACTTTCGAGGTTTCAGAACTTACGTTTGTAAATTTTCTAATAATGGAAAAAATAAATTTAATTTGTCAGCAAATTTTATTATAATTTTAGGAGAAAATTTTTTTTTTTTTGAAAAAATAAAAAAGTTAAGAAATAATTAATTATTTAAATAATAGATATATTTATTTAGTTGTTTAAATAATAAATATTTAAAATTATTAAAAATTAATGTCGATTTTTATGTATTAAAATGTTAGTATTTTTTTTTTTTTTTTTTTTTTTTTTACTTTACATATTTAAATTTCGTCTAAAAATGAAAAATTATTTTGTTTCTAAACAAACTTAGAAAATAGTGTAATAAAGTAAATTAAATATACATATACATATATACATTGTATATATATAAATCGTCTTTCGCGCAGGTATATACCGAAAGCCAGAATCCTGTTTTATAAATATGTACAAGGTTATTCGGAGATTTATTACATTTACGTCAATTTTTAAAATCTTTTTTTTTTAATAAAAAAAAATTTTTTTTTAATTTGACTTTTGTTTTGATGACTTGGATGAACAAATTATGAATAATAAAATTATGTAAGTACAGTGTAGAATAGCATATGAAAAAATAAAAATAAAATAAAAAAGTCGTGAAGAAACATATTAATTTCAATTTAAATTAATTTTAAAATTAAAATAATAATGAAATTTAATTTAAATTAATTTAAATTTTTCATGAAATTTAATTAACATTAATTTCAAGTTTGCATACAATTTAATTAACATTAATTTAATTTGAATTTAATTGAAAGTTTTTATTAAATATGAATTGAATCTTAATTTTAAATAATAATAATAATAATAATAATAATAATAATAATAATAATAATAATAATAATAAAATTATTAAAATTTTTTTTATTAATTAAAATATCACATTATTTTAAATTAATTTTTTAAAATAACAATCGTAATACAAAAATCGTTACTTCAATGAACGATTATTATATTTAAAAAAATTCGTAAAAATCTATTCAATTAAATAAATTTCCTTTTTTTTATCAATGGACAGTTAACTGTTTAATGACATTTTAACGATTCCTGCATTCATGCGTATTTAGAAAAAAAACTGTTTAGAAAAAACTATTCCAAAAAATGTATTTAGAAAAAAATTTCTCTCTAGTATATATATAAAAAATTTTTCGTAGTAAATAAGTCATTTAGAGTAGATAAAAAATTATTATTATTCTAATTATTATTATTGTTTTTATTATTATTATTATTATTATTATTATTATTATTATTATTATTATTATTATTATTATTATTATTATTGTTTTTATTATTATTATTTTTATTATTATCAATATTTTTATTCTATAATTGTTAAAATTTTCTGCGTATATCGAAAATTCAATTTTTTTAATAGACCTTTGTTTTTAAAAGTTTGAAGAAAAATGAAAGAAAAGTATACAATTTTATTAAAACTTGGTATCAAACGAATCACAAGGCACATTATTTTCCGTCTAATTAATTTTTAACTCTTCTTTACAATACACATCATAGTGTTTTTATTGTATAGTAGAAGATATTGTTTTAACAAAATTTAGTTTTAACAATTAACAAGTCAGTTGTTGTATTTCAGTTGTCGACTCTACATACCAAGTAAGTTTAATAATAAAAATTTTTTAATTCATTTTATATTTTTATAGGTATATATATATATATATTTTTTATTTCATTATATTTTTAAATTTTATATATTTTATTTTTATTTTTTAATATTTTGTTATATTTTCAAATTTTATATATTTTATTTATATTTTTTTATATTTTTAAATTTTATATTATATATATTTTATTTAAAAAAAAATTTTTTTTTTAATTTTATTTATATATTTTTTATTAATTTTACATATTTTATTCGCTAATTTATATTTTTTCTCTCAATTTCTTTCTGTAAAAATAAAGCATTATTATTATCTTGTATGTTTGACATATTTCAGATTTCAGAGAATTTTTTGACTATAAAAAAGTGCAATATTTATTTATAATATTTATTATTAACATTAATATTTATTTATTAATAACAAAAACGTCTCTCGAAAACATTTTATTTCAAAATTTTTAATAATTTCAATGTTTACTTTTTGATAAAACAATGTTTCAATTACTTTCATTATTTATTTAATTGCGTATAAATATTTTTATTTATTATATAAATTTATTAAATAACTAGTTAAGTATAAAAATATGAAATAAAAATGACCAGCGGAGAGCGGACATAGACAACGAAATAATTTTTTTGAACAATAAAAAATGCGTATAATCGTTGAGTAATTATCAAAGATAAAAAATTAGTTAATTATATTAATTTTCAAACACTCTAGATTCAATATCTAATTGTAAGTAATTATTGAAATACGAATATTGACGAGAACTTCTTGAGATTCAATATGGAGATGCCAATCTCCACCTGCGAACGCCAAGGTCACCGCCAGATGGCAGTTTAGTTCTTTCTTGGAATTTCCGCGTGCCGCACCTGGTGGTGACCTTGGCGTTCTCAAGTGGAGAAACAGCCACCATTTTAACCCATCAAGAACTTATTTTATAATTAAAAATACTCATTCCACAGAATAAATAAAAATAAATGAATTTTCTTTAAAAAAAAAACTTTTTTTTATTTTCAATAAATTAAAAAAAATGATTTTTTTTCAATAATTTTTCTCCAAAAAATAAATTAATCTTTTAGTTTGTTGCAGAGAAAGAGAAGATCTATCCCCCCCCCCCTCTTTCTATTGGAAGAACTTAAAATTATGGAAAATGATGTGATTCGCAGTGCCTTACGACAGACATTTATGAAAATTTTTTCCAATCTCAATCAATATTTACAGACAAATCCTCTACCGGAAGATGAAGTGAAACTGTCCATAGATTTATTGAGCGAAAAATTCCATCGATTAGAAGAATTAAATAAAATAATTTTAGAAAGTATGGTCAATTCAAAAGTGGAGGAATGCGACATTGTCGAAGAAATGCACATTATCGATGATTATAAAATTAAATATTTACGTTCCAAATTGGAGGTGCGTAAGAAGCTGTCTAAAAGTGTGATACATGAAAAATCCTCAATCACAGGCAGTCAATATTTGATTGATGACCCATTTGAAGAAGCGATGAAGAGAAACAGCAATTTCTGGTTACCAAAAATTGAGATCAAAAAATTTAACGGAAATATCAAAGATTGGCTACAATTTTGGAGTCAGTTTAGAAAAATTCACGAGGATTTGAATATAACGAAGGAGGATAAATTTCAGTATTTGATTCATGCAATGGAGAAGGATTCAAAGGCTTGTGAATTAGTTTGTAGTTATCCGTGTACAAGTGAAAATTACGACAAGGCAATTACGGCACTAATAACACGTTTTGGAAGAGATGAATTATTGATTGAGGTGTACGTTCGATCGATTCTTCAACTTGTTTTGAGAAATTCGACGAAAGGTGGTCGAAAAATGACACTTTCGAAACTCTACGATAAACTGCAGATAAATATTAATGCTCTCGAGTCACTGGGTGCTGTCACGGATAAATGTGCGATAATTATTTGCACTTTGGTCGAATCCTCGTTGTCTAGGGAAATGCTTCGTAATTGGAGAAAGCATCACAATATGTCATCACATGACAATATGAATGCTCCTGAAAATCGATTGTGGAAATTGATGGAATTTTTGAGGACCGAGGTGGATCATGAGGAGAGGGTTTATTTTCTGGGACAAAAGCCATCAAATGATTCGGGAGATGAGGACATGATAAGAAAGAGTTTTTCCAAGAAGAAAAAGAAGAAGGCTAATGACAAAAATTCGGGTGGTTTTGGTTCGTTTCTTGGTTATTCGGCGAGGAAACTTTTCAGGGTTCTAATGAGAAAAATTGGCTAATTGTAAGTTAAAGAAAAAAAATAGTGGATAGAGAATTATTTAAACTTTTTTCAATTTTCGATATTATTTATTTTTTGAAGAACTTGACCTCGAGGAAGAGAAAACATGAAGTTTTCTTCTCCGAAGACGTCCCAGATAACAATCGTGCGTCGCATTTAAACGCATGTTTCTTGCACTAACTGCGACTTACCAGATGAGTCGGTTCATATACGCATCTTACTATCGTCTGTGACGCTGGTAATAATGCGAGTGTTGTGAACTGCATTTCGTAAGCGCCTGTGATACAAAATGATAAGCATGTTCCGTTCACAAGTGCGACTTGCTAGAAGAGTCAATCCATACGCATTTTACCATCCACAGTGCGAATGCTGTGAATGCGTGTGCAGTGAACTGCACTTAATACGCACGCAATTAATGATGCGCAACCACCCGTATCGGCAATCACACATTTTATAATGGCGACAGCATTGTTTGTGGTGTGTTATCAAAATAAGTTTTTATTGTGATTTCATTTTTTATTGTTTTTTATTGCGATATTATTGTGAGGAATTATTGTGGATTTAATTTTTAGTACTGCAGCAAAATAAGAAAGTTAAATTTAATTTGTTTAAAGTACATATATATTTTTGTTGTATTAGATATAACCTCAAAAAAAGAATTTGGAAGTTTTTAACAATTTCAATTCCAAAATTGTACTGAAATATTAAATTAAAATCGTTTTTATAAATAACATTTTAATTTAAAAAAAATTACTAATGTCAATAATCTTTTCTTTTTATTTAATTCAAATAAGGCTGAAGTATAAATATAATTTATTCGCATTATACCGTCACGCATGTGCCCATCACAATATGCGACAGTTATGGATCGCATATGATGACGCATCTGAGTGGTCCAGTGAACGCGCATAGTGCGGATAAATCGGCACGCGTGCAGATGATATTAGTAGCACACAACGCGCATTTTGTTATCTGGGGTTAGTTGTGTTTTGCACTTTACTACTAAAGGTAATCTATAAATTTTCTTTTTAGACATCTCTGCCTTATTCCTTATGCTATTTATCCTAATTGTCTAATTTCTATGTTTCAGTGACGATTTATCATTTCCAGAACAAAAGGATTTACAATTATGTAAATTTCTTTTTTAGGAACTTTTGGGAACTCTGCTTACAGATACCTTGCATACCGCACTCCATATGTTGCAAAAATAAAAAATTTAAAAAAAAATTAAAATTTTAAAATTTAAACATTAAAAATTAAATCACAATCTATTGTTTATAACTTAAAAATAAATTCAAGCAATTGAGTTTTACAGTTGGAAAGATCTACAAAAGAGGAAAAAAGTTATTATATAAATATTTAAAAAAAAATGTAGTCAAGGTTGGACCTTTCGTTTGGGACTAAAAATGACAATGCGAGGAATATGGATATAAATAAAAATGTTTTTTGGTAAATTTTTCCCGCATATATTATTAGAATGTATAAAATAAATTCAAGTTCTCAGCGAAGACAGTAATGTAAAGTAGGAAACCGAAGCGTGCAGAACCTATGGAAGAAAAATAATTACATTAGAAAATATAAGTGAAGCAAACTTGAATATAATATAATGAATAAAAAAAAATAAAAAAAATAAAAAAAAATAAAAAAAAATAAAAAAAATAATAAAAAATAAAATAAAAAATAAAATAAAAAAAAATAATAAAAAATAAAATAAAAAATAAAATAAATAAAATAAACAAATATAAAAATAATAAATAAAAAAATATAATGGTGAATATAATTGCTGGAAAGTATTATTCTTACTTTAGAAAAATTATTCATATTCAGTACAAACATTTTTCCAACTGTCAACGTTGATGGAAAATGTGTTCTCATTATTATCATAATAAGTAACTTTTTCGATTTTAAAGGTAATTTGTACCACATTCCACCAAATCTGAAATAAAGAATAAAATTACTCACTATTTTCGTTTATAGAAAATTTAATTTTTAAAAATGTGAAATGTTGAAGAAATAATAAATATCAAAATCTTCTGTATACGGTTTACACAATTTTTTTTTATAAATTAGCAAATAGTTTATAAAAAATTTATTTACACTCTATCCGATAGGTAGTAACTGCTACAGTCTAATAAACGTTGAGCAGGTAAATTATTGAAATACAAGTCAATAATTAAACCAAGAGCATAGGATCCAAACTTTGTAGCGTCATTAAAATTATCAATATGCACCACTGTCTGAAAATTATTTTTCAGAATATTTAATATTTCGAACATTAATAAAGAAATTTATTATTTAGTTATTAACCTTTATTAATTAACTAGCAAATGAATAAATGATACGCGGTATTTCATTCATTATTACTTTGTATAAATTAAAAAACTTTATATTTTCAAGAACAAGCATCAATTTTTGAAATTCATTATAGATTCAAAATTTAAAGAATTCACTTATTCATAATATCACATCATATCACTTACATAAAATTAAATATTTTTGTTTATTATTATTTAAAAATTTTAATAACATTTTTCGCAACAATTTAATTCTCATAAATAATAATATTTTTTAGAGCAATTCAATTATTATTTTCAATATAATTTTTAAAAAAATTTCTCCAATGAATACAAATTATTTATAAAAATATTAATTAAATTAAATTATTTTCAACAATTCTGATAAAATTCTTCGAAACAATTCAGTATTTTTGTAAATAATAAAATTTCTTCTGAGAAATTCAATTATTTTGAAATAAATTATAATAAAATTTCTCGAAATTCAATTTTTTTGTTTGTAAATAACAAAATTCTTCTTATAAAGTTTTAATTATTTATAAAAGATTTTATCAAATTTCAATTATTTTTGAAAAGTTTCACCACATTTTAATTATTTTAAGTGAATCTCAACAAATTTCAATTATTTTTAAAAGATTTTATCAAAATTCAATTATTTTAAAAAGAGTTTCTGGTTTCAATTTCAATTATTTTTAAAAAATTTCACAAAATTTCAATTATTTTGAAAATATTTTATCAAAATTAATTTGTTTTGAAAAGTGTTTATAAAATTTCAATTATTTTAAGAAATTTCACTAAATTACAAATATTTTAAAAAGAGGTTATCAATATAAATTTCAATTATTTTTAAAAGATTTTAGAAAATTTCAATTATTTTTATATGATTTCACCAAATTTCAATTATTTTAAAAATATTTTATCAAAATTCAATTATTTTGAAAAGTGTTTATAAAATTTCAATATTATTTTGAAAAGAGGTTATCAATAAATTTAAATTATTTTTAAAAGATTTTACGAAATTTCAATTATTTTGAAAAGAGGTTAACAATAAATTTAAATTATTTTTAAAAGATTTTACCAAATTTCAATTATTTTTAAAAAATGGCACCAAAGAGTTGTAAAGAGTTTATCAAATTTCAATTATTTTTAAAAGATTTTATCAAAATTTAATTATTTTAAAAAGATTTTAGGGTTTTAATTCGAAATTTCAATTATTTTTATAAAATTTTACTAAATTTATATTATTTTCTAAAGAGTTTATCAAATTTCAATTATTTTTAAAAGATTGTATCAAATTCAATTATTTTTAAAAATTTTTACCAAATTTCAATTATTTTAAGAAAATTTCAAGAAATTTCAATTTTTTAAAAAATATTTTATCAAAATTCAATTATTTTGAAAAGAGTTTCGGGTTTCAATTTCAAATTTCAATTATTTTTAAAAAAAATTTTACCAAATTTCTTTTATTTTGAAATAAGAGTTTAATCAAGAATTCAATTATTTTTGTAAATAATAAAGTTCTTCTGATAAATTCATTTATTTTTAATAAAATTTCTCTAACAGGTTCTTTTGTAAACAATTTAATTGTTCTCAAAACATTTTTTATAAAATTCTTCGTAAATTTCAATTATTTCAAAAATTAAAAAATTACTTTAAAAAATTACATTCTTTTTACGAAATTTAATGAAATTCTTCAAATAAAAAAAATGTAATTCTTCACAAAAACTGTAATAAAATTGTTTAAAAAAAATTAATTTAATAAAAATTAATATAATAATTAACTATAATAATCTTCGTATCCGGATTTCACGATCTCTGTCCACACCTGAAGTTGGACTTTTGTGGATTCTTTTGTTCTATTTCTAGGTTTGACATTTCTTTTGTATACATTTTGCACAATATATTTTCGAGGTTATTGGAAATCAAAATTTATCACAAGAATTCAAATACTTTGAAAAGTAATAAAATACTTTGCAGAAATTAAATTATTTGCAAATTTTTTAAAAAAATTTCTACAATTAAATTATCTTTATAAATAGATAACGAAATTCTTCTAAAGTATTCAATTATTTCCAAAAATTTTAATAAAATTATTTAAAAAGTATTAAATTATTTTCAAAAGTGGTTATAAAATTCTTTGATGTCATCAATTTCAGTAAAACTTTAATTAAATTTCTTAAAAGAAATTAATTTTTTTCAAAATAAAATTCTTCGTAAAAATTAAATTTTAAGAAACATTCAATTATTGAACAATTTATTTATTTTTGTAATTAATAATATGTAATTGAATTCTCGTAAAATTTTCTAATAAAAATTTATTTAAAAATAAATTCTTGAAAATAATTTTAGAAAATAATATTGGAATTTAAATGATAAAAATAATTTAGAAAAAATTAGAGTAACAATATTCTTATATAAAATAATAATTTTATCCCTAGGTTATCTTTAATTCTTAAAAAAATAATAAATTGATCACTCCGAGTCAAAGACTTCCTAATATTTAAAATAATATTCATATAAGTTTTTAAATTTCAAAATTTTTTTTAAAATCTTAATTCCTACAGAAAAATAATAATAAGTAAATATTTCTTTAAAAATGAAGTTTTTTGTATTTTTGAATAACAGGGTTCCTACAGAATCTGGAAATCATGGAAATCATGGAAATGGTATGGAATTTTTAAAAGGCTTCTGGAAATCATGGAAAAGGCCTAGAATATTTAAAAGTTTCTTTTTTGCTGTTTTCCATTTTTTCTCTTGAATAGAAATTCAAATAATAATAAAGCTAAATCCCATAAAAGAGGAGAAAAAATGTTGAATTTTAACAAATTCGGATTTTTGAATTATTGATAATTTTCTATTTTTTACCAAAGGGTGGAGACTATTAAATAAGTAAAGTATTTTCCAAGAGCACAATAATAATGAAGCTAAATGCCAAAAAAAAGAGAAAGAATGTTGAATTTTAAGAAATTCGGTTTTTTGAATTTTTGATAATTTTCGATAATTTTAGATTTTTTACCAAAGAGTCGAGACTATTAAATAAGTAAAGTATTTTCCAAAAGCACAAAAACAATGAAGCTAAATCTCATAAAAGAGAGGAAAAACTGTTGAATTTAAAAAAATCGGTTTTTCGAATTTTTGATAAATTTTGATAATTTTAGAATTTTTACCAAAGGGTGGAGACTATTAAATAAGTAAAGTGTTTTTAAAGAGCCCAAAAATATTGAAATTAGATTTAAAATTCCACTGGAATTTCGTAAAAAATTGACCGGGATATCATGGAAAAGGTATGGCGGAACAGTGTTTGGAAGTAACGCGTTACTTTTAACGTCGTTACCGTTTTCGTTACTTATTTTGGGTAACGGTAACGATAACGCGTTATTATTTTAGAAAAGTAACGGTAACGGTAACGAGTTACTTTTTTTTGTAATTTGTAACGAAAAGTCGTTACTTTTATCGTTATTTTTTAAAGGGTATAGCGGAATAAGAATGGAAAATCTGCCTTTGCTCCAAAAAAGTTTAAATTATTACTAAAAGTTGGTACTAATGAGATGAAAATTTCCACCAAATATTTTTTGAAAAAATGCATTTTTACAGGAGTTATGGAGGGGGAAAGCAAAATCAAAAAATTGATTTTTCTCGAAAACGGCTCAACCGATTTTAATTTCAAAAATATGTTTTTTTGTAGAATCAAAAGACGAATTATAAAAAAAATACAAACACTGGTATGGAATTTTAATTTCGGATTTCTGTAGGAATCCTGTAATAATTTTTCAATTAAGAAAATTCGTAAATAAAAGTAATATAGGAATTTTTTGTGTGTACCTATCTAATAATTTTTAGAGTGTATCAGAATATTCTTTATGATCAGGAAAAAAGTCAAAATTCTATCTAGAAATCAGAGAAAGACAAAATTAAATATTTGTGGTAACCCAGTTTTAGCAAGTATTGAAAAATTCAAAATTATTTAAAAATGAAAAATCTTTTATTTTTATTCTCAAAAATTTTAAAATATTATTCGAAATTTGGTTATACAATGCAACTAAAATAATATACCTATTAAGATGGTATTCTGGTCTGTTTTTTCGAGTAGGATAAAAAAGAAAGTTTAACACTTTTAGTATTGACTTTTGTTGCAAATTGTTTATTAATGTTTAAAGAATACAGAAAAAAATTAGGAAAAAAAATAATAAATTTTTTAAAGTTATAAACTGGTGAAGTGGGGACTGAAAAAAAGAAAGTGCGAACTGGTTGACACTGTGGAGACTTTTGTAATTCCCTAAAAAAAACCCAAAAAATTCTTGATTATTACAGGCTTCGCTATGATCGGTACATTGAAAAAGAGAAAATTTTTTTTTAGCAAAATGGCGACGATTTAGAAAAAAGTTGTGTTTTTTGAGATTTTTTAAAAATTAAATAAAATATATTTTTCAAAATCCAAAGTTCCGATCATAAAGGGATATACAAAGAACATTTCTGCAAAATTTGAAGTAAATCGGTTGAGTAGATTTTGAGTTATCGTGTCAACCAGAATTTTTTTCAGTTACAAACTTCAACAGTTTATAACTTTTAAAATTTTATATTATTTTTTTCTGTATTCTTTAAATATTTATAAACAATTTAGAAAAAAATTAATATTAAAAATATTAAACTTTTTTTTTATCCTAATTTTTCAAAAAATTATCATAAAAAATTATTAGGTATACAAGGCATCAGGCTAAAATTAAAACATTTAATTTCTGAATTCTGATTCATGTTCACATCAGAATTAAAGTCATGTTATTTAATGTGATATATTTTTCCATAATAAAATATATCGGATACGTGAATAACATATCTTTAATGGTTTAATACACATATCATAATAAGTTTTTCATTGTGAAATAAGAAATATGATATGCGCGCGTAGCGCGCAAAGTTTGCTAGTATATTAATTATATTAATAATATTAATAAAAAAATTAATGGAAAATCTTCATAAAATTCAATTACTTTTAAAATTTTCATTAAAAAATATTTTTAAAAAATTCATTATTTTCAAGAAAATTGAAATAAATTCTTCAGAACAATTAAATTAGTTTTAATGAATTTTAATTAAAATCTTTGCCAAGAATTAAATTATTTTCAATACACAATTTTAATTATATTTTCTCGAAAGAATTTAATATTATTGAAAAAAGAAAATGATAAAATTTTTGAAATTACTTCAATTAATTTCAAATTTTTTAATAAATAATACTTTACAAGAATTTAATGATTTTCAGTACCATTATTTTAAAATTAAAAACATTTAAATAGAAAAATTAAATTTTTTTTTCTTTTTTTTTTTTTTTATTAAAAAAATTATAATTAAAAAGTTAGAAACAAAAAAGCAAACAGCAACTAACTTCAAACTGCGAACATATTACCGGAATACAACGATTATTAATTATAGATAATAAATTTAATTAATTTTCATGAAAACTGAAAAATATACCTGAATTAATGTGGCACTTATGAGGATGACTGTAACTCCCATTATAATAAAAAAGCAAGTGGAGAAACAAGATTCAACAATTTTAGTAAATCTGAGATTTAAATGAATTAACAAAGTACATGATAATTTAAAAAAAAAATTGATATTAAACAGAATTTTTTAATATTAAAACGTACTCAATTGCCTGTTGATGACATTCGATACAAAAAGTTACGTCTCTATAAATTTTTTCCTCCAATTCTGCATTTGATTTAAAATTATTTACATTTATGTTTTGCATTATACGCTGCAGTCTATGTCTGCGAATTTGAAAATATTAGTTTTTTAAAAATTAAGTGGAGGTAAACTGAGGCTAGTCGTAAAAAAAATCTAGAAAATAGAATTTAAAACCCAAATTAGGAAGTAATCACTTTTTTACCCAACATTTGAAAATAAACCACAAGCGTGTTCTATTAGAATGGAAAAAGTTGATCTACATCCTGTAACAACGGCAACTTGAACTGCACTCGATATTATTATATGCAGTACAACATAGTAAAAATATTTTTCCCAACTGAAAAAATATTTAACGTGCGATGTCAGTCTTTTTGGTCGTGTTTCATTTAATGGTATAAAGACGTCCAAAATTTGTGGAGTAACGGTTGTTAAAATATAGAAGCAAGAGGCAATTACCATAGAACCTGAAAATAAATAATTGGGTCATAATTTTTGATGAAATTCTCCTGAAAAAAAGAATAATTAGTATTTTTCATCAAAGTTTGGCAAAGTATTTCATTTTTTTATTTTAAGCTTTTGATTATTATAAAATATTTTTCTATGTTAAAGTCGCTTCAAAAAAAATATTTTTGTTTTCTACCAATTTTTTTTTTTTTTTTTTTTTTTTTTTTTTTTTTAAATCGAATTCTATTAATGATTTTTACAAAAATAAAAGTAACTTTCTGATCAGGGAGTTCACCTCTACTATTCAACTTTTAAATTCTTCTGTTTCCAAATTCCAAATTTTACCAGTATAAAGTATAGTTAGGATCCTTCCATCCTCGGCATGATTCTCAAGTACAACAACATCTCCTTTAGATTTAGAAATTTGCCAATCGCTTTTAATGTGGCTTAAAAGCTTTCTCAGCTGTTGGGGGACAAATTTATTACAGACCTTAAATATTTTACTTCAAATATTAAAAAATACTTAAATACACTTAAAATATTTTACTTATATACACTTAAAATATTTAAAATTTAAAATTTATAGCAGACATGGGATGTTTTTTTTAAAAAGAAGTTTATGATATTCCTTTTTTTCAAAAAACCACAAACTTACTTGCTTTTCCTTATAAATGTACGTTATCGACAATAGCAAACATCCTAAACTCGTAAAAAATGGAATAAAACATTCAACCATTAAATCTAGTTCGCCCCATATTTCATACAAACCGCCACTCTAAAGAAAAGTCGATAATTTGATAAAAAATTTCCATTTGTAGATTTAATTAATACTGTTAACCTTTAGACTACCGGAAAGCCATTAAGTATATATCGTAGCTTTAAATATTGCAACTGCAGGTCGTCTCGACTCTCGGATCGACTTTAAGACATACAATAAAGTCACTTTAGTCAACCAAAATGGTAGGGGGTCACTTTTTCTAAAAAATATTTTCTAATCCATTTTTTCTAAAAAAAAAAACTGTTTTCTAATGAAATTCTATTTCTAAAATAAAATTTTCTAAAAAATATGAACTTTATTACAAAAAAAAATTAGAAATTTTTTTTTATAAAAACTGTACCCCAACCGATTAAAATACAAAAAAAAAGTCGAAAAAGTCGTTTATTTGATTCACAACAAAAATTTTATTTTGTATTTTCCTGATTATCCCCTTTCACTGATTTCTAAATTCAATTATTCAAAACTTGAATAATTTTGTTAAATAAATATTTATAAATACTTCTTATTTGCTTTTCCACAAGCAATAAAATTTTAAAAAATTCAGTTTAAAATCTAATGAAATTTAATAATTTCTAAAAATTAGAACTGTAACCCTTACAAAATTTAATTATTTTCTACAAATTTCAACTAAACTGTATATCGTAAATCAATTATTTTTCATAATTATCAGAAAGTTCTTCGAGAATTCAATTATTTAAATAGAAAAATTCAATTTTTGCAATAATTGTAACTGTAACCATTCTATATTTTTAAAATAATTAAAATTTGGTATGTAATATTTTCAAAATATAATAATAAAGAAATCCTTAAAATTAATTTTTTTTTTAAATTATAAAATAAATTTTTAAAAGATAATAGTTTTTCAATTATATTACAATTGAAAAATTTCCTAATAATTTGAAATTTAGTAAAACTTTTTTTAAATAATTGAAATTTAATAAAGCCCTTTGTAAAATAATTGAAATTTGATAAACTCTTTACTAAATAATAGAAATTTGGTAAAATTGTTTAAAAATAATTGAAATTTGAAATTGAAACCCGAAACTCTTTTCAAAATAATTGAATTTTGATAAAATCTTTTTAAAATAATTGAAATTTAAGGAAATTTTCTTAAAATAATTGAAATTTATTTAAATGTGATAAAAATAATTAAATTTTTGTAAAATTTTTTAAAAATAATTGAAATTTGGTGAAATTTTCTTAAAATAATTGAATTTTGATAAAATTTTCTTAAAATAATTGAAATTTGGTAAAATTGTTTAAAAATAATTGAAATTTGATAAAATTTTTTTAAAATAATTGAAATTTGGTAAACATTTCTTTAAATAATAGAAATTTGGTAAAATTGTTTAAAAATAATTGAAATTTGAAATTGAAACCCGAAACTCTTTTAAAAATAATTGAATTTTGATAAAATATTTTTAAAATAATTGACATTTATTAAAATTTTCAGAAAATAATTAAAATTTGGTAAAATATGAAAATGATTCAAAATTTAGTAAAATCTTTTAAAAAAAATTGAATTTAATTGATAACCTCTTTTCAAAATAATTGAAATTTGGTAAAATTTATTAAAAAAATTAAATTTTATAAACACTTTTCAAAATAATTGAATTTTGATAAAATATTTTTAAAATAATTGAAATTTGGTAAAATTTTTTAAAAATAATTGAAATTTGGTAGATTTTTTTTAAAAAATTGAAATTTGAAATTGAAATTCAAAATAATTGAATTTTGATAAAATCTTTTTAAAATAATTAAAATTTGGTGAAATCTTCTTCAAATAATTGAAATTTGGTAAAATATAAAAATAATTCAAAATTTTGTAAAATCTTTTAAAAATAATTGAAATTAATTGATAACCTCTTTTCAAAATAATTGAAATTTGGTGAAATTTTTTAAAAAAATTAAATTTTATAAACACTTTTCAAAATAATTGAATTTTGATAAAATATTTTTAAAATAATTCAAATTTTGGTAAAATTTTTTTAAAATAATTGAAATTTGGTAAAATTTTTTTTAAATAATTAAAATTTGATATTGAAACCCGAATCTCTTTTCAAAATAATTGAATTTTGATAAAATCTTTTTAAAATAATTGAAATTTGGTAAAATTTCTTAAAATAATTGAAATTCTATATAAACACTTTTCAAAACAATTGAATTTTCATAAAATATTTTTAAAATAATTAAAATTTGGTAAAATTTTTTAAATTAATTGAAATTTGGTAAAATCTTTTAAAAATAATTGAAATTTTATAAACTCTTTTCAAAATAATTTAATTTTGATAAAATCAATTATAAATAATTGAAATTTTATAAACACTTTTCAAAATAATTTAATTTTTGAAGTATTTTAATTATAAATATGAACATGTTTACTCAAAAATTTAAATAAATCTAAACAAATAAATTAAAAGAATTTTAAATTTTCTTTGTTCGGATATACTTAATTGTATCTTAAAATATAATAAAACAATTCAAAGAATTTGTTTTTGAAAAATATTTTAATGCAATTTTTTGAAAAGAATTGAATTTCTTGAAAGAATTTTTGTAAAAGTTAAAATTAAAAATTAATTTTATTTATTTTAATTTTAAAATTAAAATTTTTTTATAATTATTTCTTGAAGAATTTTAATTTAAAATTTCAATTATTCAAAATTTTGTTATTTTTAAATTTGTAAAATTTAATTAGAAAAAGTATTCAAAAATAATTATTTTGACAGATTTGACAATCTTTATTTTTCCACACTATAAAAGTCGAAATTACACTTTATACTAAAAATGCGCTCTTTTGTTGCATTATTTAGAAGAAATGGCGAAAAAGTAAAAAATTATTGAAAACAAATCGATAAAAATCGTATTTTTTTAAATTAGTCGAAAAAAGTCATAAAATATCCGAGACTTGCAACTATGTTTTCTTAATTCTTTATGGAAAAAGTACAAAAAGTTTTGTGGTATTTTTATAATATTAATTTTATTCGCATATTTTGCCGGCAGTCTAAAGGTTAAAAACGCGACTAAATTTTCAAAATTAATGTTTAGATGAAATTTTTCGTTCTTCTAACAGTCGGCGAAGCCTATAAAGTCATAAGAAGATGAAATTTTTGAATATATTACGGTAAGTGGTAGAATTAATTAATGTATATATGTGTAATTATTTAATTACTGTGGGAATGAGATAAAGAATCAAAACAGTGTTGACAAGAATTCGCGTGAATAATTTTCTTTCATAACTAAGAAAAGGCCATAGTCCAGTGCAGGTCAGGAGGAACTTATTGATTCGAAAATAATAACTGTCAAAGACGCTCATCCTTCTTTCAGGACAGTTGCAATTCAACTGACAACCTATAACACTACTACTTTTGTCTTTCCGTTTAATGCCATTAAATATTAACTATATTTTTGCTTTATACGATAAATTACACCCTAAGATTTCTATTGAAATAAGAACGACGCAATTATATAGAAGGATTGAAATTCAAGAATATATTTCACTCGCTGACGGTGATAGAAACGATTTTCTAAGAATTAAGCAAATTGATTTTCCCGTGAAACAATATCACTCATCTGTTATATGATTCTTATATAATTCTTATATTAAAATACTGTTGTCTGTTAACGGAATATACTGAAAAGTCTGTATTCCGAATAAAAATTTTAATATATAAAATAAATTTTCATCCAGTTCATACCTATCTAAGCGTCGCAAAAATTTAATAAAAATCCAGATAGTTTCTGTTTACTCTTTTATTTTATAATTTTATGTTTATAATAACTTTTATCACTTTAAGATATGAAAATGCATTTTTATTAAAACGACTGATTAAATAACATATAGCAAAAGGGAGCTTTCAGTATTCAAACATAAATATAATATTCAAATAGTAAATAATATTTTAATTTTTAATTAATTAATAATTACAAAATAATATAAAAAAATTAAAAATTAAAATAAATTCTTCAATAATTTTTTTTCATTTATATATTATTTAATAAACTCTCTTTTATATATAAATATATAATATTAATTATTAATAACTTTTAAAAATAATCAAACTGAATTATAATTCTAACCTACAAAAACATAAAATAAAATGCATTTATTTTAAAAATTATTCACATTTCAAAGAAATTTTATAATTCAATTGTACAAAGATACTTGAATTTTTTAATAATATTTTTTAAATAAACTTTATTAAAAAATAAACAAATTAATTGAAATTTTCTTAAAATTAATCCTACAATTTGTTAATTAAATATTAATTTTTAAAATTATTCAAGTTTCAAATGATTTTATTTAAAATTCTGAAAAAATTGCAAATTTTAACTGAATTTTTAAAGAAACTTGAATTTTTAAAATAATTTTATTAAAAAATTATCAAATTTATTAAAATTTTGTGGAGTTTAAAAAAAAATAATGAAATTTGTCGATTAAATACTTGTTTTAAACAGATTACTTAAGTACTTACTTTAAAAGTAACTTTTAACTTTTTTTTTCTTTTTTTTTAAATTTTTACTTTTTTTACTTTACTTTTTTACTTATTTTTTACTTTACTTTTTTTACTTTTTTACTTTACTTACTTTTAAACGTTTAAACTTTTTTTTTAAGTTTTAAATATTATTTTAAATTCTGATAAAGTTGTAAATATTATTTTAAATTCTGATAAAGTTGTAAATTTTAATTCAATTGTTGAAAGAAACTAGAATTTTTAAAATAATTTTATTAAAAAATGAGAATCTAATAACCAAATTAATTGAAATTTTATGAAATTTCCTTAAAAATAATACAATTTGTTAAAAAATTTAATTTGAGATTTAAAATAAAAACCAAAGTCTCGAAAGAATTTTTATTTAATAATTTATAAATAATTGAATTGACCTTTTACAAATAGAGTCACAATTACAATATTTGTATTAATAAGTAAATTTTAAAATGATTTAAATTTTTTATTTTTAATAAATAAAAATTTTTATTAAAATTCTAAAAAGTTAAGTTTTTTTTTTAATATTTTAATTCACTTCTTGTTAATTGAATTAAAGATGATTGAAATTTTATAAACAATAAATATAAACTGTCAGTTTGTAAAATAATTTTAATTTCCTAAATTCTATTAAAATTTATTGAATTTTTAAAGAATTTTATTGTAATTTTTTTTAAATAATCGAATGAAGTTTGATACAGAAACTAATTTTATTTTTAACTGTTTCAAACCCTGGTAGATGTTACCTAACGTCCTAACTTTGTTTTTTTTCAACTTTATCTTTGGTTGAAAATAAAATACTTTTTTGAATTGTATTTTCGATCGATTGAACTATTCTTATATTGAATTTTTTAAAAATGTTATAGATATTTTTTCAAGGTTTTTGATATATGGTAATGAGATAGTTGTTATATTTTCATTATTATTATGCTACACTCGAATTTTCCAGACTGCTGCCGATGCTGTAAAAAAAATTGGCTTAATCTTATTTACAAAATAAGAAAAAACTTTTCCACTACTTTCACTCAATGTTAAGGTTTTTTTTTAAATAACATACACGAGAGAATAATAAACAAATAGAAAATTTCTTTATTTCACAAAACAAAAGACATGTTTCACAATTTCAATTTAAAAAATAGTTTCTTTTTTTCAACTTTTAAACATTCTAAATAGGACTTCTGGAAAAAATTGGCACTAAATATAAAAATACTATTAAAGTTAAAATTAAGGGTCCTTTTAAAAAAAAAATTAAGAAAATGCTCCTAACAAACGTCGCAGATCAACAACCGAAAGATAATCGAAAATTTTCACAATATCAACAGTTGTAAACTGAATATTATAATTCCGTCTAATCATACTAAACATACAATTAATGCATTCGTCAACTAAATCTCTTCGTCTCTTACCCTTATCGACGCTCAATCTCAAAAAATCGGCATATGCCGGAAAATTCATGTAGGCCGATTCAAGAACTCGAAGTAAATTCTCATTTCTTATGTAAAGTGCAACTCTATCGACAGAATGCGTTAAAATATCGTAGAATGTAATACTGCAATCATTCACAATCTCCGATTCCTTCATAAAAAATATCTGTCTCTCGCATTCATGACACCAATCATAAAGTTTATATTCCTTGTAAAATTTCTCTTCACTCTCCGAATAAGAATCATTGGACAGTAGGATAAATCTCGCAACTAACATTTTCACTCGTCTTTTATAATTTTTCGACATGATAAATTCGTTTCTTAAAATTTGTTCAATTCTATATTTCGGGTATTTGTAGAATCTTCCAATGTGACCGATTATAAGTAGATAATTCTCGAAACAGTTGATATTCCACAAATAGATTTCTGATAATTCTAAATCGTATTCGTTGTACTCCAAAATAAGGTGAATAAACTCGAGGGGATAGTGATTAAAATCATAGGTCTGTGCTATTGACATTGATAGGCGTTTAATTTCTCCATTGCTCAAGTAATTTAATAAGCAGATAAATATTTTATTTCCAATATAAGGGATGGATTTATCATCGTTGGAAAGTTCGATTAGTTCGTTTTCACTGTTTTCGACTATTTCGTCTTGTGCTACTCTTATTTTTGTTGCCGAGTGTAATAGCTCGTCGTAAATGTCATCGTTTGTTCGATCATTGATTCCGGCGATTAGTAACAGTTCGGTAATTTTGAGAATGTTTTGATAAACCGTTGGTGTTAGGACCCAGATGCTTTCTGTCTCGTGACCCCGACAGATTGCAAAGGTTAGGGGTGAGTTGTAGTTTTTGTATTTTTTGAAATCACATCCGGCGTTGAGGAGGAATTCGACGACTTTTAATTGTCCGGCAGCTGTCGCGAAATGTAGGGGTGTTTGTTTGTTAATTGTTATTGAGTTTAGATCGGCGCCGAATTTCATGAGTAGCTGGACTAATCGGGGGTGGTCGAATGTCGCTGCAGTGTGAATAGGACTTTTGTCATTGAAACAACTTTCGAAGGAGTAACCCTCTTCTAGGAGTAATTTCAAAATTTCCTCCTCTTGACACTCGACTGCCATGTAAACGGCTAGACGACCATTAATCGAGTACTTATCGTCCTCGGTTTTTATCATTTCCTTCACTCTCTCGTAATTTCCCTCTCGTATTGCTGAATGAAAGGATGAGATCATAATTCCATCGATTTTCGTACTGCACTGTAATAAATATTTCCAAATTTCCAAACTACCGGTACAAAGTGATCGTTTCAGTAAATTCTCCGATTGGAGGTCGTGAAATTTTCGCCACGTGTTGATTTCTATTTTTGGATTTATTGTCCTGCCGTGTTGTATCAGATACTTGAGCATTTGAAAATCGTTGTTGTTTACGGCTAATGAGAGGGGGGTTTCTCCGGCGTAATCCTCGACATCAATGGCATTGAATTCATTCATCATTAGTAGTTGAACCATTTTCATGTTTCTGTTCCTAATCGCGTAATTAAGAGGTTGCATCATTAATTTAAGAACACGAGGATCTTTTCTATCTTCTTCAGTTATTGATGCTCCGTTTTCTATCAGAAATTCGACAATTTGCATTTGATTTTGCCTCGCGGCTAAATGAAGTGGCGTCAAATCCCTGCCGTTCTGCATCACGTTCACTTCTGCACCTTTTCTCAGAATATTTTCAACTAGCTTGAAGGATTTTATGTCGGCGGCAATGTGAAGTGGTGACTGTCCACCATTGTCTCGAATGCTAACGTTAGCACCATTTTTTATAAGAGTTTCGGCAATTTCAATATTTTTGTTTGTCAGCGCAATGTAAAGTGGAGTTTCGCCCTTTAAATTTAAAGCATCTATGTTCACCGTACTCTTCGTCATAAAAAAATCAAATACACTTTGATGATTTTCGAGTATGGCGAGATGAAGAGGAGTGTTGCCGGAATCATCTACATCATTGACTGGAAAGTGAAGATCGTACAATAATTTTACAATGCCAGCTTGTCCTCTAACTGCCGCTGTATGCATTAGTGATCGTTTTTGATTTTTTTCTTCCGGGGTAATGTCCTTAATTAAAGTGCGAACGAGGTCTAAGTCGCCAGAATGGACGGCCAAGTATAGTGGAGTATTCAGTGCAGGATTGGTGTAATCTTTTGCATTCACACAAATTTTAGAAACATCATTACCATTGCACTCTGCCATGACATCATCATCAGACATGTTTTCTTGGGGAACATCATTACTGTTGCTCTCCGACATAATTGTAGAATCATCATCATCAGACATGTAGTTTTCTTGGGGAACATCACTACTATTACTCTCCGACATAATTGAAGAATCATCATCGTCATCATCAATGTAGTTTACTTGAGGGACATCATTACTATTGCTCTCCGACATAATTGAAGAATCATCATCGTCATCATCAATGTAGTTTTCTTGGGGAACATCATTACTATTGCTCTCCGACATAATTGAAGAATTGTCATCATCATTATCAGACATGTAGTCTATTTGGAGAACATCATCACCACTCGACGTAACTGAAGAATCATCATCAACAATGTTGTTTTCTTGGGGAACATCATTACTATTGCTCTCTGACATAATTAAAAAATCATCATCATCATCAGGCATGTAATTAACTTGGAGAACATCATTATCAATGCACTCCGACATAATTGAAGAATCATCATAATCAGACATGTTGTCCTCTTGGAAATCAATTTTTAATAGATGTAAATATCTGTAACAGGGAACATCTGAATGTTACTCAAATTAATTTAGCTTGTTCTAATCACAAACGTCACTATTAATTTGATTTAAAATTTATTTAAAATTTTTGTAAAAAATAAAAAATTACTCAAATAATTCGCTTGAAACTTGTTATTCGGGTGTTTTCGGGGTTACAATTTTGATTTTTATAAAAATATGATTGCATATTTGTAATTAGCGACCACGAAAACAACCGATTAACAAGATTTAAGCAATTTAATAAACAAATGTCCGACATATTGGATCCGCCATTTTGAATTTTCAAAATTTTGAAAATCTGACTTTAGATTCGTAATCAGCGACCCAAAAAAACCCAGAGTAATAAGTTTCAAGAAAATCCAATCGCTGTGGTTTTTGTGGGGGCACAAAAGAGCTAAGAAAATATTTCTTAGCATTTATTTTAAATTATTGAAGATGTCGAAGAGTAACACTTAAATGTACTTATATTTTTCAGTGTTAGAAAACATTTTAAAAAATCCAAAATAATATTTAAAATAATGGAATTTTAAAAGAGTTGTATATTTAAATTTTTATGAGTAATAAACTTAAAAATATAGGGTAAGTGCGGGTATAGTCGGACAGTACTAGTAGTCGGACACTTTCGTGTTTTTTGGCAAATAAATAATAATGCATTGTGATAATTACTTTAAAAAATATACTGGACGAATGTGTGAAGTTTATATTTTATGATAACACTGTTATTTTACAAAATAATTAAACAAGAAATATTTTATTTAATATTTTAAAAATCATGGTGTCCGACTATAGATACAACCATTTTCGAGTAGCGCACAAAGTTTTGTTGATAATTAATCATAAATATTAAAACTTATAGGATTTAAATATTATATTAATAATAACTTCTAATATGCTTTAATTCCATTTTCCAGCAGATAGCAATTAAAAAATTATCTGTTTTACTTTATAAATCCAAAATATCTGACAGATGTCTGAAAATAAAAATAATTTTTAAATTTAATTTCTAACTGATTCAAATTTAAAGAATAGATATTTAGAAAATTTTATTTCAAATTTTTAATTCTAAAATGTTATTATATTTCTTAAAGTTATTTCTTAAGTTTTTTAATCGGAATCAGGGAAAAAATTTAAATTTTTTCTAAAAATCAGAAGAAAATGAGTGGAAGAGCAAAATTAAACTTTTGTGACATCATTGGAGTGTAAAAAAAATTTTCTTTAAACTTTTCCTAAATAGCATAACATTTCAGCTCAATATTGTGTCAATAATCACTTTAAAAAAAAATTTGTTTTATTAATTTAGAACCAATTTGAGGTTGATAGGTGGTAAATTTACAAAAGTTTATTTTATGGAAATATAAAGAGTAATCGTGCGGTTTAATACAGTTGATAACCTAGAAACCATGATCGTTTTATATTTTACCGTATAATATTTTTTTCGGATTTTTCGTAAATTAATAACCTACGATTCTAAACATTCATTTTTTAAATTTAATATACCTAAAAATGTCTCTATAATCTCTATAATTCGAAACTCTCTTTGTTTGAATTCGACAAGTTTGCAGTCAAGTTAATTTCAACTTTTAGAAAAATTTCGATTGCCGTGTGGGCATTAGTTTCAGAAAATATTCAGTTTTGAGAGAGACATGCAAGCAATATTAAAAAAAAGTATATTCTTTACTTACCAATAATCAAGTGTAGCAAGAAGGATAGGATGATTTTTTTTTTGAATAAAAAAGAAAAATCAAAAAAAATTTCAAACCACTCTACATGATATTTTCTTTTAATTTTATTATTTTCATATAATTACTTTCTTTTTAACTTTAATATATACATAGTTATGTCAATTCGTTTCATTAAATAATATCGACTGTTATTTCAAACACTAATTTCAACTCAGAAAAGTATATAAAAAAAACATTATTATTCACAACGTTCACAACAATCACTTTTTTAATTCAGAGCATTCAGAGAAATTTGGAGAAATTCATGGTAGAATATCTGTAATGAGAAATTGTTGTCCCCTTTTGCTATAAGATTATAACTTCGAAAATGTGCCACTTGTCCAGGTCGCTCCGCACATACTCCACATAGAGTTGGTATTTTTGCAGAAATTTTTTACTGTTGAAAATACGAAAATTACAATAAACAAATGCAAAATATAATTGAGACAAAATTAACATAACAATTATTAACTTATGATTCAAAAATTTTGTTAATTTCAAGTGTACATAACAAATTTGTATTTTTTTGAGGTTATGTGCTGACATTTACTCCATTTACTCGAATTATCAAATGACATAAAATGCATAAAATGCATTTACCCCAATCCTCATGTAATAAAACCTTTGAATTTTCGAAACGTCATATTTCAGAAATTTTCATTTATATAAAAATTTTATTTGTCATAATTTTTATATACTCGAATTTTTACATGATTCACCCCAGTCTGACTTCCATGCATTCTAATGCTAGAACATGTCAGCTTAGTGGTTTGCACTTCTATGTGCGAAAAAAACTCGCGAGATGGCGCTGTGCGCACCACGCTCTAAATATGCATTGCAACAATAGAATAAAATATTAAAATAACAAAGGAATTGTTGTAAAAGCTGTAAATAAAAAATTTGCTATTTGTAATATACTTATATAAGGATTTAAAATTTATTTAAAAACAGTGAGTAGCAAAATAAATAGTTTATATGTAGATAAAAGATAAAATACTTGAAATCACAATAAGTCATAGTTATACTTAATTTAATAATGGTTTTTAAAATTTTTGCCATAAATAATCCTACTATCGCTCAATCTATAATCGATTGAAAATAATTGAGGACGATTGAAGGAATTTTAATAGATAATTGTAATGAATTAAAAACAATAAAATTTTCGGCTAGAAAGCAACCTATTAATAAATAGGATGCAAATCGTAGATCACCAACTTTATAACTATTGGAAAAGTTTGTCAAAATATAACTAAATTTCCGTCAATTATTAGAGGAAATTAACAATTATAAATCATCAACGAAACTCATAACATTTGTTCAGCTTAATATTTTTTAATCAGACACAGATTCAAATTTTAAGTTAGGCTAATATGTGTAGTCGCAATAATTATTGATATAAGATTGTAGATTATTAGAACGCAGCGAACGGAAATAATGTGCGAAATAAAATTGATACAATTCATTATAGCTCAAGTCGACATTGTAATTTTGATGGAATTCAGTAATTCTTTGTATATCGGCAGCAACAAATGAATTAACGTCGTTGCTTTTACGCAAACCATATTTTCCTAAAACAAAAGTGTGATTCTTTAACATACTATTGTGATATTCTTTTAAATTTATTTTAAAACGCCACGGCTCTTCATGGAAGAAATGTATTTTATCACCAAACTCAAATGTAATATTAGCATTGACGAGATTTTCAGTTCTGTCGTCGCTGATAAATTTGTGTTTAAAAATGGTCAAACAATCTCTTTTAACTCGTACAGAAAAGTATAATTTATTTACAATATACTGATGAACGTGAGTACGAAATTGTTTAATTTTTATTGTCGAGTTGTTGTAATTAATAAATATTTGTAAAAATAGACAGTCACTGTAACCTAGAGCATCAAAAGTATAATGCAGTAAAGGTGTTTCTGTGATGTTACTTTCCTTAAAAATAATACTCGTTTCATTCGTTATGTTGTACAAACCATCCTCCTTCAGGACAAAAGTATTATTACTTTCTTTTCTTATGGAATGTAAACCGTCATTTTTCAAAATAAATGTATTATTATGTTCAACGTTATTATAATCCAGTAAATTTAATTTTAGACATTTTGGTTCAGCATGGTAAATGTATATTTTATCATCAGTCTCAAACTTATGACCAACATTTATGAGCTCTTCAGTTTTTTCATCACCCAAAAATTTGTAATCAAAAACAACAGAATCATTTCGTTCCAAGCGTATCGAAAAGTATAATTTATTTCCAAACTTCGGGTTATTCGTACTGGTAAACTGATATATTTCAACTGACATATTCTTGTAGTTAATAAATACTTTTAACAGTTGTCTAGTATAATCATTTACAGATTTTTGAACATCAAATTCGTATTGGAATTCTTTTGTTTCTGGATCGATTGGTCTCAAACCAATGTTTGTCACAAGAAAAGTATAATTATTCTCTACTTCTTGATTGTTCCACTCTAAATTTAATTTTAAACCATTTGCATCTTGGTGATAAATATTAATTTCATCGTTGATTTTAATGTCTTGTAAAAAAGGATAAAATTGCTTATAGTATATATAATCGGTGAAAGTGTATCTTGTAATAAGTGATCCATTTCGAATTACGTTTATCGAAAAGTACACATTATTATGTCTTGGATTAGTAGTGGCATCATTATAGAATTCCTTTATTCTAAGCGTCATGTCCTTGTAATTGATAAACATGTTTAGAAACAAGTTATTATTTTCATCCAAAGCATCAAAGGAATAGTGAACAAAACGCGAAACTATATCCTTCTCTTGAATATTTCTGACTTTAATGTTGATAAACGTGTCTTCTGTAATAGTATGATATGTTATGTCACTAATGTACAAATTTTCACTTTTCTTTTCTGCTACATAAACCGAGTAAACATCTGACAGTAGTTTTACAATCAAAGACTTCTCTACAATATTATGACAAATGTTATTTAAGTACAGACAGCAACTTGTGAGATTAATTGTCGATTCAATAGTAAATATAGCATAGAAGTAATAATATCCCACCAATTCTGTCATCAACATTAAAGGAGAAATTTCCCTCATATCACGTTCTTCACTCCTTGCTTTTAAGTCAGTTGGCCTAATATTAAAATCAACAGCAGGCATTACATTCTTTCCGGTGGCAAGTAGTAATTCTAAATCGTAACTCATTAAACTGTGTTCATTAAAATTGATCACTTTCTTCAAAAATGGTAATAAATTTATATCGTACAGATCAAAAAATATTTCCAAAATTGTAGGAACCATATTATTCGGGACATCAGAAGTTACAACCCGATTGTTAGGCATATGTCGAATTCGAAATTCCCTTAAATTCGTGTCAGTTCCATCATAACCAAACAGACTTATAAATAAACTTAACTTTTCTTCATACTTCCATTCAGGAAACAGTTTTCCGTTTTGATAACCAGAAATATCATTAAACTTAAACGGCAAGTCTGAATTACTTCGATTATTTTGCCTTCTGAACCTTTGTTGATATAGGATTGCAAACATATCATTCCACAAATTGTATGTTTCTCCAAAACTAATATCCGTTTCCTTCCTGTTGTAGTAGTGGGCAAACTGTTGCAATAAAGTCCAACTTGATCCTCTTTCAGGTTGTAGAAATGCTTCAATATTATCAGTAACTATCCAATGAAGATTAAATTTAGTATTCGAACATGTTACTAAATCAAGAACATTGTTTTCATCGCATCTTTCTGAGCGTATAAATAAAGATGTCCGATCGATGAATTTTAGGGAAGAAAGAATGTCATTCTTCTCATAAGTATGGATAGTTGTCAAATAGTCGTAGTACTCAACGACCTCAATTTGATTCAGTAAGCCAACGTACAGACTGTAAGATGATGATTTTAAATTTTCAATGTCTCGCACTGAGAGCAACATTTGTGTATAGTAATTTTCAACGAATCCATAAACTTGTACTTTTTGGTAAAATTCAGGTTCATCCTTTTCTGAAGAATGAAGTGTAACATCATTGGAATCAAAAATTGGTAATGGTAACCATTCTCTAGTTTTAATTCTTATCGTTACTGGAACATTGTTAGAAACTGACGTCATGGGCACACAATCATAGTATGCTGTAAAGGATTTACTGAAATTCGATTTCCCAGAAAGATCCAATATGTTAAATGTTCCATCAGCTGTATCAGCAAGACAATAGAAAAATAAGTTTTCTGTTGTCGAGGCTGCCTCCACTGACAAACTTATTTTCGATCCTTCTTTAATAATTATTCCAAAATGAGTTTTGTAATGATAGAATTGATTTTGAATGAGATTTTTCGTCCAGGGATCCGAAAATTCTCGAATCAATGGTTTTGCGATTCTTGTAGTAACCTAAAAGATATATTTCTTAGTTAGAATAATGTATATTATAAAATAATTTCCAAATATTATAATTTCATTTCTATTTTAAATAATTTCATAACACATTTTCGAAAATCGTTTTCTGCAAAGCAACCTGTTAATAAATAAGTTGCAAATCGTGGATCAAGTCTTTATAACTATTAGCAAAGTGTGGCGAAATATAAATAGATTTTACGGATTTCAGGACGTAGTTTAATAAATAATTTATAAATTATAAAGGAGAAATAATCAAAAAATTATTTTTATACCATTTGTAGAATTGCAACTTACGTATGAATTCCATTGAATCCTCTGCTTTGCTATTGAAGAAACGACAAGTATTGATAATAACTTTAATAGTAATAAGGTATTCATTATTCACTACTTTAAGGATGAAATAATAACTTCAAAACTTAAGTTAAAAATTTTCTATATAATGTCATATCTTATATAGCACAAATTGTGTTAGATTATGTTAGATTGTGTTACAATTACATTTGATCAACATTATGTGTATAATTTGACATTTGAGTAAATAATAAAATTCTGGTAATATTTAAAATTTTCTCTACTGAGAATATTTGAAAATTAATAAAACTAATTTGTAGAAACTACGTCAATCGATAGAGACAATCGATTGTAAATAAATTTGAAGTATTGATATTAGATATTTTAGAAATTTCTTTGAAATTACATTAGAAATTTAAATATTGAAATAGACAATTTGCAACATTTGTTTACTTTTTAAATTATTCAGCAGTGACGTAAGACAATTCAAACATATGATTAAATTTAAATTTGTTATCAGTAAAAAATAGTATATAAATTACAAGACAGTGAGAGAATATTTTTTGACTGCTTGGTTTAATTACCGATTTGAAAAATATCAATAAACAAGTTGTTCATTTTATGACCATTAAGCTTCCTCAATATATAAAAATTGCGGTTTTGCAAACTTTTGAAAAATTATGTACAAAAGGGTTCGTCCAGAAGATTGGTTAAAAATAAAATTATATAAATCATTTATAAGTTGTTGTATAAATATTTAGTGAAATTTACACTTTCATTTGCCAATTGCTTCTATTTTATGATAGAATAATCATTTCAAAATATTAATATTAAATTAATTATGAAAAAAATACCAAATTTGAATTTTTTGTGAAAAAGAAAAATATTTATTAATTTTATAAATTTTGATAAAATATATACTTTGTATACATCAATCGATTCGTTTTCTTGCCAGGAATGTAATTTTGAGAATAATTAATAAAAATATTAACAAATAAAAAAATTATTTCAGAAAATACAAAAAAAAAAATTTTCTGAATTTTAAAAAAATTGTATAAAAAAAAATTTTGTACATATTTTTGAAAATCCTTGTGTCAGATTTCAGGTATTAATGACTGCAATAAACCTGCAAAATTTCAGGACAATCCATCAAAATTTGTCTGAGATAATTTGTACACAATTTTTGTGACATACACACACACACACATACACACACACATACACACACACACACATACATCTGGACATTTGCTCATAATTGAATATACATATGTTCTAGATGAAAATGAGTCCATATAACCTTGTTTTGAAAAATTGAAAATCGTCACCAATGCAAAGCTTCCTCATGAGGAAGCAAAATGATAATATTAACAATTTTAAGTATTTTTTTATTTCTTAATGTTTCGAACACCAAACAAGTAGTTAACTGGAATATTGAGGTATGTTTGAAAAATAATTATTATAAGCATATGTCCAATGTGTACTCTTTATCTTGTCCTGTGTTAAACAAAACGTCAAATTTTTTCCGATACCGTAATGTATATAAGTTACAAAATATTAATCTGTACTTTTAATTATAGGCCACCACATGTTAGTGGAACATAAATATTTTTTTTTATATTTTTCAGGAAACCGAAAGAACAGTAAGGCCACTTATTCGAAAATATGACGATTCATTGGCAGTACACATGATCAATAAACAATTGTATCATTACAAGAGTCATTTTGGAATAATAATAAAAAAAGAAACAACTTTTTCTGTAACGACTAAGGCATTAAGAAATATCACAGATTTTATATTTTACTGTATTACTGAAAAGTATAATGTTCATGAAATAAAATTTAAAGATTATAGTAACATTACAAAAGTTTTGACAACAACTTCTGATTGTGTACCAATGATGTCTGTATCATACAACGTCGATGTGGAAATGAAAATAAAAACAAAAAATTGGATCGATTTACCTGTTTTGGATACTAGAAATGTAACGTATCGCATGTCAGCAGATACTGAAAGAGAGTTTTATAAAAAAGTAGAAATTTATGGTTTCGTTGATAATTACTACATACAAGTGTTGTTGACAGTAAAGGACATCATGGAAATGCAATCCAAAAATCGTAGTCTGTTTGTTGGTTTACAGAATCAAGTGGATGTGATTAAATACTACAATTATTTGACAAGCGCGAGTCGATATGTAAATAAAAATGATTCATACGCATATGCTTTAGTTGAAAAATACAGAATTTTTAGCCGTACTGAAGAAGATTTCTCCGGGGGACATTTATATCCATACGGTATAGCGTTCACCTCTGCAGCAAATGCATTTTTAAATCCTATTCGAGGATTTAAGTGGGGCTTATTACATGAAATTGCTCATTATTATGATATTAAATGGACTGTTAAAGGTATGGGATGTACTATAGAGACCTGGACCAATATTTATTCTGCTTTCTATCAACACAAATTTTTCTCTATGGATTATTGGGTTAACTACGAAAATCAAGACAACAACACGCTTCTATCGAATTATCGCAATGGAATTACTATCGACAATAAAAAATGGGATTATAGGGAAAAAGTACATTTCTACTTGACATTGTTCGCATATGATGGTACTGACAAATCTTTTAGAGAATTCAACATTCGATACTTTTCTAAAAATAATGCAGACAAATACGACATTGTACCAATTCTTTTAGAAGTGTTCTTCGATCTGTACAATATAAACATATTGCCATTTTTAAAGAAAGTTATCAACTTTAAAACTCTTCCTCCCCTACCGTCTAAATTAGAAATACAACTTTTGAACGGTCGTACCGTAATGCCTGCCATTGATTTTGGTCTGAAATCACCTGACATGAAACTCAGGAGCAGGGAAAAAGATTGGAGACAACATTTGCCTTTAATGTTAATGAAAAAAATGAAGAAGAAGTACGTTCAGGTGACGTTTATTATTAAATCTCCAATAAATCCAATTGGTGCTTGTCTGTATTTGAATAACATTTGTCACATAATTTCTGGAAATTGTATAAATTTCAAATTATTGTCAGATGTTTATTCAGTTTATATTCTAAGTAAAAAAGACCAAGGTATGTATGCTAGTGATATAGAATACCATACCATATCAAAAGATACAAATGTTTATGTCAACGTAAAGGATTTGCGGGAAACAGAATCATGTTTATCTCTAATACAAAATTCTTTTATTATTCAAGGTCACTTCTCGCGGATATTTATGAAAATATTTATAAATTATAAAGACATGAGTTTATTAATACATCAAACCGACAAATACATTCACAAGTATTTTGAAAATGAATTGTATTTTTCAATAAGTTTAGAAAGGAATAATTCTACTGTTTTTGAATACAACTTTTTGGGTTATCCAGATAGAAATGAATCTCTGCTACGTGAACATAATTTCCAGATTAATGATAAAATTCACATCTACCATGCCAAACCATTCCGTCTGAAGTTTGATTTGAAGGATTACAATAATTTCAAATATAATAATACTTTTCTGCTGACAAGAGCCGGTTTACATAATGTTGCTGACATGGAGCAAAATATGATTTCATTACAAATTGAAAACATTAATAATTATTATTTGAAACACAATCAGATTTTTGGGAAAATTCCATATTTTCAAGGAATGTTAATTAATTACATGAATGTTTTACGTTCTACAGGATTAGAAGAAAAGATACCAGAAAACTGGATTACAGCAGCAAACTAAGATATCTTTGTGGCGATTTTTTTCGAATTATTGCTGTGGAATTAATCAGTTGTGTTGAATGTTGACATTTGTTAGCAAAACTTTATAATAATACACGAAGAAAAAAGAATAATTGTACTTATCGTGAGGAGTGTAAAACTGGAATAAGTTGACTTTCTTCTGTTTAGAACTTAACCTATACTAAGGAATGTAATAGCATAATATTTTTATTAGTGAACATATAATTTAATTTCACTTTAATTGGGAATTGATTTTGGCGTCAAATTCCTTTGGAATAACGAATTTTTGTCTATTTAAAAAAATTGTTGAAATTGGATATATATTTTTTTAATAAAAACAGTGTAAGTTGTACGCGAACAACTTACTCTTAATTTAGGATATGATGACGTACTGTTCTTAAAGATATTTATAAATTACGTTAATTCGGCAATAATTATAAAACAAATTAAGGACAATGTTCATGGTAGTATTGATAATAAATTATATTTTTCTGTCAGAGTTGAGAGAAATTGTTCTACCATTCTCAAACATAAATTTATAAGCAACGAGTATACTAAAAAGCTTGTCAATGCTACTATTATATTTAAGTTATATATTTTATATTTATATTTATATTTTATAAAAGTTTTTTTTAAACATATTATTTATTACACAAAATAAATTGTTTTTCATGCAGCTCCAGCGTGTGTCGCGCGTTTCAAATATTGAACACTGAAACAAATATATCTTTTTTATTACAAATTTATTTATATTTCTTTTTCGTTTAAATTATTATTAAATATATCTAATATTACTTTTTAATTTTCAAAACTTTCATGTTACAGTTATTAACATACAGTGAAATGATCTATGTTGATTTCTAATGTTATCGAATTCATTATATGCATTATTTTCTATTATTCTAAAGTTATTTCTAATTTGTATATAACATAGGAAACATTGCTTAATATATATTTCACTGCATAGGTTTACATTATTGGCAAAAAGAATTAAAATTGGCTTACCTTGCTGTTTGAACAAAAATAATCACCACACTTTATTGTGAACTTGTGAACCTGGTTGCAATATATGCTGTGCGTCTATGCTGCGCGTTTGTTATGTGAAATGTGAATTTACAATAAGCGACATGTTTCTTTACACGCACGACAGGTTAAATAATCACCCGATTGTAAAATAACACAAACGATGTATTATTGCAATCTTACAATACATTTACATCAAAATGTAAATTTACTACGTCGGACGTGAAGCAAATTATTTCCAATGTCCCACTTGGTAAAATTACAAGATCTGAGTTAAATAGCATTATAGGACGTCATAAAGTTACACAAAGTTGTGTAGAATTGCACTTGTAGGTTATATCACTTGTAGCAACGTAAATTTATCATATCAGACGTTGTAGTTTTGCTGAGTAAAATTACACGACGTGTGTTATAAAGCAATGTCCTTTTTTACAGTGTATAATTTACAATTGAATCAAAAGAATTATGTTTTTACCTTATTCTCTATAAAATAGTCTATAAATGTCAATCTAATTTTGAGTAACCGAAGAGAGGTGTGGACACTCGTTAAAAAATTTGTAGAACGCACCTTTATACTTCCATATGTCAAATCGGTCAAATCTGTTTTTCAAGACCTTGAATTTCTGAAAAGGTTATGTTTTTATGTTTCGAATAAAGAGGACACAAAGTTTTAAATGCTGATGATGCGAATTTTATAGTTAATAATTTAAAGTTTATTTTAAAATATATGTGAGAACAGAATTTGGTAATTATCTGCATAAATTCTGAATATTTGGATCCTGTACCATACTTCTAGACAGTAGACACGGTGTTTCTATATACAATTACTCATTACAGGTTTGTATGAATATCAAATTATAGTTATTTGTTAATATTCTCTAGGAATACTTAATTTTTACGTTTCTAACATTTTGCTCTTTTTATTAATAACTTATAACCTTCACTTTTATTCGATGCTATTCTAAATCTTTTCTGCACTTATCTCAGTATTTTAATTTTGAAACTGAGTTATTGTAAGGTTATGTTTATATAATCCCGTTTACTACATATTTAGTAAAAAAAAATTGCAGTTCAATAACAACAATAATTTATTTAAACAATATACGGACTTACAATGATAGAAATAATTGCCCTTTCTAACAAGTTGTATACTATTTGTGAATAAATTTAAATCTGAGCGTTATGTAATGTTAGACACTAACTCTAAATTACAAAAAATACAAATATTAGGCTAGGTAAATTATGAAGTGTCTAGAATTAATGATCGTAATATTGTCACTAAAAAAGTGCAACGAAGAATAAATAAAAATCTAGATTAGCACAATAATTAATATTTAAAACTATCTACAAATAATGGTATTTTACAATAAATGTCAGAGCTAGGCATGTTTTTTCGAAATGTCCTCCATTTTTTATTTTTCTAAATTTTAGATAGGAATATTTATTTATTTGTTATTTAACAATTAAAAAAATTAATTTAGAATAATAGGTATTATTTGTTTAAATCTTAATTACATTTCAAATATTTAATAAAAATTATTTTCCCTTACACTCGCTCTGAAACTGCAACTTTCAAGGGTTATACAAACCGTGGCGAAAGTGATACTTTTCACACCTCTTTGAAAAATCTTGGCGATAGTAAATTGTTGGAGAATCTGTAGTATTTACTTATCTATTATTGTTATTTTTATTTTAAAAGATTAAAATAATCCATGTTGATATTATTTTTGACGGAATAAAATTTTACTAACTAACTAAACAAACTACAGTAACTAACTAAACAAAATAAACTAACTAAACTAACTAAACTAACTAAACTAACTAAACTAACTAAACTAACTAAACTAACTAAACTAACTAACTGAACTAATTAACGAACTAACTAACTAAATTAACTTAACTATCTAGCTAAAGAAACCAATGAATGAACTAACTAACTGAATTAAAAAATTTAAAAAAATAAAAATAAAAAAAATTAAATTAAATTAAATTAAAAAAAATTAAATTAAAAAAAATAAAAAAATAAAAAATTAATTAAATTAACTAACTAACAAAAATAGCTAAACTAACTAGCTATAGAAACTAACGAACTAACTAAACTAACAAGCTAAAGAAACTAACGAAGTAACTAACTTACTAAGTAACAAAATTAACTTAACTATCTAGCTAAAGAAACCAATGAACAAACTAAGTAAATTAACTTTAGTGAAGTAAACTAGTAAATAGTAAGTAACTAACTAACTTACTAACTAACAAAACTAACTAAACTAACTTTATAAAGAAACTAACGAACTAACTAAACTAAAAAGCTAAAGAAACTAACAAACTAACTAAATTAACTAACTAACTTACTAACTAACAAAACTAACCAAACTAACCAACTAAAAAACTAACTAACTAAAGCAAATAATCTGACTAAATAAATAACTAACTAAACTAATTAAACTAACTAACTAAAGAAAGTAACGAACTAAGTAACTAAATTAGCTAACTTACAAACTAACCAAATTAACTAAACTAACTAGATAAAAAAAACAAACGATCTAATACTAACTAACTAAACTAACTAAGTGACTGACTAACTAAACTAATGAAACTAACGAACTAAATAAATTAATTAACTTACTAATTTACTAACTAACTAAACTAACGAACTTAGTAACTAAATTAACTAAACTGAGTAAAGTAAGTGACTAACTAATAAATTAACTAACAAAACTAACTAATTGAACTAACTAACTAAACTAACTAATCTGACTAAATAATTAACTAACTAAACTAATTAAACTAACTAAACAAACTAAAGAACTAAGTAACTAAATTAACTAAACTATAACTAGCTGAAGAAACTAACGAACTAACTAACTATATTAACTAAACTAACTATCTAAAAAAAACTAACGAACTAACTAACCATATTAACTAAACCAACTAGCTAAAGAAACCAGGAACGAACAAACTAAATTAACTAACTAACTAAACTAATAAACTAATGAACTAAATAACTCAATTAACTTACTAATTTTCGAACTAACAATGTACTATTTCGTTTAAAAAAATTAAAAAAGAATCCACTGATCAAGATAAAAATACATAACCTATAAAATTTTACTTCTTAGACATCTCTTTCTGCGTAAAAAGGAAAGATGAATTAAAAATTTGATTCTTTTGTTTTTTTCTCAAGAAAAATAATCTGAAATTCAAATAAAAGTGAAAATTAATTATATTTTAATTCTTTTAAATAATTGAAAGTACCAAATATATTTAATTATAGTATTCTTTTACAGCAATGGAGGAGAATACTGAGAAACCCTTCGAAAGTTCCTTCACAATTGCGGCTAAAGAAGGAAATTTGAACGATGTGAAAAAATATTTTAAAAGTCTAACTGCAGTAAACAAAAAAGAACAGTGCTATTATGCACTGTACTTTGCTGCATTCAATGGCCATGAAAATATTATAAAATTTCTAATTTCTAAAAAAGTCGATGTTAATTTCACGATTAAGGATTATCTCACTCCACTTCACGCTGCAACAAGTTGTAAATATAGAGATAAAATTGTTCCTCTACTGATAAATGCCGGAGCCAACGTGAATCCTAAACTGAAAATTACTTCTGGGTTAGTAAATATTTTTCTTTTCTCCATTCCCTTTATTTTTGATGATCGGAGACGTTCAAAAAATACGTAACGCTATTTTTCGGAAATTTTGCCCCCCCCTCTCCCCCATGTAACGCAATGTTGTATACACATTAGCGCCATTTTTTCTGCTGACCGTAACAAATAGCTTGACCCCCCCCCTCCCCCCAAAAACGTTACGTATTTTTTGAACGGACCCGATAAGGAATTTTTTTCAAAAATTTTCATAAATGAACGAAATTTTCGTTTTATTTAATATACTTTTTAAAAACTATTGTATCAAGAAAAATAGTTAAAAATTAAATCAAGTTAAATTTGAAATTAAAAAAAATTGTAAAGTTTTATTAAAATAAATTTTGATATTTTAAAGAATTTTATTTTTTTATCTTTAAAAAAAATTATTATTAATTGAATTAATTGAATTTTGAAAGAATTACAGTTGCAATTTTTTTTTTTTAGAAACGTGATTTTGTTTTTAAAATTTTGTCTACTTTTTTAAAACTGTTAAAATTTTAATTTCTAATTATTCGAATTCGATTATTTTAGGGAAGAAACTCTGGAAGAGAAGTATTTTTGTTCACCGCTTCACATTGCGGTGAAAAGCGCTAGTGAAAAAATAGTTGGTGTATTATTGGAAAACAAAGCTAATGTTAATTTTAATTTAATTTCAAATGAAAAAATTATAAGTCAATTAAGAAATGACAAAGAAAAAAATGAGTTGGAAAATAAATTAAAATTTGGCCTCTATGAGTGGTACGATCTCCAAATTCAATCGGGGTTTTCACCATTACATTACGCAATTAGCGGCAGAAATGAAAATATTGCGAAAATTTTAATTCGAGCCGGTGCTGATTTAAATAGTCGCTGTAGTGGTGATTTAACACCTCTTTGTTTGTCCTGCGATATAAACAACGACATTTCACTTCTTAAAATTCTCCTTGAAGCTGGAAGTGACATCAATATTGAAATAAACAATGGGAAAAATATTTTAGCCTACATTTTAAAATTAAATAACAAGTATTCATTCGACGAGTACTACGACGACCACGAGAATAGCTGGTTAACAAAAAATCAACCATTTTGCTATTTATTGAAAATCGGCGCCAACCCAAATGCCTGGTCATCAAAAACTGGTGAAAATCCCATTCACTACGCGGCGAAAAATGGAATGGTGCACGCTTGCCACATTCTCATAAAATACGGAGCAAATCCGAATTCAATTGACAGAGAGGCGAAAACACCCCTCGAATATTCCACAAATCAGTTGGAAAATATTTTGAAAAATATTCGAGAAAATTTTTCGGATCCATTGCATTCTGAAAATTCAGATTCCAGTGATTTATCAGACGTTAGTGATGATGATTTAAGAGAATTAATCATTCGACAAAGGCGGCGAATCAACAATGAAAAATCGAGTGAAAATCGAAAAATTTATAATCTTTCGCATCGTAAGTACGAATATCACGTGTGGGAGTATAAAAGGGTGCATCTGCAAAAAGTACAATTTAATGTATTTAAAGACCCCGAACCCTTTAAATTAATCGCACAACTCCTACTTCGAGAATTGGTGAGACTGGAATCGAAGGGCATCAGAGTCGTGAAGCAAAATCAAAATCTAATTCAATCCGATTTCGTAAAACCTTATTACGAAGAATGCAGTGAAGAATTGAAGAAATTAAAGAATCATTTCATCGTTGAAGACCTCAGTTACTATCAATTTTTAATGGCAGAAAAATCTTCTATTAAAGAATACATGAAAAATAAGAAAATAAAATCCTGTTTGGAAAAAAAGTATTTAGATAAATACTTTCCTAATTATCATAGATTTTTAGTTATTAACTCTCAATTTGGAAATGAGAGTTCAAAGTTCGATGTTAATGAAAATAAGTGGAAGGAAATGGAAAAATTGGGAAAGTGTTCAGTTCAAATAAAAGGTGCTTTAATGAAACCATGGAACTATACTGATGGTTCATCGAGTGATTCTGACATGTTAAATTTCCAGTGGTGACGATTTAAAACTTTGTTTTTCTATATTCTTGATTGTCTATTTTATGTACCTTCCATCTCGGCTTTCATGAATACATTTTACGACCTTTTTTGCCACAAATTTTTGTACTTCAAAGATGACAATTTTTTTTACGATTTTTCTTCTGACATTACATTATCGTAGTAATGTAGTAATATTTTTAATAAATTTAATGTAGTAATAATTAATTACGTCAACGATGTTGTAATATTATGTTTATTATAATATTTTATTATAAAAATTGAATATAATATTGAATATTTGAAATTTGAAATAAAACACGTATATTATAATGCAAATGTGAAAATTTAAAAAAATGGACTTATCAACTTTTGCCTGCTTGATCCTCAATTGTAAGTTGTTATAATCAGGGTTTCCACGCTACCTCGAAACCTGGAAATGTCAAGGAATTTTATAAACAGGGTTGTCACAAATATTTAATTTTATTTTTCCCTGATTTCCAGAGAAAATTCTTACATTTTCCCTGACCCTAAAAAATATTCTGATTCACTCTAAAAATTATTAGAGACTCAAAAAAATGTTCTATTACATTTATTTACAAATTTCATTCTTGGAAAATATTTTACTTATTTAATAGTCTCGACTCTTTGGTAAAAAATCTAAAATTATCGAAAATTCGAAAAAATTCAAAAAACCGAATTTCTTAAAATTCAACATTTTTTCCTCTCTTTTATAGAATTAAGCTTTATTATTTTTGTGCTTTTGGAAAATACTTTACTTATTAAATTGTCTGGACTCTTTGGTAAAAAATATAAAATTATCATAAATTCGAAAAATTCAAAAATCCGAATTTCTTAAAATTCAACATTTTTTCCTCTCTTTTATGGGATTTGGCTTCATTATTATTGTGCTCTTGGAAAATACTTTATTTATTCAATATTCTCCACTCTTTGGTAGAAAATCTAAAATTATCAAAAATTCAAAAATATTCAAAAATCCGAATTTCTTAAAATTCAACCTTTTTTTCTCTCTTTTATGGGATTTGGCTTCGCATTATTTTTGTGCTTTTGGAAAATACTTTACTTATTAAATAGTCTCGACTCTTTGGTAAAAAATCTAAAATTATCAAAAATTCGAAAAAATTCAAAAAACCGAATTTTTACTAAATAGTAGATTTGCAAAATTGCCTTAATTATCAGAGAAAGTTCAAATTTGGGGTTTTTCAAAAATTTATATATATTATTAAAGAATCGAAATTGTATTAATTAAAACGATTAAAACTAAAGCTTAAAAAATCTCTGAAAAAGAAATGTGCAAAACGATTACAGCGCTCCGGATAGTTAGAAAATTGTCTGAACTAAACTTGTATATTGTTTGCGAGTCACAGGTCACACGTTTTTGTAATCCCGATGATATTCTCAAATCTGCTTTTTGCTCTGTGGCTGATATTTATTATGATTCTTATGATTGCGGCGAATTGCGGCCATGTGTGATTGTTTTTAAACACACAGTGAAACAGAGAGAAGAAAAAAATGGTTTGATATTATAGAGAAAATAAAAATATAAAATGTAATCAAATAATTCACTTGCATTGTAATAAGCAACTGAAAGTGCCTATAAGAAGAATTTAACAAGTATGAAATGACAATGCTACAGTACTGCAAATGTATATTATAGAATTCCATTTACTTGAGGTTAGAAAAATACCTTAAAAAATATAAATCGTAATTCTCTTATAAACGTCATTGAGGAAAATTCGAATAGACAGAGATCTAAATTCCAAATAATTCCGAAGTAAGTAAAGTGTTATAAATTCTTTCTAACCTATATATTTTTCACTGAATATTTTATTAAAAATTAAATTTAATAATTAATTTTCATTAAATAAATCAAAATATTAAGCAAATATTTATGAAAATCAAACTTGAATAATTAACAATATTGTATTTTTTGTTTAAACAGGTAAACGGAGATTTCAATATACGTTAAACAAAACTAACATAATTAATTTTTAATAATCATGAAATGAGAAATTATTTGCACTGCGTTATATTGCCTTGTGAAAAGTGGTCTTTTACAGAGAGGAAATAACAATTTTTTTTGGATTTCAAAGAGTTTAGCAGGGTGTCTAACGGTCAGGGAAAAATTAGGACATTTTTTTATTTAGAGAAAAGTCAGATTATGTCAGAGAATTTCATTCAAAGTCAGGGAAATTTCTATAAATTTCTATAAAAAATTGAAATTTTTTTGTTAATTATAATAAACAACGAGTCTGGCACGTCATTAGCAGGGGTTGGCAGTTCTGGCAGTAATATTTTTATGAATTTTAGACATGAAGGTTTAATATCAAGTAGGTCTGGCACTTAGAAATATGAAAATAAATTTTCTACATATTAAACTGTCTCATATGTGAAAACGCAGGGCACGTGTGCTGCCAGACTTACATTTTTGCAAAGAAGAGTGAAGAAGGAACCTATCCTTCAATTATGAGCCTTATAAAAATCCCTTGACCAAAACTGTCGCTAGCTCTCCGTCTATCATCTTTGCGCATTTTAAACACAAAGTGGCCGACCTTGACAGAAAGTAACATTACCGAATTGTTGTAACCATAAAGAAATACGTTTCGGGATTCGATTTTTCACTTTGTTTTTCTTTCAACAAGTTAATTATCAATATTTACAATTTATTATAATTTGTTAAGTTATTAGTTAATTATTGATAGTTATTATTTGTTACAATTTATTATTAACTTGTTATTACAATTCTATTATTTTATAGTTATTGTTTGTTACAATTTATTATTAACCTATTTATTACAATTCTATTATTTCATAGTCATTAACATTATTATTATTTATTATTAATTACGATGACGTAGCAATAAACAAAAATACATTTCCTTCCAGGAAGGAAGAGACAGAAGCACATTTTAAATTTGAAAAGCGATGCGATGGTTTTGTTTTTCCCGTAAGGAACACCACCTCTGTCTATTCGAATTTTCCATAATGACTGTAGAGAATGGGGTCACTTTTTCTTTATTAAAAAAAAACACTCAGAATATAATGCAATTTAATTAATTCTTTGTTTCAGAAACTGGTACTAATTGAAAAGGAAATACCATATTCATGATACGAAACCAAAGATTTATAATTCTTTAACAATTGTCTAGAATGTCATTTTTTAAGACAACACAATTTTTATCATTGAAAATAAGATCGAGGATTTTATCAAGATCAAACAATCAAATTCGATATTTTTCCCTTGATAAAATAAGAAAAACAACTAAATATCGAGGTTACTTACTGTGTACCTTATTTTTTAGTTCAGCTCTAGGTTATCAATTCCTCAAATCAGAATATAAATTCCCAACATTCCCAACAGTTGATGATTATTTGAAATTCTTCATACCAAGCGTTAGTGCATTAGATCTAAAAGACGATGACAATAGCAAAAATCGAAATAAGTACAATTTTATTGCTGACGTTGTTGAAATTTGTGCACCAGCCGTTGTATTGGTGCAAGTGAAGGAATCGGTGGCAAGTCCCTATCATAGAAAATCTTTGGTACTTAATAGTGGATCTGGTTTTATAGTCAAGGAAGATGGTTTAATTCTGACAAATTGTCACGTCGTCATGGGTGCTATTAGAAGAACTAATGTCACGGTTACTGTACGTCTAGTCGATGGTTCTACACACGATGCAATTGTTGAGAACATCAATATGGAGACAGATCTTGCGACAATAAGAATAAAGAAGAAAAATTTACCTATTATAAAATTAGGAAATTCGAAGGACATAAGACCGGGAGAGTTTGTCGTTGCTATTGGAGCGCCACTTACGTTGAGTAATTCCATTACAAGTGGTATTGTCAGCAGTCCTAATAGACGTGGCGAAGAACTGGGAATATCTCATAAACAAATGAATTACATTCAAACGGATGCTGCGATTACTTTTGGAAATTCCGGAGGACCTCTAGTGAATCTCGCGGGGGAAGTGATTGGAATAAATGCCATGAAGGTGAGTCCGGGAATTTCTTTCGCCATTCCAGTGGATTATGCGAAGGAATTTTTGGAGAAATCAGAGGCGAAGAGAAGGGGACGGATGACGAGTCAAGAATTTAAAAATTCGGAATTGGGAAGAAAGAGGTATTTGGGAATTACGATGATAACGCTAGGACCCGAAATGATTTCCGATATGCAGCATATTATTGGAAGTTCGTCTCAGTTCGTGAAGCATGGGGTTTTAATTTGGAGAATTGCACCAGGTTCGCCGGCTGATAAATTTGGTTTGAAGAATGGTGACATTATTACTGATGTTAATGGTAAGCCAGTTGTATCAGCTGCGGATATTTATCAAGCACTGGATCGAACAGATCTTTTGGTATTAGACGTAGTGCGGAGCGGTCAAGTTTTGCACTTTAAGATTGAGCCCGAAATTTTACAGTAGACACTAATTATCTAATTTTCTTCACATCCGAAAGTATTTTTTTGTCAACCGTGTCTTGAAATGTTATTCTCTGTATAATTTTAATTCAAATAAATGGTTTACATTAAAGACAATGAAAAACTCATTACCAATTGGTTCCAAAAACCATCATCTTCTAATAGAGTTATTAATTACTTTTCAGGCCATTCAATCCAACAGAAAAAGAATTAATGACAATTACTCACAATTGTCAAAGATTTTAAAAGATTATAATTTATTGTCAATTCCAATAGTTAATAAGTCTTTGACTTCAGTTGTTAAATTAGGTATAAGGATTCAACTAACAAATGGAACCAAAATGGTATCGTTTACAAATTTAACTGTAATAATTGTTCCGCCACTTACATCGGTGAATCAAAACGTAGTTTGGAAAAAAGAATCAAAGAACATAAAAACAAAAAAATTGAATTTGTAGTTTGAACATCAAACTATACTCAATCATTCTTTCAATTTTGATGAAGTAAAAATTGTAGATTTGGAATCAAATTATAAAAAGCGATTAATTTCTAAAATGTTATATATTAAGTTTAACGATAATACTTTGTTTTATTTATCACTCTTCCGATAATCGAATTAAAAAAGGATTAACAAGCTTATATTTTTATTAATATTCAGTTAAATTTTAAAGCACATGCATTACTTTCTTTTAGAAAGATTTGACACTTCCTTCAAAGAGGGTTATGCCAACTTTACCAGCCAAATTTTTCACAATTTTAAAGTAAAATGGATGATTCACATTGAATTTTGCAATATTGCTAGGGAGCATATGTGCAACTAATGAAGAACCTAAAACAAAAATTGATATATCATTTTCCATAGATTATAAATAAAATTAAGAATCAAAGAAAAAGGTTTCTTATAGAAATTTTAAAAGTCGATGAAAAATAGCTAAGCCAAATAGTTTTAGTGTAGATGCAAAAATAATCTTACCACTTGCTGCTGCAGCTTCAACGCCAAATTTGTTAACAGCAATGAAACATTTTTGTACCACATCGTTAACATGCATGGATTCATTAGAAATTCCATTTAAGTTTGAAGACGTTGTGAACATATCTCTCAAACCCATCTGAAAACAATATCATAAAAGTTACCATTCGGAAGAAACGGTATCGATTATTTTTCGATTTGTAAATCAATTAAAGTATACGAACCGATTGTAAAATATTTTTCATCTCAATTTTACTCTCGATTTTGAATTCGGGCATTACAATATTCACATATCTAATTGATCCTTTTTCTCTAATACTTGTAAGGTTTGTTTCTCCCAATTTCCGTTCCACTGTCGCGAGACCGTTCACTTGATTCGGAAGAATAATCATCATGAAATACTTCACGTCCTGCAATATCAATTTTTTAGGGTAAAATTTCTTCAAGAGAAAATTAAATTTTTTTTTAATGTACCTTAAAGGGAATTTCAACGAATGTAGCATCAAACTCTGGAAGAACTCCATAATTAAATTGTTCCTCAATGTTCATCATCGGCACTTGATAATTTCCATTAGTTGTATAAAAATCTCTATTACTTGTTGGCTCTCCTGTTAGTTCGTTCAACATTATCATTTCATTTAACCATTCGCCTTTGAAGTACAGTACATTAACGGCAGCAATACCAGAACCACTAAGTGTATCTAAAATAGTGATAGTTTAGAAAAATCCAAAAAACTAATTTTCAATTCACATGTAGCTTTTCTATTAGAAAAGAGCTAGGAATAACTATGGGAAATTTGATGTGTTCGACTGTACTAATAAATAAGTTCTAACAAAGACATTGTGTTTTACTTGTGTTAACCTACTGTTAAATTTAAAAATAACAAAAGTACTAACCAGGGGTAAATAATTCCTTTATCTTCTCATTTGTTTCCGTTGATATCCAGGAATTAATCGTATCTGCAGCTTTCACTGAATCTTTAAAGTCAAGATTCTCGACTTTCGATTGAAAATAGTTTACTAACACAGTGTTGAAATCTTCCTTAATAGAAAACTCATTACTGACGTATAACTTATTTAAAATTTTTGTCGTCACTCGTTCGGATGCCTAAAAATCAAGTATTTTTTAATTCCAATAGGTATTGAAGATTAAGTTTTTTGTTGGATCTGTAAAATACCTACCGTCAGATATTTAATAAGCCTTGAGTAAGATAATTTTACATTCATGTTAAATGTTGGAAGATGAAGAGCTTCTAGAATTTGATTTTTTGTATTTCCGTCCGCTCCGGACAGAAATATATTTAGAAGAACATTTACACTCAATGGTGATACAACAACGTTCTTTAATAAGTTTTCATTTTTCACCGCCTAAAATAATTAAAATTTGTTATAACGGTCTATGATTTCTATTTGAGATTTATCATTTATTAATATTATACATACATTGTATAAGTCAGAAGAAAATTCATCCATTCCGTCAACGTAAGTTCTCCAATTAGTGACATTTGGATCGTTATGTCCATTTTTTAAACCTTCTATTCCAGTAATCGCAAGGACGGTCAGAAAACAGAAAAATGTGCCTGTGAAGAAAGAACAAAAATGATACACATATTAAATAATACAGGATTTTTAATTTTGTTCTAAGATATAAAAAATTTATATCGTGCAGTCTGTTTATTATTATAATAGTATTATTAGTATTAATTCAAATATAAATTTTCTTACGTATTTCCATTTTAAAAATGATGACCCTTTATCCTAACTTACTAAACTGAAGTACTTGATCTTACGATTAAAAAAATTTATCTAATCCTAAACATATTACTCTAAGCAGTATTTATACTCGTAACCAGAGGCTTATAAATAAATCAACAAACTAATCTATATTCCTAACATTTAAGGCAGTATCATGAAGAAAACTATTTTTTTTAAATCAGTAAATCAATATAATTAAAATATTCATTTGCATGGGTGAAGAAAATTTATTCAGTGATCATGGAATTTTTCAAAGTAGAAATTAATGTTATTTATTTAGCGTATCAGTGTATTTCTTAAATGTAGAGAATTACGTATAACATAGCGTCATATTCAAAAATACAACTGTATAATTACGGAAGAAGATCCACGCGAAATATAATTAAAAATATTTTTCGAATAAAAATTCTAATTTCATAAAATATTAAATTTTTTGTATAAAACATATCATTAAATTCATAACAGTAATTAAAATTTTTTTCATCAATTCGTTTCTATTAGCTTCCATTATGTATAATGGCAAGAACATAAACAAAAAAATGCGCCTGTGGTTAAAATATATACATTTCCATAATTTATTCGCAGTAACGTCTTGTAGAAATTTTCGAAATAATAGAAATATTTCAGTATTATATTTTAATGTTATTTATTTTGCTTATCTTTGTATTTTTTTTAAAAAGCGAAAATTACGTATACCACAGAGTCATTTTTAAATTACAACTGTGTAATTACAGAAGAAGATTTACGAAATAAAATTTTAAATTTGATTATTTTTTAAATATTTTTTTTAAACTTCTATTTTTAAATGATTTTATCAAATTTCAATTATTTTCCAAAGATTTTACTAAAAAATTATTTTTTTTTATATTTATTAATTAATTTATTTATTATTTTACTAAAATTAAATTATTTTTTAAAAGATTTTACCAAGTTTCAATTTTTTGGACATTTTTTTTTTTTTTGAAAATATTCTATCTTAATTTTTTTCTTTTTTTTTTGTGTCTAAATGATATCTTCTCCCTTAATTTAAAAAGAAAAATGTGAACGGTTTTAATTATTATAAAAATTTGAATTTTTGTATTTAAATTAATAATTGAATTCTCGATGAACTTTCGAAAAATTATTAAAAATTAATATCACATAATTGATTTAGAGATGAAGTTTAGTTAAAAATTGTAGAAAATAATTGGATTTTTCGAAGCAGGGTTATAGTTGAAAATTAAATATTTAGAAATTATGAAATTTCAGAAGTTGAAATTTTTTAAATTTTATTTCCTGATGTGAAAAAAGAAATAAGAAGTACCTATTTAAATATTTATTTAGAAAAATTATTTAAGTTTCGATTAATTGAATTTTGAGAAATCAGTGAAGAATCAGGGAAATACGAAATTTTTGTTAACACTAAATTAAATAAACGACTTTTTCAACTTTCTTTTCTATATTCTTAATCGACTAAAGCGACTTTTTTTTGGTGGGTAAAGTCGATCCGAGGCTGAAATTTTTAAATTTAACATTTTTATACATAATTTTCAGTTTTGTGCCAAGAGCTGAAGTTAGGCTTCGAAGAAAGTTTATCTCGATTCTGTTTTTGTAAATTAACCCCATTTTCCAATTTAATGAATTTAACCAAATTTTGACGAAAATTGACAAGTATTTATCAAAGTTTGTATGGAAAAATGAGAAAAAAATTGTTCTAAGAACTAAAAAAAAAATGTTTCAATCATTTTATGGCAGAATAAAACCGTTTCGAAAATTGATTTTCACTTCAAGAAAATAACAATAACAAGGAAATGGAAATATAAACGAAGTATGTCATTCTTTCAAAGATCGCAATTTTTGTTTCGAAGAATCGGAAATAAATTTTTACCTTCTTCACTAAAAATTCGTTACAAATCGACGGTCCCCAACCGTCAAGACAGAAAACCATCAAAATACCCAAGTTTCATACTCTGTACTTTAATTTTCGGTTCAGCACTAATATACACTTATTTAAAATCAAAAAACTATGAAGTACCATTTTTGGAAGACGATCTAAAATTCCTGAGTTTCAATTCCAAATTCAATCTCTTTGACATTAGTCAAAATAGAAGTAAATTTAATTTCATCGCCGACGTCGTTGAATTATGTGCACCATCCGTTGTTTTAGTTCAAGTTAAGGACTCAATCAAAAATATCAAAAATCCCACAATATTTGCCAATGGTTCTGGATTTATTGTCAGACACGATGGTTTAATTCTGACGAATGCTCACGTCATTATGATTGCAATGAAGAAGCAAAATCTCACAATAACCGTACGACTAATGGATGGAATGACTTACAGTGCGAATGTCGAGGACGTTGATTTGGAATCAGATCTTGCGACATTGAGAATAAACAAAAAGAATCTACCGGTGATAAAATTGGGAAGTTCGAAAAATTTACGACCTGGGGAATTTGTCGTGGCAATTGGTTCGCCATTGTCGTTGAGTAATTCGATAACAAGCGGCGTGGTGAGTAGTCCGAATAGACGAAGTGAAGAATTGGGGATCTCGCACAATCAGATGAGTTACATTCAAACGGATGCGGCGATTACTTTTGGAAATTCGGGAGGACCTTTGGTGAATCTCGAGGGTGAAGTGATTGGAATTAACGCGATGAAAGTGACACCGGGAATTTCGTTTGCAATTCCAGTGGATTATGCGAAGGAGTTTTTGCAAAAATCGGAAGCGAAGAGGAAGGGACAAGTTGTTCCTGTTCGACAGTTTGGAAGTGATGGGGAAATTGGAAGGAGGAGATATTTGGGTATCACGATGTTCACGTTAATTCCGGAAGTGATTTTTGATATGCAACACATCATTGGAAATGGTTTACAATTAATTAAAAATGGTGTTTTAATTTGGGGGATAATTGAAGATTCGCCAGCTGAATTGGGTGGTTTGAAGATTGGCGACATTATCGTTCAGGCAAATGGTAGACCAGTGACGTCGGCGGGGAATATTTATCAAGCACTGGATGAAACGGGACCATTGATTTTGACAATTTTAAGAAGAGGTCAAATTTTAGAGTTTAATATTGAGCCAGAAAAATTAACATAAGAAGGAATTTTACTATCAACAAAATTCGTCACTCTTCATAATGGTGAAGCAGCAGGTAATTTTATTTTATTTCATTTTTTTTAATTTTTATTACATTCTCGTCACATGAGAAAGTATTAGTTTTTTTTTAATATTATGATGTTTTTGTTTTCTGCTTAAAAATATAATCCACTTATTTATTTCTCTTTTTTAAAATACATTAGCTTTCGCCCGACTTTTTTTTATTCTTTATTTTTTTAAATCAAGGTCATTTTATCTAACGTCCCCCTTGGGGCCGTTACGTTAGGCTAAAGTTTAAATCATATGTGACCTATTTTTTCACATATAGATCAAGTTATTTAATGTCATTCAAGCTAACGCCCCCCAGGGGCCGTTACATTACCTTAAATTTGATTTTTGGCTTTACGGATTTTTTACGTCAAAATTTATAGGTCAATATTGACCTTTTTTTTAAACTTCAATTTAATGCTTATATATTAAAATGCAGGTCAAATTTGACAAATTTCTTAAGTTAGAAACAGTAATTATTAAAGTTATAACGTAACCAAAAGTTTTAGGTCTATTGACCTATTTTCAAAGTAACGTTTATTTAATTTACCAGCGAAATATTATAAATTTTCTAAAAATAATTTTCCTCATATTTCTAAATTTTAAGTCATGTTGGTCATGTTACATTTATAATCTAAAAATAATTAAGTTAAAAATAGGTGATTTGTAAAAAAGTGAATACTTATTAAAATTAAATTACTTTTTGAATAATAAATAACATTAGATTGTAAATAACGATGATGATAAATTCAATTACTATTGAATTATTTTTTAATTTTAAATTCTCTACAATGTATAGGTATATTAAAAGTTTTACGAAAGAACACATTAACATAGTTTTTTTTTCATTTTTTTTTTTTTTTTTTTTGTTCTTTTAACGTAGTTACGAATCTTAGCGTCTTGATGTCTATCCTACAAAAATTATCCAGAGTGAAAAGTTTGGATTTAAAAAAATACTTTAAAACATATTAAGAGTGCTGTTAATTTTTTTTAATTTAGAATAAATCAATTTTTCTGTACAACATGTGCCAGTGATTTTTTTTGCTGTTTTATAAATAAATTTTGTTCTGTTGAGGTATAAATGATATAAAAAATTAGATGTGTTTTTTTTTAATTTGAAACGTTGGCTATATTTTATTAATTTATTGCCATTTTTTATTACCTTATTGCCTTTTTTATTACTTTATTGTCATTTTTTATGACTTTCTTGACATTTTTTATGACTTTATTGCCTTTTTTTATTAATTTATAGCCATTTTTGTCATTTTTATGACTTTTTTATGAATACATTTTTATGACTTTTTTGTCATTTTTTATAAATTTTTTGCCTTTTATTATTTATTTATTGCCATTTTTTATGACTTTATTGCTTATTTTTATTAATTTATTGCCATTTTTATGAATTTATTGACATTTTTTATGACTTTATTGCCATTTTTATGACTTTATTGACATTTTTTTATAACTTTAATGACATTTTTTGTTACTTTATTGCCTTTTTTTTACTATTTCATTGTCTTTTTTTTATTATTTTAACGCCTTTTTGACAAATTTTGTTAATGCATTTTTTTTAAATTCATTAGAAATTTTATACCGACAAAAATATTTGTTAATTTTTTTTCAAGTTTGAATAAAAATGGATGGATTTACATTAGACTTGGATAATGAATATGTGCTACGAAGATTTGATAAAATTACTAAATCACAGATTGATGAGAGAAATTACAGAGGACTCGTGTTAAAAAATCAAATGAAGGTGCTTCTAATAAGTGATCCAACAATAGAAAAGTGTGCAGCTTCTCTGAATATTCAAGTTGGTAGGTAAACTCAAATTCTTTCTTTAAAACAATTTTTTTCAAAATAATTTTTGAAAATTTTATTAAAATTTTTGAAAATAATTGAAATTTTGCCAAAAGTTTTATTAAAAATTTTTGAAAATAATTAAAATTTTGCCAAGAACTTTATTAAATTTTCTAAAAATAATTGAAAGTTTGACAAATTTTTTATTGAAATTTTTGAAAATAATTGAAATTTTGACAAAAATTTTATTAAAACGATTAAAACTCTTGAAAAGAATTGAAATTTTGACAAAAAATTTATTAAAATTTTTAAAAATAATTGAATTTTAAAAACGGATTTTATTATTTCTAAAGATAATTTGAATTTTGACGACAGTTTTAAAAATTTTGGTGAATATTATTGAAATTTTGCGAACAATATATTTTATTAGTTTTGAATATAATTGAAAATTTGACAAAAATTTTATTAGAATTTTTGAAAATTCTTGAATTTCTGTGAAATTTTTATTTTACGAAAATAATTGAAATTTTATCAAAAATTTTATTAAAATGTTTGAAAGTAATTAACATTTTATCAAAAATTGTATTAAAATGTTTGAAAATAATTGAATTTTTGTGAAATTTTTATTTTACGAAAATAATTGAATTTTTGTGAAATTTTTATTTTACGAAAATAATTGAATTTTTGTGAAATTTTTATTTTACGAAAATAATTGAAATTTTGACAAAAATTTTATTAAAATTTTTGAAAATAATTGACATTTTATCAAAAATTTTATTAAAATGTTTGAAAATAATTGAATTTCTGTGGAATTTTTATTTTACGAAAATAATTGAAATTTTGACAAAAATTTTATTAAAATTTTTGAAAATAATTGAAATTTTATCAAAAATTTTATTAAAATGTTTGAAAATAATTGAATTTCTGTGGAATTTTTATTTTACGAAAATAATTGAAATTTTGACAAAAATTTTATTAAAATTTTTGAAAATAATTGAAATTTTATCAAAAATTTTATTAAAATGTTTGAAAATAATTGAATTTCTGTGAAATTTTTATTTTACGAAAATAATTGAAATTTTGACAAAAATTTTATTAAAATTTTTGAAAATAATCGAATTTATGCAATGATTTGTAATTGCTTTAAAATTCATTTTGTTTTAGTGTTTTTAACTAAAATTCCCCTATAAATCCATTATTTTTAATAATGAATTAAATTTGTATATTAAAAAATTTAACCAATTTTGAGAAGAATTTTAGTTTTAAAAATTTGTTTAAAATCTAAGTTCTTTAAAATTTCTATTAAAATTGATTGAAAATTGAAATTTTAAAAAATTTGAAATTCACATTTTTCGAAGTTCATCTACTTATGAAAATTGTAAACGCAATTCTTTTAAAATTTGAATTAATTTTTTTTTCTTTTTTTTTTATTTTGATAAAAAAAAAATGTGATTTTTAATTTTGATCTAATATTTTATCCTTCAAAGGTTCAATGAATGATCCTAAAGATGTTCAAGGACTTGCTCATTTATGTGAACACACATTATTCCCAGGAAATAAATATTATCCGGAAGAAAGAAATTTTCATACTTACATCTTACAAAACAATGGTTCAACAAATGCCTCAACTGGTCTCGATTATACAAATTATTTTTTCGATTTAAATTTTGAAAATTTACCAGAAGCTCTAAATCGCTTTTTGCAATGTCTTTTAAATCCAAAATTCAACGATCACATCATAGAGGAAGAAATAAATGCCGTTCATTCTGAATTTGAGGAGAATTTACTGAATGACGATTGGCGTTTAGAACAACTTGATAAATTTTCAGCAAACCCACAGCATCCGTATTCCTACTTTAATATTGGCAACAGAGTGAGTTTGGAAATAATTCCCCGAATGAAGGACATCAATCTAAGTGAGGAGTTGGAGAATTTTTACAAAAAATGGTATTCTGCGAATATTATGTCATTGTGCGTTGTTGGCAGAGGTATTTAAATATATTTTAATTTTTCTTTTAGTTTTTTTTTAAATTTGAAAATAATTTTAATTTTGGGGGATTTTTTTTAGAAAACTTGGACGAACTTGAAAGAATGGTTGGGAAATTATTTGCTGGGGTTGAAAATAAAAATGTAAAAGTTCCCGAGTGGAGGGAAGATCCATTTTGTGAGGAACATTTTCAGTGTAAATGGTACGTTGTTCCGATAAATAAAAGAAGACAATTGAGTATTAGTTTTCCAATTCCGGATATGCAGGAATATTATCAATCCTCCGTAAGTTTGAATTCTTCTTGATTTTTAATGGTACACTCAAAAAGCACTCGATAATTAATTTTAAAAAAGTAAAAAAATAGCTTTAAAAAAAAATGTTAAATGTTAAATGTAGCTATCGAAAAATTAAACTTGACCAAAAAAAAACTCGTTTTAGACACTTCACAAAACTGACAAAAATTCCATTCCATAAAATAATTTTATTCTTGCGAAGAATTTTATAAAAATTTTTAAATAATTCATTTCTTTCGACTAATTTCATGCAAATTCCAATTTAATTAATTGAATACCTGAGAAATTCAATTCATTTTTATTATTCATGAAAAGAATTGAATTCTTACGAAGATTTTTTCAAAAAAATTTTTAAATAATTGAATTCTGTTTGGAAATTTTATGAAAATACAGTAGAAATTGAAAATCATTCAATTGCGAAAAGTTTTAAAAATAATTAAATTTTACAAAGAATTCTATTAAAATTTTTTAGAATATAATTGAATATATGTGTGGCAATTTTATTAAATTTTTTTGAAAATAATTGAATTCCTACAAAAAATTTTATTATTTATGAAAATAATTGAATTTTTGAGAAGAATTTTATTAAAAAAGTTTTAAAATAATTGAATTCTTATGGCGAATTTTAATATTTATGAAAATAATCGAAAATAATTGAATTCTTGAAATGAATTTTAGTAAATTTCTACAAAGAATTTAATTCAAATTGTTGAAGGATTTTATTGGAATTTCTTTAAAATAATTGAATTTACAAGAAAAAATTTATTACATTTAAAAATAATTGAATTCTTTCGACGAATATTAATGTATTATGAAAATAATAAAATTCTTGCAACAAATTTTTTTTTAATTTTTGAAAATAATTGAATTACCGCAAAGAATTTGATTAAAATGCTTCAAAATAATTGAAATTTCGTGAATTATTTTGTTATTTATCTGTAATAATTGAATTCTTGGGATGAATTTTATTAAAATCTAAAAAAATAATTGAATTATTTCAAAAAAAAAATTTAATTAAAATTGTATTTAAAATAATTGATTTCTTTCAAAAAATTTTATTAAATATTTGAAAATAATTGAATTCCTGTAAAAAATTCTAATATTTTTGTAAATAATTGAATTCTTTTAAAGAATTAAAAAAACACGGTTTTAAATAATTAATTTTTTCGAAGAATTGAAATTCAATTCTTAAGAATAATTACATTTTTTGAGCAATTCCTGTAAAATTATATTAATAATAATTGAAATCCTGATAATTGCACAAAATTAGGATTAAAATTAAAAATAATACTTTACTTTACAGCCGACGATTTATTTATCGCATTTATTCAGTCACGAAGGCAAGGGATCATTGCTTTCAGTATTAAGAGCAAAAGACTGGTCTGAAGATTTAAATTGTGGAAAATCACAACCTTGTAAAGGTTTTGCCTTCTTTAGTCTCGAAATATTACTCACTGAGAAAGGAATTCACTGCATCGACGAAATAATAACACTTATTTTTCAGTATATAAATATGATCAAGAATTCTGGACCTATGCAATGGATTTTTAGTGTAATTTATATATATATTTGCAAAAATATAAGAAAAATATTTTTCCAAAAAATTTTTTTTCAATTTTTTTCAAAGTATTTTATTTAAATTTTTGAGAAAAAAAAATAAATTTTCACTATATTTACAGGAGTATGTGACAATACAAAAGATAAATTTCAATTTTATGAAAAAATATTCATCAATTTCTCATGTTTGTGCAACGGCACATGACATGCAAGTGTATCCCATCGAGGAAGTGCTGAGCGCTCCATATTATTTAACAAAATGGGAACCACAACTTATTAATCAAGTGTTAAATAATTTAAGACCCGAGAATATTAGAGTGAAAATTATGGCACATAATTTTGAAAATATCACCACCGACGTTGAACCATGGTATAAAACGAAATTTGAAAAACAAAAAATACCAGAATTTGTTATTCAACAATGGACGTTTGCCGATGATAATTCTGATTTTAAATTACCCGATAGAAATGAATTCATTCCTGTGGAATTTGGTTTGAAGTTTCAAACTTCCGTTGTGAGTCGCTATTTTTGATAATTTTGTAAATAATTTTATTTCCTTCGTATTTTTAATTTTAAAAATTTAGAAAAAAATAAAAAAATTTTTTTAATTTTTTATTTTATTTATTTATTTTTTTATTTATATATGTTTATAATATTTATATTTATATATATTTATAATATTTATATTTATATATAATATATTTAAAATATTTATAGTTATATATAATATTTTTATAATATTTATAGTTATATATAATATTTCTATAATAGTTATATATTATATTTCAATAATTTTAATAACGTATAGTAATTATTCCTTTTTTTCCGGGAACGAAATTAAAATTCGAATATTGTCGCGTTAAGGGGGAAATTTCACCTTGTGACGCTCCTGAGTCTGCTACTCGCAGCCAATCAGCGCCAGGGCATCCTTCAGTCTCCGCGATCCCCACCACTCGGCATAGACGCGAGTATAAAATGCGACGCGCGTCTCGGAAGTCCCTCAGAAGTCGACGCGCTCTTACAGTCTTAACATCTCGTTTTTTTCTGAAGTTCCATTACCATATAAATTCATTCCTTTTCCATTTTACTAATATTCGTTATTTATTAAAATTGAATTTAAAATCTACTTACAAATTTCAGGTGGAGAAATTTCCGAAAATGATTTATAACACTTCAATGGTGAGAGTTTGGTACAAGCAAGACCAGGAATTTCTCCTGCCAAATGGAATCGTAATTTTTCATTTTGATAGGTAACAAACAGAAAATATTTTTTTTTTAAATTAGAAAAATTTAATTCACTTGGAGAAGAAATATAACAGAATTTACTAAATTTTAAATTTGATTGAATTACATTTAATTCTAAATTATAGCTTTCTGGTAAATCTCGATCCGGAGAATTTTAACAATTGCGTCATGTTTATTCGAATGGTGCAAAATACCATGTCTTCCTTAACTTATTCGGCAAAATTAGCTGGTTTGAAATGGGAAATTATTAATGATAAAAATGGTATAACGGTAAGTGAAAAAAAATTACGGAAAATTTTTTCCTTATTCAATTTATTAATTCTATTACTTTCAATTATTTAATTTCTTTTTCTGAATTTTTAGTTATACATTGAGGGTTACAATCAGAAGCAAATGCTTCTCTTAGAGAAAATTCTGGAGAAAATGATAAACTTCGAAGTGGATAAAGAAATTTTTGAAGCACTGAAGAAAACGGTTAGATTGAAATATTTTCGAATAATTGAAAAGTAAAATAATTAGGATATAAAAAATTTAAATAATTAACATATTATTAACATATAAATTATTAAGATCTAAATAATTTAGATACATATTATTAACATATAAATTATTAAGATCTAAATAATTTAGATACAAATTATTAACATAAATAATTAACATGTAAATCTACTGAAATGTAAAAAAAATAAGAGAAAATATTTAAATTGTATTTAATTTTGCACGCAGTTCATCTTGGAAGTAAAAAATATAGGCGACGAATTAAATTTGAACGCAATTTCTAATTTGGAAATTCTCTTAAAGGAAAACTTGTGGAATAAAAATGATCTGCTAGACGCCTCTGATTGTGAGTTGAATTTTTTTTTCCACTTCAATTTTGTTAATAAAATTATTTTTAACTCTGTTTTTTAACTTCTAGGCCTAACCTATAAAAGTTTACGAAATTTTGTTTCACAATTATTTAAAAGTTGTCACATTGAATCGCTAATCTATGGTAATTTCACGAAAAAAGAAGCTAAAAAGTTTGCTGAACTTGTTGAATTAAAATTAAAAAATGTCAATAAATTGCGAAGGGAGAAGATTGCACCTTTATTGCCGAAAATTTCCGAAGAAGCTGTAACTTTAGAACCAGGTAATATCTTAATTATTTTATAAACTTGCAACAAGCTTCGAACAATTTTATTATAAGATTGCAGCAGCAAGTTTATACGTTTAGTTTGGTAGAAATAATTTTATTTTATAAAATTACTTAATTATATATATTTTCTCTTTTTTAATTTTATTTTCTCTCGATGACAAATCTTGCAACAGGTTGTTCTTATTTCTACGAAATAAATGATGACAAGAATCTAATTTTTGGCACATTGATTTTCTATCCAAATGAGATGGAAATGAAAGTAAGAAATGTAATTGTTGAATTATTTGCGCAAATTATTGTCGAACCAATTGTCAGGATATTAAGGGGAGAAAAAGAATTGTTTAAGGCTAGTGAAACTAAAAGTGGAATAAATAATTCACGATTCAGTATTTATTTGCAAAGTGATAAATATCAATATTATGAGTTGAATTTGGAAAATTATATGGAAACAATGAAGGTATTCTAAGTCTATAGCTAACCGAGGCGCATGATTATAATTCCCCAAATGTCATTTGACCGTACTGTCATTTTAACGAATTGCATTTATCCGAACTGTTATTTTAACGAAATGTCACTTTTGCGAATTGACATTTTTACGAATTGCCACTTTTGCGAATAGTCATTTTACCGAATTGCATTTATCCGAACTGTTATTTTAACGAAATGTCACTTTTGCGAATTGACATTTTTACGAATTGTCACTTTTGCGAAAAGTCATTTTTTCGAATTGTCATTTTTGCGAAAATTGCTACGCAGTAAACTTGTATGCATATTATAGATTTACTATAGCAATTTTCGCAAAAATGCCAATTCGCAAAAGTGACATTTCGTAAAAATGTCAATTCGAAAAATGACAGTTCGCATAAATGACAATTCGTAAAAATGATATTTCGCAAAAGTGGCAATTCGTAAAAATGTCAATTCATAAAAATGACAGTTCGCATAAATGACAATTCGTAAAAATGACAGTTGGCATAAATGACAATTCGTAAAAATGACAGTTCGCATAAATGACAATTCGAAAAAATGACAATTCGCAAAAATTATTTTTCGCAAAAGTGACATTTCGTTAAAATAACAGTTCGAATAAATGCAATTCGTTAAAATGACAGTTCGGTAAAATGACATTTGGGGGATAATCAGGCGCCTCGATAGAAGAGGGGACACGTTAAGTACATCAGCTGACTCTTTTATTCTATCAAAATTACAGATGTACATTGAAAATATGACAAACGAGAAATTTAACAAACAAAAGGAATTAATAATTGAAAGAATGTTGAAAGAGCCGGAAACAATGTCAGAAATGTCTGCTATATTTTGGAGGGAGATTTCTTCAAAAACTTATGCTTTCGATAGAAGGACTATTGAAATTGAGTGTTTGAATGTAATTACAAAACAGGAGATTCTAGATTTTTGTAAGGTAAGAAAATTTTATTTTTTATTAAATTTATATACCAAAGTAGAGAAACGATTTTTATGGAAGAAAATTTATATTCTAAGTACCTACTATATGAAAATATAATTTTTTGTGTCTTATTAACAGTATTGTTTTCTTATTTTTCAGTGTTCTTAACTTATTGTACAATTTTAATGTCAGTAAGAGCGCTTCTTACTGGATACTTTTAACAGAGTTGTCACTTAAGAGAATGCTGCTAATAAACGTCGCATATCCACTATTGAAAGATATTGGAAAATTTGGTTGGTTCCTATAGTTGTGAACTGAATTCCATTATTTTTTTCAATCAGATTCAACATAGAGTTCACGCATTTGTCGATTAGTTCTCTTCTCCGTTTACCTTTTTCGATACTTAATTTTAAAAATTCAGCATAAGCTGGAAATCGCATGCAAGATGACTCCACGATCTTAAGCAAATTATCGTTTCTTGTGTAGTTCGCAACTTTATTTACAGATTGCATTAAAATATCGTAGAAAGTTACACGACAATCGTTGTCAATTTCTGTTTTTTTCATTAATTTTACCTCACGCTCGCATTCATCACGCCATTCGATGAGATTATGTTTCTTATAAAATTGCAGATCATCATCATTCGACTAATCTTGTATGATTAAATGTTGCTGCAACATGTAGGGGACATCTGTCTCTAAAACAAGTTTCAAAAGAATATCCCGCGTCTAGAAGGATTTTTAAAATTTCTTCATCTCCATTTTCGACTGCAATGTAAACGGCCAATCTGCTATCCATCGAATTTTTATCCAAGTCTTTTTGCTTCACGATCTTTTTCACAACTTCCACTTGACCCTCTCGCACTGCTAAATGAAGAGCTGAATCTGCTGATGCATCAACTAACGAACTACTTTTTAATAAATATCTCCAAATTTTCAAATTTCCTTCAGAAAGTGCCAATTGAAGTATCGTTTGAGACAGAAAACTACGATATTTTGATTTACCTTTATTATCACATTCATCTTCCAACCAGGCATTAGAATTTGCATTAATTTTCGAACCATGGTTAACTAAATACTTTACAATTTCATAATAATTGTTTCTCATTGCCAAATGCAAGGCAGTCTCAGTGAAATTATTTTGGACATCTATTGCGTTAAATCCATTGAGCATTAGTAATTTAACCATTTTGTAATTCCTCTTCCTAACTGCGTAATGAAGAGGCATCATCATAATTTCGTGTGTTCGTTTATCTTTCTTGTTTTCTTCACTTATTGTAGCACCATTTTTTAAAAGCAATTCGACAAGTTCAATGTTATTACATTTTGAGGAAATTAACGCTATTACAAAAAAAAGTTTAGACAGCAGTCTCCTCCTTTAAATTGTTATCAAAGTAAAATGTTTTTAATACTTGAAGTGCAGATGACTCAATTTTTATCTTAATACATTCTTACCTTCATCACCGTGAGAAGTAGGGGTATCTTTGCGAAAACGAGTGACTCACGCTTATTATATTTTTCTATTCCTAGGGTCTGTTTCACCATCTCGCTGCTTTTACTTATCAAAATTATTTCTTTATCACGTGATAAAGAAATAATTTTAGCGTACGCTAACCCATTAATGTCTATGGAGATACTAATAAACACTGACGCAAACCAACTATTGGAATCAGGACATTAGGTCGAAAACATGAAGAAACACGCATTTAAAATATTTTTATTTTGTTTAAACATTTTTTTTATTTATAATTTTAAAAACAACAAAAAATTCTTTTCTCACAATTTAATAAATGGAACAGTTATTGGTTTTAATAAATTAAGTGTCTGGAATAAAGAAACAAAAATTATTAACATTTTTGACCCTCTAAAACTATTCTTATTTCAAAAAACAACCATTAGGAGTATAAACAGCAGTATTGAAGAAAAATTTTTATTCCATTTTTAACATAATAAGAAAAAATATTCTTACATATATGATTAATAATGACAATGATCAACCCCTTAGAAACCACCCCTCACCTATAAAACCACACTTAAATTTTGTTTAAAGGGGTTTAAAAAATATTGAAAGATTTGAGGAGAATTTACTAAATGACGACTGGCGCTTAGTAGAAACATCTTTTTATTATTTTTCAGTGTGCTTAACTGATTGTATAATTTGAATTAATTGTACCTTTTTAATGTCTGCGGGAACAATTATTAGACAAGTGGGCACTTTTGACAATTATGGAACTTAAAATTTATTGGTTACAAAAGTTAAATTGTACTTTTTAAATTTAATTCCTCGTTTCTTACTGGATAAATTTAACAGAGTTGTCACTTAAGAGAGTGCTGATAATAAACGTCGCATATCTACTACTGAAAGATATTGGAAAATTTGGTTAATTTCAATAGTGGATAATTGAATTCTATTATTTTTTTTAATCAGATTCAACATAGAGTTCACGAATTTGTCAAGTAGATCTCTTCTTCGTTTACCTTTTTCGATACTTAATTTTAAAAATTCAACATAAGCTGGAAATTGCATGTAGGATGACTCCACGTTCTGAAGCAAATTATCGTTTCTTGTGTAGTTCGCAACTTTATTTACAGATTGCGTTAAAATATCGTAGAATGTTACACGACAATTGTTGGCAATTTCTGTTTCTTTCATTAATTTTACCTCACGCTCGCATTCATCACGCCATTCGATGAGATTATGTTTCTTATAAAATTCAAGATCATCCTTAAGGGAAGAATTACGAGAAATTATAAATAAACGCGCAGCTAACAACTTTGAAAGATCCGTGGAATCATTCTTCAATTTTTTATCAATGACTAGATTTCTTTGCACACAAATATCATTAAAGCAGTAAACGTTTTCAATGTGTCCGATTAGAAGTAAATTCATGTTATAGTTTTTAAATTCTGAATATAAAATAATATCATCCTCATAAAAATTACTTATATAATCATTGTATTCCAATAACATATGTATAAATTCTGGACGAAGTACTAAATAATTCAAAGTTTGTATCATTGATGTTAAAAAACTTCCCATTTGAAAATTACTCAGATAATTAAGAAAGCACATTAAAAATTCAGTTCCATATTCCCCAAATTTGGTAGTTTCTTCAAATTCGATTTTGTTCGAGATAAATTCTTCTGTTTGTAGTAAGTTTAAGGAAGACTCTTGTTCACTCTGTTCAGAAACTGTTATTTTATTTGCGGAATCTGATAATTTATTCCATAATTGGTAAGGATCTTTAGTTTTACTAATTTCTACAATTAATAACATTTCCGTGATGTTTGAGATATTTTTATACATGAAAGGAGAAAGGATCCATAACTTGTCATCATCAATACCTCTGCGTAGTGTATATTCCAAAGCCAGTTCACAATTAGTAGTATGAATACCAGCCTCGAGGAGAAATTTAACGACTGTTGATTGTCCTGCAGCTGCTGCGAAATGTAAACAAGTCACACTTTTTTCTGTCATTGAATTCAAATCAGCGCCGGCGTTTAGCAGCATTTCGACTAATCTTGTATGATTAAATGTTGCTGCAACATGAAGAGGACTTCTATCTTTAAAACAAGTTTTAGAAGAATATCCCGCATCTAGAAGAATTTTTAAAATATCTTCTCTTTCATTTTCGACTGCAATGTAAACGGCCAATCTGCTATCAATCGAATTTTTATCCAAGTCATTTTGTTTCACCATTTCTTTCACAACTTCCACTTGACCCTCTCGCACTGCTAAATGAAGAGCTGAATATGGTGATGCATCAATTAACGAACTATTTTTTAATAAATATCTCAAAATTTTCAAATTTCCAGAAGAAAGTGCGAATTCAAGTATTGTTTCATACTGAAAACTAAGATATTTATTATCACATTCATCTTTCACCCAGGCATTAGATTTTGCATCAATTTTCGAACCATGTTCCACCAAATATTTAAACATATCATAATCATTGTTTATTACTGATAAATGCAATACAGTTTTACCGGAATAATTTTGGACATCTATTGCGTTAAATCCATTCATAATTAGTAATTTAACTATTTTGTAATTACTCCAGTTAAGTGCGTAACGAAGAGGCGTTATCATTATTTCGTGTGTTCTTTTATCTTTCTTGTTTTCTTCACTTATTGTAGCTTCATTTTTTAAAAGTAATTCGACAAGTTCAATGTTATTATACTTCACAGTGAGATCCAGTGGCGTTTCTTCACATCTGTCTATTACATGGACATCAGCACCATTTTTTAAAAGAATCTCTGCTAATTGGATGCAATTTTTTATTATGGCAATATGAAGTGGTGACTTTTTATTGTTATCTTGCACATTGACATCAGCGCCATGTTGTAAAAGAATCCTTGTCAATTGAATGTATTTATTTTCAACCGTAATATGAAGGGATGATGTACCATCTTCTAATTGTAAATTGACATTTGCACCATTCTGTAAAAATTTCTCTACCAATTGTATGTGATTTCCACTTATGGCAAGATGAAACGGCGTCATATCTTGAATTTGTTGAATATTAACATCAGCGCCATTTTGTAAGAGAATCTCTGTTAATTCAATGTGTTTTTTAATAAGAGCCAAATGAAGTGGTGTACTTCCGCGTCTAGTTTGTTCATTAACATTTGCACCATTCTCCAAAAGAATTTTTACCAATTGAATATGATTTCCTTCTGTGGCAAGATGAAGTGGAGTCTCGCCATAAATATTTGTCGCGTTCAGATTACTTTTCTTTACTAGGATGTCGAATACACTTGGATGATTGTTACTTATCGCTAAATGTAGAGGTGTGTCACCTGAAGGATCTCCTTCATTGATGGGGAAATTGCGCTCGCAAAGTATAGTGACAATTTCAGAGTGTCCTTTTGCTGCTGCTGTATGCATTAGTGAACATTTTCTTTCTCTTTCTTTTGGAGAAATTTTGTCAAACAAATGGAGAAAGAGATTGAAGTCTCCATTAAAAACAGCATGATACAGGGGTGTGTCCATCGCAGGAAAATCATTCTCATAATTATAATCGTCATCAGACTCATAAGAAGAATGAGAATTATAATCGTCATCAGACTCATAAGGAGGATCCCAATCATAATAATCTTCAGAAGACATGTTGAATTCTTGAAAATAATCTTCTGCAAATATCTGTAAAAAAAAAGTCAAATTTACATGAACTTTTTAAAAATTGTATATTATTAAATGGTCAATCTACTGATTTTCGTCTGGAGGCTGTTGCGACTGTATTTTTAAATTTTTTTTAGGTCTAAAATATGTGACAATGGTCGGTTAGCTTCATGATTGATTTTCTCATGTTCTATAATAAATTTAAGATGACAAAGTAATAAAATCATTATTTCATTCCATAAGAATATTGTAACTAAAAATTCACATTTTCAAAGATTTTAATGTTAACCCTTTTCAATATTCAATTATTTCTAAAAATTTACGCCATAATGTTTATAATATTCAATTATAATTTAAAATTTTAAGTGAAATTCATTTTTTAATCAATTTTTGTTAGAAAATTTCCCAAGAATTCAATTATTTAAATACAGAAATAAATAATTTATTCAGAAATTGCATGTTTTTTAAAATTGAACTTTTATGAATAATTTTATCAAAATTTTTAATAACAATTGAATTCTTTCGGCGAATTTAAAAAAAAAATTGTAAGAATAAATGCAATTTTTTATCATTTTATTTAGAATTTTATAAAAATAATTGAAATTCTGCGAGAAAAATATTATTTATGAAAATAATTGAATTCTTGCAACGAATTTTATTAAAAATTTTTTTAAAGAATTTAATTCCTGTGAATAATTTTATTTGTAAAAATAATTGAATTACAGAGAAAAGTATTATTATTTATGAAAATAATTAATTTCTTGTGAAGAATTTTGTTCAAATTTTTTTACATAATTGAACTTTTCAAAATTTCTAAAAACTTTTTAAAAATAATTAAATTTCATCTAGAAATTTCAACAAAAAATTTAAAATAATTGAAATTTGACAAAGAATTAAAAAAAAATTTTTTTTAAATAAGTGAATTCCTGTGAAAATGTTTATTTTTGAAAAAAATTTTATTAAAATTTCTTAAATAATTGAATTGTTTTGAAGAATTTTTATTTTTTACTAAAATAATTGAATTATTTCGAAGAGTTTTACAAACATTCTTGACAATTATAATTGTATTTCTAGAAAAAATGTTGTATTTTACAAAATAATTGTATTCTATGACCGATTTTATTATAATTTTTCAAATTTATAAAGCATTTTGTCAAAATTTTTAAAAATAATTGAATTCTTAAGAAAAAAAAATTGATTTATTGTAGCGAAGAATTTTATTCAAATTAAATTGCAAATTAAATTGCAAATTAAATTGCAATTAAAATGAACTAAATCTTGCAAAGAATTTTGTCAACATTTTTTTAAGTACCTAATAGAATTATTAAAAGAATTTTATTCAAATTTTTCGAAATAATTTAATGTCTCAGACTATTTTTTTCAATTTTCTTTATATATTTGAATTCTTCCGAGAAACTTCATTAAAAAATTTAAAATAATTGAACTGATGTGAAGAAATTGGTAAGTAATTGAATTCCTGTTTAATTTTCATTAAAATTTTGTTTAAATAATGGAATTCTTTTGGAAAATTTTATTAAAATAGTAGATATCAAAAATAATTGAAATGAGGAAAATTTTTTTAAATAATTGAAATTTTGCCAAGGATTTTATTAAAGTTTTTTGAAAATAATTAAATTTTAGAGAAGAATTTTATTATTAATGAAGATAATTGAAAGTTTGACGAGAATTTAAAAAAATTTTGGAACATAATTGATTTTTTGCGAAGTTATTTAAAAAGAAATTATTGTGAAAAATAAAGAAATTGAAGTAAAATATTAAAATATTAAAGTAAAATTTTTTTCCGAAAACAGTATGTATATCACTCTACAAAATTCCGTTGTTAATTTACAACGTTGGACATTGTAAATTATTTGCTTCACGTCCAACGTAGTAAGCTTACAAGCTGCTAGTAGTAAAACACGACCTAAATGTAATTAAACAATCCGCGTGTTATTGCACAACCTCAAAGTAAAATTAAAATTTTTGCGTTATGAAACATGCCGTTTGTAAATATATCAAAAAATTGGGTTATAATACTATAAATAAGGTTATGTAAGCGGTTCGCGTATTTTTCTCAAAATTTGTAGGAATTAATTTCTATCACTGAAAAAACACAGGAAAATTTCAAACTGAATTAAATTAAACATATTTTTTATTTTACAAAAGTTTTTTTAAACATATTATTTATTACACAAATATAATATATATATGTATATATATATTTGTTTTTCATGCAGCTCCAGCGTGTGTCGCGTTTCAAATATTGAACACTGAAACAAATATATCTTTTTTATTACAAATTTATTTATATTTCTTTTTCGTTTAAATTATTATTAAATATATCTAATATTACTTTTTAATTTTCAAAACTTTCATGTTACAGTTATTAATATACAGTTAAATGGTATATGTTGATTTCTAATGTTATCGAATTCATTATGCATTATTTTCTATTATTCTAAAGTTATTTCTAATTTGTATATATAACATAGGAAACATTGCTTAATATATATTTCACTGCATAGGTTTACATTATTGGCAAAAAGAATTAAAATTGGCTTACCTTGCTGTATGAACAAAAATAATCACCACACTTTATTGTGAACTTGTGAATAGTTGCAATTTATGCTTTGTGTCTATGCTGCGCGTTTGTTATGTGAAATGTGAATTTACAATAAGCGACATGTTTCTTTACACGCACGACAGGTTAAATAATCACCCGATTGTAAAATAACACAAACGATCAAATGCAAACGATGTATTATTGCAATCTTACAATACATTTACATCAAAATGTAAATTTACTACGTCGGACGTGAAGCAAATTATTTCCAATGTCCCACTTGGTAAAATTACAAGATCTGAGTTAAATAACATTATAGGACGTCATAAAGTTACACAAAGTTGTGTAGAATTGCACTTGTAGGTTATATCACTACGTGTAGCAACGTAAATTTATCACATCAGACGTTGTAGTTTTGCTGAGTGAAATTACACGACGTGTGTTATAAAGCAATGTCCTTTTTTACAGTGTATATACAAACAACCTCATCATAACCTAAAATTAACCTATCATTTTGACTGTGTTATTGATAAAAAAATATTTAATTAATTAAAATATGGATATAGAAAATAAGTTGAATTCTTTGTGTTAATTTGTTCTGTTATATTTTTGGTACCTTTTTGCCACTTGTTTTCGGAGAATACTTTCACTTGTTACATACTTTTAAGATTTAAGCAAAACTGTGACAACGGTGACAACAAATTTGACAATATGCAGGATTGCAGGCCGGTTTTCATGCCTGCTGCAGGGTTGAGAAACTGCCTCAGTCAAACGTCCAAAAAATAAAGATAGTAAAGGTGCTTCTACAATTGCTTGCAAATGTATTTGTTTTGTCGAATTCAAAGGAAATTCAAATTCTGCATAAAAATTTACGATAATTACCTTTGAATTTAATATTTTGAAGTAAACAAAACGAAATCGCGTTCACAATAATCACATCAAATCATATTAATCATAAAGTGACCGTTACGTTCACGTTACTTTTTTATTCTGCGTTGGGCTTTACAAAATAAATTACTAACTAACTTAATACATTACTAACTTAGTTACTAATTAACTTAGTAACATAGTCAGTAACTAAGTTAGTAGGTTAGTTACTAAGTTGACTAGTTAATTAGTTAGTAACTAAGTTAGGTAAGTAAGTAAGTTAGTTACTAAGATAGTAAGTTATTTAGTAACTAAGTTAAGTAAGTTAATTACTAAGTTATTCAGTAAGTTATTTAGTAAGGTAGTTAGTATGTTAGTTAGTAAGGTAGTTCCAAAATGGATTATTTTAATCCTCTTTGGTGTTAATTTAATCTGCAACGCTTTTTAATACCTCACAATTTACTCTGTGATATGGTGTTCTTCCAAAAATTGATAATCACTATAGATATTAATCGTATTTAAATATTATATTTCATAAATATTTTCCTATTCAAATTTTTTTAATCTTTTGACCTAAATTTACATTATTTAACAAAACAATGAACCTTGTGTAAGAGAAAACCGTTAATATAGGTCAAACAAATTTTTTCCCCAATTTAAATACATTGTGTTGTAAGTGTCATTGAAACATTGTTTATCATTTTGTCATTAGTATCACGACACGCCTTAGGCTGATTTTAATTTCTATTTAATACTAAATTTATGATTTATGTTGATACTATAATAACTACTACTGTAAACTACTATATACTACTATAAAGTACTACTATGAACTACTACTATAAACACTGCTATAATAAAGTGAATATAATATAAGCGGCGTTAAGTATACCGTCATCTTGATTATAGAGCTATTCACCTAATCAGTTAAGTCGCTTGAACAATTTAATTTTTTTAAAAAAAATTTAATTTCTTTTTTTAAATTTTTTTCTTTTAAACGTGAATTTTTTTTGCCAACTGTATTTTTAAAAAATCCTACAATGGAAGTGTCTACACAGAGGAATTCATACGAGAAGTATATCGAAGAAAGAGATGAAGAAATAATGAAGTCACTAAATGACCAACGAGACTATAGGGGTCTTATATTAAAAAACAAAATGAACATTGTTTTAATTAGTGACCGAACAACTGATACAGCTGCTGCAAGTATGAATGTCCAAGTTGGTAAGTATTAATTTTTACTATGTAAAAAGAATTCCACCTTTGAAAATTTATTAATTATTCTTGAAATCAGAAAATATTTTATCTTCAAAAAGAGGGTTAAAATAATAATTTTAGATTTATTTATTTATTTTTTTTTTAATTTTATACTTATTCTCCTACATTTGAATGTAATTCAAGTTATCCTACATTCGATAGAATTTACTTCGATGACGAATTGAAGTTAATTTTATTGTCGATTTCAGATTTTCTCTTTGATATAAAAATTTTTCTTTATCTAACTACCATATCTTTTATATTATGATAACTAAATTGAAGTCATTATTATCTAACCTTATATCAAATATTTTTGATAATCAAACTGAAGTTATATTTCAAAAATAAAACTACTTCTGAGTCCGCAACTTTTTCACTAATAACATAAAAGTATCAAATTGCATTATTGCAAGAAATTGATACCAAAAATCTAATCAAAAATTGATCCAAATTTTTGGCATCGATATGATCCACTTTAATATCAATTTCATACTTTCAAGAAAACTGTGAATTTTGAATTTTTTTTTGAAGAACCGTTTACTAATTCTTTTTAAAAAGATTGGGATCATGGTACTACAATGATTTTTATAATTATAAATTTATTCCGATTTTATTAAAACCATTTTTTTTACAAAAAGGTTCTCTATGTGATCCTTCGGATGTACAAGGACTGGCGCATTTATGCGAAAAAATGCTGCTTTTAGGAAGCGAAAAATATCATAATAAAAACGATTTTCACGCCTACTTTTCAAAAAACGGTGGTAAACTTAATGCCGTAACTCATAAAGAAAATACAAATTATTATTTCGATATAAAACAGGAATATCTCGAGGGAGGCTTAGAACATTTTTCCCAAATGCTCCTCAGACCCCTATTCAATGAATCAGCTATCGATGAAGAAATTATGAAAATTAATTCAGAATTCGAAGAAAATAAATCTTGTCCCTTCTATCATGTGATGCAAATTGAAAAATTCGGTGTAAAACCAAATCATCCGTTTGGATTTTTGGAAAGCGGTAACATAAGTACTTTAATACCAGAAGAAAAAAATTTGAACCCACTTCAGGAAGTGATGAAATTTTACAAGAAATTTTATTCTTCCAATTTGATGACACTGAGTGTTCTTGGCAAAGGTATTTACATTTTTTTTTGTTTAGAATTACTTTCAAAAACAATTTTTGGTCAAAAAAAAAAAATTTTCAGAGAATTTGGATGATTTGGAGAAAATGGTGATGAAATATTTTGTCGATTTTGAAAATAAGGACATTAAATTATCAAAATTAGAATCACCATTCGAAAATGGTGAATTTAATACAAAATTGTACGTTGTTCCAAAGGAAAATTATCGGAATTTAAGTTTAACTTTCTTAATTCAGGATTTTGAGTCGTATTGGTTCAAATCAGAGGTGAGTATTATTTTTATACGAAGATTAAATTAAAAAAAACCGTTATTTTTATAATTATCCGAAGATTAAATTTCAATTATTTTAAAATATTTCCAACAATTTAATCATTTTTAATAACATTTTTCAAAAGGATTCAATTATTTAAAAAAAAAAATTCAAATCCGAAATTCAAATAATTTAAAAAAATTTTAATATACAATTCTTGTCAAAATTTCCATGATTTCAATTATTTTAAAATATTTTCCTGAATTCAATAATTTTTAATATCTACTATTTTAATAAAACTTTCCAGAAGAATTCAATTATTTAAAAAAAAAATTTAATAAAATTTTCCAAAAGAATTCAATTATTTAAAAAAAAATTTTTAATAAAATTCTACGCAAACATTTAATCATTTTCATAATATTAAAATTTTCACAGGAATTCAATTATTTACAAAATTTTATCAATTTCTTCGTAATAATTCAATTATTTTCATAGGAAATAATAAAATTTTTACAAAATTCAATTATTCTCGTAAATAATAAAATTCTTTTTAAGAAATTCAATTATTTTCATAAATAATAAAACTAATTGCGAAGTTTCAATTATTTTCATAAATAATAAAAGTAATTGCAAAATTTCAATTATTTTTAATACAATTTCAATCGAATTCCTCTGAAAATTCAATTATTTAAAAATTTTTTAATTAAAATTCGTCAAAGGAATTCAATCATTTAAAAATTTATTGATAACATTCTTTATGTGAATTCAATTTTTAAAAAACATTCAATAATTATTCAATAAATTATTTTAATTTTCTATTTAAATAATTGAATTCTCGTCGAATTTTCTATTAAAAATAGATTTAAAAATGAATTTCAGTGAAAATTTTAAAAATAATTGAATTTTAAAAAAGTTTCAAAATTATAATCTTTAAAAATTTGAATTTTTCAAGTTTTTAACTACAATAATTCTGTATGAAATTAATTTTTTTTAATAAATTTAATAGCGGATTATTTTTTGAATTATTTAAAGTTTTTCTTTTTTTTTTATTTTTAATTCAAGAATTTCCGAATAATTGAAATTTTGTAAAACTGAATTATAAACAGATGAATTTAAAAATATTCTCAAAGTACTTTTTCAAAAATTATTAAAAATAATGGATTTATAGAAATTTTTTTTTAAAAACACTAAAAAAAATTGAATTTTGGAGAAATTAGAAATTATTGCAGAAATTCAATTATTTGCTAAAAGTAATAAAATTCTTTGCAGAAATTCAATTATTTTCGTAAATAATAAAATTCATGGCAAGATTTGAAAGAATTCAATTATTTAGCGAAACCTTTTTTTTTAAATTTTTTGAAAGTATTCAATTATTTACAAAAATATTAGAATTTGTCACATGAATTCAATTATTTACAAAATTTTTCGAAAGAAATCAATTATTTTAAATATAATTTTAAATAAAATTTTTTTTTCTTTTTTTTGAAATAATTCAATTATTCTTTTAGATTTTAATGAAATTCTTCCCAAGAATGCAATTATTTACATAAAAAAAGAAAGAAAGAAAGAATTTTTTTTTTCGTAAGAATTCAATTCGTTCGAAAAATAATAAAATTTTTCCCGAAAATTCAATTATTTTGAGACATTTTAATAAAATTCTTTGTAGAATTCAATTATTTTTATAAACAACAATATTTATCAAAAAAATTCAATTATTTTTTAAAGTAATACATTTTTTCTTAAAAATTATTTTATTTAGAAAAATTTTAATAAAATTTTAAGAGGAATTTAATAATTTTTTTAAAGATTTTACTAACATTGAATAATTAAATGTTTAATTTTAATTATTAAAAAATTACGATTACCTATCCTTTAAAAACTTAATTGAAATTCTTCATAAAATTCAAGTACTTTAAAAATTTCTATTTAAAATTATTAATAAAACTTTATTATTTTAAAAAAAATTCAATTATTTTAGTCAATAATAAAATTCTTTATAAATACTTTCACTGATAATACTTTTCAATAATAAAATTCTTCACAGGAAATTCAATTATTTTTAAAAATTTTAATAAAATTCTTTATAAATACTTTCACTGATTCAAGCCCTGATATAGTAAATAATTTTTTTTTGTACAGCACACAAATTACACGACGTTTTTACTTCAAAATGAAAGTGAAGGATCATTACTTTCCATTTTGAAAAGAAATCGCTGGTGTCGCGACTTATGTTGCAAATTTCCAAAAAGTAATCGAGGTTTGGATTTATTTTACAATGTGAATTTTAGTCTTACCAATGAAGGTTACCATCACATTGATGATATTATTACATTATTTTTTCAATATATCCGCAAGCTAAAAAATCCAAATATTATGAATTGGGCGTTAAATGTAATTATCAACAGTTAACATTTTTATATCTAGTTCTCACTTGGAGAGATTTTTCAATAGAAATCATTATATATTATTATTATTATTATTATATTTTCATTTCCCAACAGAATTTTAAAAATCTGATCTATATATTTCTCTTGAGAAATATACTTTTATTTATAATCTTTCCAAAGTGTGGATCCTATTTTTTTTCTCATCTAAAGTTTTCTGAATGTAATTAAAAATTTTTATTTTAATACTTCAACTACCGTAGGAATATGAATCTGCCCAAGAATTAGAGTTTCGTTTTATAAAAAAGGAATGTCCAATTAATTACGTGAAAAGTGTGTCGAAAAATATGACATTTTATCCAATGAGGTGTGTACTTCGCGGTCCTTATATGATATTTACATGGGATCCAGACCTCATAGAATACGTTTTAGGACTTATAACACCGGAATCGATGAGAATTATTGTTGATGCAAAAGAAAATGAAAATATTCTCACACAAGTTGAATCAATTTATGAAATTGAATTTAAAAGTGAAAAAATATCAAACGAAGAGATTTTTAGGTGGAAAAATCCTAAGCATATTGACGCTGATTTGAAAGTGCCTCAAGGAAAGGAACAACCTGTGCAGTACGATACAGTACCCAGGGATTGTATGGTAATTTTTTTCTTATTTTTTTAAAATCTATTTTTCATTTTGTTTCCTTACGTAGACTGATTAATAAAATTAATTAAATAATTTATATAATTAATTAAATTAATTAAATAATTAATATAATTAATTAAATTAATTAAATAATTAATATAATTAATTAAATTAATTAAAAAATTAATATAATTAATTAAATTAATTAAATAATTAATATAATTAATTATATTAATTAATATAATTTATTAAATAATTAATAAAATTAATATTACTAATTTTTATCTTTTCAGGCCGAACAGAATCCTCGAATTATTCGTGAGACGCCATTAATGAGAGCTTGGTTTAAACAAAATAATGAATTTCCCGATCCAAGGGTGTTATCAAACTTCCGTTTCACTAGGTAGTAAAAATTCTCAGTTAAACTTTCAATCGCGAATAATGATGAATTAAATAGTTTTTTCAATTTTCCCCTTTATTTGGATTGGCGTTAATTTTAAACGTTTTAGAAAATAAAAATATCAAAGAGTATAATTTGTGACCTAAAAAATTATATTCGGAGATAAATTTGACACGGTAGGTATGGTAGTCGCGTACAGACAGGCAGAGAACGACAGCGCACGCTGGCCGCGCATCTCTCTCCCCACCGCTAGCTCCGTGAGTATATAACTCGCTCGCCTCTCACTTCTTCCTCAGTTCGTCTTCGGACCTGCTTCGAGACGCTTCTCGGGCTAACGGAAAATAAATGATATTATGCAATTGAAATATTAATCCGAACAATTATTATAATAATAATTATTTACATATTGTTTTATATAAATAATTATTATTGATACTAATTAACGTAATTAACTAATTTACGAAGTAAATACTAATTAAATAATCTTAACAAGAAATAATTCTAGGACCTGATTTATCCTAATGATATACTTGATCTGCAATTTTTTCTACTTTTTTCAGTTCATCCACGTATTTGAATCCGTTGAACTACAGCAATTGTGTTATATTTGTTAACTTAGTTAAGAAAGCCTTAAAAGAACAACTTTCTTCTGATTCACGATGGCATATTGAACCTGAAAAGTATGGTTTTCAAGTTAGTAATTCAAAGTATTTTTATATATATTTCTGTAATCAACTAATTCAATTGTTTTTTTTAAACTAATTGTAATTTATCATTTTAGCTTTTCATCGAAAGTGTTGGTGAAAATGTCATCTTCCTTGCATATCAGATAATAAAAGAAATTCTGAATTTAAAAATTGATGAATCACAATTTCAGATTTTGAAAGATAGTGTAAGTGTCATTTGATCGCATACAACACCGAAAGTTTCCTGAAAGTTAAAAATTCATTTGTCTGTAAAGATTGGAATCTTTAGTTGCAATGAAATCTTTAGAATGAAACTTTAATTCTTGACGGTTGTAGGGTAAACGCGACCTAGAAAAAATTTTAGATACGTTTTAGAAAATCCTGATTGATCCAAATCAATGTTTACTATCAGAAACCTTTCGGTATTGTGGGGGTAAAAATTATTTTGTTATAGAATTAAAATTTGCTTTCTTAAATTTTCAGTATATTAGCGATTTGAACCGTATGAGTCATGGGTGGATAAACGTACAAGCAAACGTTTGCCTCGAAGAATTATTGTCTGAAACATTTTGGAGTAATGACGATTTTCTGAAAGCAAGTAACAGTAAGTGAAATTTAATTTTAATTTTTTTTTGAAATTTAATTTTTTTTTAATATTATTTACTTCATTATTTTTTTAAATTTGGTTTTTCTTTTCAGAATTGACATTGGAAAATTTTCAAGATTTCGTATCGGAATTTTTTTCAAATATACACGTTGAATGTTTGTTATACGGTTATTTGACCGAAGTCCACGCTTCAAAAGTGGCTGAAGATTTAGATCAACAGTTGGCTGATAAATTAACAAAAATAAAGAAATTCAGCAAAGAAAATTTAACACCATTGTTACCATCTCTATTACCGACCAATAGGGTAATTTGTTTAAAACCAGGTAAGAGAATATTTAATCTCAATATATCAGAAAAGTTGAAACGAAAAAAAATTTTAATTTTACAGCCTGCCACTATCTTTATGAGGTAGAAACACAGGAGAAGGAAAGTTGTACGTTGATTTACTATCAAAGTGGATTACAAGAAAGAAAATCGAAAGTCATTTTCGATTTACTTGAACATATTATGTTTGGACCATTTAGTGAAGGAATAGCAAGAGAAGACGTGGGTTTTCTTTATAAATGTAATGCACAACGACAAAATGGTGTAGAAGGTTTCATGATTCTTGTACAAAGTGAAAAGCATCCTCAATGGGTTGAGGAAAGAATAGACGATTCGTTACATTCAGTGAAGGTTGATTATTAATTATTAATTATTTTAAAAATATTTTATTATTCTTTAAGTTCTTGCATCTTGGTTTTTAAATTTCAGGAGTATGTTAAAAACATGTGTGATGAAGAATTCGAAATTTTAAAGAAGGAAATTGGTTCGATGATGTATCAAAAGCCATTGACATTGGGACATTCGCTTTTAATCTTCTGGGAAGAAATTTTAAGAAAGACATATGATTTTGATGGAATGTCTTCAGAGGAGCTTTGCTTGGATACAATCACAAAAGAAAGTGTTCTACAATTTTATGAGGTAATCTTTGTTTATCTATTTACTTCGTTACTTACTTACTCACTTACTTACTTACTTACTTACTTACTTACTTATTTACTTACTTACTTACTTACTTTATTTAGAAATAGAAATATTTAACGGATTATTAATATTCATTGATTACTTTATTATTTATGGATACATAAATCCATTTGTTGATTCATTTTCAGGACATTTTTGACAACGATTCAAATCAGCTGAAGAAATTATCTATTCACATTATTCCGGATGGAGAAAAGTTTGATGGACATGAACATAGTGAAAAATACCACAAAGGAAGCAGTCAACTAACTATAATTAATAATATTGATAATTATAAGGGTAGTCATTATCTTTATCCACTTTTGCCTTAATTCGACGATGTTAGAAACAATATTGGTAATGGTTCAAAATGAATTAGAATATTTAAAGTTATTCTAAATATTGATTAGAGAGTTAGTCATGGCAACGATAAGCGAAAGTATAAATTCGGCAAATTGTTAAAAAATATAATGTATTTGAGTTAATAAATGTTAAGATGTTCAGTAATTATTATTCGGAAGTGTTTTACTCACCTCTTTAACTATTTTCGATGCCACATTATTGGGTCCCCAATTGTCTGATACAGGAGTTAAAAATTGGACCGAAAACAATTTGAGGAAAATCTACTGCATTCTTTCTTTCTGCTGAGTCTACGACCCTAACAATAACTCTAAAAGGGAAATTTCTAATACTTCAAATTTGTCACCATTTAAATTCTCTTTGATTCCACAAAGTTCTAATTTTGTTTCATTGTGCCTGAGGACATCTGGATCTACTACTCTCTGATTCTAATTGTAAAGGATTCAAATAAAAACTTTTAATATTTTTAATTCAATGTTGGAGATAATTTGGGATATGTTCAGTTTGTTTTGAGACATAACAAAGAAATAAACTTCAGTTAAACCAGGAATAATGATTAGTAGATAGATAAATTAGGTTTTAGAACTTATTTATGATTTATTAATAAACTTTGGTTAAATCTTTACAAATATTTCCTTATTCAAACAATATAATTTTTATGAGACTGATTTAGGTGTGTTTTGTGAAAGGTATTTTAACAATACTTCAGCGAAAGTAAAGTATACGTACTGATTCGCCATCCAATTGATTTACACCCAGAGCAGAGATTTCCCTCCTCACAAAATCCAAAATTAGTGAAAAAAATATCTTCTCTTAATGTACTTTAAGCACATTTCAATAAAAAACACAAATAAAGAAAGAGAGTATCCAATAACTGCTACGTAAAGTAAAATGAATAACAGTTTTTCCTTCTCAATTTCTCCGGCAAGTGGAACATTGTGCAGTAATGCAGAATTCATGTAAAAGTTTGTAAGCAACCCAGTGTCTAGAGCTCTTTGGATTATCTTAATAAATTCCTCAGCATAAGGAGAGAAAATCCTCATTTTAAAAACAGCAGCATAATATACAGCAACTTCCGGTAAAATTTTAAAATTCGATTTTCCTTTTTTGACTGAAAGATTATTTAGATACTCTATAGCATCATCATAAATAAGACATGACACATTTTCATACTCCATTAAGTAAGAAAAGCAATAAATGCTTGATTTTCCATCAGGTAGTACAATTGATCTTTCTGCTATTTGTCGAATATGAGACAAAGAATCTTTCAACAATATGTTTTTCATCGATAATTCCATCATTGGAGTTAATGACGATGTGGCAAGTTCTGCAAGAGATGATATTTCGGGTTCCTGACGTAAATTAATTTCCAAAATTGCAGAGAAGAAAAATCCTGTATAGACAATACAACCTGTTAGCAGTGATCCGAAAACTATTCTCTCTGATAAGTTTCTTGGTTCTAATGTTGTGCCCATTCCCATTATAATTTGACTGATTTTCAACGTTTCCCATGAGTTTCTCTTGAAGTCGAGTATTAAAGCAGTGAATCGTACAAGGCATATTGTACAAATAGTAGCTAGGATCATGTACATAAATTCCTGTGAGACAACAATAACTTTTCGGAATTTAACATTTTGTGGAACTAAAGCTCTAATTCCATTTAAACTTATAATACGCGATGTTTCAATTTCCTGACTACTTAGATTAAAAGTCTGCATAATGTTCAACCACATTTCTGCTTTCTTCTGTTGCATAGTTTTCAAAAATGATGTTGCATTTTCCTTTATCATATACATGTTAATTTGTGGATTAAAATTCATTACCTGACTCAAAATTTCGGTTAATTTTTTCGTTTTATTGTAATACCGTTCTCGGATATCATTGTTCATTATTCCATACAAGAATTTTAGATTATATCCCTTCAAATCATGCAATTTATTTGGAAACCATTTGCTTTTAGATGACACTACACGAGAAGTGTATTTCTTAGTGAAAGGATTTAGTTGATTTAGAAACAGTTGTTTGTCTGGAATTTTTTTGAACAGTTTTTCTGAATGTCCATTCGATGTTAAGTATGTGACATCCAGATAATCATTCTTCCAAAAGGATTGTAAGGATCCGTTTAAGGTTCGACCAGAATTCACGAAGTGTGGTAGTACAATTAAACATTTTGGCAATGGCGAACTTTTTGATAAAATTCGTAGGTGACCCAATAATAAATTCATTGTTTTGAGAACTGATTTCGTTTTATTATCTATTTGTTGCAAAGCAAATAATGTCGTTCTTCTGGGTTGTCCGAGTAATTGTAAGTAATTCTCAGTCAGATTTGAAGTGAATTTACTGTAACTGATGGTCAAGGTGGGAATAATTTTGTTTACAGTTTTCTCAAGCGTGGAAAATGTTTGATCTGTGCTGTTCATTTGATCATGGATAAACATTACTTGGTGGACTTTCGATTCTTTGGTCAGGTACTTAATCAATCCGTCATAGTAGTTGCTGGTTGATGATGTCCTTAGGATTTCTTTAAATATGAAGAAACTCGCAAGGTATATACAGTAACTTGTAAAATTCATTTTGCACCTCGAACTGATCCGGCTGACAGTTAGTAATTTTCTAGTATTCCAAACAATGATTTGCTATTTCTATGAAATATTTCGTTTTACGAAAGCTTTTAACATTAGTGTATCTTTCATGCTAACATCTGTTATTATATCGCAGCTTTCAGAGGCATTAAAAACTAAAAGCTTTGACCCATATTCAGACAAAGGTAGCAAGTAAATTTTATGTGTTCTTCAAAGCCATCTGAATGTTTTTCCTATTTTTAATTATATGGGCCTTTGTTGACCTAGTGTTCTACATTTAGAAATAAACAATAAACCTACAATTAGCTTGAGAGGATACTTATGTCTAGAAAAATCCGCTTATGTCATTATGTCAATGTAAGTACTCTTAAATAATATATGTAGTGTAATTGAACCATGTCTTACATAAGAAATCACGAGGCATCTTAAACAGATTTTAATTATTATTTAATACCAAAGTTATGCTTTATATTGATATCGATTATCCAGTCAATAATATAAAAGCCAGCAATATTGTCTTTTTGATTTTAGTGTTAAAAACTATTCAGTGAAAACTTGTGAAAAATTGCAGTACAGCAAGTAAGAGTTTATAGACAACTTTCTATTCTTAGAGGAACCGTGAACATGAATGTTTCAAGACCATTAAATTTTTACGAATATTACATCAGACAGAGATATGAAGACATAACAAAATCACCAAATGACAATCGAGACTATAGAGGTCTTTTATTAAGAAACAAAATGAAGATTCTTTTAATTAGTGACCCAACAACACATACCCTAGTAGAAATTTGTCGTGGCATGACTAGATTTATTCAAGTTACTGTACAGTTTTAGTCATGGAAGTTTAATCTAGCTTAACTGGCGAATTACTAGACAGCTACTGCATAACACTGTTAAAGAAAATATAAAGTTGAACTTGATTATTACTGCATAGAAGTCCTGTACAGTTATTTTCATGGCACTGTCGAGGCGTTCCGAGAAATGATGTTCCAAAGTTTGTCGTGGCGTTAGCGCTACCGCCAGTTTCAGTAACTAAACAGTTGTGTATTGACATTTTCGAAATATTTTCTATAAAATAAATCTTTTGGTTTTACAGTTTATAGTTTTTATAATTTTAATTTTGTTCTTTTATTTTACTGTTGACAACTAAATAACAAATTTTTTAAATTATTTAATATTAAAATTTTGATTTAATAATAAAAATTTCTTTTCAATCAAAATTTATTTTTAATGACAATTCCTTTAGAAAAAAAAAAATTTTTTTAAAATTCGCTTCAATTAATTGAGTTAATTAAAATAACTAATTTTTTAAATTCAGAAGACAATTTCTTTTCAAGATTATATACTCTTATTATATGTATAAATATTAATTTAACAAACCTGTTACATACAAAAAGTTAGAATTGGTCCAATAAAGTGAGGTTATGTTTTACATTGATGAATTGACGTTGACATATGAATAGCTCTCCGATCTGAATAACAGAACTGTCTATAATTAATGACAGTAGACAGTAACAATTTATTACTAATTCCTTACGGAAAAAATAGACATAATTCTAGTTACACCCGCGAATTATTTCTTTCAGTGTATACTCTGATGTATTTATGGAAAATGTCTACACAACACTGTTCAGTTGCTGGACTGACGGTAGCGCTAACGCCACGACAAACTTTGAAACATAATTTCACGGAACGCCTAGACAGTACCATGAGAATAACTGGACAGACAGAACTTCTATACAGTAATAATCAATAAGTTCAACTTTAGAGTGTTATGCAGTAGCTGTCCAGTAATTCGCCAGTTGAGCTAGAAAAGATGAAAAAGGGAACTGCTTTACCTGCCGGTAGAGTATGGTTCTTATTTTTCCGGAATCGTCCATCGACTAGAACGGCCGTGATGCGTAAAGCGTGCGTTTAGGTATTTCGTCCCAGTGTGACCCGAGTTCGCTCCCCGAAACCGCTAGATATTTTTCGTTTGAACTGAATTAATTCTTCATATTAGGGTTTACTTATAAGTTTGTAGTGTGATAAAATAATAATATTTATTTCAGTGTTGTGCTTAATTAAAGGAAAAAGTGAATGTTGTTTAATGTAAAAAAATGACATGTGTTCAAGAATCAGTAATTTTTATATTTTTTTTTAATTATGTAGTTATTTAAAAATAATTTTACAGATAATTTATTATAAATCATTTATTATACGGAACAATAGATACACCAACAGTAAAAATATAGTTTCGTAAAATTTTAATTTATTTAATTTGTTGACAAAAAAATTTAACGTTATATTTTCAAATTTGTACGTGTTTAATACGTAACGTCAATATAAAGAAAGTTTTGACATTTCCAAGTGAATTATTTTGTATAGTTTTTCTACAGGACTGATGATCAGAAACTGTAAAATTTGACTGGACAATAACTTGAAGAAATTAGCGTGACATCACTTTATAGTTTTTAGCCAGTTTAACTGTAAAGTGCCTCGAAATTTTCCAGTGGAACTGTCCAGTGCCCTTAAAGATACTATGACAAATTTCTACTAGGGATAAAGCTGCCGCGAGTATGAATGTCCAAGTTGGTAAGTATTTATTTTTTATTAAACTACTAAAAATATAAGTACCAGATAAATAGATTTTGAATTTCACAATTAATCTCTTTCTCTTACCAAAAAGGTTCTCTATGCGATCCTTCGAGTGTACAAGGACTGGCGCATCTATGCGAACACATGTTGTTCTTAGGAAGTGAAAAATATCCAAAAGAAACTGAATTTTATTCATACACTTCACAAAACGGTGGCAGAATTAATGCCGTAACTGATTCGGAAAATACAAATTACTATTTCGATATAAATAGTGAAAATCTCGAGGCAGCTTTAGATCGTTTTTCGCAAATATTTTTTAAACCCCTATTCAATGAATCAACGATTCAGGGAGAAATCATCAACATCAATTCAGAATACGAAAGAAATGTGTCGAATGATTATTATCGTATAATGCATATCGAGAAATTCTTTGCAAAACCAAATAATTCATTTGCATTTTTTTCCACCGGCAATATAAAAAGTTTAAAAACAATTCCCGAAGAAAAAAATTTGTACCTACGTATGGAACTTATTAAATTTCACGAAAAATGGTATTCTGCAAATCTAATGACACTCTGTGTATTTGGAAAAGGTAAAGAAAATTCAAAACAAATTTTTTTTTTGAAAAAGGGTCTTTTTGGTAAATAAGAGAAATTGATAATTTTTATATTTCAGAAAATTTAAATGAATTGGAAAGTATGGTTGTTGCATATTTTGCCCAGATTCAAAATAAAAATGTTAAATATACAAGTGCATTGGAATTACCATACGAGACTAGAAATTTCAATATAAAATTGCACATTGTTCCAATATCAAATTATCGAAATTTGAGTTTAAGTTTCATGATTCCAAATCTTCAGAATTTTGAACAATTATCGGTAAGTTTATTTATTTACAAAAAAAGGGTCATTTTTCTAAAAGGAGCTTGCAAAATTACCCTACTGACTTGGGTGAGGGAATGTTTATTTAAAAACCACCCAAGAAAGAATTTGACAATTGAGGTTAGGTACCAATTTTGGCTCGTTACATAGCCATTGAATCTGATGATCCAAATTGTTTTCCTCGACTTCTCCGTTCCATTTGAAACTGACGACCTAGAACAAAATTTTTCTATTAATTTTAATTTTTTTTTGACTGAATGTCCTGAATGTAAATCCTTCACTGGAAAGTCATAATTAGTCATTCTTTTCCGAGTTGCTACTGGAATATAATAATAAATAATTAAACATCCTAGCAAAATGTTATTATTTACAGCAAACGGATTACATTACCTACTTACTTCACAATGAAAGTGAGGGATCATTAATTTCAGCTTTAAAAGAAAAACGCTGGTGTACTTACTTATTCGCCGGATTATCAGATGGCAATAAAGGTATAAACTTTTACGGTCTGGAAATTAGACTCACCGAAGAAGGCTTCCATCACATCGATGATATTATTACATTAGTTTTCCAATACATCAATATGCTCAAAAGTCATAAAGACAAGGAATGGTTGCTCAATGTAATTAGTCATAACTTATCTTCTTCAAGTTGGTCATTCTTCGAATTTTATTAAAAACTCTTTCCTATTTTTCCTACTCCAGGAATATGCGGCAATTCAAAATTTACGATTTCGTTTTATGGAGAAAATCCCTCCGAGAAATTATGTGAAACGTCTATCTCAAAATATGGTACTTTATCCAATTGAAAATGCACTTAGCGGTCCTTATTTATTACAAAATTTTCAAGCAGAACTTGTTAGATACATTTTTGGATTTCTAAGACCAGAATTTATGAGAATTGTTATTGTTGCCAAAGAATATGAAACAATTGCCACAGAAGTTGAACCATGGTATCAGGGGAAATTTTTCAAAGACAACATATCAAGGGATGTTATTTTGAAATGGAGAAATGCTAACTATATTGATACGGATTTTAAAATTCCTAATGAAAATGAATTCATACCAACGGTATTTGATATGGTTCATAATCCCTCTCAAGTAAGAATAATATATCATCTCGAATTTCGTTTATATTTTCTTTTTCTAAAAATAAAAATTAGTAATAAAAAATTCTTACAGGATGACAGGTTTCCAAGAATTATTCACAATACGGCATTAATGAGAGTTTGGTTTAAACAAAATAGTGAATTTCACTTACCAAGAGGGGTCTCAAATTTTCACTTCAAGAGGTAAACTAAGTAAAAATCCCAGGGTTTTTGTCACTTCATCAATTAATAATTCTGTTTTGAATTTTAACCATAATTTTCAAATTTTCAGTCCATTTGCATACGTCAATCCCGCGTATTATAACAATTGCGTCATATTTACACATTTAGTTGAAGAATCCTTAAGGAAATACTCCTATTTTGCTCATTCAGCTGGTTCACGATGGATTGTCACTCCTGATAATTATGGTTTTAAAGTTAGTAGAGACTTTTAGCGAATAATTTGAATTTTATTTCGAGTTAAATAATAATCAAAATTTATTATTTTAGCTTTTCATCGAAAGCTACAGTGACAAACATATTTTCATTTTAAATAAGGTAATGCACGAAATCGCAAATTTGAAAATAGTTGAATCACAATTGCAGACTTTGAAAGATGAGGTTAGTGTTAAACGAATGCAATTTTATTAATTAAATTTTTGTCTAATATTCTTTTACACTTTAAGTACATTGAAGAATTGAAAAATCTGGATACTAAGGAGCCGTACCATCAAGCACCTGTTTACTTAAAAAATCTATTGTTTGAAACAATTTGGACTAGTACTGATCTTCTTAATGCAAGTGACAGTAAGTGAAACAACATTAGAAATTATATTTGGGATTTCATTTTGGAGTTCTGTTTTACCAGCCGTGGATAATTATCGACCGCGGATAACTAAAAATCTGTAATTTAATTCCCCACTACTGAGTGAGGCTAAAGAAGCGCTGATACATGATTCAACTGTTTTCGAAAATTCTAACAATTGACACTTTTTTATTTTCAGAAATAACAGTAGAATATTTACAAGACTTTCTAGGGCAATTATTTTCAAATATGCATGTCGAGGGTTTTATTTACGGTAATTTCACCGAATACGACGCAGTAGCAATGGTCCAACACATTGAATACAAATTATCAAACATAAGCACATACAACAGAGGAAATTTAACACCATTATTACCGTCTCAATTAACAACAAGTAGAGTAGTTCGTTTAGAGCCAGGTAAAAAAAGAAAAAATTTTTTTCGCAAAAATAATTAAAAAAAAATTATAAATAAGAAAAAATATTCACCCATCTCTTAAATTTAAACAGGTTATCACTATCTTTACGAGGTTGAAAATAAAATTAGCAAAAATTCTTGTACATTAAAGTACTATCAGTTTGGATTACAGGATACAAGGACAAAAACACTTCTCGAATTATTTTTACAAATTATTTCTGATCCATTGTTTACAATTTTAAGGCAGAAGGAAAAATTGAGTTATATTGTAGAAAAAAAAGTGAGAACTGACTATAGTGCATTGGGTTTTACGATTCTTGTTCAAAGTAGTAAACATCCTCAATACATTGAAGAAAGAATAGATAATTTCATCGACACAATGAAGGTTAATTAATAAATATTTTATAATATTTATATATAAATAATTTATAATTACTCTTCTATGGTGTCACGTGTTTATTTTATTAGAATTCTGTTTTTAAATATTACAGGAGTACATTATAAACATGACTGATGAAAAATTCGAAAAACTTAAAGATACCCTTGAGTCAAAGATGCATGAGAAACCAGTGTCAATGGTAACATTATTTGATAGCTTCTGGAAAAATATTTCAACAAAAACTTATGATTTTGTCCGAAACTCATTGGAACCACTTTTCTTGGCAAATATAACAAAAAATGATATAATAGAATTTTTTGAGGTGATAAAATATTTAATAAAATTAATAGTCCTGAATGTAAATTATAATGGTATATTAATAATTATTATTGCAATTGCAATTATGGTAATTATTAAAATTTAAAAATTATTAATTTATAATTAATTTATTAATTATTAATAATTAATTAAAAATAATAATAATTATTAATAATTATTAATAATTAATTATAAATAATTATTAATAATTATTAATAATTAATTATAAATAATAATAATAATAATTATAATAATTAATTATAAATAATAATAATTATTAATAATAATACAATATTATACATTAATATTACAATTCACCATAAGTATGTTCATAATCGAATTCAATTTAAATATTTGTTAATTCATTTTTAGTTGAATGTAGACAATAATTCAAAGTGCCAAAATACATTGTCTATTCATGTTATTTCGAATGATCAAAAAAATACTGAAGGAGAAAACAATCAAAATCAAAGTACACGGAACCGTAAAATAATTAAAATTGATAATATTGAAAAATTCAAGAGTCAATTGTATCTTTTTCCATTTTTGCCTTCATTTTTGGATTAATATAGACGACAATTCAAGATGGCGAAGAAAATTTCATAAAGAAAAAAAGTTTAATATTAAAAATAAACCACAGAAATTAAAACTTTTAATTTTAGAATTATATTATGTTTTTAATTGAATAAAAAAACTTTTTTAATATCCCTATGTTTCTTGTTTTAAACAGGGCTCGAACCAGTGAAAGTATTTAAAAATACGATCTTTAAGGACCAAAAAATGAAAAATTTTACAATATTCAATTTTACCAAAATTGCAATTATTCGTAAATTCTTCAATAAAATAAATATTGGAAAATAAAAACTTAAAATATTATAAAAAAAATTCAATTAAACTTTTTCAAAAAAATTAATTTCAAAATTCAATTATTTCTAAAAATCCACGCTATATTGCTTTTAATATTCTATTATCTAAAATTTTAACTGAAATCCATTTTTAAAAATAATAAAAATCGATTTTTATTAGAAAATTCTACTAGAATTCAATTATTTAAATAAATATTGCAAATAAATAATTTATTGAATTAATTGAATGTTTCTTAAAATTCAATTCCGATAAAGAATCGTTATCAAAAAAATTTTCAAATAATTGAATTCTATCAACGATTTTGAATAAAATTTTTTAAGAATAATTACATTTTTCGAGAAATTCGATTAAAATTAAAAAAAAATAATTGAAATTCTGCGATGAGTTTTATTATTTGTAAAAATAATTGAATCCCTAAGAAGAATTTTCTATTACTTTTGAACAGAATTAAATTTTAACGATGGAATATTATATTACTTTTGAAAATAATTGAATTTTTGCAATAATTTCGAACTTTTACAAAATTCAATTTTTTTCGTGTTTTTAACTAAACATCTTCTATAATTCATTATTTTTAATGATTTTTAAAAAAATTCCTTAAAGAATTTTCAAATTCATTTGTTTACAATTCAATTTTTACAAAATTTCAATTATTCGTCAATTCTTCAATGAAATATAATATTAGAAAATGAAAACTTTATATAATTTCAAAAAAAAAAAAAATCCGCAATTGAAGTTTTTCAAAAAGAAATTAATTCCACGGAATTGTTAGTTAAAACTATGAAAAATTCAAATTTTCCAAGATTTTAATCTAAAACCTTTTCAAAATTCAATTATTTCTAAAAATTTACGCTCTGCTTTTAAAATTCAATGATAATTTAAAATTTTAACTGAAATCCATTTTTAAATCAATGTTTATGAGAAAATTCTACTAGAATTCAATTATTTAAATACGAAAATAATAATTTATTGAATGTTTCTTAAAATTGAATTCTCATAAATATTTTTGAAAGATAAAAATCTATAAATTTTTAAATATAAATTCTTTTGACGAATTTTAATAAAACTTTTTAAAAATTTTTTCGAATTAATTCGATTAAAATTTTGTTAAAAATAATTGAAATTCAGCAATGAGTTTCATTACATTTTTTAATAATTGAATTCCTAAAAAGAATTTTATTATTTATGAAAATAATTGAATCCCCGTAAAAATTTTATTATTTATGTAAATCATTGAATGATTGCAAAGAAATTAATTTTAAAAATTTGTAAATAATGAAATTCCTGTAAAATTTTTATTACTTCTTGAAAATAATTAAACGTTTGTCTAGAATTTTATTAAAAATTTCTTTTTTAAATAATTGAATTCTTTTGGAAAAATTTATTGAAAATGGATATTGAAAATCATTGAATTGAGAAAAATTTTTGAAAATAATTGAATTTCTCCAATGAATTTTATTATTTATGGAAAAAAATTTAATTTCTAAAAAGAATTTTATTATTTACAAAAATAATAATTGAATGCCCGCAAAAATTTTATTATTTATGAAAATATTTCAATGATTGCAAAGAAATTTATAGTTGAAGAAAAAATTTATTGTAAATATCAAAATTCCTGGGAAATTTTTATTTACTTTTTTTTAAAAAATTAAAAGTTTTAAAATGAGTTTCATTACATTTTTTAATAATTGAATTCCAAAAAAGAATTTTATTATTTACGAAAATAATTGAATCCCCGTAAAAATTTTATTATTTATGTAAATCATTGAACGATTGCAAAGAAATTAATTTTAAAAATTTGTAAATAATGAAATTCCTGTAAAAATTTTATTATTTATGTAAATCATTGAACGATTGCAAAGAAATTAATTTAAAAAATTTGTAAATAATAAAAATCCTGTAAAATTTTTATTATACTTCTTGAAACTAATTAAACCTTTGTCTAGAATTTTATTAAAAATTTTTTTTTAAATAATTGAATTCTTTTAAAAAAATTTTATTGAAAATAGATATTGAAAATCATTGAATTGAGAAAATTTTTTGAAAATAATTTTTCGGAGCATTTTAATTATTTCTAAAAGTTCTAAAGATAATTGAAATTTTGATGAGAATTTAAAACAAAATTTTGTATATATATAATTGAATTTTTGCGAAGAATTTTATTTTACTTTTGAAAATAATTGAATTTCTCCAATGAATTTTATTATTTATGAAAATAATAATTTAATTTCTAAAAAGAATTTTATTATTTACGAAAATAATTGAATCACCGTAAAAAATTTTTATTTTATTTTTATTTTTATTTATGAAAATATTTCAATGATTGTGAAGAAATTTGTAAAAAATAATTTGTAAATATCGAAATTCCTGGGAAATTTTTATTTACTTTTTTTTTTTTAAAAAAATTAAAAGTTTGTGTATGAATGATTATTGTATGTAAAATATCTTACGAGGGGGAGGGGGGGGGGATTTTCTAAAAAATCTTTATGTTCATCCTTCATCGTTTTTAATTATTTTCAAAATGAATCTAATTTGGGCTGCGGACAATGCAGAATTACCCTACTTACTTGGGTGAGGGAATGTTTATTTAAAAACCACCCAAGTAAGAATTGACAATTGAGGTTATGTACCCATTTTGGCTCGTTACATTATAGCCGGCGTTGAACTGAACGATAGAATTTCAGCTTTTGTATCATCCAATGCAGCAAAAAATTCTCTGTGAGAAACAGAAGCTCTTCATCTTTATTGAATAAAATAATAATGCTTGCGGAAGGTAAATAAAAATAGACAATAAATTTCTTTCCTTTACGCTTTGTAACTTTATTTCTTACACTAAAAACTAAGCCATTAGTTGCAGTTAAGATCCTCGTTGATTTTACATCGAAGACAAAAATACGATCTAATATTTACAAATGAGGTGCGTAACGTAAGCTTAATTTATATAATAAATTTGCAAAAAAAAAAAAAATTGAGTATAGATCACTGAAAAATATTGCACGAGGAAGCGTACGAGCAAGAGAGAGAGAGAGAGAGAGAGAGAGAGAGAGAGGAATATAGTAGTCGGTATACGATCTACCAAAGAGAGAATTTTTTTTACACATAGATTTTTTTTTTATTTCTTATTCTTCAAAAACAGTGCGAGTCTTGAGACAAGAGAACGTACAAAATTTGTCCTGCAAAAAAATATGTTCTCCAGATTACTCAATTATGTGGACATATTTTTATAGAAAGGAAGAAGGGGAAGGGGGGGGGTATTCACTCGTTCGTTTCGTTTCCTCCTGCTTTTCCAAGTAATTTTCTCATATTTACCCAATAATTTTTTTTTTTTTTTTTTTGTTCTCGAAAATAACAAACGGTTCATTATCATCATTCTTTTGCCTGTTGTTGATCATTTTTTTTTCTCAATTAACGGCTTTCATTTCAATAAATCTAGAACATTTACTAGTCTGAAATATCAATACTGTTCTATTTACAGATGAATTATAGTGCCTAGGATCTAGTAGCGATAAAATAGATAACGACGCCTCCCTTGATCCTGAGGGTCTTAAAAAAATTATACATTTATATATATATATATAAAAAAAAAAAATAATTGATGAGCCGCGAGAGTGATTTTTCATTTTTATTTCGCTTCCCAGTGGAAAGAAATTTGTCAAAATATTTTATAATAATTCATTTACCTATACACAATTGCCTATAATAATAAAAAGGAATAATTTCACTCTGGACTTCCAATTAAAAATTTTTCTTCTTTTAGTCAAAAAAAAAAAAAAAAAAAATTTCTGTTTGAAAAATTTAAATGTAGAATTAAAAATGAATGCGTAAAAATTTTTCATTGGAAGTCAAAATCACGGAGATCCGTGTAACTTTTTTTTTTATAATACTCTAGTCATCGTCATGGACAAGTTTTTTTTTTTTATTTTTTTTTCTTGTTACCCTTACGCTTCGAACAGTTAATTAGCTTTAATTCCATGATATACATTTAGGATTATTTCGCTATACATATTGCGATATTACGATATTTCTATGGGCAACGTTTCCTTTTTGATGAAAAAAAAAAAAAAAATCGAGCATTTGTAACCTTTTTTTTGAAAATTGAATTTCAACAAACTTGTCTCGTATTTAAAGGACGGTCTACATTCTTTTTTTTTAAGTCGATCCCTCGACTCTCGATAATTTTAGTTTCATTTTCAAAAATTTTTTTAAAACGAAAATTACATGAAGAGAAGACAATGTTACGTATAATAATTTATACAAGCGAATTTTTGGTCACAAAGCGCTCAAAAATTTAAATACATACTTTCAATCGTGAAGTGATTTTTTTTTTTTTTTACTGAGAAATAATGGAAAATTTCTAATTTTTTTTAAAATGAATTTTTTTATTAAAGAAAAATCGCAAAACGATCGAAAGTGCAAAAAATTTGTCTACTATTTTTATAAAAGTTTTTATCTTTTTCTTTTATTCTTTTAATATGTAACTTTCGATTTATGCCTCTCTTAATAAATTTTCATGAATAAAACGTTTACAGATATAATTGGAAACGCAAGTACTTTTTACAAGTTTTGACTCCTGCGTCTTTCGACGATAAAAAGTCCTTTGATTTTAAAACTTAACTCGATTACTAAGAAATATTTTTGTTTGTTTTTTTTTTTATTTAAAATTACAAGCGTTTCTCTACGGTCGTTGGACTTTTTTTTCTCTTTATAACTCTGTTATAAATTTTTCGTCAATTTTCGAATCACTCTCCGAATAAAATTTTGTTCATATTTTTTTAAATTTGAAAAAATTTTTCTAAATAATAACAAATTTTTTTTTTCTATTTTTTTTTTGGTGGACAACGTAAAAACTCAGCTATTTACAGCTTTTTTTCTAAATTTATAAAAATTTCGATTTTATTCGAAGAGAGATTTTTGCATTTTTATTGATAAACTCGTTTTGACGAGTTTTCTCTCGTGTGAAAATCGAATAAGCCTCGATAAAATTGTTTTTTTTTTTTAATTATTCTTTTTAAATCCATTAACAAGAGCGCTTAACGACACTTTATGTTCTTTATTTTTATTGATTCTTTTCTTTTTTATTTATATATTTTTATTTACTATTATAAAACGTTTAATTTTCTCATTTTTTTTTTTGTTATTTTTTATTTTTAAATAGTCTTTAGGTGTAAGAATAAAAGACTAAAAAAATGTTTCAAGGACTGAAACGTACTTGTGATTTAATATCGAGACTAAAACTTTTTTTTCTTACAGTGAAATTTTTTTTTTTTTTTTTTTGAAAAATATTCCATTTTTTGGATCTGTAAACAAAACTCAATTTTTTTTAACGAAAGAAAAGAATTTTTAAGAAAGAAAATTAAATTCTTTCTGAATTGTAAAAAAATTTGATAAAAGAAAAATAATAAATTTTTTTCTGAATCGAAAAAAATTTTTGACAAAAGAAAACTTAAAATTGAAAATATAAAAAATTTCTTTTCGATGAAATAATTATTTTAAAACTAATATTGCGTATTTTTTAACGCAGAGTCGATATTTAAAATTTAATTCCGTATAAAAAATATCAAAATAAAAAAACGAATATAAATGTAAATAAAAAGAAAAAAAGTAAAGAATAAAAATTTGAGAATTAAAAAAAACACAGTAATTTGTTAATTTCGATCAAAATACGACTACACAAGTACGAGATATATATACACATTCTTAATCACTGGTAAGATTTTTTTTTTAAATACAATTATAGCGTAGGAGAGTATAGTATTTAAGCTACAACGCATTGTAACGATTTTTCATTTTTAATAATTTTTTTTTTTAAATTTTCATTTTTTTTGGACCTAATTTTAATGCCGAGGCGCTTCCAACTGTGCGAAATTTGAGAAAATCGAAAAAAAAAATTTTTTTCCGCATTAATCTACTTGTAGAAAATTACAACAATAAACATAATTAATAACCATTATTATTAATAATAATAATACTAAAAATAATTTTATTTTTAAAAAATTATCCAAAATCGACAAGTACTTTTTTAAAAATTAATTAAAAGAGGGAAAAAATAAACCTTTTTTTCCATAATCTATTTATAAAAACGTTGCTTTCATAGTCGTTTTTTATTCTTAATTTTTTATTTTAGAAAAAATCATTTAATAATTCAAAGAAAGAAAAATCATTTTTTTCGGAAATTTAAAAATTCATTCAAATGAATAAGAAAATTATTTTTTTTTCCAATGTTACAAACAATGATTCTTAATTTAAATTCGAAAATTATTTTAAATTATTCAAAGAAAGAGAAATGAAAAATTTAATTCTAGGAAAAATTCAATGAATAATCAAAAAAAAAATTAATTTCTTCAATTTAATATTCTAAAAGAAATATTTCGCACTTTTTGAGCGTTTTGATGAGATTTTTTCTTTTGATTCTTTCATTTAGGCCCGATAAAGGTTAAAAAAGAATTCTTGGGGGGCAGGGAATAAAAAAAATTCAAATTTATTGTTTAAGGGAGGAAAAACTGTAAATAGAGGGTAACGTGAAATATATCGGTCAAGTTTTTTTTTCTATCTACGATCAGACTCTTTAAGTTGTTTAGCTTCTCAACTTTATCAATATCATCATCATCATCATCATCATTATCATCAATTTTGACCGAGAAAAATTTTTAAACTCTCAAATTGGCGTCATTTCACAAATCGATATAATAAAAGTCTATTTTTCTTTTTTTCACTCGCTTATAAGAGCTTAACTGCACGTCAACGTATTTCATACCATTTTTCTTTTCTTTTTTTTCAAAATATATGTATACATAAATAATAAATATAAATTATTACTCTACCAGTGAAAATTGTGCGAAATATTTTCGTTTTTTCTTTTAACTCAGAAACAAAATTTTGCTTGTTCCGTTAATAAATAAATAAATAAATAAATAAAAAAGTAAATAAATAAAATTAGAATTATAATTCAAACTGAATAATTTTTAATTAATAATTAATAATCAATTTATATTAATAATTAATTAACTTTTTAATTAAAAGTGTTTATTTTCTTTTTCTTTTTTATTTTATTTATTTATCATTTATTCAATTATTTAATAATTTAATTATTCCTTTGTTTATTCTTCTATTTATTTATTTATTTATTTATTTAAAAAAAAGACGGTAAAAATTAAATTTTTTTTATTCAATTAAAAGAACAATTTTCGAAAACAATTTTGAAAAAAAATATCAAAAAGTAAAATTGAACAAAGAAATAAATAAAAATTAAATAAAAAATAAAATTTAATTTTTTATATTGTTTCTTTTAGAAATTAAAATTAGGTTTTTATTAATAAAATTTTTTATTATTGGCGTATTGTTGTCAAATTTTTATTAAATTTAACACCGTTTTATTTTTAAATTGGTCAAAAAAAAATATTGCAAGAATTATTTAAATAATATTTTTCAGAAAAATATACGAATAAGTTGCATTCTTTTTCTTTTCTTTTTTTGATAAAAATTGCGTACAAGAATATTAAAAAATATTCATTTTTCTATAATTTTTCATTTTGTCTTTTCGTTAATAAAAAAAATTTTTTTTTCTTTTTTTTGAAATTTAAAACACACTTTTTGTATCGAATTCAATTTTTAAGAAATCGTAAAATTTCAATTTTTCAATGAATTGAAATTTAAAAGGCAATTAAAATTTTTGTAAAATAGAATTAAACTTTTGTAAAACAGTAAATTTTCAATTTTTTACTGTAAAATTTTTTCTTCTTTTACTTTTTGTTTTTTTTTTTTTTTAAGTTTACTCTTTTCAATCGTTAAAAATTTTTTTTTGTGGTTTTTAATTGAAATTTTCATTCGGAATAATAATAATAACAATGTTTTGGTTGAATTTTACAAATAATTTAAAATAAACAGTAAATTTCACTTGAAATTAAAAATAAAATTACAACAATAATATTTGAAATTGAAATAAACTTAAAAATTGTTATGTTTAGTTTAAATTTTCAAAAACAAAATTGATTAAAAAATAGTTTTCGATTTTTCCAAATTTGAAAATTTTCAAATAAAATTTTATTATTAATAATAAAATTTTATTTTCACCTATTTGAATAATTTATTTAATTATTTATTTAAAAATGAACAGACAAATAAAATGCAATTAAAACAAAAATTCTTTAATTAAATTTAAAATAAACTTAAAAAATTTTATGTTTAGTCTAAATTTAAAAAAAAAATTGATTTAAAAAATAATTTTACAGTTTAATTTTCCTGAAGGGAAAAAAATTGATTTTCAAGAATTAATTTTTTTCTCAGTAGTTAAAATTTTCTTTCGCACAATTTTCGTTCGAGGATGAAATTTATATTTATATGTAAACATACATATAATATATATATAAATTTATATAATTTTAATAATAGTATGTATATAATATATATATATATATATATATTTATATTTATATTTATATACTCGCTACCTGCATATCACAACATAAACTTATATTTTCAGACTCTTAAAATTCGAACGCTCGCTCACACACTTTTACATATACACAACACTCGCACACAGGCACTCTCGCTTATTTTTCACCTACATAATTATTTAATAATAATTATTAATCATATAATAATCATAATAATAATAATAATAACGCTGCTGTCGCAATTGTTACAGTGATCGGTTTTGCGGAGCATTTTTTTTTTTTTTTTTCTTAAATTAGTGACAGAATTAATTAATTAATTTAATAATTATTTCAATTTAATTTTAATTTCATATTTTTATTTTAATAATTGTTTCAATTATTATATTTAATTATTTCAATTATCATATTGAAAAAACTATTTCAATTATTTTATTCAATAATCACTTTATTAATTTATTGTATTCAATTTTCAATTTAATAATCAAAATAAATAAAATTTAATTACCGAAAAAAAATGTTTGAATTTATTTTTCAGTCAATTTTTTTCAATTTCATGATTTTTAAGAAACACAATTTTTAGTGTCAATTACATTGTAATGACGAATTTAAAATATTTTTATCATAATTTCCCTCTATTTGACAGTAGAGGAATTTTTTTTTCAATCTTCGAATTCAAAATTCGAAAAAAATTTTCAAATATCAACTTGAAGGAAAATTTTTCAAATATTCACAAATTTAATGATAATTTTTTAAAGATTCTTTTTCTTCGGACGAGAAACTTTTCCGTTTTACATAATTCTGTCACTAATTTACAATCAGAGAGCGAATTGTCAATATTTTTTTTTATTCGATGCGCGAATCCTGCTGATGAGGATTTTTTTTGTGAGTATTTCCTGAACGTCGAGGAATCAATATTTAAACCAAGAATAACACACATTTTTTTTTATTATTTTTTTTATTTAATTTTCTTTTCACGATTTCAAAATGGTGTTGCGGCGAGTTTTCGTGTTATTCTTTTTTTTTTTCGTTTTTTGATTCTCAAAAATTTAGGGTCCCACTTTTTTGATCTTTGGACTGTGGGATCTCATTCGGTTGACAATTTTTTTTTTCGTTTAATTAAAACGTCCTTGTTCGCGGTGCTTAAAGCCACTTGCAATTTCTCTTTTCCAGCAGAAAATCATTTTTTTTTTTTTTTTTTTTTCGATAAATGTGATTGGCTCAGATCCTCTGTTGTGCAGGAGCCGGTTCGCAGAGAAACGCCTCGGACAAATGAAAGAGAGAGTGTGAAAAAGAGAGAGAGAGAGACAAGTGAAAAAAAGAAGAAAAAAAAATAAACAGGGCAGCCAAAAAGGTTTAAAGTATGCAACAGGAAGCTGAGCAGCAACTACTTCCTCCACCTTTACTTTTTTGTCTCTGATCTGTAAACAAAATTGGAGAATATTAGTTTTTTTGCTTCATTCGAAAATATTTTCTTGCATTTTTTAATTATTTTCAAAAAAAAAAAAATTTTTTTTTATCAAAAAGAAAAAAAATGGTTTAATAATAAAAGTGTTTACAAAAAATTGTATTTTATCGAAAACAATGTTTATTTTATGGAAAACAAAATGAATTTTGTTGAAAAACTGTATTTTATCGAAAAAAATATTTATTTTCACCAACAAACAATATTTTATCAAAAAAATATTTATTTTCACCAAGAAATAATATTTTATCAAAAAAAATATTTAACAAAAAAATTTACTTTCACCAACAAACAATATTTTATCAAAAAAAATATTTATTGTCACCAACAAACAATATTTTATCCAAAAAAAATTATCTTCTTAAAAAAAACTATTTTATTGAAAAAAAAAATTTATTTAAAAAAAAAATTTTTTTCATTAAACATTTTATTACAGAAACTAAACTATAGGTATTTTAACGAAAAAAATAATCAAAAAATATTTATGATTTATTTTTTAAGAAAAGATTGAATTTAAAAAAAATTACATATTCTATCGAGAAAAAAATAGTTATTTAAAAAAAAAACTATATTTTAGCGAAGAAAATATTTATTTTCACCCCAAAAAATTGTATTTTATAAAAAAAAATATTTAGTTTCTAAAAAAAAACAGTATTTTATTTTATAGAAAAAGAAATATTTATATTGAAAATAAAAAATTTTGTAGTTGGAAAAAAATATTTAATTTCAAAAAGAAAACTTTGTTTTATCGAAAAAAATAATTATTTTTAAAAAAAAACTGTATTTTATAGTAGAAAATATTTATTTCCACTCCAAAAAATATATTTAATCAAAAAAATAATTTATTTTTTTTAAACAAAAACAGTATTTTATCAAAAAAAAATATTTTTTTCAAAAGAAAATAAATATTTTCTTCTATAAAATAGTTTTTTTTGAAAATAACAATTTTTTTTGGACAAAATATAGTTTATTTTTTAAAATTAATAGTTTTTTCCAATGAAAAAAATTTTCTTCTTAAAAATAAATATATTTAATCAAAAAGTATGTATTTTCTATAAAAACAGTTTTTTATCGAAAAAAATTTTTATTTCCAAAAAGAAAATTTTTTTCATTGCCAAAAAACATTTTAATTAAAAAAAAACTGTATTTTAACAAAAAAAAAAAAATACTTATTTTCAAAAAACTATATTTTATCGAAGAAAATATTTATTCTCTCCCGAAAAACGATATTTTATTTAAAAAAATTATTATATTTATTTATTTATTTATAATATTTACTAAAAAAAACTTAATTTTATCGAAAAAAATATTTAATGGAAAAAAAATGACAATCCATTGAAAAAAATATTTTTTTGAAACTATTGCTTTCAAAAATATTTTACAACTCGTTTCTTGTCGCGTTAACATTTTTTTTTTTTAATTTAAGAATATAAAGACAGTGGAATTTTGTTTATTTGGATAAAAAATGTTTTTTTTTTTTTATATAAAAAGAAAATTTTTTGTTTTGGAAAATTCAGGATTCTGAAAAACTTCGCTAAAAATTCTTTATTCTTTCTCGTCTTGTTTTTTAGTTTTTTTTCCGTGGAATATTTTATTTTCAAATTCAGATAAATTATTTTTTAAAAAAAACCCTTTTTTTTTAATTTTAAAAAAATTTTTTTCTTTGAAATTGAAAAAAAACCTTGGAATTATTAAAAAGTTTCTATTAAATATTTTCTGTATGTTTATTAAAAGTTTAAAAAAATTTAACTAAAAACGAAATATTAGTGAAAAAAGCATAAAATTTTGAATTTTTGTATTTTTAAATCTAAAACTGTTAAAAACGATTTTTTTAGGTCAAGAAAAAAAGTAATTAATAAAAATTCTAAAAGTGAAAAATTTAAATTTTTTATTAAAAAAAAAAAATGTAAATAAATAGTAAAAAGAAAAAATTGCAGTCCGGAGAGGAAGATTTAAAATATTATCTACAAACTATAACGGATAGAATATTGCAAGTTTTCATCTAACCGTTATTCGAAAAATTTTACGATTCACCGTTATATTGTTGCTATAAAAAAGATTTTCAGTAAAATGCAATTTATTACGAATAAAATACAAATTTACACTATTTGCTGGGAAAAAAAGGATGGAAAAGGTAAAAAATGGAAACTCACTCACAGGAAGTTTGGATATTACATTTTTTTTTCTTTTTTTTTCGTTACGATTACTCTTCAATTTCGTCTGGAATTATATGCATATATTCGCCATTTGGTAAAATTCCTGCAAGTTGGAAGTAAAATTTATAAAAAAAAATTTTTGTTTTCCTTTTTAAAACTAAAAATTTTAACTAAAAACTAAAAAAAATATATTTAATTAATAAACAAATGAAAAATTTCAGTGAAAATTGTTCTTATTTCTAAAAAAAAATAATTTTCCCCGACAAAAAAATTTAATTTTCCAAACAATCTTTAACTTTGTAAATCAAGTCTTGACTTTTAAAGAAATTTTTAAATTAAAAAATTGAGCTCCCGCGGGCAATAACTCGATCTGCGCTTGAACTGAAAAATTCAAGCCAGTCAAGCCGTCAACAAATGAAAAAAAATAAAAGTCGGAATTTTTAATTTTAAAACATACTACCGTATAGAGCATAAAAATGCGCAACTTTTTTGTCTTTGAAATTTTTTTGTAGGACTTTTATTTTTAATAATAATGGAAAAAACTGAATTTTTTTTATTCTTCAATTTCAATGAATTTCAAAACATAAATCGACTTTTCTCAAACAAATCTGCATGAAATTAATTAAAAATTGATATACTTACGTATCAGGGTCTACTGAAGACGATAAAATGATTAAAACATTTTAAAAAATTAATTGTAAAATTATTTGTTAATGTAAATAAAGACCTGTCGGTAAATACGTTTTCTCAACTTTGAAGAGAAAAAGTATGCGGTGAACTTTCGAGTTGACAAAACTTCCAGTGAGACATTTGTTTATTAACATATCAAGAAGTTTTTTGGAAATTTTTATTTAAATCGAATGAAAAATAAACAAGATACATAATGTTTAAAAAAATATGCGTCGCGCGGCGTTTTGACATTTTGACGCGAAAGCTTTACGATAGGAGGAAATTATTGGAAACTATTGCTATTTTCTGTTGATTTATTTAAAAAATAATTTTATTATTAATATATCTGACTTTTTAAAATATATACATAACTTAAATTCTTTTGTTCTTAAAAATTTGTTAATACTGTTTGGTTTTTCAAACCAGATTAAAACATTAAATAATAAATAAAAGTGTTACACAGAGAAAACATACTCGATTCAAGTAAAAAAATAATTTTAATTGATTTTGTTTAATTTAAATTAGTTTGTAAGCTTAATCCTAATATATAGAAAATATCTACTGCTTTGATTCAAAAATAATATTTGTTTGAATAATTATGTTTAATTTTAATTCAAATATATTTTTTGTTTTGGTTTAAACAAAAAATACCTACGTTTAAAAATTTTATGTTTGATTTAAACTTAAAAGTTGATTATAAATAATTTAAAATCAACCATAAATTAAATATATTATTTTTATAAATGAACCAAAAAATATGTTTGAATTAAACTTACATTTATTTGACTGTAAAGCAAAAATATTTTAAGTTTGATTTAAAAGAAATTTGATTGAATTAAATAAATTGTTTTCTCAGTGTATTCTTAATCTGATTGTTTTACTTTTTTGGTCGTTTTCTTGAAGCACCTTGCACACACTTTACTTCTGACATTATTTAAATTTTTTTTATTAATTTACAATTAATTTTCAATTTTAAAACACATGGATTATTAAAAAAAACTTAACGACAGGAATAAAGTAAACTGTATTTTCTTCAAAAAAATACAAGGACCTGCTATGTTTAAATTAATGCACAGTATATAGTGCATCAAAACAATCTTAACCTTGGATTGAGTTAAAAGTTGGAAATAAGATTCAAAAAACGTAAAAAGCTGCCTATCATATATAAATGTATAGAATTGGTTTTATTTTAAATACAATACATGCATAAAATTATTTTTTAAATAAATCAACAGAAAATAGCAATAGTTTCCAATAATTTCCTCCTATCGTAAAGCTTTCGCGTCAAAATGTCAAAACGCCGCGCGACGCATATTTTTTTAAACATTATGTATCTTGTTTATTTTTCATTCGATTTAAATAAAAATTTCCAAAAAACTTCTTGACATGTTAATAAACAAATGTCTCACTGGAAGTTTTGTCAACTCGAAAGTTCACCGCATACTTTTTCTCTTCAAAGTTGAGAAAACGTATTTACCGACAGGTCTTTATTTACATTAACAAATAATTTTACAATTAATTTTTTAAAATGTTTTAATCATTTTATCGTCTTCAGTAGACCCTGATACGTAAGTATATCAATTTTTAATTAATTTCATGCAGATTTGTTTGAGAAAAGTCGATTTATGTTTTGAAATTCATTGAAATTGAAGAATAAAAAAAATTCAGTTTTTTCCATTATTATTAAAAATAAAAGTCCTACAAAAAAATTTCAAAGACAAAAAAGTTGCGCATTTTTATGCTCTATACGGTAGTATGTTTTAAAATTAAAAATTCCGACTTTTATTTTTTTTCATTTGTTGACGGCTTGACTGGCTTGAATTTTTCAGTTCAAGCGCAGATCGAGTTATTGCCCGCGGGAGCTCAATTGTAAAAAATTTATTATTAAAATTAAAATTTTTAATTAAAGAAATTGGAGTTAAAAAATAAAAAAAGTTTTCACCTTTTAAGAAATTTTTTTTTTAGAAAATTTATTATTATAAAATAGTAAAAAATATTAAATTTGTAATAAAGTTTTAGTAAAAAAAGTTTTATTTTTGTTAAAAATTTTAAGTCATGTAATATTTAAAAAAACAGTTATTAGCATTAGAATTATTAATTTATATGAATAAATAAATTAGTAGTTAATTATATTTGTATTATTAATGGAATAATAATAAAAAAATAAAAAAAGGCGAGTAAATTTATATTAATAAATAAATAATACTAAATTAATTTATGATGTTAATAAATAAATAATAGTAAATTAATTTTTATTACAAATAATAAATTAATTATTATATTATTAAAAAAAAAAAAAAAAAAAAATTAAAAAAGGGTTTAAAAAATTACACCCTTGATTATTATTAATAAGGAATTGAATAGTTAAATTAATTTACCGCGCAATAAATCGTTAAATAATCTTGATAGCAATTTTCAAAAATATTATTACTAATTAATTGAATAATAATTATAATACGAAAAGTAATAAAATTATTGAGTATTCAATAACAAATTTTATTAATTTTTTTACGCGTTTTTTTACTGTCCATATATGACAATTTTAATAATAATTCAATAAATTTAATTAACAATGAATTATATATTACACAATTAAAACACACATACATAAAAAGAGAAAATTAAGAAAAAAAAGAGATTGCATATTAAAAAAATTGAAATAATTTATTTTGATTTAATATCTCCACTTGCAATTTGCACTTTATGAATAATCTAAAAACAAAAAGTGATAAATTTATTTTTGACAGATAATTGACTTCGTGACCTTTTCAATTGAACTTTAAGATTAAAAAGTCTGATAATAAGCAATCAGTATTAATTGATATTTAATTTTTTTCTAATTTCATTTATCAATTAACTTTGTTTTATCGTGATAATTCATTTTTTTTTAAATTTTTGTTTTCCTTCCTTGCGTACATTGATAAATTCTTGTTTTATAGCAGCAAAAAAAAAAAAAAAAAAAGAAATTGTAATTTTTTGTTAATTTAAATAAGTATTAAATTTTTTACAATTTACCTAGAAATTAATTTTTTACCTATTTTTCTTTTCCATTCATTATTTATTATTATTAATTTTACCTATTCTTATATTAAAATTGATATAGAACCTATTTTCTCATTTTTTTGATTAACTTTTTTTTTTTTTCTTTACTTTTAATAATTTTGTTAATTACTTAATTGTTTTATGTTTATCTAGATACCCATTTACGGTCCAATATTGGACTGCGGGAATGTATATTAATAAATAAATAAATAAACTTGACAAAATAAAAAAAAAAAAAAAAAAAAATTATATTTTTAAAAAAATGACATTGTCTGTAGTTTTTTTAAATAAATAAATAAGAAAAAAAATATTAGATAAAAGTGGAGCTCTTATCGATTATTTACAAAAAAAATTACTTTTAATTATTATAAAATAATAATTAAATTGTTTATAAACTAATTATCAAATTAGTTATAAAATAATAATTCAATTATTTATAAACTAACAATTAAAATAGTTATAAAATAATAATGAAATTACTTAGAAAATAATAATTAAATAAATAATAAATAATAATAATAATAATAATAATAATAATAATAATAATAATAAATAATAATAATAATAAATAATAATTAAATTACTTGGAAAATAAAAATTTAATTATTTAGAAATTTTTTTTACACCTATTTCTTAAAAAAAAATGTGGCTGGCTTTGAATTTAAATGATAAAAAAAAATTTATGAAATTAAAAAAAATGGATATTTTTTTTACTTTCAGGGAATGAGGAAAGAAATAGTTAAATTTTCAGAATGTTTTTTGTTTTTCATAAAATGCTGTTTTTTTTGTGAATAATTAAAAAAATAGGAGAAAGTCACCTTGAGAATTAGGTTCGGGTAAATTTTCTCGTGGTACAAGATGCATCACTGATGTTTTTCCAAAAGGAAGCCCAAGTGCACCAAGCGTGACATTACTGTGCAAAAAACGTCCCTGGTATATTAGCCGCAAAATTTCTGCTTTGGCAACCGCCTCTTCCGCCCAATCTAAAATTATTTTTCATTATTAAAACATGTTTAAAATTTTTAAAATTTAAAAAATTTTTTTTTTTTTTTAATTTTATTTTTTATTTTTTTTAACTATTTTTATTTAATTCATTTATATTACATTTATAATTTTTTTATTTTATTGACTGTATAATTATTTTAAATATTGTTTACTTCTTTTTTTTTTTTTTTTTATTAGGATGTTTATTTTATTTTTAATTTATTTATCTAAAGGTTTCATTATTAATTTCATTTATTAAATTATTGTTAACCTTTTAAATTTATTGTACTAATTTTTATTTAAACTTTTTTTTTTTTTTTTTTTTTTTTTTTTTTTTTTTTTATATAATATTTCTAATTGAATTCATTTATATTTTTTTGTTTGTTATTTTTATTTATTTAAATTATTCAACTTTTTATTATATATTTTATAGTCTTTTTATTCTTTTTATAGACTTTTTATATTAATCTTTGAAAAAATTGTTGACTTTTCTGAAAAAAAGATTTTTGACGCTTAGGGTCGACGCTAACCTCAAAAACTTTTATAATGAAATAAAAATAAATTCTAACTGAAATTTAGTCAATATTTGAGTGGTAAAAAAAATAAATAGAAATTCTACTGAAAATAGATTTTCATATATATATAGAAAATAAAGTAAAAGATAAAATTTTTTTCTCAAAATTTACCTTCAGGCCAGTTTTCAAACACATGTTGCGCTATGTCCCCTGCAGAGTCACTCGGACTAAATAGGAACTCTTTTGTTTTCCCACTGACAAGAATGAGGCGTAGATTTAGCTGAAACAAAACAGAAAAAAAGAAACGTTAAAAAATTTTTCATCATCAAAAGAATCGTTTGAAAAATTTCTTATTTTTTTAAAAAAAGAAAATTATTTTTTATAACAGTATTTTCAAAAGTTTCAGAAAATTTTAAATTTTTAAATTATTTACAATACATTTTTTTCTTGCGATGGATAAATTTTTATTTTTATTCTCATTTTTTGCGAGCTATTTTCAAAATTTCAGATTCTAAATAAAAGATGATTGACTATAATTTTAGAAGCAATTTTCTCATTATATTGAAACTCTATACGCACACATGTGTGTGGGAGGAGTTTCTCACGTAGTTTCTTGGAATTCCTTCTGTGAGGACCTTATAATTTATTCAGTTTTTGGATATTTCAAAGGGAGGGTCTGGCAATTTACTTCAAGCCGCTTCTCTTTTAGCCCCAAAATTATCAAAAAAAAAAAGAATATTTTTCTTCCAGCAAAAAGTGTATTTTATCACTCTCTTAAAAAAAAAAAAAAAAAAAAAAAAAAAATTAGTAGTATCTCAATTTACTTAAAGAGTGAGACTAACTTTTTTATTTCGATTGTCTGTCAAATTCTCCCTTCAATTTTTTTTTGATTGCAGAAAAACCCTAATTTTCTTTCCACAAAAAATAAAAAAAAAAATGTTTTCTAAAATTTATGTACAAATTTACAAACGTAAAAGAATTTAAAATTTTTCTGTTGGGGAAAAATAACGTAGAAGAAATACTAAAAATTGTACAATACAAAAAAGAGAAGTGAGGGTACAAAGAAAAAGTAAAAAATTAATTAAAATAGTTGCGTTTCATTATTATCATTATTATTATTATTATTATTATTTTTCCAAGGAAAAAGCAGACGTTAATTGTGTTCAATCTAGCAAAGAATTAAATTGCTGAACTGAAAGTAATTAGTAATTCCAATCTCCTCTTCAACTTTTTGAGTTTGAAATACTCTATAAGAATAAAATGCATTAATAAAAAAAAAAAAAAAAAAAATTGAGAACAGAAAAGAAAAACTGAAATGCAATAGGCGAGTCTCGAGAAAAAGTACAAAGTACTCAAAACTTTCTTGAATCGCAAAAAACTTTTATTTCCGGATTACGAATAATATATTATATTGAACCAATGCAATCAATATGAAGTTCAAAAGTTATTAGAAATTGAAAAATTAATAATTTTAAAATAGATTTTAACTATATTTATTAATTTTAACACTCTTTTTTTATTTATTTTTTTTTATTCAATGAAGAAATAAGAATCGGCGAGAATAATGCGGAATATCGTGAAAAAACGAACATAACCTCAAAATTTGACAAAATTTGTATCGTAACCTTTAAAATTAAGATAGAAAATTAAATGTTAAAGCGAACATAACTTAAAAATGAAGATAGAAATTAAAATGCTCAAGCGAACATAATCTGAAAATATTCTAGTCCCAAAGTTAAAGGGACACAATTACAACTGAATTATCAAAATTTTTCTGTATATAAAACCAGAACATTCATATAATCAAGAAATTATTACAGGGTTGCCACAAATATTTAATTTTTTTCCCCTGACTTTTCCCTGATTTCCAGACAAAATTCTCACATTTTCCCTGACCCTAAAAAATATTCTGATTCACTCTAAAAATTATTAGAAACTCAAAAAAATGTTATATCGCATTTATTTACAAATTTCATTAATTATAAAATTATTCAAAAACATCAATAATTTCTTTTTTAAATAAATATTTAATCATTATTATTCTTCCGTAGGAATTAATATTCTTCAATACATTCAAATTCAAACCTTTTTGAAATTCAACAATTTATAAGAATATTATTACAAAACATAAAGAAGGCGACACTCCGAGTCTTCGACTCGGAGTGATCGCCTTCTTCATGTTTTGTTATAATTTTAATTACCATTTTTCATGTATGTGAAGTTGGCCCCCCACTTTCAAAAAAATTAAATTTTTTTTAGAGTTCTGACTTCCTCTACAATAGTTCTAGAGTTCCTGATAGTTTTTAGAAATAGTTCCGGCGATTAAATGGTAAAAAATAGGTTTTTTCATAATGGGGGGCTAACTTCACGCAGCCCCCCACTATTGAAAAAATGGATTTATTATTAGAGTTCTGAGTAGCTATAAAAGAGTTCTAGAGTTCCCTACAGTTTATTTCAATAGTTCTCATAATCCAAAATCATAAAAAAATAATTGAAAATTCCAGAATTTTTCAAAAAAATTAAAATGTTACGAAAAAAGAGTTCTGATCACAGTTCTGTTAGCCCCCCATAGTGTTCGACAAAAAACCTTAATAACAATTTTTACAAAACCCAAAAACTACTAAACTACAAGACTTTGAATTTTCAAAAAAAAATTTGATCTTTTATATTTTGAGAGTTCCATGATTTCTTAGCAGAGTTCTAAAAATTTCTTTGGAGAAAATAAAACATTACTTATTGCCGTTTCTTAATATTTTTGTAGAAAATTCTCAATTTTTATAAATTTTATAAATTCTATTCTTCAATTGCAAATTTTAATTGAATAAGAAATTATTGGAAATTCTTAATTTTTTAAAAAATAAAGGAAAAATTTCCATGTACCTTCAAATTATTAAAAAAAATTAAATTAAATTTTTTCAAAGAAATTTTAATTCTTCAAAATTACGGGTTAAAAATATTTATGAAAATAATTTGCAAATATTTGAGTTCAATTTTATTAATAAATTGAATTCTTTTAGGAAATTTATTAAAATAGTACCTACTTTTGAAAATCATTTAAATCAGGAAAATTTTTTAAATAATTGAATTTTGGAGGAGAATTTTGTTATTTATAAAGGTGATTGTGATTTTGATGAGAATTTTTTTTAACTTTTGAAAATAATTGAACTTTTATAAAAAGAATTTTGTTACTTTTGAAAGTATTAAATTTCTGCAATCATTTATAACAAATTTATATTTTATTTTTATGAAAAAAATTTGAATTTAAAATTTCTAAATTCAATTTTTTTTTAAATGGCTAATTTTATTAAAAAAAGTATGTAAGAAATTAGGCGTTAAGCAGTATAATATTAATGTAGTAAATCTATAACCTTAAATATCATGTACATTTATTCAAATACAAAATTTTTTATTAATAAAAAGAATTTACATATTTTATTTTTTAAAGAAAAAAATGCAGATTCCTAAATAGTTTTGTTTAAATTTGCTTTTATTTACATTTAATATATTATCCGTAATGACTTTTGAAATTATTCTTACAAATTATTAAATCCCCTCAATTATAAACTAAAGGAATTTAGCAAAATTAATGTAGATTAAAATACAATATTTTCTATTTTATAGAAAATTTATTTCATAAATAAAAATTCTTTTTATTGTTTTCTTGTCAGGGTTTTTACAAGTCCCAATCTCTTTTTCTATGTAATGTTACACAGCCAAAAAAGTGTGGTTGTGATTCAGTAGTTTTTTGGTTTTGAAAAAATTGTTATTAAGGTTTTTTGTCGAAGACTATGGGGGGCTAACAGAACTCTGCTCAGAACTCATGGAACTCCCAATTTATAATAAATTTTTTTTTGATAATTCAAAGTCTCGTAGTTCAGTAGTTTTTGGGTTATGAAAAAATTTGTATAGAAGGTTTTTTGTCCAATACTATCGGGGGCTAGCAGAACTCTACTAAGAAATCATGGAACTCTCAAAATATAAAAGATCAAATTTTTTTTTGAAAATTCAAAGTCTTGTAGTTTAGTAGTTTTTGGGTTTTGTAAAAATTGTTATTAAGGTTTTTTGTCGAACACTATGGGGGGCTAACAGAACTGTGATCAGAACTCTTTTTTCGTAACATTTTAATTTTTTTGAAAAATTCTGGAATTTTCAATTATTTTTTTATGATTTTGGATTATGAGAACTATTGAAATAAACTGTAGGGAACTCTAGAACTCTTTTATAGCTACTCAGAACTCTAATAATAAATCCATTTTTTCAATAGTGGGGGGCTGCGTGAAGTTAGCCCCCCATTATGAAAAAACCTATTTTTTACCATTTAATCGCCGGAACTATTTCTAAAAACTATCAGGAACTCTAGAACTATTGTAGAGGAAGTCAGAACTCTAAAAAAAATTTAATTTTTTTGAAAGTGGGGGGCCAACTTCACATACATCCATTTTTCAAAAAAAATTTATTATTTACAAAAATCCTAATAAAATTTTTCGCTGGAATTCAATTATTTAGTAAATTTTCTCAAAAAAAATTCAATTATTATTTGAAAAAATTTTAATAAAATTCGTTGCAATAATTAAATTATTTTCATAAATAATAAAATTCTTGTTCAAATTATTCGGTAATTCATTTTTTTAATCAATTTTTATTAGAAAATTCAAGAAGAATTCAATTATTTAAATTAAAAAATAAATAATTTATTGAATAATTGAATGTTTGTTAAAATTGAATTCTCATAAAGAATTTTATCAACAAATTTTTAAATAATTCAATTATTTTGACAAATTTTAATGAAATTTTTAAGAATAATTATACATTTATCGAGGAATTTGATTAAAATATTGTATCAAAAATTAATTAAAATCCTGCGATAAGTTTAATTATTTATGAAAATAATTAAAACTTTTCCCAAAAATTTTATTAAAATTTTTCTAAAATAATTGAATTCCAGTGAAATTTTAACAAGAATTTTATTCAAGTTTTTAAAAATAATTGAATTTTGAAGAAGAATTTTATTAATTGTAACAATAATTAAAATTTTGACGAGAATTTAAAAAAAATGTTTTTAAATAAATAAATATTAAAGAATTTTATTATTTATAAACATAATTGAAATTTTGACAAGAATTTTTTTTTAATTTTTGAACATAATTGAATTTCTGCGAAGAATTTTATTCCTTTTGAAAATAATTTAATTTTTCCAACGAATTTTATTCAATAACCATCTCATGAATTTTATTCAAGTTTATAAAAATAATTGAATTTCGGTGAAGAATTTCACTATTT